GTAGCAATCAGGGCCTGGTCGTTCCAGGAGACATTGCATTGTAGCTGGAGGAACTTGGCGACGTACTCGGTGGCTGCACGGGTTTGGCGAAGGTTCTGGAGCTTGTTCTCGGAGGTGCGGACCCTGTCGCTGTCCCCGAAGACAGATTGCATCTGACCGATAAAACTATCGAAGTTCTGAAGGCTGTGATCTGGCGTTCGACTAGGGGCGCCATCCAGGCTTGCGCAGTGCCGGTGAGGTGGGTCCCAATCGTTTGGATCTTGATGATGTCGCTGGGGTAGCGGTCGGGCTGGAGAGCAAACATCAACCGGATGTTGTTCAACCACCCACGGAATTAGCTGCGGGTACCATCAAACTTCTCCGGCGAGCTGATTCTTGGCTCCAGAGCTCCGGGAGCAGGGTTGGTGACTTGAGGATGGGCGAACGCATCGGCTTGAACCTGGGCAGCAATGTTCTGCTCAGCTTGTGCGTTGGCTTGGGCTTGCGCTAGGTTGGCCTGCAAGTTGGTGTTTTGGCTTTGCAAGGCGGCGATGGCTTGGCACATATCATTCCATTGCTAGGCGGTGAAAGGTACGGATTCGGATTGGGACATGGCAAAAAAGGTGTGGCAGATGCAGGGCTGGACGGGTTCTGAACTTCGTAGTGTTGGAGCAGATCAAACTGTTATGATCTCGACGACTGAGGCGGAAGCGAAGTAGAGAAGACAAGGCGAGAGCGATGGGCGACAAGAGAATGTATTGGCGAAACAAGAGACAAGGACTAGAACAAGAGACGAGAAGAACTGGTGTTGATCTGCTGGGGAGGAAGGGAATGGACGAAGAGAGACCGGCTATTTATAGATAGGCAACCCAGCAGGCCAGAGAACAACAACAACCAGAGGGGACTGGGGGGGGGCGCCAGCTATGCTCCTAGAGCGTGCGTGGCGAGCGTAGAGAGCATTGTCACAGCTGCTGGCTATGGAGAAGTAGTGGGGGGTGTGGAGAAGCCAAGGGGAGATTGGCGAAATGAGAGGAGAGAGGAGGAGTGGCAATATTGCGGGAGGATTGGCAAAATGAGAGGAGAGAGGGGAAGTGGCATTGACATTGACATTGACACTGACATTGACACTGACATTGACATTGACATTGGCGTTTGACATTGGCGGTTGACATTGGCGGCTGTCAGTAGGTAAGCTTATGGTATGGGCGCGTCGTCCATAACAGCAAGTACAGGAAGTTGTCAAGAAAGCGGTTGCCAAAATTGCATCGCAAATGGCCAAGGTGCAGATTAACAATGGCCAGTCCCCGGGAGGACCACCAAGGATCGGAGACGGAAAGTGTTACGCCTGCGGAGGAGACCACTTCAAGGACGACGTGGATCGCGAGACGGGGAGACCAGTATGCCCCAACAAACAAAGCCCCAAGGCGGGAAATGCCAATGCTGAGAAGCGGCATTTTACCCGCCAGGGCTAGGAGCCGAGAGCCTACTAGTCCTGGAACCAACGGCTCTTGAGCAGGAAGACCCCGGAGAATTGCTGCCTCAAGACCAGGATGAAAGCCTGACCTTTCCTGCTCGGTCACCATCAGACCCGGGAAGAGGCAGGGATTCCGACTCCGAAAGCGACTGGGGGACGCGCGGAGAAATAACAACAGCTGACGAATTGTTACAACCCCAACACCTGTCCAAGTTGGGAGAAGAAAAACCCGACTCAGAGGACCCTGACCAAACACGCTACCCGTCTCCGCCACCCGAAAAGGAACTCTACTTGATCAACCTGGTTGACAAGAACTATTGGCAATTGCACCCGGACATCTTCCAGCAACTCGATGACGGACCCTGGGGAGGCCCACAAAGCCACACTGTGAACCTCTTAGCCATGAAGCAGAACGCTCAAGTTTCAAGGTACTGCTCGGTCGACCAGACGGACACCAATGCAATTGCCCACGACGCCTTCAAGATTCGCTGGGACGCTGAGAATGGCTGGGCCAATCCCCCTTGGCTCGCCATTCAACAAGTGCTCGACAAGGTCGTCACGGACGGAGCAACCATTACGCTGATTACCCCCATATGGCGAGAAGCTCCATGGTACCTTCAGCTCCTTACGCTCCTCATCGACTATCCGAAATTGCTGAACCACGAACAAGACCTCTTCGCCAAGGGTGGCTTCTGTGAACACGATGAAGGTGTTTATGGGCTCCCACCCTGGGAACACACCGCAGCATGGAGTGTTATGATCTCGACGGCTGAGGCGGAAGCGAAGTAGAGAAGACAAGGCGAGAGTGATAGGCAACAAGAGATTGTATTGGCGAAACAAGAGACAAGGACTAGAACAAGAGACGAGAAGAACTGGTGTTGATCTGCTGGGGAGGAAGGGAATGGACGAAGAGAGACCGGCTATTTATAGATAGGCAACCCAGCAGGCCAGAGAACAACAACAACAAGAGGGGACTGGGGGGGGGTGCCAGCTATGCTGCTAGAGCGTGCGTGGCGAGCGTAGAGGGCATTGCTACAGCTGCTGGCTATGGAGAAGTAGTGGGGGATGTGGAGAAGCCGAGGGGGGATTGGCAAAATGAGAGGAGAGAGGAGGAGCGGCGATATTGCGGGAGGATTGGCAAAATGAGAGGAGAGAGGGGGAGTGACATTGACATTGACATTGACATTGACACTGACGTTGACACTGACACTGACATTGACATTGACATTGGCGTTTGACATTGGCGGTTCACATTGGCGGCTGTCAGTAGGTAAGCTTATGGTATGGGCGCGTCGTCCATAACACACAAAGTTCATTGACGACATACGAGCAGGGCGTGTGGCCAGTAACCGACAACTTGCGCGCACTACGCCCGAATGACGCGGAGTTTAAACAAACAGAGATGGCTGGACATACAATTTTACCCGGCCGCGATGCCTACCGGTATCATTGCACCAGCTGCTCCAACGGCACCACCACCTCCCGCACCTCCTCCTCCAGCTCCGCCTGGACCAGGCGGACCCCTCGGACCGGGACCGCCACCTCCGCCACCATTCCCACGGTCGTCATCGGATGATTCTTCATCCATATGTTTTTTAAGGTACTCCAACCTTTCCAACAACTTATCCCGTTTCTTCCTCTCGGCTGCATCCTCCCGGCGCTTTGCATCTGTCACCGATCCCTTTGTTCCTTTCTCTTTTCTGGCATCCGAGGCCGCCCGCGCTTCATCTATCTTATCTAGAGCTAGCACATCCGCCTTCGCCGTCAACTCCTCGAAATCGAAAGCCCCCAAATCCCTTCCCTTTGCCTTCGCCCTCTTCATTTGCCTTTACAACCTCGCCACATTCTCCTCCACTCGTGCCCTACGCTTTTGGAGGTTGTCGGCGTTGTCTTTGCGGAACTTGATTACAGCAGCGTCGGTTGCCACACGCAACACTTCCTTAGGACGTTTCAACATCGCAGAAGGACTCGCGGCAGCAGCCACAGTGGACGTGCGCGTTACGCGCCTGGGAGGCGGAGCCGTAGTCGGGACCGTAGCGGACGGGAGTGGCGGCGGGACCGACGGACGCACTGATTTCCGTGCCATTTGGTTGACTCTGGGCGCACCGCTACCGCTAGCGCCGCCCTTCTTTCCCCCGTTTCCACCTTTCTTTCCGTCTTTTGCCATCGTATCGCGGAGCAGAGAGTGTGTTTGTGTGCCGAGTTTACTTCTTGGTTTGTCGGTCTTGGGTTTTGGACGACTGACACGTCGCCTTGTTTCTTTTATGCTTGCGGCGTCACTACTTCTTTCATTTTTCCTTTCACTCTATTCATAGATAGTCATCACCACGACCGTACGCGCTTCGCGTACGGCCGCCATTGTTTCTCATTGTCTTTCACTTAGATAGACTCGTGAGTTTGCGTGGGGGTGTTGGAGGTACATCCTCCCGAGCCCCTGGTTAGGGTTCTAGTAGGGTTTCCCGGTCTTCCCCGTTCTTCCTACCTTCCCCGTAGTTTATTTACTCACGTGACTCCTCTCCCGCGTGCGCCTTGGTTACGCGTACGTGACTTCCCTTTTCTTCCCCTCAACAAACTTCCCGTTTGCACTTTAGACAAGACTTCATATAGGACATCGTCTATCCTATGCATTACCGTTCATCTCTTGCTATCTCTGCCAACTGACCTGCTAACAAGTTGGAGAACGACGTGCACATACAGTGTATGTCAGGCAAACAAACAGTGTATGTTAGGCGCGTCCGAGGGGATAATTTGATTATCGCCTCGCAGGAGTGTGTTCTCCAGTTGACTCTGGCCTCACGGGTACTTTAACAGTGCTCGCCCCGCGTTCCTATTCACAATAAGTAGTTCTTCTACTACATATCGAATAGCAGCGTCGGCGAACACCCAGTCCGTCTACAATATCTTACAGCGAAGTAGTTATTGTATACGAACACCTGTTATACAACCCGTGTGGAAGGTGGTCCACATCACAGTTCATCTCAATCATGGATCTGGATCTACGAGGGCATTGGCTGATCTCAGGGTGCAATGCATGCAGATCGGTGTTGGGACTCACATCCATTGTTTTATATACATATTTATGCTATGCATGTAAGGTTATACATGTGATAAATGGATCATGTACGGATCCGTATTCATACATTAAGGTCCGTAAATGGACACGTATTGATCCATATATGGAGACATAGGCGTAAGTTTGCTTTGAATGCCGTAAACCGGTTATGGATCAATTACGCGTGAATAAATGGATCTGCGTGTCCCGTAGTGTATACTTCTGGGGAGCCTCCGGAGGGCATAGACTACAACAGTGCTTTCTTGAACAATGGCTTGAACTTCAGCGCACGCGTCGAGGCTAGGCCATAAGTGGAGCTTCACACGCATTAGCATTTAGATACACGCGCGTTGTTCTTTGCCGTCACTGTCAGTGGGACAATAGTTGTCCATAACAGACACTAACCTTCAAGATGCGGGAGCCCGCTGCGGCCGCAGAGTTGTATTCTTGCAAAGCTGTGTAGCGGTGTGCGCCGCCCAGCATGTAATATTTGGCAGCCTCGTCTGCAATCTCTCCGTCTTCATTCTCTTTGGCAACGACAACCAGTGGCTTGGTGAAATCAAACTCTCTTGTTTGGTTCAGATTGCCGCTGTGAATCGGAATGAAGGCGAGTAAGTGAATTGTTCCACCCTTTGAGTGTTTCCGATGTTCCCAACTTACACAATCCTCTCGACCCGGACAGGGTTTATAGGACGGGTGAGGTGCTCCATCCTAAGCTCGATTTGCGTCAACGGTAGCAGTTCTTGCTGAGGGCCATTCGTTTCCGTTTCGCGCGTGCGACAATACTTCTGAAGAATTTGATTCTCGAGACCCGGCGTTTCAATGGGGTACCGCTGAGACAGCGTATATATCCGGCGGATAGAAGACATGTGAGACACGCGGCCTGCGGCCAAAGGGATAGCGCAGGCAGTGCGGCAACTCAGTCCCCCACAAGGGTCCGCAGGGAAGGTGGCAATGCATACCTCTGAGATAAGAGCAATTGCCAGTGCTTGCGTCAACTTAGCATGATTATGAATGAAGGTGAAGGCCGCGGGAAGGTCGCCTTGCATGACCATGTTATTTGAAATATCACGTTTCGTCTCCTTGTCGCCAAGTACGTCAAGGAGCTTCACGGCCGCAGGCGGCAGAACCTCCGACGACCGCAGCAGGATGGTCTTTTCATCGAGCGGCTCGCCGTTGTACAAGATAAGGACGGACGGGATGTCGAGAATTGACGTTCCGTGAGGTCCTTTGCGCAAGAACATCGGGCTTTTGGAATTTGGAATCTGTCCTCCTCCCTTCAGGTCCAAAGGAGGCCACCTGCGATTCCTCTTTTGTGGCGTCCAGCAGCTTTCGGGCCCGACAGCGATAGTCCGTATCCACACGTTGGTAGCGCTTGGACCCTGCATGGCGGCAAAGCCATTAATTCGCGGCTCGGTGACGTACATTATGTCCACGAATGCGACCGGTAGTCTTTAGCAAGCTTTGTTCGCAGTGGTACAGCTGCCGCGGCTTGGATGTGGTGGTTTGCTAGCGCTCAACTTTCATGTTCTAAGGTGAAAGAAAAAGCTCGTCCCGCAGGACCGCAATATTAATGGCAGGACACAAATGGTTTACGCAGCACGCTGTTATGTTCAGCAATTTCAAAGGGGTCAGTCCCAGTGGAGTGGGATGGACGTGTGCAGCGGCTCTCAAGAGGGGCCACCACGCCTAGGACGCCTTACGCGGTCGCCCCGACCGGCCACTCCTCATGCTGGCAGGCAGCACGAGGCACGACCCAACTAATAACGGCTATGAAACTCATGTTCCATCCAATGCCACACCCGCGTGTTTGCAGTCTTCCCGAGGGTCCACAGTCTGTGGCGGCTCGGCAAGCGGGCAATCAAGTCAAGAGAAAGGGAAAACGGTGATTGTAACAACCCGGGCCTTCCGCTGCCTCCCCGGGTAAACAATGGATTGGCTGAATTTTTGGGTCCAAAGCTTACCTTGGCAAAAACCGCTTTGGCTCTTCTGCAAACATGTTGCAAATGAGCTTCAAAGCGCGAGGCCCTGCTTTTATCACATGGCGATTGTGCCCAAGGGAAGGTCCGGCTATCCTGCGCAGAGTTGCGTGAGCTATCCGGCGGATAGATGCCATACTAGAACCCGCGACTTACTTCATTCCCGTTGCCCGACAGTCCGCGGCGAGGATCTCCAAAGTGGGTTCTTTTCCTAGCTCAGCCATGCGGATGTTCATCAAGCGGTTTATCATCAACAGGTTATCGGCATACGTGTCCGGCGTAGTGGACTGGGTCGTCAGGTTGAGCGAGATGGCTAACTGCACGCGCTCCATCCCGGCATGTCCGAGCGGAGTACAAAGGCCGGCAGCTGGATGTGCAAAACCCAAGGTTTTGATTAGCAACCAATGGTACAGCGCGCTGCCAGCTAATGGAAGGCCCACTGTGGAAATTTTCCGTTCATCCTGAAATTTGGCGTTCAACTGGCTCGCGGCCTTGACTCGATGCCCACCGTCAATGATCATGTACTTTGATACTGTGCTGTCATCTTCGCGCCCTGCAACGACTCTGTAATGTGACTCGTCGTAGCGTCCGATCACCTCGATGCGCGACCTAGGTTTACAGTTGGTATTAGTTTCTATGCTTTGCAAACAAGTGAGCCTCGACTAACGTGATATCCAATAGCGGGAGCGGCCCAAGGTCGGCTCTCAGCGCGATTGATATGGCGGCGGTGCTAATGTGAATCTGCGCTGTTTGCAGGGTTAGGGTTAGGGGAGAAAGGGGAAACTAGATTGATTAAATGTTGAAAAATGACATTTTTGACGACAAACCGCCGATCGCCAACAACCTTCTGCCTTGGCAAGAAGCGCGAGGGTACGGCAGGATCTCGTTGGATTTGAGCATAGCAGGTTGTGCTCGGGCGGAGGATGTAGCTCCATCACCGCAGGAGGACGTAGCCCCATTGGCTAGCCATTTTGCCGAACAGTGGAACTGCCGTTGCCCTGGGGTTGCAGCGGTATCGACGCCCCCTTAGGGTGCCTGTGGGATCAGGGAAACAGTGACGCCAATTTAGCAACAAGAGAGAGATGCAACTGAGACGCAAATTCGATTTTGCAGGACAAGGGGCGCGAGCAGCAAGAGAGAGGAGGACGACGCGCCGGCCCGACGGACGGACGCGGACGCAGGGCCAAACTCGCCAAACTCCACTGCGCGTCGTCACTAGTGCGGGGTCACGTGATATGCTGCTGAGATTCAGCAGCAGCTCGCAGATTTTGGCATTTTGAAATGTTTGTCACCACCCGGACGGACGCGCTGAAGATTGTTGAGAGCGCTCGCGAGCTCTTGGTTGAAGAACCCTGCCAAATGTCCGTAATTGTCTTTCTCGCTGCAGAAGGCCGCATCTGGGCCGGGTGACGAGTATGAGCGCTTAAGAACAGTGCATCTGCGCGCCGAAGAAGCAGGCCGCAAGGTGGCCAGCGAGACGACCAGATACGTCCTCAAGTTGGACCAGAAGGACCTCCACCAATTGCAGGAAGCCAGCGGGCCGCGATTTGCCGACAACTTGGAGTCCGCAAACCATCCAGCTGGCCTGCGAGTGCCTTCGCCCGATACACCCAGCTGGGTACGCTTTTCACCGGAAGCTGAAGGCAGCCTGCCGAGGCCGGAAAAGGCCGCGCTGAGTGCCGAAGTGGAAGGCGCAGCTATAGAAGACCCGGATCTGGCAGATGGAGCTTGTGCACCAGTTGGCCCCGAACACACATCGGTTTGGACAAGCAAAGCGGATGAGGTGTGGAAGAAAGCAGCCAAATCGGCGAACCGGTAAGCTTCGACAACTCTCAACCTAGTATGCCTCCGTCACGCTCAGATTGCTACTTGTGCAGGCTGCTGTGGAAAAAAATTATTGATCTTGACGATGAACAAGACTGCGCTGCACTTGGCGACCTTGTGGAAAATGCCCGCATGGCACATGCGTCGGCGTTGAAGCCATATCTAGGGGAATCGTGGCATCAGCCTTCTGCCGCAGCTGCAGCCTGCATGCAGCGCACTGTTCAGCTGGATGTTTCCGACTTGGTCAGGATTGCCGACCGGGTTCTCGACAGTGGCCGGCCGGCCATGCTAGCACTACTCAATGCAATGACCAGCAGTGTCCGGCGATTGAACTCCCTCACAGCCTGCTGTCGGAACCACACGCTTAAGAATCGTGAGAGGAGTTTTGATAGTTCGCAACCATACAGTTATCGTTACCATACAGTTAGCCCTAGTGAATAGGTTGGATGAGCTCAAACGCTCACCGACGATCGGAGCCGAAGACGATATGCACTCGCGGGAGGTATAATTCAGCGAGAGAAGTCGGGCCAGTTGGTCCAGTAGCTTTGCAGTTGGTCCAGTTGATTCCGAGCCACTTTACGCGTTGGCGTCGGATTGGTATTAAGTTGGCGATGAGAACGTGCAAGAGTCGGATGTCTCGAGGACGTTTTGCGTCCTGGCGAACTTTCACTCGACAGAGAAGCGGTGTCCTTGTTCGAAAGAGAATGCGATGTCTGCCAAGATTGAGTTAGCAACAACATATTGTGTGGTCTCGGACCATTTCTTGAACCGTGATTCTGCGAGTCCCATAACGCGGACCATTTCGTACGAACACGACAAAGCGCTCTTATCGGGTTGAAGTCGCTTGCCATGAGACGTAAGGCCGATTGATTGATGGTGATTGTCTGACACATGTATTGCGTGCTGATGTCGAAAAACGTCTTGCTGCCGATAAGTATCGGTATCTCAACCTCGCTGGTGTCAGTCACAAACCACTTTGAAAGGATGCAAAGATGGCGTCCTCTTTGAGCTATATACTGGTCGTTGGTTGATCGAGCCATGCTAAAAAAAAAATTTGAATTGCAGCAAGATATTGAAGCCACAGCGTTTTTGCTTCTTCGGTGAATTTCTGCTCGAACGGCTTGCTAATTGTGATGTCACAGAAACTTCACATACGGTACGCGTACCTCTATGCCCTCCGTAAAGTCGTTCTCGTAGTCTACCTCCTCGCGTTTTAACTCTGTTCCTATATCTGTGTCTTCTAGCGGCGACTTTGTCCTCTAAGCTTATTTCTGGTGCGTTTGGCAATCGGAGTAGGAGGTGACTCAAGCAAAGCTTGGACGATATCTTGGTGTCCCGAGGCCACTCCCGAACCGATGAGCGCGGTCTGTTGACCAATCAGCTTATAAAGGTTGTTTTGGAGCTGAACGGCTGCCGTCACCCCCTTTTTGGCCGGATGGTGTGCACGCAGTGCTTGAGCGAAAGAATCGGGGCTCTTTTCCGAAGCAAATACATGGCAGGATTATTTATCTGCAAGAGCAGGGCGAGGCTCAGAAACGCACGTTCAAACAGCGGGTGATAGCTCTTTGCATGGCATTATCCCCCGCACATTCCACCGCTTTCTCGACAAGAAAATTCACACAATCCTCCCATTTCCCGCCTGGATGGTTATCCAAAAAGTACTGCGATCTTTGGAGCGGTGGAGACTTCGAGCGCGATCGAATGTCCGCCCGTCAATAAAAATGAGCCGAGGGGCTCCAGATCCACTTCAGCGTTCTTTGCAGGCAAGCGTAGATGTCGCGTGTGCAGGAACACGGGGAGATCACCTCAAGAGGGGCCTGAAGTGTGAGCGGCATGCGAATCGAGACCAAACGCTGACTTGAAATTGATGAAATGCCTGCTACCATAGATGATTGCGCGTGCAGAGAGACTGCGCAGTTTAGGTAAGCAGGTATGGCTCCCGGTCATCAGCGCAATGAAACCGTTGCGCTTTTGATTCTTTTCTCCATGATAGGGCCGGTAAATTCATACAACGAGGTGCTTTTCCAGCCCCGCGGGCATCAATCGTGGGGAAACCTACGAAAAATAGTCAACCTTCATTCCTCTTCCACAGAAACCCAGAAAGAATCATCATGAACTAAGAACTCCGTGCCGCCGCTGGACGATGGAGTCCGTGGCCCATAAAGGAACGGCTCTGAAGGGGTGCGCTCGTCGCCGGTGCTCTCCTTCTCGCCCGAAAGCTTAGGTACAATGCGCTGGATGCGTACCCTTGTGGCGCTTCTGTTGGCCACGTCCTGCGTCTCCGCCTTCGATGCGGGGAATGTCCCTCCCGCTTCAGCGCTCGAGGGCAAAGCGTTTCGCCACGGCGACATCGAGGATACACTGCGTGATTTGAGGCGTAGGCCCAAGAAGCACTTTTGGAATTTCGAAGAGAAGTTCAACTCCCTCGATACGGAAAGGGTCTACTTTGGTAAGTATGCGGCTACAGACACCGTGCCACGACCGAAGTGCCTCGGTCTCACTGCGAGAAATAGTTGGCCCCGTCGACCCACCGGCCGGCAGAAGTAACGAGTAGGCTGCCGGGAATCGAAACGAGCTCTTCCTGCATCTTCCAGATTTTTTTGTTTTTTCGCTAACCGCGATGTTTCCTTATCCTATCATTCAACAGGCAACTGGTTGCGAGACTATTCTCAGGTCATTGATGTGGGAACTCTCTCTCGCCACCTTCCTCGTGAGGCCTTGACTTTGGTGGTCGCCTTGCTTTCCTTCAAAGAAACACACTTCGTTACCGATGAGTTTCAAGTCACCCAGAAGCGGTTAGGTGTCTATCGCGCCGAGGAACATGTCGATAACCCGAAAGGTAGGGCGTCGTTAGCTTCGAGCGGTATGGGAGAGAGATGGTCAGCGAGCAGGCAAAGACGGGTGAAAAGCGGTGTCAGTCAAATTATCGATAACGAGGCTAACCCCGAATTTCGAATCTGCAGGCTATCCGTTGGATGCTCGAACTTATGACGACGAACTTCGGGGCCCTATCGACCCACGTGAACTTGAGGTGGACGGGAAAACTGGCTTGAGAAATTACATGGCCAACGAGAAGGGAAACTGGACTACGTCCTCTGCTTCCATCCGTAAAACCCTAACCCGGGCCATTCAAGGGTACCGCGCTGGAAATGAGACGGATGGTCTCAGGTTACTAGGACAAGCCCTGCATACGCTGGAGGACTACTCAGCTCACACCAACTACGTGGAGCTGACTTTGGCGGAGCTTGGATATCGCCATGTCTTTCCATACATCGGCGAGCTCGCACCGATCAAGTACGACTTTATGCCTGCCGAAAGCGGCGTTTGGGAGACTGTCAGAGACTGGCTGCCTGACTGGCTGTCGTCGAGCGCAAAGCGGGCAGGTTGCTATCGTCCTATCTACCCCATCACAACCGGTACCTTTGGACAGTGGGATTTGGCCCACTCGCTACTGGGCGAGATCAAAGACAAAATCGGCTCCCTTGAGATCCAGTCGCTGATGAAGGAGATGAAGCAAGAAGCACACCTGCATCGTCGTGATCCCCTATCGACATTGACTACCCTAATCGGTCTTTTGCGGAAACTTACGCACTTCGACGAAGAGATGGAAAGCATCATCGACGATATTGAAAAAACTCTCTCCGATTTTACCCACCCTCTGAAGATCTCCCTCAACGACGGTTTAACCGACGAAGAGCGGGAAGTGCTCGCTCGTCTATGGCGGCTGCTTGAACTGCGGGACAGGATCATGAAGAAAGTTTCCGCGATCATTGATCGGATACCCGGCTTCAGATGGCTTCAACAGGAAGTTTCAATTTTATTCCAGCGAATCATATACAGCTTCATCGAGCCCCTCGCCACCCCGCTTCTGATCGAGACGGTTGAGGTTCTGCAGAAATTATCCGACATGGTGACGGCGGCACCGGATCAGCAGGAAATCTTCACATCCTTCAATGCCACGGACCCAACACACTCCATCATATCAAAGGATCATTTCGACTTGCACCTCAACGAACCAGCGGGCCTGGTCGCCAAGGTCATTGTTGAGCATGTGGCCAACGCCGTTGTCACAGCTTGGTTCGATCCATCGCCTGCCGCGCTCGATGACGCGGTCAACATAGCGTTGCAAGTTTTCCATCACCCATCGTCGCTCCTCACCCCGAAAAAAACAAGGCTTCAAAAGGATATGTTCTCCGCGATCAAATCATGGGCTTCTGCACATCCCGCCGCTATCGCAGCCCTCGACAAAGATTCAGTGCGGGCAGGCTGGCACCGCCGGGTGAAACCCATGGAGCTGAGCTGCGCGAATGCTCAGAAAGATCTGAGCGTTGGTGTGGGCTATGGCTGGGTGTGCGGAGATGGTATCAACCAAGGGAACCCCCCGCCACTCCCCCCACTTCGGGTACCTCAGGAAAGCGGATTCCGTCGCTGCGAGGGAGTTGGCGGACCGGTCCTGCCCACCACCAGTTCGGTCGTCAGGACGACTACGTCGAGCGTTACAGTAGCTACTCATACTACAGCCATCAACTCAACTCAAAAGACGACGATCCCGACAAGCTTGGGCATGACAACGGCCATAATCACCACCAAACCTCACATCTTCTCGACGCCTACGCAACACAGCACCACCAGGACGCCGGCTATTACACTTCGTACTACCAGCGCGGCAGCCCCTTCTAAAACGACGATGAGTCCAACGGGCTCGGTGACAAAGACAATTATGCTTGCCAGCAGCACAACCACGTTGACGCGATCACCCACGAGGACGAAACCCCCTGCAACCGTCACCGCTACCCTATCTCGTACATCATTTAGACGGCGGAATCATCGCAGTTGAAGGCATTTAGTCATTCCAGCGGCGTACAACCGAAACATTCCATCCTGCGCATACATTTCTCCTCGAAGTTATCTCATCTATTGTCATCACCGTATATACTTTTTTCCTTCATACCTCATGATAGGGTAGACCAGATCCCGCATATATCTAGATTCTCCTATAGATCTTTTCCTCTGGGCGCGTCGATCGCGCTTACTGGCATGTCTGGCCTACAGGCTACCATTCGAATACCATAACATTGGGAACCACATCGGGGCTATCACTGCCTTGAATTGCGACTGCCAATCAGAAACATCGTGCCTAACCCTAACCCTAACCCCTGTTGCTCATCCTTAACCCTAACCCTAACCCTAACCCTAACCCTAACCCTAAGTGCCATTCTGCTCCTCCCATCACTCAAAATCCATCACATGTGCAACGCTTAGGAGAAAGGGGAATTTGCTAGAGGGCAAATGCAAGGAGAGAGACCCTCATGTTCCCGTATCTTCGTATGATATTTCTCGTAAAGCTCCGGTTCAGGGAACTTGACACTTGTCCGATTGACAGGTTTTCGTCTGCCGCCGTCTCACAATGGGAACAGAACTGTGTCGCCATCCATGAGAAAGCCAGGCGCACGAGACTTGCAGGTCAGAGCCGCAAGGTCTCTGTTCCGTCTGAAGAAGTGCGGGAACGAACTGTCCTTCATTCTGATCAAATCTCAACTAAACTATTGAAATTGAATGATTACAAAAGTAAATATCAATGTCTATCCTGCAACGTCGGTCCAGAAGTCCCACAGCAAAAAATATGTCCGGGTCCCCTTCAAGTTACGCCAAAGACTCTTTGCAAATCTTGGTGAGTTTCCGTCACCTCCTCATCATCGAAAATGGCTTCCAGTTGGCCGCAAAATCCGCATCGCTGAATAATCCAATAGGTTCCAGACAACGCCGCTGTTCCCCGATGCCGAAGTCACAGGACAATGAGCAAGCAGGCGGTAACACCGTGGGGGCGCTTCACCAAGGTGGCGTGGGCAACTGACGAGATTGATCGAGGGATGTCTTCACCATGGGGGGCCCTACTGACGAAACTAAGAGACGATTCCCCATGGGGATGCTACTGACGTATGAGGAACAAAAAGCCGGCTTATCACATCCGTGCGCATGCAAGCGAGTGAAGACACGTGCAATTCGTTCGCGTGGGTGTGAGAGAAGGGCGTCGTGTCCTCGTGGTGGGTCAGTGCACCCTGCGCTGCTTTCGTCCGCTGCGATTCCGGTTGCGGTGCCGGCTGCCGTCCCGGCTGTGATCATCGTGGCTGCGGTCCCGGCGATGACCGTCTTCGCTTCGGCGCTTGTGCTTTAGGCCGCTCTGGCGGTGATGATCTTCGCGACGCGGCCCACGGTTTTCGTTGTTGCGTAGTTCGCTTTCAGCAGCCTTCTCAAATTTGATAGCTGCCGTCGGCGCCTCGGTCAACCGCACAGCTTCCATCGCCTTCGCTCCCTCCGCTCGCACGGCTGCCGCTGCCTTCTGGCGGGCTACGGCAGCGGCTGCACGTGCTTCATCCAGCTTGACCTGCGCTTCCCGACCTTGACCTGCGCCTTCGGCCTTCTCGATTTCGTCAAGAACATTCTCCTTCGAACCTAAAAATGGCGCATCAGTCACAGCCCCCGGATCGACAAATCATCGGGACAAGTTCCTTACCGGTCACATCCCGGCACATGCTTTCCTTCCATTCCTGCTTCACTTCCCCGATTGCCTTGTTCTCATCGCCCATCAGAACGGCAAGCGACGCAGCATTCTTGATTATGCTGATGATCTGGAGGTCCGAGTATCTGGGCGACGGGACACCGGCGACCTTGTCATGGGAGCCCAGAATGCGATCGGCCTTGGCCCGGTCGAGAACGATCTTCCTCACGCATTAGTAACCCTGGAACTGGTTTCTTTGCTTGACAGAATGGAAAAGTTGCGAGTGCTTCTGTATGCACGGTTCCAACGCTCTGTTGGGATTGGACGTACTGTATGTCCTCACGCAATGTCCTTTGAAGCTGTCAACTTCAAGGATCTAGGAACAAGGAACACTCCATGAGCGTCTACGGGCCACTTCCAGGCTGTGATGTGGCGAAAAAACGTTGCGGGTGCTTCGGTCAGCACGGTCTCAACGTTCTGTTGTGATTAGACGTCTGTATGTCCTTACGCAATGGTGATTGGAGCTGTTGACTGGAACATTCGACGTCCGACTCGTCGGATGTGGTATTGGCGGGTTCAGAAATCCTCAACTCTTCGCTCTCACCTGTTATGCCTTCCCTCGATCAGGTCGACCTTTGCGACGAGCTCTGTCAGTAGCTGAACACCACTTGTCAAGCCTGTCAAGCAAACACTGTGAGACAACGCGTTGGCCGTGATGAACGGAACTGCATACCAGGGAATTGCATTCAGGTCTGTTCCCCTCGAACTGTGTAGACGGCTATGCTATCATGTAGTGAGTACTGGAGAGCACGCACGCCACGGGAAGATAAGATGTTCGTCGTTCGACGAAATGAGTGCATCCGACGATGTCCCGATTACAGAGAGGTAAAGTAACGAAAGGTAGGATATGATGCGTGCAGGAAAAGCGATCCAGCATGCGAGACCGTTGCGGTCACCGGTATTATACCTGTACGTGTAGCCAGCATTTGAGATACACAACGACTCCAGAAATCCTAGCGGTGATGAGGCCGTCCCGAGAGCAGCATGTCCCGAGGGCGAGTTGGGGGTAAGCACGGATCTACGACAGCTGTTCCGAAGTTTCTCATTTTGGGGATGTTTGGCTTGGAAGGGGACATTTGCTAAATGGACCGAGTCCGAAAGGATTTTACGGAGACTTCGGTCTGGGTTGTACGCCCATAGACCGCAGTGGTATCGAACTTCATTGATGTGCGGAGACTGACGGGTGGATATTTAGACGGCCGGTGTATGCAGGAAGTTTCCACACCCGACCCTCTCGGCCGATGTTTTTTGTTGAGCCGCAGCCTTGCCGAAGAGCTTAGTTGTAAGCTTTGGGACTCGTGGAAGGACAACTGTAAAGCAGTTCCGTTGTAATTGGTGAAAGCTCATGCGGACTCGCTCCAATTTTGGCATTCCCATCCCTCACCATGCCTCCCTCCGTCCGCCTCCCAGTACCCGCAAATCTTCGACGCAACTGCCACGAAAAGAAAAGAACCGTTGAGTGCTGACATAGACCGACACCCGTACCGACTTCCACGGTGTTCACCCTGCAAATCTTCCAGGCCAGGCAGACCAGCCTACTCCTAGCCGACCGACTGATGCTTCCACCCAGCGAGCGTGTTTTCCATGCCGACGGCTCCATCTGCGCCCAAGACTCCTCCGCAATCTGCAAAATCTCTTCCCAGAAACAGACGTACGAGCACAAAATTTCGTATTGGTCGAGATTTTATATTAACAAAGTGACCGAAAGGGCAATCTGATCTCGAACAGACAACCCAAACGAGCGAACATCGAAGACCAGCCTTCCAGATGGGATCCAGAGGGGACATCCAGCAATGCGCTTAGAATTGAAGGGCAGCACCCTTGGTCTTCTTGTCACCACCTGAAACGAAAAGGGAGTGAGCAGCGTGATTTGAGATGACCGATGGCAAAACTCGTATAGTCGACAAGCTCCATCCACGTACCAAGCTCGAAGTGCTTGCATCGCTTGAGGGCAATCTGGTGCTTGTACTTGCAAGCGGTGCACTCAAGACGAAGGACAATCTTCTTGGTAGTCTTGGCCTTCTTGTGGAAGACGGGCTTGGTCTGACCACCGAAACCGGACTGCTTCCGGTCGTAACGACGCTTTCCTGTAGGCAGGGGATGAATGCGTGAGCTTCGCGGGTCCCCAGGTTCAAAGTTCCCAGCTGTTCAAAGTCTTCAGAAGTCCCTCCATTTCCCTTCCAGTCCGCTCCAATGCTTTCCAAAACTCTCCACAACAAAGCCATCGAACAGAAGCACCAGCTGAACCAGAACCGAGTCGACATCACGTACCTTGCGCGAACAGGGAAGCTTTACCGGTCTTGTACTGCGTCACCTTGTGGGGGGTGTGCTTTTTGCACTCCTTACCCTTGCAGTAGGTGTTACGGGTCTTGGGAATGTTGACCTACAGAGTACCGGCGAAATGAGTACCATTCCCAGTCGTCGAACATGCATCCTCACGTGGGTTGTCTGTCCACTGCCACTACACCGGAGCTCTCGATTCCTCTCCCATTCCTTCAGAGGTTTCGTTTCACCGGAGCAACCCCACCCGTCAAAGCAGCATACCAACTCCCCAGTGTCGAACGTGTGATCGAGGATCAATTGTTCGTCCTCATTCCGGCAATTTGTCAATCATTCCCACGCCTCCACTTTCATCCATCCATCCATCCATCCATCCATCCATCCATCTGCTTCCCACGCCCAAAATCGTGCATCGTGCTGCCCCTATCCATCAATCGATTGGCGAGTGCTGAGACGTTCTGTCGAGACATACCATTGTGGCGCCCGGTGTGTGTTGCAACCCAAAAGACGATTTCGGGATATGTGCCGTAGAGACGAAGCTTTCGTTGTCCGCAGCCGCCTTTGCCGTGATGGACCCGCAGCACCGGTGTCAATGATGAGTTGGTTGTGGACAAACGCGCTCTGATTGGCTGCATTTGCGAGGACGCGTTTCTCACCGGGGGAATTCCTACGAGGCTACGACAGGCATCGAAGCTACGTCGAAACGATTGACTTGAGGCGAGCCCCACTTCCGGACGGCATGTTTGGCAGATTGCTCATGCACTATTCATTATTGATTGGAAGATCTGGGAATCGATGTCCTTCGGGACACAGTCCATTGGGCCGGCCACTGCACCCAGGAAGGAGGAAAATCGAGATTGGGCCGGTGATAGAAAAAACTTACAAAGGCTCCGTCGGATTCACTTCTCTACCACATATTGGCTTCGTACTGCAAAGTCATCGAAAGATCGTCGGAGCGATATTGAACACTTACCCAAACCCGGCTCCCTGGGTCCTTTGGACTTCGAAGAAGCAGGGATCCAACATAGTGGCGATGTCCAAAAGCATTCATCTTGAGCAGGGCGCGGCTGAGTGCAACAACAACCACGACAAAATCCTGCTTGACTGATCGAGGCAAAGCATTCGCTCCCACACGGTCATCCAGCACTTATGAAGGTTTACACAAGCGATCGAAGCTCCATGATGGGGAATATACTCAACGAGAGGACATTCAAAATAAATGTCTGGACCGAGTTCTACATTTATGGATGAGGCATTGGACACTTCCTTGGTCCAGCAAACACAGCATGTCAGGGAGGAACCGGTAACCGCTCTACTGCATTGATGCCTGGGGGGCTGCTTTGCCCTTTTCGAATCGTATACCAAGGCGCTGGGAGCTCACAGCTGCTGTTGACGTCAACACTATCTCTGAGATTGGGCAAGGATGCGTTGTGTCGCGAAGCAACGCCAATGTTTGTTGACCATGTTTTTGGCAGCGGAAAAGGGATCCCCCGCATTACAGGTTTCCATCGTCCAGGTTGGAGGCTCGTCCTTGGATGCTCTCCCCCATACTTAACGACCCCGGGCCGGACAGCGAGAAGCCGCGCACGGCACAGAGACTTGGAGTCCAGGGGACTACCGAAATGGGCCAGGTGTGACATTGTTCCCCAAGAAAACAATGGCCCTCTATCTCCACGTAAGTTAGTGAGACAATAGACAAACTGTGCTTCACTTGCTATCCGCTACGCACCGGTGACACCCCGTCTCATGGGCACAGTGTTTCTTTACGAAGTATGGACGGAAAAGACGATCCCGAGATGACATGATAATGCGAATGGTGCTCTGAAAGTTCCTTGCATAGTTCCTACTCCTTACTCGCATGGAAACAAGACGGTTCTCATGCTGGGATGATTTTCCTTACCCAGTCATAATAGGTGAGAAAGGGTCAGCAGAAGGAATCGGTCACCCTTCTCCAGCACATTCCTTCCTCAAAGTACACATCGTATGTTAATTGAGGTTTTTCAAGTGACTGGCCATCCTACAGAGTAGGTCATGGCAGTCAGAACGCAGTCCTCCAGCTTCGGCTGCATGTTCAACACTGGCAGTTCGCCTTGAGAACTTGGGTTCTAGGAAGTTGGAGCTCTGAAAGATTCGATAATCGAATGTTGCTTTTTGCCGAATTCGACAATTCGAAACACCGATTGTTCCATAACTGCGGCGCAGCGGTGGCTTGTCGTTTGTACGCGCTCGACCCTCGACCCAGCGTCGTCCGAACGTTTTTGGTCGGGTCAGGATCAGCATTTAGTAAGAGCCCTGACCGCTGTGTACTTTTGGGCCTCCCTCCTCAGTGCTTTTTTTGCAGGTGGTCTTTTCCGGATCATCGGATTCCAGACCTAGTGATGATGTCAACAAAAGTCTACCGATCAATGTAGAATCCAAAGATGTCCCAGATCAGCGGCGTTACAAAGGGTGTCACTTGCAAGGCGGAAGAAACAAATGGTGTGACAGAAAACGTCAGGAATGAACCACCGTCCCCTTCAGAATATGTACGTCGTCTCGCAAGTCCGATTTGCTCGAGACACCTTTGCTCTCGCGGCGGGATGCAAGAGATCTTACCACGTGCTTCTATGCACGTTCGCATCTAATACCGTAAAATGCCAACCGCAATATATGTAGTAACTGTACTGTAACTCTCACCGCGAGTTCTTCCTGCTGGCAAAGCTCACAAAATGGAACAAAACGTGGGGATACCCATCCTGTCACGGGATGGTCCGCTCTGATCCCATCCGTAGGCAATGTTGCCGCGCGGACTTCGAGTGTGAGGGTGAAGTGGATCAAACTCACCGATCGACTTCTCCCCCACGTTCCTGCTCTGTATCTACATCCGAAAGGAACCGGCGCACTCGTCCAGGATCTTAACGCCTTCGTAGTCGGGACATATAAAGCAGAAAGATTCCCGTCACATCCCTCCCAACACCAAACACCCAACCCTCACACACATCATCTTTCATCTTCACTCTTCCCCACCTCCACAATGCGTGTCGAAACCTCCCTTCTCCTCGCTACCGCTTGGTCTTTGGTCAGCTTTGTATTGGCCGCGCCCACACCGGCTTCAAACGGTCTCACACGCAGGCAATCCGATGAATACTGTGGAAATGTCGACATCACTGGTAAATAGCCTGCCGGCGTTCCTGCAAACCATAACTGAACCTGACAATCCATCTTTCGTAGCTGACGACATCAACTCCGCACTCAATGCCGCTGCAAACGCACAAAACAATCCTGTTGGTCTGGTTGCCACACCTGCCAAGGTCGCCCAAGCACCGGCAGCCGAAAAGAAAGCCGCGCCTACCGCAACACTGACTCGTCGCTATGAGCCATACCCTCACCAGTTTGACAACCGTGAAGGCTTCTTGTCGAACGAATGCGCTTCGCAGGCCGATCAAGGCAACACATACGAATACCCGATCATCCCCGGCAGCGTTTACGACGGCGGAAGCCCTGGAAAGTACCGCGTGATTTATTACCCTACTGTTTCAGGAAACCAGTTCTGCGCTGTTGTCTACCACGTAAGTAGTTGAACTCTCATAAATATCAGTTGTCTGTCGACAGAAACTAAACTTTCTCCGTCACTTTCAGGATGGCCAGGGAAACTCAATGGCTCTTTGCAACTAGACTTCACCTTAGCAGGCGTGCTGCCCGTCTCCAAAGCTTGATAGACATATAGATAGGTGCCATGGGCACAACGTCGCACTGATAAGGATGTTTGTATACACCCTCTGCATTCAACAGTGAGTTGAGATGCACCTCTTTTGACGAAGGGGTACACCGCTAAGCTTCTTGGTTCAACCATAAATTCAATAAAAGGGCTGATGTACATATTACGCTTATACTAAAACATAGAAATCTTCCTCATGCGCTTATAACTACTTCACGGTGGTAGCAAAGAAAAGGAAAAACCTCCCCATTTGATGACTGCTGGATCTGAGCCTGCTGAGGTTTCGTCAAGTAACAGTATTGCGCTTCCTCAAAAATCGAAATCATTGCACGGTAATATTTGCGATCGCGGCGACGGCGAACATGGGCCCCTCTTGACTGAAGAGTGGACCATCAGCGAGTAGAAAAATTGACTGAGATTCGTTTTTCGTCATTGGTGGCATTGACACGAGCGATAGCGGTGAGCTCGGTGAGACCGAAATAGAAGGTCAACTTAACGGAACGGTCTGGGCCTGAGAGAGGGATGCCGTCCACGATCAAAGACCCGACATCAAAATGTCCGTTTACGCAAGAGACTGGCATCTCCTGTTTGTATTCCTCTGCAGTTGCGACGAGTTGGAGCGTCAGGGATGTCTGCCAGCTGTACAGTGGGTAAACCTATATTGCGGTATTTAGTTCTGGTGAGGATCGTTGAATGCCAACACGTTGTTTGATCACCGCACCTTGGTGCTGTAAAAGTCCTGAACTTCCACCAGCTGGTTGGCCGTCATCTTAGGATGATACACGTGAAGATAGGGAACCCCTTTCTCCTCATGGAGGAATACGTCGGCACTTGTTGGTTCCGGACCCCTTGGATATTTTGTTAGGAATTGGTGCTTCTCAAGGTTATGCTTGAAGGCATACGTGAATCGCGAGAAGCGAGCTTGGATTGCATGCGGGTTCAAACCGTGCACTGCAAAGAAAATGGTTGAGTGCAAATCATCTCATAAGTGTTTGGTCCGCTTAACTTACAAGCTGCGCCTTGCACTAAAAGTTGGAAAGGTATGTGTGAGTCTTTTACAACGAGAGTCATCACTTGTTCGGTTGTCTTACCGACAGCGGCGCCAGGGTCCCTGGGAAAAATGATGATTCCGCACTTGTCGGAAATCCGTTCTTTGATTTTTTTCTGAAGATAGGGGGAAGCCTAAAAGAAAGCACGCTGTCAGACCCCATTGCAATGATTTCTTTACCAGGATTGCAAGCCGATGGGTATACCGACCATGAAGCCTCCAACCCCGAAGAGTTTGTCCGATCTTTTGTTGGGACACTTGTCAAGTTGCTTCTCAATCAACTGCAACACTTGCTCAACGATTGGATCGAAGAAGGATTGCATGTCCGCCAGAGTAATATAGACGTTGTCGCTGACTCCGTCTTGAGAAACGACGGAGATGATGCTCAGACATAGTATTTATGCTACAACCGCTGGTGGCCGTTTATCTTGTTGCATTTCGAGGGCTTCCATTTGATCGTCGTTCATCAGATTGAACAGGCCGGCAGGCAAAGCAAAAGTGATCTTGTCATGGCGCTGAAACGTCTCAGGCCCTTCGAACTGTCGTTTGATTCTCTCCCAAGTTGTCAGCACTGGTGGAGACCCGCTTAGCTATTGAGACTGGAATTCTGAATCTGCGAGTTGATACAAAAGCGTACCTTGCAAGTAGTCAACTCCTTTCTCGCGCTTGAGATCCGCAAGGGCCATCTTGCCCACTTTGCTTCCCAACCAGTCCAAAAAGACCTCGTCAATGAAGGTGGACCCACAGAGACCGCCAGTTCCCGGAGCAACTTCAACCATCTTCTGGGAGGCATCAATCCCAGCTACAGGAATGAGACGATTAGATTTACCGCTACATTTCCAGCAACTTTGCGAAGAATGGAGCGTGGATCACTTACATTGGAATCTGTATGCGACGATATCGACCGTTCCTCCACCTGAACATTGAAGTAATACAGGAACCACGTTGAGCGGTTTGTCGTGCATTAATTCGACAGCGCGTATCCTGTCATTCCAACTGACAGCAACTGACAGGATCCGACCATACCTGCATCAACGACTATAGCGGTTTCTCCGGGCCGCATGGGAGCTTCCTTGACTTTCTTGAAACAGTAGATTGCCGCTGCTTCGGGCTCCAAGACCACGCTCAATCGGGGCATGTTGACCTCACCGGGCGAAATCAAACTAGAGAACGGAATGAGCCATTAGAGAAGATGGTTCGTCGGCGTGTAACGTACGCCCCCTTACCCCGCACGGGCAGCGGCGCGCCGCATGGTATGCTTGGCGTGCTCGCTCCATATGGCTGTGTTGAAGTTGTTGAGCATCGAGCAGTTGTTGAGCCGCGTCATGATTGCGATGCTTGTGAACCATACCTGGAACTGTGAGGCAATACTGCAAGTCCTCAGGTTGCAAAGTGGTGCCAAATGTGTTCCGGAGCCTTTCCATCAAGTACTCGAAAAGCTGATGGAGGTATTCTGCAACAAGCTCGAGGGCATCAATGGTATTGGGCAAGTTCGCATCCGCGTTGTGGTTTGTGCTGGGCTCAACGAGGAATTTGATCTTCGTGAGTAACATTTTGCCGGTTCCTGCTGCATCGTCGTTGAAGGCATCTTTCAAGGCGGTATATCTGTTCACAAACATATTAGCCTGGCTACACTCGATATAACAGTATCTGTGTAGCCGTGTAGCCAAATTGGACTCACCCCCAGCTTTCCGTCTTCTGGTTTCCGGTATCGTACCACAGGGCGGTAAGGTTTTTGCAGTAGGGCTGCCCAGAAAGAGGATTAGCAAGCGTTTGACACCTCACCCAACCGACCGGGCACTTACCGAGAGCTGATCGGGCCACTCGTAAAATCATTGAAATAACCGAGTTTAGAGATCTTCCCAACAAATGCGCAGGAAAGCGTCTTACCCATCGATTTTGTGTTCATCAGAGATATGTGCAAACGCAAACCCGCTGTGACTGACCCCAAAGTCGATTCCTACGACAATCCGGTGGCCAGAGGCTATGAGCAGCGCTGAGTGATTGGGGTTGGGCATAATAATTTGCTGAGAATACAACGCTATCGACGTCTGAAAAGTTGGGCGTGAAGGTAAGAAAAGTCGAGCGTGCTCAGAAACCTGGTTCTTTATAGCCTGCGCCAAAATACTGGCACCGGCCTCTAGATTTGCTTCTCCACAGTTTCAGCGACCAAAGGGTCAAATGCTGGTCACTTTTCAAGTGTGCCGAGTCGCTTTGAAGGAACGGGACCCTCTCTGCCATTTTGAAACAGGACTGTGCAAAGAAATGGAACATGTATCTGAGGTATTTCCAGCAGAGCGTTCTCCTCCTTCGATACCTCAAGAGAGCCTCATGCAACAAGCCCGGTCAAGCGAGCAGAAATGGGATTAAGTGCCAGTACCGATTGGTCGCCGCACGAAGAGGTCGCTGAGGAAGACGAGTTGATGCACGGGGAAAAATGGCCGAAGGCAAGAGCACTGCTAGGTGCACATTCATCTTACGCTCGAAAAGAGTACTAAAGCGTATGTATAAACAGACAATTGAACAGCTTGCGGTTTGCCCTGCAGCTTTGAAAAGGCTTCGGGAATCATACCCAGCCTGGGGTTTCTTTTACGATGTCATCGAACAATATCAACCTCTCAGACGCATCCTGCCGGACTCCTACCTCGATGTAGACCTCACCCCGGTAGTCGAGAGCAGTCTTGCTCCGCCCATAAAGCGCATCCTGAATCTGAGCTCCAAATGGACTCCCAACATGCTTGACTCGGACATGGAAATCACACGCTTGCATGCCATCTTACAAAAGTGGCGTCGGTCTGTCATAGACAAGCGATCTCAGGACTTGAAGGTGTATGCGTTCCTTACAGAAATGGATTGCCGTATACGTATGGCCGAATGGGAAGTTGTGAGGAAACAGTTGCCGACAGTAAGAGCAAAATGGAACGAGGAAGTGATTTCCCAATGTGCGGAGGTCCGACCGACACGTCTGATGCGAAAAGTCCTCGGGTCCATGGATATCGGCAGGTCCGTAAAAATGGAAACCATCAAGAATCTGCAAGAGCAAAACAGCATCCTCGTCACGGAAAAGCAGCTGCATGCTAGCGAGAAGCGTACCCTTGAAGAGAAACTGTCGCGGCATGAAAAGTATCGTACGGATACCGAACACGCTTTTAGTACCCTTCAAACGCAGCTTCAATCCTCCCGGCAGCAGCTGAAGGAGAAGGAACTCTCATATACAAACCTCCAGATTGTCTTGAAGAATCAAGAAGAAGAGAGACAAATCCTAGATCAGGAGCTGAAGCGTACACGCAGCGCCTTGGCACAAGCCGAAGGGGCACTCGGCCAACGCACGCGCACTCACGAAGGCTTCTACGAGATCGATTCGCCATACACTCCGACAGAGATCGCCGATGAATTCGAAGCGATATACACAGACCTCCACGGGCACACTACGGAATGGATACCAAACCCTGCCAAAGCTACGGACGCAGATTCGCAAATTCTTCAACGCATCATGTGCTCTGGCTTTGAATTCTTTGGGGTGCCGGAGGAGAGTCGACCAAAGAAAAACAATCTCATGTATCTTGTTGAGGGATGCCTCACCACGAGCTTGATCAAGGTCTTCACGCACCCAATCAGAGGGGTACCGGCCGCCGAATATGCGCAATCCCTCGCGGTGATGAGACAAGCTTCCGCTCAGAACCCAAACTATGAAAAGCTATGTGCGGCCGATAGTCACCTCGAGCGTCAAGTATGGCAGAGAATGGTGGAAGCAATCACGTCTAACTCCCTCGACCCGGTCACAAGGGTGGCTCTGTATCACTTCAATGTCGAGTTGGGGAGCTTACTAGGATGCAACGATTTTGGGAGACAAATGATCTCAACCCGTCCCCGTCCTCCGAGCTCTACCTGAGCCTTATTCATCGCGCAATCAAACTTCGATTCAAGTGCGCCGCCCTCGGTATCAATGCTTTCTCGGTGCCGGATGGAAGGGATGCATTCTCGACTATTGACGAAGACTGGGAAGATTTTCGCGGTATTCCTTTCGATGAAGAAAGTATGCAAAGGAAGGGCCGGGAAAAGAATCCGAAAGTAAGATTTGCATATTATCCAGGACTGAGGACGGAGAAAAGCGTCCTGGTCAAGTGTCGAGTATATTGCCAGTGAGCGGGAAGATCATTTCCCTCGTCGGCTTTTTCAAGAAAACTCGCATTCGGCCGTCTCTGCGCTGTCAGGGCAAAAAGATGGATCTCAGGTTCAAGCAGGAGTGATTGCAGTTAGTTACATATTTGGGAGCTCTCAGTATTCCAGTCCGAGTGCATTAGTGTTCGTTTCAACTTCCCTCAACGCCCTCTACTAGCGTCGTCATAATGCAAAGGGCTTTCCAGAAGCTTAGCATGAGGGTGAAGATGCGCCATAAGCAGTCAGTTTGATGTCTATCTGGGGATTATCCAAACTTGTTTCACCCTGTTTTTGTCGGCCACTTCGAACGACACATGTTTCGCCCGTGCCTTTATGGGCACGAGTTGCAAAACCCATCGGTTGATGTAGCGGGGTGGAATGGACGAGAGCTGTATCCCCCAACCCCCAACCGTGAGATACAGTCGCTCAACCATCGCACTGCATTCATAACTACAGACGTACTGTACTCTGACAGCTCTCTACTTGCTCTCCACGGAACGGTGTGTTGCCGAGGGACGACCTTCTGAGTCTCCGAAAAGCCGAATCACGCGCGATGGGCGTCGTTTACCCTAACGCGTCCTAATTTTACCCTGACGGGTTAGGTAACCGGACGCGTGCAATATGCGTGCTGTTGCGTGGCTTTTCGCAACTCCGAGTAAAAAAACCTCCACTTCCGTTCCTGAAAACATAACGACGATGTGGGGAAAGACGGAGTGGAGAGCCGCTTATGCACGAAACAGCGAGGACTGTTACGTACGTATCGTCGGTACAATCGACTGGTTGAGAGCTGAGACCGTGGAGCAGACCGTGGAGCCGACAGTTTAGGCCAACCTTATTTGAGCATGCCGCCGCCCGGAAGACCTACCACATTCCGCCTGCTCACTTCGGAGGTACAAGAAGTTTAAGAGCAGCAGACGCTGACGCGCAGAGCCCGTAGAGAAAACGCCTTCATCGCTCCGTCTTAAACCGTTGCCCATCTTTCACCTGCAAAAATGGAAGGCGCATCAGTCAAATCAATGCTTGACCACCCAGACGATAAGATCCATCCGTATCTGCTCGACAAAGGGCACCATCACCTCTCCTTCGTCGAGGGCAGAAGCAGCAGCAGCAGCAGTCACCGCGGGATGCGCAAGAACCGCAGCGACGGGGCGCTGAGAGTGGGGCTGAAGGCGACGGCGCATGCCGTGCAGTACGGGTTGAAGGAAGTTGCGCACAACTTCAAAGATACGGTGGTCAGCCCAGTGCGCGCGTCTTTCTCTCACGGAGGACATGGACATGGTCACGATGGGCATGGGAATGACCTACAGGTCGCTGGCAGCAGCCCCTCGTCGGCGACGGACGTCACTGCCGCCTCAGGGGTTGTCGAAAACGTGACTACAACAGCAACAACGACGTCCCTGAGCGCTGTGGGACAGCTGCTGGACAAGTACGGCGACGACGCTGAGAACGCCAACGCTCGCTCGTGGCCTCGCAGCAACAACAAGCAACGAGCATCGACTGCAGGCCCGACGGTATCGACATTCCCCCGCCTTTCGGTCGCGAGCCACTCTGTAAGTCAACTGCTCCTTTCCTATGTATGGCTTAGTCCGTCGTGCAACCACACTGACTCCCTCATTCTAGGGAGAAAGTAGGGACTCCAGGTCCAGAGCCCGCGGGAATCCGAGCACAACGTCCACTAAGGATATTAAACGCTTTGTCAAAACCTTCCCAGAGTTATCATCGAGTGGCGAAACGCTGATAAACAGTAAGTATTCAACACTGCTGATCTTTCTTAAAGCCATGTCCTTATCTGCCAATTGCTTTTGTCCATTCGCAGCCTACGCGTGTGCGCTCGAAAGAGATGGATTATGGCACGGAAAGTTATATCTGACCAACGCCCACTTGTGCTTCTATGGAAAACACTTTGGGAGGAGCGCAAAAGCTGTCGTGGCTTACAGCGCTCTGACAGGGTTGGAGAGGAAGAACACGGCTGGGATGTTTCCGAACGCAATACGTCTGACAGCTGAACCTGATCAGAAGGTGTGTGATGTTCGGAATGACCAATGATAGTGGATGCCTTTGACGTCGGCAAACATTGACATTTTTGGGACCTAGTTTGTTTTCGGCTCCTTCTTGAAACGAGAATCTGCATACGACGAGATTATGGATTTCTGGGAGGTAGCCCAGTCAGAAGTGCGTTTTGAAGGTGCAAATGCCGCCGTGAGCATGGACATTGACTTTTGGAATCTCTTTTATAGGAATTGGCAGCAGCAACGTCCGTGAGATCAGATTTGAATGAGAGCGCAGCTTCCTCGGGCGAGATACCTCGGGGTTCGAAGACAGCAAACATCGAGTTCTTTGAAGACGCAGCTCACGATACAGCGGCGACCGAAGATTCAGGCGATGGATATTGGATACCCTCCGAAGATTCGCATGATATGTCCCTACCGGCATCCCCAGCAGAGCCCGACGTTGCACCTTCAGAAGTTGCGGAGAAGTTGACGGTTGGGCCAACTCTCGCTGGGTAGGTAGAGCCGTTGAATGTGCTTTTCCACAAAGAGGGAGATAACTCACACAAATAATATCTAGCCCCAGTCAAGTCTTTCGACCGTCGAATAGTGAATCAGATTTGACTGCTTTAGGCGAAGAGTTACCGGCATCACCAATCTCCGGACACGGGATCAAAAACAGGAACCATCGTGCACGCACGATTGCCCATGGCATGATCAGAAAGATATTACCCTCAAAATGCTCGGATCCAAATATGGCAACCACGCCAGGGGCCGCTTCGCCTTCCGACCCAGCAAACGGTTCGACAATCAGTAGCACTCTGAGTCGAGCCGCCACAGTTGCGATCCCGGCTACGGGGACTCCGCGAGAATCGACAACGGTCGTTTCCCGCCCTCAGACGCCAAAAGTTCAAACGCAACACATCCCCTCGGTGGCGCAGCCTAAGAGAACGGACAGCAAGGGAGTCGCATCAACCCCCAGCATTCAGGAGTCCGTTTCGGCCCGATCAAATGTCCCTGTGAGCTGCAATTGCATCCAACACTTTGACTTCCAAACAATGGACGCCACCCTAGACCTCAATGTTGAGAAGCTCTTTGATGTTTTGTTTGGCGGGGATGGAAGCGAGTTAGTGAGGCAAGCACATGCGAGCCGGGAGACCGTCGGTGAGTCCCTTAGCTTAGAAGCAAATTTTCATGACTTAGCGTGGTGCTTAGGCTTGACCTGACCAACAATTGGCTTTCCTGATCGAAGATGTGATGTTCGGTCCTTGGGCTCTCGACGATAACAAACAACCGAAAACGCGCGATCTTACTTATCTCGTGTCCTTCAAACCACCAATGAGTATGTTCTCAGTTTCATCTTCAGTTTCGCAGTGGAACGCAAAAGCTGACATTTCGCTTGATAGTGGCGAAGCAGACGACGGGGGCTTCGGAGAAGCAAACAGTCATGCGGTACGACCCCCTCAACGCGTACATAGTGGAGACAGCTGTCCGTACACCAAAAGCTCCCTATGGAGAGTATTTCACGAACGTCAACCGGTGGTGTCTTACGCACGCCGGGAGAGAGCGGTCGCGGTTGTTTGTGACAACAAAGGTGGACTTTGCCAAGCGGTTGATGTGGAAATGTAGGTCGCTCGATTACAGGAAGCTGGCTCTATGCACTGTTGACTAATGATGGACATTAATCCTGCTGTAGCACAAATCGAAAACGCCACTGTGGATGGCGTGAAAGCGTTCAACGCCGAACTGCTCACCAGGCTCCGCCAGATCGGGAAAACAAACGTAATTCCAGCCTCGAGCGATTCGAAAACAGGAAAGGTCGGGAATTCAGAACCCTCGAAAACCGCGCCGCCGTCTTCCGCAGACCTCCCGCCGGTTTCCGACGCCCCTAAAGACGCGCAACCATCCAAGTCGAACGGTCCCCCACCGACTGCATCCGAACGACTCACTGCTGCACTTCAAAGAACGATCTCACGAATAGTAGAGCTATTCTCCAACATCCCGAGTATAAACCTTCACAGCGACAAACACGGATGGACGCCACTTTTTTTCTTGGTCCTTCTCATGGTTGTGATGACGGCTGGTGTTGCGATCACCCTGCACAACGTGAGAGAGATGGCATCTATTGAGGTACGATTGGAGAAAACCATGCTCGCGCTTGAGACGCTGCAAGTGGGGAAGGGGGAGCATCCGGGACAAGCGGGAGACGCGTCGGATCCCTGGAGTCAGGCTGATGAGACGGAGTATCAGCGGGAGAGGTAAGCTTGGTTCGTCATCAGCCATCCCAGTGACTTTCCGGAGTCTAATCCTTATCCCAACACAGGACAATCCTCCTCCAACGCACGAAAATGCAAATCGCAAACATGCACGCGAATGTACGCGATGCGCAGATTCGCGCAGTGGGACTTGGGGAACGACTTGCCGGGTTCGCAGACCAACTCTCCGCGGTGTCGCGCGCTGTGAACAGCATGAGCCATGTCGCTGTCTTTCCCGCCAATGTTTCGCCGAAGGAGTCAGATGCGAAGCTTGCGACCGTTGTAGTGCAACCGGGCACTCAGGCCACGTCGGCCGATAACATCACAGATTCTCCAATACAACCAAATGTGGAGCATGTGGATACGCCTCAGGCCAAGCCACCGCTACCATGACCCACTTCATTCTGCCATCCTTCACGAATCATGTTATATCGGATGATTTTGGACTCCTTATGGACGGACTCGTTGTGGACTTCATCCTATCTATGTCAGAGCCGGCCACTTAATCAGAGGATGCGTTGAAAGCAGCCCTTCATTCCCCAACTGCATCTCATTTGTATATACTGTTTCCTTTTTGGACCATCGCATAACCGCGCTCGGTGGACGCATGTTTTTACGGGGCTGCATGCAATACAATGGACTGTGTGGCGTATCTATTTCTTTTATCCAGGAGGACCTTTCGTTGGAGACCCACAATTGCGACAGGCCATAGACGAAGCGAAGGATAAGATAAGTACGTATCAATAAATGTAGGTATCTACCATATGTACACAGAGACCCAGGTACAGCAATAGCCCATCAGTACGCAGTAATGGTTCAGCCACAGAGGGGAAGACCCATCGTAAGCCCTACAATTGTGTCCCGCCTGCGTCTCGTAAACGTTGGGGCGGAAACCTCGGTGTATTCGGGAAAGACGGTGTTCAGCCCTCTCGCTCAGCTCATGAACTTCTTATGTATGATGTCGGGGTCGTCTTGGTACTCTTCCGCGCTCACCCACATCTTCTTGAACGTACCTAAAATGGACAACCGAGACCAGTCAGTCGATGCATGCGTTTGGGCTGTCGGCTCGCTGTCACACTTCATCTCAAGTGTACTTACTCAGCCCAGCCAGAATACTCCCGCCAATCCACGTACTCCACCGCCGTTCTGGCGGCGCAAGGATGCGTATCTTCAAATCCTTCAACGCCAGCCGTTTGACTTCGGATAGGAGCCGGTCACCAAACCCTTTCGTCAGTGTCCCTCCGCCGCTCAGCACGATATTACCATACAGCGATTTCCGCAGGTCCATGTCGGCTTTGTTGATGGCGTCCACGACGAGTTGGTGAACTCCGGGGTATTCATGACCAATGAGGTCGGGCTGAAACAGGATTTCAGGTGCGCGGAAGCGTTCCCGTGCGATTTTGATGGTGAGGCCGTCAGGCAGTACGAATGTCTCGTGTTTGCCGATCGAGTCCTTTTCTTCCTTGACCGGGTTGAACGCGACATAGCACGTCTTTTCCTTGATAACGCGGACGATCTCTTTCTCGGCGCTGGTGGAGAAGTGGTGGCCGCTTTTGCGAAGGAGGAGGGATAGGTGCTCTGTTACGTCGCGGCCGGCGAGATCGATGCGACGGACGCCGTGGGGCATGGTGAAGCCTTCGTATACGGGTACGGCATGGGTTACTCCGTCACCGATATCCAGGACAACGCCGGTGGTTCGTCCGGATGCGTAAAGGGCGAGTACGGCTTGGATGGACATGTAAAGGGCGGGGACGTTGAAGGTTTCGAAGAGGATTTGGGCGGCAGTGTCTCGATTTGACCGGGGGTTGATTGGGGCTTCTGTGAGGAGGACTGGGTGCTGCAGCATGCAAGAGTGTCAGCTGTCTGTACGATCAAGGGCAAGCAGTAAACCCCGCCTCCTCTCAGCCCTCCGTCCCCACCTCCTCACTTAGAATCCGCAGTTCCTCCTCGTAAACAAATCCCCATATCCGTTCCATGTCGTCCCAATCCGTCACCACCCCATGTGCCATGGGGTACTTTATTCGCAGCAGACCGCGAAGCTCTTGCGCCTTCTTTCCTATGAATGTATCGCCTTCGACTGCTCCGGCCATCACTCGAAGATGTTTCGGCCGGCCTACGCTGGGAACACGACGCGTTGAGTCGTCAAAGGACTAGACGACTTCAAAGTCCGACCTGCACTCACAACGATGGGAAGAAGGCTTTCGGCTGGTCATCGCCAGCGAACCCGGCTTTTATGATTCCAGATCCCTACATTGCCCATCGGAGTCAGTCGTGCTATTGATTGATTCGTTCATACACAGGAACTTCGCCCACATTGTCAATGACGACTGGCTGGTTCGTCAATACATCGTCAAGCTCCATCCCCACGGCAGCCCTTTCCACGAACTTGGTAGCGATGGATTCTATCCTACGCTATTTCCCAGCTCTCACGCTCTCCTGTAACTCTCCGAGACTGCTGCTACGATTGCGAAGAGCGGGCGGCTACGGTTTCAGCCTGTCGTCCTACTAGCGTTCCGCGCGTATAAGTTCAACATTTTCAAAAACATTAGAACTAGGAGTTTTTGTATTGGCGAGGGAATACAAACCTCTTTCCAGTTGGGTGCCTGTGTGTGTACTCTAGTGCCAGTCGCCGTTGAAAGAACGTTCGCACGACGGTGATGATCTGGAGCAGTTTTGGGAGACCTTCAAATTCAAGTTTCCAAAGGGAGCGCGAATGCGAGCCAAACGCGGGTGGCTGTGCAAACTTCCCTCACCTGCAATGGGAACCCGCTCTAACCAGCTCGCCGCAGCCCAACTGCTTCCCATCACACGCCGGACTAGCAGTTCCCACAGACACACAGGCAGTGACGACGACCTGTCTGAGTATACCAACTACTCGACAAGCTTCCCTTCGTCGTAGCTCTTGAGCGGGGGTTATATACCGCCGCTTCTCGACATGTTGGGCCTGACGAATACGAGTGGTACGCGTCCTTCCGTGCGGTGATCTCCCTGTAGGTGCACTGACATAACGATATGATATCTGTTTGCTTTCTTTCCAGAGAGCGCCTGGCTGCGGGTTACCGTGCTTCTCCTAATCAGTGTGCTATCCATTTCCACTCGGTTGTTCTCCGTGTTGAGATTTGGTACGTTCACCGCTGAAGGCTATTGGTTGTCTCCTTCTTCAGTTCTGTACTGAACGACCACTGGCTTTGTCGGAAAACAGAGAGTGTCATTCACGAGTTCGACCCATGGTGAGCAAATCGATGTCTGGGAAAAACTTTTCGTCCGAAGTATTCCGGAACTAAGGTGGTGTCGTCGATGATCTAGGTTCAACTACCGCACAACCATTGAATTGGTCGAAAATGGATACTACAACTTTGTCAATTGGTAAATGCGGTGCAGCACCTGAATATCATTCGGGCTTACGACTGACGATTGGTCACCAGGTTTGACGAGCTATCGTGGTACCCACTGGGGCGAGTTGTCGGCGGAACTGTTTACCCAGGAATTATGGTCACCGCTGGACTCATTCATAAAGCGTTGAATGGGCTGAACTTCCCGATCCACATTCGAGAAGTCTGTGTGTTCTTGGCGCCTCTCTTCTCCTCGTTCACGGCGATCGCTGCATATCTCTTGACGAGTGAGATGAAGAACACCTCGGCGGGACTGTTGGCCGCTGCGTTCATCGGCATTGCTCCCGGTTACATCTCGCGGTCCGTGGCGGGATCTTACGATAACGAAGGGATTGCCATCTTCTTGTTGGTGTTCACTTTCTACCTCTGGATCAAGGCGGTGAAGCTGGGATCCGCTTTCTTTGGCGCCATGACCGCCATCTTCTACTTTTGGATGGTGTCTGCTTGGGGAGGATACGTTTTCATTACCAACTTGATCCCACTCCACGTTTTCGCCCTGATACTGATGGGACGGTACACCCCGCGTCTTTACGTGTCGTACTCAACGTTTTACATCATCGGAACTATCTCGTCTATGCTCATCCCATTCGTGGGATTCCAGCCAACGAGGACAAGCGAGCACATGGCGGCCCTCGGTATGTTAATATCTAACTTGGGCGACACGGGTGCATCATGTATGACTAACGTGACATGTGCGCGTAGGTATCTTCGGCTTGCTGCAAATTGTCGCATTCATTGAGTTCATCAAGAGCCATCTGTCAGCAAACCAGTTCAAGCTCTTGTTCTACGGGCTGATTTCCGGTTTCTTCCTTCTGGGTCTCGGTGGCCTGGTTGCGCTGACAGTAGGCGGCTACATCGCTCCTTGGACGGGTCGTTTCTACTCTCTCTGGGACACGGGATACGCAAAGATCCACATTCCGATCATTGCCTCCGTGTCGGAACATCAGCCGACCCCATGGACGTCATTTTTCTTTGACTTGCAGCTTTTGATGGTGCTGTTCCCTGCAGGAATATACTTCTTGTTCCAGGTAGCTACGACCTTTGTCATCATCATTCATCCGACTCTTGCTTATGCCACACTCTCCTCGTAGGAACTGCGTGACGAACATGTGTTTGTCCTACTTTACGCGGGAACCGCCTCCTACTTCGCTGGTGTCATGGTCCGTCTGATGCTCACGCTGACGCCCATTGTCTGTGTCGCTTCAGCGATCGCCATCACTACCGGTCTCGAAGCCTTCTTGTCCAACACCGAAACCCCGGCTGCCGTTACTGACTCGGCGGCGGCAGCTACTCCTAGTGAGAAGAAGACAAAGGAGGGAAAGGCCGTCAAGACCTCTGAAAGGAAGAAGAAGGATGTGGGCGGCCCGGTCCAGGGAGTGTGGACATGGGATGCCAAGCTTGCCCTGGTTCTTCCCATCACGTTCATTCTCATCCAGTTCGCCCTTCACTGCTCATGGGTAACTTCCAACGCATACTCGTCCCCCTCCATCGTTCTGGCCTCCCGAAGGCCCGACGGATCGCAACATATCATCGATGACTTCCGTGAAGCCTACTACTGGCTTCGTCAGAACACCGACGAAAAGGCCAAGATCATGTCCTGGTGGGATTACGGATACCAGATCACCGGAATGTCGAATCGAACAGTCCTCGTCGACAACAACACGTGGAACAACACCCACATCGCCACCGTCGGGAAGGCCATGTCGTGTTCCGAAGACGTCTCGTACGACGTGATGCGCAAGCTAGACGTTGACTACGTCCTCGTCATTTTCGGAGGCGCCATCGGATACTCCGGGGACGATATCAACAAGTTCCTGTGGATGATCCGTATCGGGGAGGGTGTCTACCCCAAGGACATTAGCGAGAGGAACTTCTTCACCCCGCGCGGTGAATACAGAGTTGATGATCAGGCTACCCCTACCATGAAGAACAGTCTGATGTACAAGATGTCGTACTATCGGTTCAATGAACTGTTTGGTGGAGGACCGGCGTATGATAGTGTGCGTCAGACGCAGATTCCCAATAAGCCAATTAAGCTGACGACGGTTGATGAAGGTGAGTATTACTTTCGCTCGGATTGTTACGTCTCATCATATTTCTAACCAGTCGCTCTTTTCGCAGTTTACACTACTGAGAACTGGATCGTTCGCATCTATCAAGTCAAGAAGCCCGACAACATTGGAAGGACATTATCTGCCGCTTCAACGTACGTTACACTCCGCTAACGCTACTTGTCCAACGCGAGTTGACTGACCTTGTCTTTGTGCTCTACAGTTTCGGGAAGAAGCGCAGACGTAGAGTCCGTGGAAAGCCACGCAGCGCCGCAAAGGCGGGAGGGCGACGTCGTCGTGATGACGATTGAACCCTGTATCGCTACGAACTTTAGCGTCGCGGGCTTTGGAAGGCCGCACTCGTTGACCTCGCAGCGCAGTCCCGGCTTCTACGCACGTACATGCATGTATTTAGTGGTTGCCGAATTTGTCAATATACCTATCCTATATGTATGCATGAAGAATCAAGCATTTCCAGTATTGTGTGATTCCAAAAAGGATGTATGCATGACCATACATAGTGACCCCGCTTCTGTATTTCCTCAACAATCTATCTATTTCAACGTTCTGCCGCTGCATTCCGTCCGCAACACTACTACGATATATAGTCTCCTGTTGCTACCACTACGACGGCGCATTCTTGACGATATCCAACGCTTCCTTTACCTCTGGGGCCAGTTCCGGCTCCACAGCCGCCTTCTCACCACCGGCAGCACCTGAATCCGCCCAAGTCTCTCCAGCCCCAAACATCTTCGGTAGCGACAGCCCGACGGTGTTGGCTGTCCGTGTGAGTTTCTCTTCCTCGGTCAGGCCGGATATTGGCCAGTAGCGTTCCACCATTTCCTATTTGAAAGTATGCGGTTAATTCCAGTTGAGTGTGCCAGGCTGCGTGATCCCAGCGAGCTGTCCCCTCATGTTCTTCCCTCCTGAGAAACAGAGGGATAGCTTTGCCGCTCTCCCCAATGGCTGTCTCTCAATCCCCTTCCCAACGTATGGCTCGCTGCTCCGATCAAACATAGCCCACTCTCCCTCCACGTACCCTATGCGACCTATTACTCCTCATAAAAGCATACACGTTCTTCGCATGCCCCACATTCGTTGCCACAACGCTCGGATCCCTTTCCGCGGCACCGGCCCGGAACTTTGTGACCACTTCGTTATGCCAGAGTTTGTTGTTGTTGCGCCGGGTGTACTGAGAATGAGGAAGGGTGTTAACGGACCAGCTAACGAAGGGTGCAGAGGACTTTGGCCAGAGAGGGGAAAGAAGGTGGTACCTGCTTGGAGACTTCCCGCAGCATGCCCCGGAAGACGCTCAGGACTTCGGACTTGGTTGCTGTGGTGGCTGACATTGGTAGTGATATAGGAACAGCTGAAGACTACAGATTTTGAGGGAAGATCGCGGAGGAGCAACGTCTGCAACGTGCCAGCGAAAAGGCCCAACGCAATTGAAAACGCGAGGCCTGACGGACTCATTAGCTTGTAATTATACTAGTTGCTGAACAGAGTCTTTCATCAAGTCCCAGTTAGTATATTGGCTAGTATCTCCGCCTGTCACGCGGAAGAGCCGGGTTCGATTCCCGGACTGGGAGCATTTCTTTTTCCATTTTTTTTCGGCACCATCATACATAAATGTATTTTGTGGATGACCTTCGCTCCCCGTCCACCCGCTAACGCAAGTGATAAGGCTACGTGCGTATATGCATTCCTCATCCCGCTGACACGTAATACAGTACATAGTATTTGCAGGAAGCGACCGTCAAGATATATTCAAGTGGGTAAAATCTCTAACATATCATCAAATTAAACATAGTTGTAAACGAAACGAAGAAGCACATGACGGGCGGGCTAACATAGATAAAGACCGTAAGTCGCATCTATACGAAGGTCAAATATAACCTCATGTGTCTGTCTGTGCTGGTCTGGTTCTACGCAACCTGTCCCGCCTCCTTCGCAAGGCTGTAAAACATAGATTTCTTGTCGCGCAGGAGGTTGGCGGGTGAGTCAAATTCTGCGATGCGGCCGCGGTCGAGGAGGAGGATTCTATCAACGGGAGATGGGGGTTAGTTGTTATTGTGATGTTTATTGGGGTGGATGATAGGGGAGGAAGACACCAACCGATCGCTGTCCATGACGGTGTTGATCCGATGCGCGATGGTCAGGATCGTGCAGTCTTTGAATTCTTCGCGTATGGTCTTTTGAATGATTGTGTCTTTTCACGGAATGATGGATAGGTTTAGCTCATGCGCACTGTTCAAGTCTCAGCAATGCTCGTAGCGACGTGAAACTCACCAGTCTCGACATCAACGGCAGCAGTGGCCTCATCCAGAACCAAGATATTCGTTTTCCGCAACAATGCTCTCGCCAAGCAGATCAACTGTAATCCAAAAGCACCGATTTAGCAAACTAACCCATCAACACCATCTCCAATATGCCTTCAACCACTCACCTGTCTCTGCCCCACCGAGAAATTCTCCCCACCCTGCAACACCACACTCGCCAACCCCTTCTCCATCCTCGTCACATGCGCCTTCAAGCTCGAATCCTCTAACGCGCGCCAAATCGCCTGATCATCATACACCCCAAACGGGTCCAGGTTGTCCCGTATCGTGCCCGAAAACAGGACAGGGTCCTGCGGGATGATGCTGAGGCGGGAGCGTAGGTCGAAAAGGCCGAGGTTGGCGATGTCGACGTCGTCGACGACTATTTTTCCCGAGACGCGCTCGATGAGGCGGAAGAGGCTGAGGGTTAGCGAAGATTTGCCGGCGCCTGTTCGGCCGACGATCCCAATCTTTTCGCGGCCTTTTACGGAGAAGGAGATGTCCTTGAGGACAAGCTCGAGACCCGTGCGGTAGCGGGTGCTGTAGTTGATGAAATCGATGCGGCCCACTTGCGGCCACTCCCTGGGCGGGGTCTCGGACGGAATCTCGTACGGCGCTTCCCGGGGGAGGTCAATGTATTCCTTGATCCGCTCCACGGCGACAATGTTGGTCTCAATCTCGCAAGACTGGCGGACCATCCAGTTAAGGGATTGCGTGACGTTCAGCGAGTACGTGATCATGAGCCCGACGATACTAGCTGGGATATGGCCTTTGATGGCGATAGTAGCGACGCTGAAAAACGCGGATCCGAACACAATCAGGGACCCAATCAGCTCCAGACGCACGGCCAGCCACCGGTTGGACGAGATACTTGGGTAATACGCGCGCATGTTGGTGTCGATCTTGTTCTCGTTGACGGTGATGAAGCGGCCTTCTTGCTGATACGCGCGGATGGTCGAGACGCCGCCCAGTGTTTCCGAGAAGTGAGCGTAAATTGGGGAACGGGAGGTCGAGTCGAGACGTTTGAGCTCTCGGGAGGTGGAGAGGTAGAAGCGCTGGAAGTATGCGTAGAGGAATCCGAGGGGGACGACAAAGATGATGAAGAGGGGGCTGCCGAGGACGTTGACGGCCACGACGGAGAGTACGGCGAAGAGAGTCCTGAAGTAGCCCTGGAATGTGCGAGGCAACACTTCGTCGACGGTGTATTGGTCTTTGGAAAACCGGTTGATGACTCGTCCGAGTGGCGTCGTGTCGAAGAACGATTGCGGGAAGCTAAAACAACAAACACGCATGAGTTCACAAAGCAAACATCATACGCCCCCTGATCCAACTGAACGACACTGCGATTCTCACCGAATAACACTCTCCAACATATCCGTATGCAAAATCCTCGCCGACCGAATCCCACAAGCCACCCACGCAAAAATCACCTGTCCAATAATCGTAACCGAGTAACTCACACCCAACGTTCCATAAATCGCCAACCGCTTCAATATCGCTCTCCTATCCCCCTCATTCGCCCCATGCGTCTGGCGATCATTATCGTTCGCCCAGTCGGCCAGGTAGACATTCTGCGCCACGCTGAGACATTGAGAGGCGATGGCGATGATGAGGTAGATGACTACTATGGGTTTGCCGCAGGCTTTGGCGTAGGTGGTGTAGACGTCCCAGGAGACGGAGCCGGCTGCGGTGGCTTCTTTGAGGATCAGGGCGTTGTTAGCTACGACGGCGTCTTTGTTGACTGCTTCGCTTACTGAGGCTTTGATGCTGCCTTTTGAGGAGCGCCGGCTGAGCGATGCGTGTGAGGGACGGCGACTTTGGCCTGCGGATTGTTGGGCTAACCCTTCTGCTTCGACGTCGTCGTTCTCCTCGTCAGACCCGTTATGCTTGGCTTGCCCAAAATCCCGGATAAGGTTGAACAGGGACCCTTCATGGTCCATCAGCGATTGGTAACTGCCACTCTCGGCAACCGTGCCGTCCTGCACAAGCATCACAGTATCCGTCTCGGGCAAAAAGTGGATGCCATGCGTCACCAACACGCGTGCTTTGTTTTTCAGCACACCCTTGGGTCCAAGCACATTCTCAAAGATGTGTCGTCCGACATGCGCGTCCACAGCCGACAGTGGGTCATCAAACAAATACACATCAGCACGAGAGTAAACCGCCCGGGCAACAGAAACCCGCTGCTTCTGCCCCCCTGACAAATTGATCCCACGCTGTGATGAACGGGTGGGTTAGCCTTCTAGTGAACATGAAACATCCACTTACTGAACTTTCAAGACCGAGTCTTACCTCCCCAATCTCCACACTATCCCCGCCCGGCAACATCTCCAAATCGCTCGTCAACCCACAAGCCGCAACCACCTTCTTATAATACTCCTCATCGTACGGCAATCCAAAAAGAATATTCTCCTTCAACGTCGCATTCATAATCCACGCGTTCTGCGGTACATACGCCACGGAGCCGCGGAGATGCACTTCACCCGCCGATTTGTACATCTCCCCCAGGAGGGCGGAGATGATGGATGATTTGCCGGCGCCGACGCTGCCGACGATGGCGAACAGCTCGCCGTCGCGGACTTGCATGTTGATGTGGTCGAGGGTGTTGGCGCCGTCTTGGGTCCAGCGGAAGGTTCCGTTGCGGATGTCGATGCGCGGGGCGTCGGGGGTGAGGGGTTGGAAGTGTGCGGGTTCGCGGATGACGGCGTTTTTGTCGAGTTCTTCGTTGCGGAGGAAGTTGTACAGGCGGTTGAAGGAGACGGAGGCTTCGATCATGGCTGTGATGACGCTGGGGAAGACGCTCAGGGGGAACTGGAGCAGGTTGAAGAGAGAGATGCAGACAAAGACTTTTGAGGAGGTCAATGGTTCTTCTGATACTAGGGTGTAGACGGAGAACGAGGCAAAGGAGACCAGAAAGGGTGTGCATGCCCATGTGAAACTGTGTGAAAGCAAGGCGAGTCAGTAGATGTTGGTTCGCAATGCCGTGAAAGCTTCGTCCTTCGAAAAAAACCTACCTCTGCACAGCCGACAAGTATCCCAGCTTCCTCAACGTATGCAACTCCGCCTCCCTCGCCGCAAACACCTTCTTCAAAAACGGCCTCTCCCATGCATACAGCTTGATAACCTTAATCCCATTCAACAGCTCATCCATCAGCTTCGTCCTCGTATCCTTATTCTTCATCTGCACTTTATTCAAATCGCGGGAGGTGGTAGCCAACAACGCGTTGACGGGGATCATGAGAATCATAATCCCGACGCCGGCAAAGATGGACGGGCCGAGGGTTTGGTGCAGGAAATAGATGGCGAGAGCGATCTGGAAAGGGCCAGACCAACTAATGTGGAGGTAAGAGCAGAGGTCGGAGATACGGCCGGCGTCTACGCTCTGCAGGTTGACGATTTCGCCGACGGTTGAGGCTTGTCGGCTGATGTTGGAGAGGGAGAGGGATTTGCGGTAGACTGCGGCGACAATGGCTGAACGGATCTGCATGCTGCTGGTTAGACAGATATGGAAATACTGGTGCAAGACCATCGTTTGGGTAATCGCTGTCAGTAGCATCATCACAGCGATGATGAAGCCTTGTTCGATGCTCTGGTCTTTGGTTTTCCTGTCGGACCATGATGCGGCGAATTCCATCATTTTCTTGAGGAAGATAGGCTGCACGAATGCGAGGGCGTCCTGCCCAGCTTTGAAGAAAGCGGCGGAACCAAAGTACGCGCCATATGTCGCAATGATTGCGCGCAACAGCGATGGCTTTTTCCTCAAGAGCTCGTTCTGCCAGTTGGCCTGGAACTTTCCACCGGTGACGACGGCGGTATCGACGGTCCTCAGGTGCCACAGATCGTCCATTGTAAGATCCTTTTGGGCCCCGAGCTTCATGAGGGGCCACATCCACTGGAATGTCAACCGCGACAGGATGTTGGCAGTTTCTTCCGGGCTCACAGCCTGAGAGAAGGGCAAGTTTTTGATTAGACGACTGATGCTATGCCTCCCGATATTCAACGGCGACAGCGACGTACCACATCTTCGTCCAAACTGCTGTAGTAGGTGCCTGGCTTTGCTACATTCTCCAGAATGAATTGGACTAAGGTGATTGCGACGAAGACGCATTGCAAAACAAAGACGACAAGATCATCCTGGTACAATCTCGACAGAATAAATGATCGAAGCTGTACAACTCCCGCGAAACCACTAAAACACGGGAAAGAGGCGTCAATACGAGAGTTGTGTCCTCGCGTATCAAGGGCCGACACACACCTGAAAAGCCAGTAAAAAAATAGTACAGCGGACGCCGAGCGAGAACGGAGATGTTCATAGTGGTGAAGAACAGCCGCAAAGATCAACGATGCGGTGCCGATCGCGAACGATGTCGCCTGGCATGTGTAGTATTCTCCCTCACAAAAGGTCTCTTCCACTCGTCGAAGAACGAACTGCGCAATGTGAACCCCCAACAACACGCCAACCAGGATCTGCATCGTGGGAAGAGAACGTTTGTCAACCACCATCCATCATCACCCATCAACCATCGAATGTCAACCATCGATTGTCAACCATCAACCCATCAACAACCAGCAAGGAGCAGATGGTTGGTTGAACGATACCCTACTCGCTCCGCTCGCGACGAGGATGTTGGGCGGTGATGGGCAGGAGCGTAGCTCGCTTCGCTCGTTAAAAGATCTGACGGTCGCTGAGGCTCGCTAAGTGCCTTAGTTAGGGGAAGCACTGCGCCTTTGGCGCAATGGGAACTCGCTCCGCTCGCCGCTCGTTACCGTTCAACACCCCACGCTCGCTTCGCTCGGGGACCTCAAGCATTCTCCTCGTTACCGCTCGGAACCCTCAAGCATTCCTCGCTGTCGCTCGTTCTCTCTCTCGGACATACCAACTTCGTCCAATAGAGTGCGGTCTTTGGAACATCAGTCGAAGGTCCCCGCAGTAGTTGTTTAAGTCTCAGAGCACCAGACACAAAGAGAACACCCCAGACAATCTGTCGAAGGCTTTAAAAAAAACGGGGAAAGAAGGTGTGTAGGTATAAGGTTAGGAGGTTCCAAGTGTCAGATCACGGCAGGAATCTGGGAATGCCCAACAGTCGCAACGGTGAGACGCCCAACGGCGTGCAAACGCTTCGGCTCCTCCACCACCCCTATCCTACGGGAGAGGGAGAGATGCACATACAGTTCTTCCTGGCAAGAGGAGAGCCGAATAAGACGGTCTGGGTCTGGCTGCTCGCAGTACGTCGGCGGAGCCATGGTTGCGGACGGCCGAAGTTGTTAAGGATGCGATTGCGAACGCTGAACCTTTTATCGCAGTTCCCGACCGGCGGAGAGTTCAATTTCCTTGATGCAGTTGATAAGACAATGACCGCGAGGGTACTCCCTCCTATAAGTTATATAACCAGCCGCACGCCGCATTTCTAATCAAACAGCCATCTTCGGAACATTCCGCCGACTTCCTGAGACGCGTTCGGCCGAGTTAGGGTTAGAGTCGTAGTGAGATACATACCTAGGGCGGAAACCTATGTCTCATGCTCACTACGTATATGCATATGTAGTGGGACGCCGTGAAGCCATGATGCAGAGCATAGTCGAACAACAGAATGTGTGCAAGCATCGTCACTTGTGCTTGCAGAGGGGCCCGTCCGAAGACTCCGAACGCATCGCAGTGACGTTTCCTTTTGTCGAATTGTATTCTTCGCTGTCCGTTTCTGTCTCGTAGTACTGAATCATATACGGTCGCATTCGTAAACAACAGCGAGCGATTGCATGCCCGCTGCTACAGTGCTGAGCGCTGCGAAAAGACAGAGATCCTTGCGAACACAGAACGACAACAGGAGTGCCATATCCAGTTCCCTTGGGAACGGACAGTATAAGGTGCATGCAAAGGGACGCCGGGATGATGTCGCAAACTTCCTCCCCACAGCGCAAATCAGCATGGAACACCTCCACCCGTCTATCCTCAAGACCCAACCACCCCAACAACCACCACGACAACAACCCTAGGCCTTCGGAACCACAGTAACCTCCCCCAGCCGCACACCCACCGGCCGTCCCTCCACCACAACCCCATCCTCCCGCGAAGGCCGCTCAAGCACCCCTCACCACCACCACACCCCCACTCCCACGACCACCACCTCCTCCTTACATGGCCACTCCACCCGCGCAATATACGAACACCTCCTCTCAACCCGCAACACAACAGACGCAGACCTCCGTGACAACCTCCGTGAACTCCGCCGCCTAAGCCTCTCTGACGGTCTGCCGAGTGATGCGCCAAACTCCGTGCTTGATTGTTCACTTTGTGGGAGGGTTTGGAAGGTATTGCTTGGGATCTATCGACTATCTGCGACGGAGCATACAACTTTGGTGGAAAGAGGGCCCGCGTCAAGCGTGGTTTATGAACGCAACGAAGGCCCTTGAATTGACGCCGCTGAAGACGCGCTGTCGAATTCTAAACGCAGGCGGAATTTGATATCCGACGTATACCGCCCCTCACCCACACCGGGCATAAACGCAGCCGGAAGAGCACGGACTGTCGGGCGTAGCGAACAAGTCTAGACAACGACTCAACCGGATTAAACTCATCTTGGTGGTCATGGGCCTTGGGCTAGCCCTCGCCGACCTCATCAGTCCCGACTGGACAACCACGCATTGTCACGCAAGGATCGTTAAGTGGGTTCTGTTCGGTATTGCCGGTTTCCTGCGGTTATGGGTCCACATAAAGAGCTGGATTTCGGACCCCAGTGACCTCAGATCATGGGTGGATGTCTGCGCGACCGCGTGAGGGGTACCAGATTGAATCAGCGAACCAGGGATCCTCTCTCGTTGGAGGAGATAAATGCTGGGCTGGCTCGACGCAACGAGCAAACGATCGGCTTACAGGACGTCAAAAAGCGCCCATCGGCATCCACCGCTCCAGTCCCATCCGGCTCAACCTTCGGCCCCAGACTGCAGTGGATCCCGCCACGATCGTCTTCGACTTCGGCCGCCGCCGCCCCAGCCGCGGGCCCCAGCTCGACGCCAGCCTTCATCCCGACCCCAGCCTCAACTAGCAATGCTTCGCTGTACAGGCCCTGATCCGCCTTCCGTAGCCTATCGCTCATGGCGGTACTGCCAGACCACACCCGTGCACGGGGCCCGGCGGATGCGTTTGTGTTCACCGGAGGAGCATTGGGACGTGGAACATCGAACAGCTGTCACACCCGCTTCGACTTGAAGGGATATATGTAGTTTTAGAGGACAGAGGCATCGCAGATCTTAGCGGAGTAGGCGAGCAGGCGAGCAGGCGTTTGTACAGATAGTGGCATAATAAAATTCGTTGCTACCCTGCCGTTGTCATCTCTATGGCCATCCATAGACTTATATGCCCTTTGGTAAGTAGGCTTACATGGGTTCTATCACTGCTGGTCGCCACCGCTTTGCGTATTGAGCAGGTTCGTCGCTGTCCGTACAAACCTATTCACTGGGAAACCTGCGCCGCAACGCTCAGCGTCGTCCATGCGGACTCACCTCCTTTAGTATCAGATTCACTTACCTATGACGTTGTAGTAGCACCCGTCGATCCGCGGGATGAATGCTGCCGCAAGGCCTTGGTAGCCGTATCCTCCCTAAGGATCAGAGAGAAAGGAGCTTGAGCAATGGCGAATCCCATCGCCATACTGGCGATTCTGATCCGTCAGAAGACATCGTACCGCTTTGTCTCTACGAAAGGAGAGTGATTATCATTAGCGAATGCACCATCGACACCTGCACAAGACAATGATCCAGCATCAATCCCTGAAGGGAGGAAACATACAATGGCTCTCCAGTAGCGACATACGCATCAATCAGCTCGTCATCCATCTCATCAAACAGAACCTTACTCCTCTCCACCGCTGTCTCAACCTTCAAGTTTCCCTCCTCATCCACAGCATACGCAAGAACAATCGCCGTCGCAACAACATGCTCCCGTCCCGCCAACCCTCTCAACATCTCCTTTGCATGGGCATTCGATATCGGCTTTTCGATTATCCTTTCATTGTGGATGACGACCGTATCGGCTGCAATGACTAGGATTGGGCGGTGATCCTCGGTCAGGTTATTTGATCGCCTTACGCGCCTGTAGACTTCCGTTGCCTTGCCGAGAGCGGTTTGGAGGACATATTCGTCGGGTGTGTACAAAGATTTGTCGAGATCTTCGGGAAATGTTGATACTGCGACCCTGAATTCGAGGCCCTACTTTGACAGAGCGGAAGGTTGGCCATGTGGTTCCGTGACGCTCGACACCAGAACCATCACGACGCATTCTCCGTCTACTTCGACTTCCAGCGCCAATTGATAGTACGAACACGGATCCTGAAGCACGCCGTAGGCACCGAAACCCAGCGCGCCATTCCGCTCACTCACAAGCTTCGTCAGTATTTCCTTTCTCCGGGGTGAACCGGAAGCCACAATAATCTGGTATTTTTCGTTCAGTCGCGCCAGTGCAGGCAACGTCGGTGACATGCTTCCGTTGCCAAGATTTTCCGTGCGGTCAAAGGCTTTGATGAGACGGGTAGCAGTGATGCGCAGCGAAAGGACTAGTTTCCGTTGATATGTATGTCTTTTCGGTCCGAGATGATGGCCTGTGCGTTTTTTAGGGAAAAGTGGGAAGCGGTTCAGGAAGCGGTTGTCGCTCTTCTCATGACCTCATTAGCGCTTGGACATTTTGCTCAACCACTCCTCGCTATCCCTCTGCTTCAGGAGCTTACACCCAACCCACAGGAACGATACACAGTTCCAATATGCTAGAGGTACGTAGCTAGCGAGCTCCTTCACTCGTCCTTTTTGTTTGTTTGCTTACAGTAGCGCCTCGCTTCGTCTCTTTCCATTTTCAGGACGGCCGCCGGGAAGGTACATAAACAACAGCATGTGCATGCTCTATCGCATTCATGCGTGGCTAGCCGGTTTGAGGTTTTCCTGACTTATCGTTTTTTCATATAGACTCTGCCATGCCAGGACAGAAGTATGACCAATACCTCAAGCGATATGAGTTGCTGGTTGAATTGTAAGTGACTTTGTGCGACGGACTGCAAGGTCCCTAGCCGTTATCCACACTGACCTTCTTCCTCTCTCTCCCACAGCAAGCACATGAAGAACCCAAATAACTGTCCGCCAGGGATATACCTACGGCCGGAACCGGAAAACCTGAATGGTGGGTGTTCCTCTGTCGAAGGTCGGTTCGAAGCGCTGGCGACAGAGCAACCTAACCTCCCATATCATCGGCAGAATGGCACGGCGTCCTATTCATACATCGCGGCTACTACAAGGAAGGAGTGTTCAAGTTTGTCATCGAGATACCCAAAGCGTACCCGAATGCTGGTCCTTCGGTGCTCTTTTTGACCGATATGTTTCATCCGCTAATTGGGCGGGATGGCCGGTTTAGCCTATGTGAGAGGAGTGTACTAGGATGGGAGTGGAAGAGGATGCGAAAGAAAGCTAACCTTCTTGCCATCTGCAGCACAACAATTTCCGGTCTGGCGGCCACGGAAGGACTACATTGCACATATTCTGCACTACCTCAAGAACTCGTTCAGGGAATCCGTCCTGTCCAGCTTACAGGAGGAAGCCTGCTCCAACAAGGAAGCCTACAAGATCTTTCACAACGAACGCGGGCTCTATGCCAAACTAGCAGCACAATGCGCACAGCTTTCAGTATCGGAAGGGGTGTTGTTCGATCATAGCGATACATCGGCGGTCAAGTTCTCGCCGTTGACTGAGGATCATTTTGAGGAAATCAAGTTGCAGATGATGAATTCCGGGGTGAGTTCGATGTAAAGAGGATTTTGAGTTGGGAAATCTGGGAGCTGACCGCTTTTGCACAATCTTTGCAGATGTCTATGCAGTAGACCGTTTCGGAGCCCGATGAGAGACGTTTGTTGTGGAATAGTCAGCAATTTTTGGAATGATAGAGTAGGAAGTTCAGTTGTTTTGCCCATAGGGGCAGCGGCGTAGAAGAACTTAGCGGCGTAGTCTTTGAAGAGCGCCAGATCTTCGCAGAGGGGAAGCAGCGCATCTGGAGAGGAGCAGCGAGCTGAAAAGCAGCGGATCCACAATTTGCACACCTTTAGCGGAATAACGGCGCGTAAAGCATCAGCCGAGACAGGCTGAGGAGCGGACTTACAGATGTAGCGGTTGTATGTACTGTATATGCATCAAACAACCGAAACATCCGATTGTTTCCTCCATATGTGTTGTGAAAAATGGGCAACAGAGCGTGTTCGTCAGTTGCTATGGCCACACCCCCCCCTCACTGCGCTTCTTCGATTTTCTGTCGCCTTTTCGCCCACTTGAGGTTTGACATTTGCACACTCCAGCGTTGCTGCGTCCTGCGCTAGATATAGAGCCTTCATACTTGTACGTTAACTCAACAACACCTTTTGCTCAAGGTAGAGCGGAGCTGTGGCACATAGTCTACGAACTTCTCTTCGACCACCCCTTGTGGCAACGCAAAACAGTCATGTTCGGCCCCGGCGACGACGAGGAGGTCGGCTTCACTATTAATGAAAGCTTTGCTGCTCGGTATCAGAAGAAGAAGCGTCATGAGGAAATCACTGACTGTAAGTCGTGGAGTGAAGGACCGCTACAAACAAAGGCCGACCCAGAGCCTCAAATTCTCTAAGTGTGATAACCCAACTAAACTCGTGCTCCCCCTCCAGTACGCCGCAAATACGGCGACGAAGCCGACGACGACTACCCCGACTCCGAATCCGCCGAAGAAGAAGACGAAAACGGCGAACTCGTGACCCCCGAAGTCGACGCCCAAATCATGAAGACAATCGCCACCATCCGCGCGGGCAAACCCGAAGTCTACGACCCGACCAAGAAATTCTTCTCGGAGGACGAAATCAACGCCGCCCGGCAGCAGTGGAAGGAGAAGCAGATTGGGTTGAAGAAGGAGGGGAAGCCGTTCAAACTGAAGGATTTCCATCGGAGGGAGTTGTTGTTGGAGGGGGCGGCCAGGGGGAATGGTGGTGGTGAGGAGGAGGAGGATGAGGATGAGGGTTTCAGGGTGAAGTCGGAGGGCGGATTGACGTTCTCGGAAGAGCAGGCACGGTTGAAGGATGAGTTTAAATCAGCTCTGAAGGATAATGAGGATGATGAGGATGATGAGTTTATGTCGCTGAGGGTGAAGACGGAGGAGGATAAGAAGAGGGAGGAGGAGGAGTACCGCAAGTTTTTGTTGGAGAATTTGTCTTCTGTAGGTTGATGGCGCTGGGGTTTCTTTGGCGTACTCTGGAACGTCGCTGACGAAGACATTTTTGTTTCATCCAGGAAGGTGGCCAGGGGCTCCAAGATTTCAGAGACTACAACTCGATCAAACCACAGGATCCGGACGAAGCGTTTTTGATGGAGTAAGCCAAACGGTTACCCGACCTTTCCGCATGTGGAACTTGCTTATTGACCAAACTCGATGTCTCCAGATACGTGCTAAATCGCGGATGGGTGGACAAAGACGCCATCAGTGTTCCGACATATGAGGACGTTGTGGATCTCAGTGGTGACGAAGAGGCGGTAGAAACAGCAGAAGACTTTGAGCGGACGCATAACTTCCGTTTCGAAGAAGAGTGAGTATTATGAACATTGCTTGGGCGTTTCTCTAGCCACGCGTCTGACCTAGTTTCATCACTATAGGGGCTCCACCAACATCGTAACCCACGCCCGCGACATCGAAGGCACCCTCCGCCGCAAAGACGACAAACGCAAGAAACAACGCGATGCCAAAAAAGAACGTCAAGAAGAAGACAAAGCGCGCAAAGCCGAAGAGCTCAAACGGCTCAAGAACCTCAAAAAGGAAGAAATCCGCAAACGTCTCGAAGCCATCCGCGATGTCGCGGGTGTCGGGGGTGGGAACGGGGGGAGTACCGGCGTGTTTGGGCTGGATGAGGTGGATCTGGAGAAGGAGTTTGACCCGGAGGAGTTTGATCGAAAAATGGCGCAGGCGTTCGATGACCGTTATTATGACCAGAATGAGGGGGATGCGGAGAAACCGGTGTTTACAGACGATATAGATATCTCGGATATCTTGCCTGACAATGGGCTGCCGAAGTTCAAGGAGGAGATGATGGATGGGGGGTGGGATGAGTCGGCGCAGAATGGGGAGGAGTGGGACGGGGCAGAGGAGGGGTATGAGGGGTATGAGGAGGAGTGGGATGGCCAGGAAGCGAACCAGGGCGATGACGAGAATTTCATCATGGACGCGGATTACCTCCCCGGCGGCGAAGTCTACGGCTCAGCGCTGAAACGTAAATCCAGAAAGGACAAAAAGAAAGGCAAACGCGGCGACGACGAATCCGAAGAACACCCAGCAGCAGCCGACGGCGAAGCCACCAAAAAATCTCTCTCACAATACATGGACGAAGTCTACCAACTCGACTACGAAGACATGATCGGCGACTTGCCCACACGTTTTAAGTACCGCCAAGTCGACCAGCAAGACTACGGGCTCACACCGCTCGAGATCCTGCTCGCCGACGATGCGGACCTGAATGAATTGGTTGGGTTAAAGAAATTGGCGCCGTTTAGGAGGAAGGAGTTGGTGGAGCAGGATTTGGCTAAGTTTTCGAAGAGTAGGAAGAAGAGGTTGAGGGAGTTCAGGAAGAAGTTAGAGGCGAAGGTTGCGCCTGTTTTGCCGGTTAAGAAGACGGAGAAGGGGAAGAAGGGGATGGATAAAGGGGGGAAGAAGAGGAAACAGACGGAGGGAGAGAAAGGTGATGAGAAGGCCGCTGCTTCGAATGAGGTGAAGGAGGCAGCGGCGCTGGTTGCGCAGCAGCCAGAAGAAAAAACTCCGTCGTCCAAGAAGCGGAAGGAGGACAACCCCACGGCGACCGACATCCCCACTGCCACCACATCCGAATCAAAACCAGACGCACCACCAGCCGCCTCCACCTCCTCAGATGCAAATCCGAAAAAGGACAAAAAGAAGCACAAGAAACCCCGCATCACGGAGGACCGGCTGGCGTCGTATCAAATGCCGAATAAAAAGAAGAAGTAGGGTGGACGGGCGGAGTTGGTCGTTGGGAGAGGAGTGTCTCTGTAACTTCATTCACTTTGCATATAGTCGTAGTCTTATCGTTAGCATTCATTCACGTAAATTATATCATAGGTCTGGTTTGCATCGTGTTGCTGCGTGGCTTGTTTTCCGGTCGTCCATGGGGTCTGTGGTCTGCTGCACATTTTAGTCTAATTTTCAAAGATTGCACTTCACGTCGCTCGAGACCGGAGTCTGTTTCACAAGTCACCATGCGTATGAGTAAGGACCCATATCGACCAGCATAAGAATGCACACGAGAACAGAAAGTAATTTTATTAAAGTAACTCGGAAGGAGGGACGCCCGGTATGATTTAGCATAGTGTTCGCCAAATCGTACAAGGGTGCGTGTATGTGTATACGCCGGATACATTTGCTGAATGAGGCCGTTTTGCTGAATTCTAATTACGATGTGGACTATATAAACTCCAGGGAGAAGGGATGATGGTGCTGCTCAATCTGGTACGTGTTCGTACTGAGACGCACTGCTACTGATGCAGTTTGCGGGTTCGTTTACGCGGATCCCTCGAAACGCTTGGCCAGTTGGAAGGCGAAGTAGGCAAGGGTGAACCCTGAGAAAAAAGAAGAAAGAGAGAACAAGTCAGGACTATGGCTTCCAGACACGAAGGAACAGGATGGAGTTTCGACGACTTGCAAAACGCAGCAATGGATGCGAAAATCAAAGCGCCGGCTAACCACCAGAACAAGAAGAATCCTCCAAAGGCAAGGAATCCTCCCTGGACCATGGCGACGCCCGTTCCCGCAACGCCCAACACGACAGCTCCGGTCGCTGCTCCGTATCCGATGAAGACGGCCAGGGGAACCGCGGCGGCTCCTCCCAAAGTGTAGACGAAAGCCTGTGAAAGCAAGGAAGATGAAGTCAATAAGGTGCTGTAGATGGTAAGAAGAGTAAGGTAAGCGTTTTGGTGAATATACCTTAACCGGTGGGTAACGGTCGAGGATAGCCTTGGATGTGTAGATGGCGGAGACGGCGAGAGACTGCGCACTTTGCAGGTAAGGCATGACGGAGCCGGTAACCGACTGCACGAGGCTGTTCTGTTGGAGTTTCGCTTGGACGGCCATGTTTGCTACGTAGTTGTGTTTTGTTTCCGTTTGGTTGCTGGGGGATGAGATGACTGTAAACTTGTAACTAGAATTGGGAAATTTGGACAGCGTGAGAAAACCTTCCGGCTCTTCCGGCGCTTGAGAGGCTTCGTCACCATCTTCAGAGTCTTCAGAGATCACGGCACATTGCAACCCGCTGTTCTAACGCATTGTGATTAAGCAAACGATACTAATACACACACAGTCGGTCCGAGCTCCACTTCACTGGCAGTCCCTCTGCGTCCGTCCCTCACAACCGTCGTTGGCCATTGAGAAAATCGTCCAACTCATCCTTCGCCGCGTCGTAGATCACTTCACTCACAACAATGTCGTTCGTCCTCTCAGCCGTCCTCGTCGGACATGACTCAGACGTAAGACGCCATGTACCCCGGTACCTCCAGCAGGAAGCTAAACAACCTCCATTGTTCAGGTGAAAGCAGTCATCGCACCGACCGCCAACAAGGTCGTCACGGCATCCCGCGACACGTCCGTCATCTCCTGGTCCCAAAGCGACTCGCACCCTTTCCAGCCCGAGTCGGTGTTCAAGGGACACTCGCACTTTGTAAATGCTTTGGCTTTCATTCCGCCTTCTGTAGAGCATCCCGAAGGTAGGTGTGTTCTGCTGCGGGCTTAGACGTGTGTGACCAGACTCATACGTTTGGTACAGGGCTGGTTGTAAGTGGGGGCTCGGATAAGACGATACAGGTGTTCGACCCACGCCAATCCAGCAAGGCGATATTCTCATTGGTGGGGCATTCCAATAACATCTGCGCACTCACTGTTGCACCGAATGGGGATATCATTTCGGGGTCTTGGGATTTGTGAGTCCGAGATGTTTGCGCCGGTAAGGGGTTAAGATATGCCGATGGGACTGATCGTTGGGCGATGTGTAGCACGGCGAAGGTGTGGAGAAACTATGAGTGCGTGACGACCGTGCAGCATCAGCAGTCGGTGTGGGGCGTGTTGGGGTTGGCGGACGGAACGTACCTCACAGGTAACGAGAGGCAGCGCCGCTGAGTATTGCAAATGCTGTTGGATTGATCAGTTCGGTGGATAAATAGCGTCGGCGGACAAATCCATCAAGAGATGGCAAGGAGAGAAGTGTTTGAAGACGTATGCCGGACACACCGATGCCGTGAGAGGCCTCGCATTGCTGTCGGAGTCCAGTTTCGTGTCTTGTTCGAATGACGCGTACGCATTGGGAGTTACGGCATGTGTTTCACCATCAGGATTTGATGATGGTTAACGTTGTTTTTTTCGTGCAGTACATTGCGGATATGGTCGATAGATGGCGAATGCATCGGAGAGCTGAACGGTCACGACTCCTTTGTGTACACTGTCGCGGTACTACCGTCTGGTGAAATCGTGTCAGGTGGAGAGGATCGCTCGGTCAGAGTCTGGAAAGGTATGCGCAACGGTGTGCGCTTTGTGTTCAACCATTCATCCATCCTGACGTGCATGTGATATAGGGTCGGAATGCATTCAGACGATCCTTCACCCAACGCCCTCGGTCTGGAGTGTGGCTGCGCTCCCGAATGGAGACATTGTCAGTGGAGCCAGTGATCACTTGGCTCGAGTCTTTACGAGAGCGAAGGAGCGACAAGCCGCAGCCGAGATTTTGAAGGTATCTTTCCGCGATCTGGCTTGCGAGTCGTATTGGAATGGATTGGCTCACATCTCGGTGTAGTCCTACGAGGACACCCTAGCAAGCCAGGCCATCCCATCGAATCAGGTTGGGGATGTGGATAAGAGCAAACTGCCGGGGCTTGATGCCTTGAACAAGCAAGGTGCTTATTACTCACATCCCTTATGGCGCAATGGAGCCTGGCTGAGTTCTGTTGACAACACTTTAGGGACGAAAGACGGTCAAGTGATCATGATCAACTTCGGAGGCTCAATCGAAGCGCACCAATGGAGCGACGCAGACGCGAAATGGAGCAAAGTGGGAGAAGTTGTTGATGCCAAGGAGGGGAAGAAAACGTTTGAGGGAAAAGATTACGATTATGTCTTTGACGTCGATTTGGGGGATGGTGCGCCGGCTTTGAAGTTGCCGTACAATGTTTCCGGTAAGTTTCTCGAAGATTCAGCAATCGAAGTCGAGAGATCTAGCAACTCACCAGCTGTGTCTCCAAAAGACAATCCATACCAGGCGGCGCAACAATTCATATGGCGGTACGAGCTTCCACAGGATTATCTGGACCAAGTAGCGAACTTTATACAGACAAATGCTCGTGCGCCGGTGTTGGGAGCGGCCGCGCCTGCGTCGGCGTACCAGGATCCATTCACAGGTGCGAGATGACTTTTTATGACGCATTGCGGAATCGCTCACCTGAACTCATCTTTGATCATCTGATAGGCGGTTCGCGATATGTTCCCGGAGGAGCTGTTGTGAGTGTTCCGGATGATGCTGTCCCGCTTGACGTCCGAACACTGAGTACTAACCACAGATCGACTTTGATTGAAGGCATCGCAAGCACCCACCTCTACTGCGCCACCGCCGAAACCAACTTCTGCATCAACAAGGTTCATTCCTCACGTAAGTCCTCTATCCCCTCGTTATGATCTGACATCTGCCGCCTTTAACGTTGGAATGGTCTTATGTTCTAGGAGGAATTCATCTTCTTCAAAGCAGCCAAAACAAGCGCCATCGCGAGCAAAATCATACAACTCAACGCTGAGCTCGCGAAATCGATGGTAAGGGCCGCATCGTCGTGATCAGCGTTACTGCAAGGCTTCTTACCGAATCAATACAGGATTTCGGTCCAGCGGCTCTCCAAACGTCGGAGGAGAAGATCGTCGAGACACTCCTCGAGGGATTGAACAAACCGGCTACATTCAAGAGCAACCCTACGGAAGCAAATTTCGACATCATCCTCCGGGTGGCCACCCAGTGGCCAGCAGCATCGCGCTTTCCAGGTGAGTTCTACTTGCAGCGATGAGGAACTTTGGGACCGTGTCTCACTCCATTGCCCCCTCAGGCATTGACGCCCTCCGTTTGATTGTCCTCCACTCCGCCCTTCCATTCAAGAAACACGACCTGGTAGCCTACCTCAACGCACTGGCAGGCTTTGCGGACGTCAAGCCAAATACGGGATTAGGCGGCAAAACGGGGGAGACCAACGCAATGTTGACGCTCAGGTTTTTGGCTAATGTGTTTGCAACGGAGGAGGGGCGGAATTTCGCATGGAAGCAGAAGGGAGAGGTACGTGCGAAAAGGGTGACTTGACACAAAGTTATTGGCTAACCACATTCTTCCTTACGGACAGATCATTGAGTTGATCAAGTATGTTCCGTCGGTGACGGAGAACACGAACGTCCATGTGGCGCTGGCCACCGTATACTTGAAGTAAGATTGGGGGCGTTTCCGTGAAAGTGGTGTCAGTTCTTACGATGTGCTCTTACTTGCAGTTACGCCGTATTGCTCAAGAAGACGAGCGCGAATGACGAGTTTGGCGTAGAGCTCTTACATCACATCATCGAGGTAAGGGGCTCGGAGATGGCAGTGGGCAGGGCACCTTCCAAACAAGATTGCTGACATATGTCATTCGCAGTTCCTCAAAACAGAAACAGACGGAGAAAGCGAGTTCCGAGCTCTCGTCGCCATCGGCACCCTAGTCCATCAAAACAGCGACATCAAAGAAGCCGCGAACGTCATGGGAGCGCGCGAGATCCTCCGTCGCGCTACGCGAACGACGGGCGCGAACGAGTCGCAGCTTCGTCAGGTTGAAAGGGAGTTAGAGGCGCTTTTGAAGTAGGCTGTCTTTTTGCATCATCTGTACACTAGGGGTATTTACGATGGCGTGTCACATAGTCGTTGAGGGATGGGAGTAGGGGTTATATATGTACATATGTAAATGCATATTGAATGGTTCATACACCATGTCCTTAGTCAAACCCACATTTTGAAGAACCAAAAACACCGCGTTTTCTTGGGCCTCAACGCGGGATGATTGTTTCCTGGGGTGATGAGATGATCCCGTGTCAGAGCTCTACTCGCCACGTCGGCACACTCCTGCGAATTCCAAAAGTCCATCAGTACATAACACGCGCACTACTCATGCTCACTGTCGTTCACCAATGAACTCACCGCCTAGGTAATATATGCGGCTCAAAGCGAGTCCTAGCCTGCTCGCTCGGATCATGGGCCGGCGTTTCTAATCTCTTTTGAAACGCTTCAGTGGGTTGTAAGAGGCGTGCTGGGTTTCTTGTGGAGTGGACCTCGACCTAGAAGTGTGGAAGACTGGGTGGAAGAGCCAATTTGGGAACGTAAGATCTTGACGGATTCTACCGACCTTGTCGAGAAGCCGCTCGATGTGCTTCTTTTTCTCCTCTTCAGCTTTGGCTTTCGCTTCCTTCGCTGCAATTCTGCGCTCGAGTATTTGTTTGTTCTGTAATCATTCCAAAAAAAAAAACATCTGGTCAAGACTGGACCGTCCCTCAGATCAGGCATCCGTAAAGAACCCGGCCGCTCACCTTCTGGGCGATCCGCGTGACACTCTCAGGATCCGCAGACGCCCGGGATATTCGCTCCTGTCTCTCACGTTCTTCTCTGCGTCTGCGAATCAAGGCTTCGGTTTCAGCTTTGCGCCGTACAAAGTCCGCGATTCTGTCGTGGCGTGCTTTCTGCAGGGTCGGTTGAAGTCAGGACACTGATGGTCTAAAGGATGCCTTCAGTTCAGTGCATGCATCGTTGACCAACCTGTTCTTCCTGCCACTTTCTTAGCCTTTCCCGTTCTTGTCTGTGTGTGAGCTTTGAAATCTGCTCTTGCGTTGCCTGCTCGGCGGCTTTCTTGGTCTAACCGGTGATCAGACGTCGTGTGAGGTACTTCCAATGAATTTGTCATGAACTCACCTTCCATTCCATCAGTGCCCGCCTCTTCTCTTCGCGTTCTGCTCGTTCCAGCGCTATGTCGACGTCTGACCTTTCGTGTTTCATCTCGGTCTCTTCGTCCAAGGCCTGTTCCTCTCTCTCCAATATGGCCTACCGTAGAGCAAATCCCCAATCAGATACAGGAATCCCACGAAGATGCAGATCTTCCGCGCCATACTTACAGCTTTCCGCTGCCTCCATTTGCCAATAGCCATCTTCCGCGCCTCGGTCACTTTACAGAACCGCTGATACCATTTCTCATGCTGAGACGCCAGATTGTAGTCTATCCCAGGGATGCGGGAGATGCAGGCCCGGAAGAAGTCTGGAGAGTCTGGCTACAAAGGGACGGTTTTGTTCAGTCGCTGCCATCGGTGGGTGCCGTTATGCAGGATTGAGAGCTTACTCCAAACTTTTGCCGTAACTTGAGAAAGGTCGTATGGCTGAGTTCTTCCCAGCCTCCAAAGCGGCCGCCATGCCGGGAGATGAAATCCTAAGAGTTCCATGGCACAAGAGTTCAGAATCACCGTCACTGGGATAAAAGACGGGTGAGAAACCAACCTGGTATTCCATGACCTCCGGTAGCAGTATATCATCATGCTTGGCGACAGATACAGGCGCGGGCTTGCTAGACGCGGTGTGAGGCAGTCTTTCTGGAACAGTTTCCGCAATCTGGTTCCAGGCTTCAATGTGCTCTTCGAAGGTATTGATCTCTTGCGTAAGCTTCTTTTCTTGGCGGACGAGATCCTCAAGGCTGAAGAGCGAGACGGTACATTCACTTTTCAGTAGTGAGAAGCGAGACCAGAGAAGGAGGCTTACACTTTGCTCTCATGATCCCTGATGGCCAGCAGATCCGCCTCGATGGATTCCATCGACGCCTTCAGCTTGCTCACATCTGACGAACTTCAAAGTCAGTCTCACGCGGCGACATGTCCTGGTGGTCCCGGGAATGCGTATACACACACATGTATCTCCCTCATGAGGCGTCCGGATATGACACCACAGCTTGCTGATAGCTGCCCGTATCCCACTGATCTTATTTTTGAGACCCACACCTACGGAGAGAAGGTCTGCCTCAGCACTCCGGTGGCCACATGATGTGATGCAAAATCAGCGGGAGCACATACGCTCTCCTCTAGCCTGAGCCTTCCAACTCGTCTCCAACGCATTCATCGCCTCGAGCACTTCATTCTGGATGCTTTGACGCGAGATGGCATGGTCTAGTTCTCGTTCAAGGGCTTGCAGTCTAACAGCAATGCCCCACATTAGCAATCACATACTCAGGAGATCGACGATGAGCTTCGCCATGCCACAACTCACTTGGACCGATCTTGATGCATCTGTTCCAGGAACTCTCTCACCGCCGGGTCCATTTTACTTGATTCCGCGCCCGGTTTCCTCGTTTTGGGGGTCCGTGCAGGCGGTTTGGGTGCAGGAACTGTGTTCTTCTGCTTGTTGATCTCAACAAGCTGCAAAGAAAAGCCGGATCAGACGCTTGCGTTGACTTCATGCATAACCATCATCTGATCGTGGTGGCACCTACTTCCTTCGCTCCAATCACTTCCGCATTTGGCAAGCTGTCCTCACGAGCATCAGCAGCTTCAGCTTCAGCGAGCTCGCTCTCTATCCTGCTCAGCTCCGCCATCACCCGGAACACGACTCCCTCCTCATGTTCTCTCGCCGTCGTCTCCGGGAGATCACCCCCCGTGTCCGGTCGTGCATCACCTTGCCGGCTATCTCTACTGGACCTCGACTGACTGCCAGGAGCAGCCGAGCTGTCCGACGGGTAGTCCCAAGCCTGGTCATCGTATTCCCACTCTTCTTCTATTATGCACTCATCGATGTCATCGTCGCCCTCGTCGCCAGGTTTCAAAGTCTCTTCTTGTAACTTCGCCGGAGCTGTGCGTAAGCCCGCTTCCTCCTGCTCAGGAACGTCAGGGTCTATGACGGACAACATTCTATTTGAAGGGAGGGTGCTGCAGTTCGAATGACGGCGGTCGGTCGTGCATTAGGCGCAAAAGCTCGACGCGCGCTACTGATGACACACTCGGATAGGATTTAACGGTTATGCAGAATCGCATTGGATGTGCCGATGCGGCAGTCTTTTGCCTGATCAAGGCAAATCTTTTCGGTAAGCTGCGCAAGGCAACGGATTGGGGCGGGAATGTAAGCATTACCACGATGATATTTTACGCTCAAAGGAGAAGTAGCTTACAACATAGCGACTGAAAGTGTATAGAAATTATATACAATGCGTAGAGCAACACGAATATGGGCCATTGGCCATGGGAAACGAGTGACAATAGAGCGCGACGCGGCCCAGCGCGGCCGAACTTCAGAAAATGGGAGGTCCAAAAATTGCGCATCGCTTGGCTTGTGCGATGGATCGCGGCGGTGAGATAGGTACAGTACAATGCATGTGTGACACACAATACTCGACGATGGGTAGCCGAGGAAGCCTTGAAGAACAAATCCAGTTCATCCCGACAACGGCCCCGACGACGACATCTCCCCCGGCGATCTCGGCATCGCCCCCGGCGTGCCCGATGTCTGCGTCTGGATCTGATTCCGTACCGACTTTGCATACCGCAGTCCACATGCATTGCACAGGTTTCGTTGGTTGTCGGGGCCTTTCCGCCATTCGGGGCTGATGTGCGTGCCGCATTGAGCGCATTGAGGGCCTTCGTGTTTCTGCTTCAAAGGGATGGTATTAAGCTCTCTGCAACACTGATAGCGAATATAGTATAACTGCAGAAACGTACCTTTTTCGGAGCAGCAAGCATATCCAACTCCTCCCTCAACCGCTTATTCTGTATCCTCAATTGATTCAACTCAAACTGCAAACTCGTCGCGCGAACCTCATGCATAACATCAAACAGGTCCCCATTCGAGTACAGATCCTTGTACTCGACAATACTTTTCAAATCCAGCGGGTCCGTCTTGCCCGGTTCCACGACTTTGATCTGGCAGAGTACCGTCGAGGACGTTTGCGATGTCGTGGCCGGGTTGGTTGTGAATGGTGACGTGGACGGTTTACATTTTTCCGAGTAGAGACGGATGACGACGGGGAGGACACCGCGCTTGAGCATGATCCTACACCGCACGTTTTCGATCCTGCGTGAGGATCGGACGCGGGCGAGGGCGTCGAGGAACATCTGTTGATCGCTGTCGTGGAGGTTCTCGCTGAGGGATTTGGCGAGGAGGGAGTCGGCGGAATCACCGAAGAAGGGGATGGTGTTTGTGCAGACGTGGAGGACTAGACCTCCTCGGGAAAGCTTGACCCATGTTTCGAGGTTTTCTTTGTCGGGGAGGAGGACGTCGTCCACCATGAGGCTGCCGACTTCTTTTTCGCGGCCGGTCATGATGAAGCATTTTGTTCGTTTGCTGTTGTTGCCTTCGTAGATCTTTGTTGGGGTATGAAATCTTGCTTAATGACCAACGTCCACGAGACAGGAGAAGTATTCAGGAACTCACGTGTCCGTTGATTTCCAAATACACATAACCAGAGTGCTTCCGACGGAATCGGCACAAAATGTTGATCGACTCCCCGGGGTTGGCCATCCGAAGCTCTCGCATCACAGCAACATAATCCGACGGATGCACGAATTCATGCAGATTATGGCCCATAACGTCCTCGGCACTGTACCCCAGAAGCTGCTTCGTAGCTCTTGGTGCAGCGTATAGGAACAGCCCACGGAGGGAGAGGATATGCACAAAGTCGCCCATGTCGTCAAGGAAGTCCTCGACACCTTCTAGGAACGGCGGATCGGAAGGGTTTGTTGTCGAGGCTGGCGACACTAGGCCAGCAATGTTGCGCTGGAAAGATTGGGAGTTTTGTATGGCACCTGGGGGTTGCGTGTCAGTGTGTAGGCCACGTTTTCTACCAGATCCGTCTGATAAAGGACGTACCGGGCTTTGACCCAGCCAACTGCTCGTTCAGCTGGTAGTTGATCGTATACGTCCCATCTGCAGAGTGAGAGTCAGCGCACGTTCTGCCAAAAGATCTCAGAGCTGCGGCGCGACCCATACCTCTCATTCGATCGAGGATTGCTTGTGGCTGGTCGACTAGGTCGACCTGGAAACCGACTTGGAAAGAGACTTCCCCTGGACGGTATAGTTCCCTGCATAAGGATATGACTTAGACTGCCACGGAAATGGGAGTTACCAGCAGCGTCGTCCAACTCACACTGGGATGACCGTGAGCAGGTTGATGAAGGGCTGAAAGAAAAGCAGTGAAGTGAGTTTTAGCGGTGATAAGTGCCGCGCTGCGTTTCAATCTATTCCCACCTCTCCTCCTTTCTTGTAGTTGATCAGGGTATATTGACACTCGTTGTTCGCGTCCACGTCATGCTTCAACTTGCAAACTATGCTATGATCGGTGAAACGCCGTATTGCGCCTTTCTCTTGCTGTCCATCGGGATCTGACAGAGAAGAACAAAGTTGAGCGATCTGCGGATTCCAACGTGCGGGAAGTAGGGCAGGGCATACCTTGCAGAAATCGACATGATCGATTGAGGACCTCGGCATTCGAGTATCCCGTCAGTCTGGAGGGATTCCAAAGTGAGACTTCAATCGATCCCAAGTAATGGCACAGCGTCCTTTCCAACTCACTTTGTAAATGTCTCACTTGCGTAGACAATAGGATTCTGATCTTTCCGAGGATCTGTCACCAGAAAGGCACAACTCAAATCCACGGGACCGAGATGAATCTAGCGTAGGATCTGATAAGCGTGATGTCCCAATTGCTACCCTTCTGTGGCGTATTTGTTGGTTGAGCAAGAGCCGTACCTTTGGGTTTGGTCGATTCACGACCCAAGATAGTATTCCAAGCAAATCGAACCCTACAGGACGAGAAACATGTGAGTAAGTTTTGTGACGCAAACGTCGAGCTACTGCGAGCGTCAGCGCCCACCTGTCGCTGAGTACATTCCCGTGAGGCTGATGGAAGGTGGTATCTGGGCGGTCGGTCCTTCGAACAAAAGCGTTCCACTACGAATCAGTCGACTGTCCTTTGCAATTGCCGTGGGTAACTCAGGAAGCTGATACCTAAGTTGGGCTTGGGTTCCATCATAGCAAGCTTCCGAGGTCCACCGCTAGAGTCGTAGCGCTGTAGGGACAATGGCCGGTCGGTTTCTTCACCGCCGTGGGTTGCTTCCCTGCAGAAGTTCACGGTGAGCTGCTGCGTCCTCGACAATGAGCATCGAGAGAAACCTTGACCGAAACTGAGAATATGATGCATACCGAGTGTGAGCCGGTGGTAGAAAGTACCGAGGGTCCATGGCTAAGGTGCTGCTCGTTGCGTACGGGGAACGGGGAACGGGGGGGAAGGACTGGGGATTTCCTTTCAAACCCAATGAAAATGTGAGCGTTCAACTTTCCGTGAAGTGCGGGCGAAGCCTAGTTCTTCTGAACAGCTGGACAGGTATATATATACGTCTTTTGGAAGCCTTTTCCTCGGAGAGAGTGTATGAAAAAGCGGTGCGTTTGTAAGTTACAGTAAGTTCGGTCGTCGCTTGCTTGCTTGCTTGCTGTTTGGGGCTCTTTGCGGGTGTTTGCCGCGTCGGTGTTGAAGTTGAAGTTGTGACACCATCGATCCCTTTGTGAGCGCGCCGCCGCCCATCAGAACATCTCTCATCAGAATAGCCAGATTCCGCGGTTCTGGTTCAACCGTCCCCTCTTTCAGAACTCAGTACTAAATAGTGATCTATTTAAGCCTTGTAAGCCCCCGGCTGCCCTAATAACCCATTTACTGACAGCTGCTGCCCTATTAGCCCTAATCCACATGTTATAGGCTCAAAAGACACTCATCAATGTGAACATACTGTATGCATGATCGGGGTGCCAAGGCTCGGAAACGCGGCGCGATCCTGAGGCACGTCTGAAGGCTCCTTTGGCGGGCCCAGGAGCTATAGCAACGCGCGACCATGGGCACGAGGTACGTACTGTACTGTACTGTACCGCTCGGGGACTCGCTGGGACTGACTGGGCAGGCGAACGGGCAGCAGGCTCCAAGCGGATCCTCCATTTCGTCCAAGTCAGCGCCCCCATAAATAGGGCCGACTGACTCCCAGCCGACGACGCTTCAGTTGCAGCAAAAGGCGTCACAATCATCTCCGTGTGAACATCAGAAATCAACACAGCAACATGGCAACCTTTGCGAAAGCTGGCTTCGGTATGGATTGTCAAGGTGGCTGCAGGCTTCTCACGGCCTTTGGGAGCTAATAATGTATCATACAGATAGCGCAAGGTACCTTCGGTACCGGCCGCAGTACACGAGCCAGCTATACTCTGCCTTACTGGAGTACCATCATGGAAGTACAGGAACTGCCCTTGACTGTGGTGCAGGGACCTGCCAGGTAGCTGGTGCACTGGCATCGCGCTTCACCAATGTTCAGGCGACGGACCCGTCCGAGCGCATGGTGGTGAGTCTTGTCAGTCGGTGCAACTCAAAGTCTATCAACATGCCCATCTGAGTTATGAGACGCGAACTTCAAATAGAGCGAGGCACCCAAAGGCCTCCCCAATAACGTCAAAGTCAGCGTAGCCTCCGCAGAGAGGCTTCCTTTCCCAACCGGCTCCGCCGACCTCATCGTAGCCGGTCAAGCCGCGCACTGGTTCGACATCCCACGCTTCTTCGCAGAAGCCCACCGCGTCCTGAAACCCGATGGGAAAGGCACTGTCGCAGTCTGGGGCTACACCCTCCTCCAATTCCCCAAACGCGAAAGCATCACGAAACGTGTCCATGCGTTCTGTTATGGGACCGGTGAGGGACAGATGGGAGAGTATTGGGAGGGCAAGCGTGCCGTTTTGGATAGCAAGTACTCGGGTTTCGAAGATGCCGCTCGGGAAGCGGGCTTCGTAGATGTGGAGAGGTGGGACTACCCACTAAGCGGCACATTCGTCAGCGAGCACAATCCCCCAAACTGGCCTCGCCAGTATGACGCTGTCAAGAAGAGCGTGCAGATCATCGAGCGGGACCTGAGCTTGAATGGGTTGAAGGACTATCTTAGCACTTTTTCGGCGTACAAAAACTATGTCGATAAACATGCGGGCGCCCCTGACGCGCTTGATGCTTTCATCGAGACGACGGCTAAGGAGGAAGGGATTACTGATAGGGATGAGGTATGGGAGACTCAATGGCCTGGAGTTGTCATCATCGCCCGAACAAAATGAAGACGGGGAGATTTCCAGTTGAACATAGCCGTAGTGTATGCATAGTAGTTTCAACCTAGCGAAACGGAAGCTCAGCTACATCCTGTATATAGCGGAAGAACAAGGATTGATCGACCATGGGAAAGGACAACCTCACCGAAAATCGAGTCACTTGCGGAGTTTGATGTGAGGTACCCGCACAGCTCGATGTTTCATGACGAGGTCGCGCGAGCGGCAGGTGGATGCCGATGTTGCGATTCTACGCTGTCTAGCGCAGTCTTGATCGTTGTCGTCGAAAAATTTTTACGGGGGGGGGGGGGGGGGACCGCCTGCTCGTCAAACATGGCCGAGGGTCTTCAAGGTAGTATTCAAGCAACATTCACGCTCAGCGGAATAGGGACATGGAGGACTGGCAGTCCCTCTCCGGCAACAGACAAAAGCCGTTCGCCAGCTCAATCGATTCACCCTGCTCGCTGGGAACACACAGAAGCATTTCACACGGTCCGTTCTCCGGTAAATCGCAGACTACAGAAGCTTCTCACCCAGCAGAGCGCCGGCACGACTCACACAACCTGAAGGCAAATGTGACAAGAACCCTGAGCCGCCCTCGCGAATCGGGCAACCTGGACAATGACCCGGGCGTCGCCGCAATCCACGCAACCTGACATGGGCCGAGTCCGATTGCGCGATCGGACTCGTCAGGGAAAAGAGACTTCGGAAAGGTAGATCACTGGAGAAAGAGCATACGCATCTAGCGTTGCAGCCGATACGTTGCGCGTGCAGTTCGCATCCTCCCACTTGGTGGTGCAGCGATGCTCACAAAGAACGTTGAGCGGTCTCAACATCACATGAAAGTAAAAGATGGGGCCATTTAACCTTTGTTCTATCAACCGATTGCCGCCATCAACCCAATCCTGGCGCAAAGCTTGCGACCTGAGCTCTGATGAACAGTCCCTCGGATGCATGAGACCAACTTGATACTAGCTCGTAGAGGAAGGTCAGAAACGATGTGCCGCTATACCGTTTCTTGATGAACCCGTCGAAAACTGTCAAAAGGCGCCCCGCTATTCAGTCCGGCTGAGTAGCCTGGGTATAGCATCCGTTGACTACGCACGACATTGATACGCATTCATGACCGAGAAGCTTGTCCCAATTTGAAATGGCCGATAGGGCTCGTAAGACACCTGTTCGACAGGTAGGCGCGCGTGCTGCGCCGCTTAGTAAGCAGTCCGCGCGGAGTCCGCTCTTGACCTCGATCTCCCCGTCGTTTCTCTAAGGCGTAAACGTTCCGAAGAATGGAAAAATAAGGTTATTCTTGCTAGCATATGAGCGGAAGAGAGGCTAGATGCCCAGCCCGCCTGCCCAGCCCGCCACTTCCAGTCGTTTGTGGATCTCTGGGTTCAATGGGGGGTTGAGCATGACCTAGCTAAGGAAGGCGCCTCGGAAATGAGGAAATGACCGAATGTCAGAAAGCATGTTGGTTCGTTTTGGTAAACAAACGTAAACAAAGTTTATACAATACGCACTGACAATGGAGGCGCAACCTGGTCCTTTTTTCCTCGACCGCCCTTGCAAACCCACGGAGAGGGGGGGCGTACATCAGCATCGAATTGAAGCCATTATATAAGCTCCGGTGCCCGCTCAAATCCCTCGAAGTTTCCTGTAATGAGAAGTCCCCCTGTGCAGCATTGGACCTCGAGCAGATTGACAGCATTTGCAGTTTCGACGCCAGCTGTTGCCAACGCAGACATTAACTCCGCCTTAATCCTTACACCGTCGCTTTGCCTGCGTCTCCCGCTGCTCTCGAGCTTCGTTTGCCTTATTTCGCTCACGAACATATTGAGCCATCGCACTCAATCATGACCGTCCCGACTGTTTACCAGCTGCGTCGTATCTTGGACCTTGACGCTAGCACATCATTCAAAGCCCCGACCGTTACCGAGCAGACTTTCGACCCGTACTCCCAACAGCTCTGGAAGCGTGCGTTGTCGGTCATGAAGCCCGAGGAAGTTTCGACTCTGAAGATGTGGACGAGCAACGAGGAGCGGCTCGCGATCGTCAAGGGTGGCGTATCGCATTTGAGCACAGAGGCCGAGCAATGGCGATACTATGCTGCCCTAGGACCAAAGTATGTTTTGGGAATTCCTTCGTCGTTGTGCTGGTTCCGGTCGGAGTGGGATGGGCGTCCCTTATCTTGCGAATGTATCTGCTCATCATTCCCTCTCTTTCTTCCTTCTATCATTCGATTGTCCCTAGGCCCGAGGCAAATCAATTGACTTTCGGATGGCCGCTAGATGAAAGCAATACTTTCCCCAGCGCATGGGAGAGCGACGTTCCGGAGGGTCGTCTGTGCCCGGAAATCGAACAACACTCCGTTCCGGACCTCCCTGCCGTTTGCTGCAAAGACTCTGCTGGTGGTCTCGTTGACCAGTCGGGCGAGTTGCGATTTGATTCAAGCGGGTCAGGACCCGAGTCATACGAGTTCCTCGCAATGCTCCTCGTTAGGGCCGCCAAAGCAGTTGGTCAGGAGCACGACGGCAACACGCTCTATACGTCATACGGCATGCGCGACGGTGTGTGGGCGCCGCGCACGGACACCTGTCTTGACGGCTGGACCGAAGATTTGTTACGCAATGCCAGGCTTAACGTTCCACCGCCGACAGTGTACATCGCCCTGTACTTACTGTTCAAGCTCTCGCAGTTGACGGGACAGCACGTTCCGCAAGTCGAAGGGCCCCCTGATGACGCCACGAGCGCGCGCAAAAGGGCCGCAAAGAACTTCGTGGATAAGATTCACAAGCATGCATGGGGACAAGTGATTCTCATCGTCTTGCCCTTGATGCTTGCAAACAAGGCCCACGATGATAAGTAAGTACTCGTTTGTCCGCGAGCAGCTAGAATTGGCATGACCTCGCAACTGATCATTTTTCGGTTTTCTTATCCGTTCAGTGCATGGGGCAATCCTTCTTGGCATACATTAAGCGGGATCCCGTTGCTGGATCTTGGCCAGCTGGAATGGGAGTTCCTCAAGGTTTTGGACTTCGACACACATGTAAAACTAGCTGAGTACAAGGCTTGGAAACACCACGTGGATACTGTATGGAGACAGGGCAATTGGGACGACGTGGGCACGCAAATGCCGTGGACGAGACTCGTACGGTCCGACGATGGCCAGTCATTCCATTTCATTCACGTGAGCGACATGTATTTGGAAATGCGGAACAAACCGCTGCAGAAGGAAGGGACCCCGAAATGGATCCTTGAGTTGACGCGCATGCGGGAAAAGCATGAGCAGACCCTAAAGTTCCATGAGAAAAGGCGGATACTTTCACAGCATGGCTTCGAAAGAACGCTCGCCAGCTACGAGAGCGACCGGAAACAATCCCAAGCGGAGCTCCAAATCATCAACGAGCGTTACCTTGACTACGAGCGGCGGTACCGGGCACATCTGGCCGAATGGAATCAGATGGTATATGTTTTCGGAGTGCGTCCGACGCCGAGTGATGAGAAGCAACACCTTTGGTACGGCGAGCAAATGATGTGGGAATATCAAAGAGCGCAGAAGGAGCATCTCCGTCACCAGCAGCTGACTTTCAAGCTACATCAGTTGGCGAAGTCCTCCTACGAGGATTTCCGCAGTGAGCAGAAAACCATATGGTGTGCGAGACAACTGGAGCGGAAGCGATTCTACGATGCTTGCGTTGCGATGGTCCCGAAACCACTCGCTAGGTCCGAACCGCAACACCCTTCGCCCCCGCAAACGATACAGCCGACAACAGCCACTGAAGGCGCTGCCGAACCTACCGCGTGGACGTATTTGAGACCTGAAATCGCCCCCAACGCTGAGGATGAATCACCTCATTGCTTCTCCTCCTCTCGACCACCAACGATGTCTCCCGTAGTACCAGCGCCACCCGGGTTCTCTTCACCGCGGCTACGAAAGGCTTCCCCCCCGTCCGTTGTCTATCTGTGCTCTGAGCCTGGAAAGATTACCACCGGTATACTACCTGCTGTACCACCTAAAATCGCCCGGTGGTATGTGCCCGCTCGGCGCGATGGTATCAGTCCGGGGTCGCTGCCACCCGGTGCCTCATCCCTACGGCCACGAACATCCGCTCCCGACATTCCACCGGGCTTCCCACCTCCCAAGGCCAACTATCGTGGTGCCGTTTCCCGCTACGGTTTCGGCCGAAACCCTGAAAATTTGGATACCAATCCTGGAGGCGAAGGCGGCACTCCGCTCGCAGTACACTAGTAGACTTTATATGACTTTCCAAGTCCCATTTCAGACACAGACTATATTGCGTTCATTCACCGGGGCCTCTGCATTACATTATGAGCCTCGTTTTCTCTTTGTCACATGCCTTTTCTGACATGATGCTCAATTATAAAGGAAACTTTTACATCAGATATGTGCCTCAAATCTTCGCTGACTCGTGGAAGTCCCACATTGGCCGAAGGACTTGCTTCGCTGGACTGCCTAACTCGATGATCCTGAAACCGCCTCAGGTCCTCAGGAGATGCCCGCTAGCATTGAAGCTGAAGCAGAAGTTGTCATGCCCATCCGACTCGAAAGCCAAGGCGGCCTCATCCAAACACTCAACATATCTACTATCGCAGACAACGTTAGATTCTGCCATCAAGACTGCAGGCGCACTGCAAATCAAGCAGGTCCTAGTATTTTCGAAATGACCGTTCGAAAGGCCGATCGTATCAAGCATACAGCCTAGTCTTCGACTCGAGTCTGATCCAGAGCCGCCCAACAGCCATAGAAAGATGACATGAATAACTCCGACCGAGATATGCTTTCCAGTGAAGTGGTGTATTCTATGGCGCACGAACCTGCTCGTGCCGTACGCCGAGTCATATGCCGAACACTCCGACGCCTCGCCCCCGAGCTTCGAGCGGGGAGGGACCGAGTGATATTGTTGCATCCGTACTATATACGTGTGTGCGGTCGAGGTGATGGAACCCCGCTGCCCAAAATCGACCGACTCGCTCCGCCGTGCTCTCCCTTCCCACTCCATCGAAGAACCCCGGACCCCCACCTACCAGCTGCCCCTCCCAACCCCGCCGTGCATCACTTCCCCATGCCTTGACCAACAACGCCGAAAATATCCTGCCCCCAACCCCCAATCTCACACCGTCCCCGCCTGCCCCTTCTCCTCCGCCTCTTTCCTCGCAATCTCCGCCCTCTGCTTCAGATACACCCGATCAGCCTCGTCCGCAATGATCGCCTTCTCCCGCGCTGTCGTCCCGTGGTTTTCATAGCCAAGGAGTTTCAGGTTTTCCTGCGAACGGAAATGACAATCGCATATACGGGTTATGAGTTTCTGACCAACCCATATACCCCACGGGGGTGGCTCGCGAGAGACGTACCATCTGCATGCGCATACACCGCCGAAACTCCTCCTTCCGCTCCCCACACCCCATCTGCCGTTCCCACCACCCGCCATTGACAAGACAGTCCATCCACCGCCATTCCACGTCCGCGCAATTGTCCTTTGCGCATTCTTTCAGAGACGCATGGGTCAGTTTGTCGGAGATGGCGCTGCGGGCGGAGGCTCGTTCGGAGGCGATGAGGGATTGGAGGAGGGTGCGTTCGGCCGCGGTTTGGGGGGGCCCCGGGAGGGGGTGGTAGGGGTTTTCCCAGACTGACGGGTCGATCTTGATGTCTGAGGGGGCGGGGGTGGTGGATGGGGGTGGTGGGACGGCCATTGTTGGGAGGGGAGGCTGGGCCTTTCTGGGAGACCGGCTTCGGCTGCTTTTCAGTGTTGGGGCGAATGAGTGGAATGTCTAATGAATGGTCGCAATGCTCCCAACGCCGTGCAAACCAGCGTGCAAACCATGGTCGCTCAACGCGGTGGTCCCGAATTCTGTCTGGGTCAACCTACGCGCACTTCTTCCACAACCCCTACATGTTTTTGAACGCAAATTCCATCCATATAGATAAACGTTTGATTCAGGTATATGCAAAAACATTGCAAAATGTCAAAAGGGCGCTCAACGCTTGTAATGATAAGGGTCTATGTACGTGCGGCAGTGGGGAAAATGTCTAGCTTCTCGTCTAGTGTAGAATGGTCTGTGTCTGGTTCTAGGTTATCGCCGGGATGACTAGATAGATAGGAAGGAGGAAGAGTACGTCGCGGTTGATGGGGAGGGTGTACGCCATGTGGGGCCCCATCCAAGCGCAATGAGTGGATAATGTTCGGGGTTGATGGTCTACGAGTTGGTGGGTTGCAGGCAAGCGACGGGGAATACGCCGATTTCTTGTGATCCCCTGAGGTTCTGTCCACGCGCCCAGCCTAGAGAAAAGGACAAAAAAAAAGGCCAAAGTCAGTCAATCAACTCCCTCCTAAATCCGAAAGAATCCGTCATGAATCACTTACCATCACTATAAGTCTCCACAACAAGCACCACATCCCCCACCCTCAACTCCAACTCATCCGGCTCATTCACATTCGGCACATACTCCGCCCACACCCTCATCCTCGTCGGCTGGATATCCGTACGCACGCTCGGTTTCCTTCCCGCCACCGCCACTGCCGCAGTCGCTGCAGTAGCCTCCTCTCGCGCAGTCAATGTCGCTAACGTGCTCCGACTGCGATGGCTGCCGGCAATCGTGCTCCCGTTCAGGGAATGCGTTTCGGGGGTGAGGAGTTCGGTAAGGCGGTAGGGGTTGGAGGCGGCGGGGGAGTGGAATGGGTCGTGGGATGGGGAGGGGGATGTGGGTGTATCTTCTGGTCCGCGGGGGAGGCTTGGGAGGGGGATATTTGGCGGCGGGCTCGTTACTGCAAAACTGCCGCGGTGTGTCATCAGCGGGATTCGCGAGGACCGGTTTGGCGTGAATGGTGGAGACATCGGGCTGCGGGGACTATACAAGTCATGGTGGTTCGAGCTGGAGGCGGAGAAAATGCGTTCCTCGTCGTACCCGACGCCGCGGAACATATCCTTCTCCTTGCCGATGGCGAGGGAGTGGAGGGAGCCGCTGCGGGGCCGATTGCGTTCTTTCATGTCCGAACGGGTGGATGCTGCTGAGCGGCCGCTGCCTGCTGAGTTGTACACGCCTACATCACCGCGATTTTGGCGCTGACGCCGCGCTTTGAAGACAAAGAAGGCGTAGATGAGGGCGATGACGGCGAAAATGGCGCCGAGGGATATCCCGACGATAACGCCTTTGCTGACGGGTGAATCGGTCGGGAACTCAAAACCTTCGACTTGTTTACAGCATGGGTCGATGGTGGCGCCGTTTTTGCTCGCATTTTTGCAAAAGGTGAGGGCCTCAGGGGCGTGGATGAATCCGCAGGTGTTGATTTCACTAGCGAGTGTCCCGCTATCGCAGCCTGCGCCGCTATTTAGTTTTAGGACCCCGCACATGCTCGTGTAGGCATTCTGCGATTCGGTCCGTGTGGTCAGCGCCTGTGCATTCGGTGCTGCTGAGCAGTACGTCGGGTTTGTAAACAGCCGCACCAGCGAGTCCCGCGCCGCCAGGCACGTCGATCTGCATAATGGTAATGCCGCTTTCGTAGGCGTTACCCCGAAACTCTTGCAGCTGGCCGCGGAGGCACGGACCAGCCACGCGCAATAGAAAGTTAAGTGGTAGCGTTGCCCGCTGCCGTCGTAGTTTGGGCAGTCGAACCCCGATTTGAAGCCCTGCACATACGCTGGGTTATCGTCGAAAGACTGGTTTATGAAATCGTCGAAGGTTTCTGTGGAGTTGTAGTATGCGCCCGTGAGAACCGGTTGGCCTTCCTGAGCTGCACAAGTCTTTGTATTTGTGAGAACAATGCAGGAGTTTGAAGCTGGTGCTGCTGCCATGACGAAGGCCATTCTCCGGGGGGGGGGTATACCGATATCGTCTCCCGTGAGGTTGACAGACTTTCGTCCTTTTGACGTTTTCGCCCTTATGAGTGTTGCGAATTCCAGCAGGCCATGGACACGCTCCTCCTTGTGCTGGCGCTGTTTTTCCCACGCGCGGTGTTCTTCGCCTTTCTCGAGAGCAACAAGTGTGGCTTGAACGACACGGTCCCAGTTGCAGAATCCCTTTCCCTTGCTGAAAGACGAGATGTCGAGACACGCACTCACTCCTACACACAAGTGTCTCTAGGCTGAGGGCTAAAGACGACTGACTGATAGGCACGGTGGGTGGTGGTGGCGGCCTGTGGGAGTGTGTCTGTGTGTCGTTTGGAGTCTGCGAGAGGCGTCTGTTGCGGGCGGCGGCTGCCTGCACAGCAAGTCCTTTGAGCGAGCTGCGAACGTACACCAGAGCCCGTGCTTGCCATAATGCAAGTTTTGCGCCCGGTTGCGCTTCAAATTCATATGGCGGGTCCTGTCTTGCACCCATAACGGTGAGTCAGAACCACTGGCCGACTCCCGGGAGAACCACTCACAGCACAATCCACCACCAACTCCTCACAATCCCCTCCTTATCCCCCTGTGTCTCTCCTGCGTCTCTCCTGTTGATGTCCGTTATCTTCTCACCGATTATTAAGGTGTCTGTGGGGACCGGAGACCCGGCGCAAACACCTTCATCGGTGGCTGCGCATTGTGGATTGTTGGGCTCCTAAAATAAATCACGTGAGCCCCAATAATTAACGAGCCCACACGCGATCCGCCTTCTTGGCGCTGGCTCCGCATCCACCCGTCCGGCGTCCACCCAATCGCAGCAGCCCCCTCCTGCTCTCCGTTCATTCAAATTTTATCTCTTGCCTCCCATTGTCAAAAACTCACTGACTCAGCACATCATTGTTTCGCGGCAAAGGGGAACTCGCTTGTATGAGACCCACCATTGGTCGCTCCCAAAGTGTGCAGCCAGCCTCCTTCTGTGCAAGTGACCGGAGAAAACAACTCTGCACACCCACACCACGGTCGGCACGGATTCAAAGACGGGAACTTGTGCCCGCGGGGATGATTTCCTCACCGCCCGACTCATCGAGAGGCACTTCTCTAGAGCCATTGGTGCCTTCGGCATCCAGCCTCACTCCGAGGAGTCTCTTCTAAAAGGGGTCCAAAAACAACTCTGCACACCGACCAAGCAACTCAGGAAGAGCGATCTTCTTGGCAGTGAGAGTGGTGGATGGGGACGGTGTTGTAGAACTTTTGCGCGACGCTATCGGATGCGAGCCTCACAAGCTGAGCTGCGAGAAGCGTCGTCATCGCAGAACGCGTTCACATTCAGATTCAGACATCTCCGACCGGAAAGCAGTCCTATAGATATGAATGTAAAGATTCATTCGCCTCCATACGCCCCGGCATCCTATATATATAGCTCTCTCTATCGCTGCATTGAACTACAAACGGCCTACGCAACGTGCTAATGAGAAAGCCATATCGTAATGTCCATCCGGCACCCTCCCTCCCACCCTGCCAGTATCTGAGGCCCCCTTGCATAACAGATGTTCAACATGTGCCTTGCCAAGCGATCGCCGCCCGAACCGTCACCTGAGAAGCCCCCACCGCTGCCTATCTATAAACTCATGCAGCACCTTATCAGCCGCTTGTCCCGACGTGAGGAGTCCTTCATACACCTGGGGTTCCAGGGTGTTGATCATTTGCCGGACGGGTTTGTCGGTTTTCAACCTAGATATCCCGAAAGTCAAATGAGTCGGTCAACGCCACCATCTTCTTGGCAGCGAGGGAGTACACGTACTGTATATGATGAGTATTGTCCGGCGTCCTTTCATCCAATCCCAGTTAGTATATTGGCTAGTATCTCCGCCTGTCACGCGGAAGAGCCGGGTTCGATTCCCGGACTGGGAGCATTTTTTTTTTTCTTTTCCCCTTTTCCTTATTTCACCCTAGCACTCTTTCATCTTTGCTCTCAACGACGTGAAACCGCCCTCGCATGTGGTTGGTCCGAAAGAACGGGTGAGACTGTCGCTGACAACTCTCCACATGCCGATGTCGAGCGACAGGCCGAAATCCTAAAGATGGACAATGCGGGCTTCGTTTTTACACTGTTTTCACACAGAATTTTGGGCAGCCATCTTTGTTCCGGTGGCGAGTAGACTCAGACACTCCCCACCAGGCATCATTACCTTGGTCAAGCCGACGGCGGTCCTATTGAATATGTCCGTCGTCGAGGCTATACGTGGTTCCACATCGTGTTCTCCTGCGGGTTGAAGGTGTATCCCTCTGACGTTTTGGTAATGTACTGTGTTGTAAGAAAAGTAGTCCCCGTGACCGTCACACCCTCTCTTTGCTGACGCTTTGGGAACCCAGCTACCAGGCGCAAGTCGCTTCGGGACTCCAGGTCCGCCGTGGCCTAGAGACTGTGGTCCCTCGGGGAAGCGCCCGAGTCGTGTCCATGTGGTAGACGACTCCGTGTCTTGACCTTCCCTCGTGCACCCCTGAATGAGTTCTCGGAGAGAGCTCGAGCGAGGGCATGCTGTCATCTCCTCCGTTGTCAGTGGGTCAGCTTGTCATTGGCTGAGACGAGCTACACTCGCTGCAAACCGCGGTGGGACTGACGAACGGGGTACGAGCCTCATTGCATACAGGTGGGGACCTGGGGAGCGATTGGTGGAAGACGGGCTCGTCTGAGAGGGTCTGCTTGGAAGGATATTTATGTTTCTTCGTCTTTTTGATGTCTCACGGGCGGATGTCGAGATTCGGGACTCGATCCAGAACGCGTGCCGAGTCGACCGACTCACGCGTTTCTGCCGACACAGCCTTTACGCGATCGATGTTCCTCCAGACGAGAACTTGCAGGTTGCGCTTCCAGAACGATCACGAGTTTCATAATCGCTTATGAGTGTGGTGAAGGATCTCGGATGGGAGTAGTTCATAGACCCAGTGTTTTGGCAGCAACCGTGCGAGCTGGTTCCTCCCCCGACTCCCGCGGCCACAAAGTGCGTGTCGCCAGAAGCAGGCGGCTCCTTGACACCAGCAGCAAACATCAGGATGACCACGGGGGAAATAAGCCATCAGCGGTGGGTGCGGGCCGAGCGTCATCGTTGGAGCCAAGACAACCGGGGTGGTATTCCGATAACTTCAACACTCGGCCACGCATGTCTGACAAGCTTGCTAACCGCGGTTACAGGGACATACGCGACTCTTGCTCCCGTGAATGAGGGGCGACCGCATTGGCGAGCAGCGTAAACGTCCCCAAACAGTGCAGCTGAGCTGGAGGTGGGATGGCCGGCAGACTCGACGGAAATTTGTTTGAGAAGCCAGTGTTTTTTCCTCTACTGGTTCGAGCAGTTCAGCTTGAAAGGCGATCGATGCTCTCATCGGTTGCCGTTAGAAGCATGATGTTCTGGAAGTGTTCCACTGGCCAGTCGTTTTGTTTCCGAGGTTTTGGCAGCGGGCAAATGTTGGGAGTCTACGCGTTACCTACGTGTTTTTGCTGACATAAGCGTTATGCGACCCCCGTCGCGAAGCTATCCCAACACCTTGCAACACGCCGTCACAAAGACTTCGAAATCGCATACAAGTCCAACTCGTACAGGATATACAGAATTCGTATTGAATGACGAAACAATAAACCAGCAAAAGTCAAACCTCCGGTGCCAAAAACCGATGCGGCTTGTGGGGCGAAAGACATAATGCTTCGCCCCCAGGCGTAGCGCAACGTCAAAGGCACGGCTCACACTACCACCACCGCCACGCCCACATCCCTCACTACGCAAACACGTAATCAAAGAACGAGCGACACGGCATCGGGAACTGGATATGCGTCGCCACATCTTTCAGCGTCGTCGACGAGGACACCAAGGGTGACATGACAGAAAGGGGGTGCTCGATGATGGTTAGGCGGGTGCCCGAGGTGTGGTCTATGCCTGATGAGAGTAAGAGGTTTAATTAGGGAAGTTGAGTGGAAGGTGGTGTGGGAGGGTATCCTTACTTCGCGAGACGAGACGGTAGTAGCGACACATGGCGTGGACGATGAGTCGCAAGAAGGTGTTTGTGATCTCCAGGCAGAGGGTGGCTTGTGGTGAAGATTGCGGTTCGGGGGCGGGTTGGACAGTGACAGGTGTTTCCTCCACAGGAGGTCGGGAATCCACCGGCGCGGCCTGTTTGGAAGGCGGAAGGTCCACCTCCCGGATGATGATCTCATACTCCGCCTCAATGTCAAGCGAATCCTCATCGGACGAGGAAGACGACGAGTTCTCGTCAGCAGACTTGGCCAACGGCGACCCATCCAGCGGCACGAACTTCTCGAGAATCCTTTCCTCAAACATCCGCACAACCTCCCTCGCCGACGCACTACGGCGAATCTGGCTCCTTAACCGGCGATCCAGTCGCGTGAGGTTGGCCTCGCCCACCGCCGCCTCCTTAGAGACATTCTCCTCCTTCCCGGCATTCCAGGACCCCTCGGTCGGTAGATCCGCCAACACCTTCCTTGGTAACCGTGCAAAAACACCAGGCGGCCGCGGCATATCCAACCCGGGTAGCAAATCGCCCCTGGTCATGAAATCCGCATCATGTTTATGCTGCGAGACGATCGGGTGGTCGGTGAAATGATCATTATCGAAGCGTCGCCGCCGACGGGAGCCTTCCTTACCGACTTTCAGGCGCCGGGCGAGCGAGTCGCGTTGGAGGTACCAGCGGCGGTAGGATTGGAATTGCTGATGGTGCTGCAGCTCCGCTTTTTGGCGCTCTTTCAAGAGGTGGTGGCGGAGTTGCTCGCGAGCGTGGCAGGCGCCGACATAGGATGTGACTGAGGCATGGAGGTCGTGGTCGGTCGTCTCGCTGCTGGTTCGAACACGGCGCGCAGCAGAGGTGGGTTTTGTGGACGACCTGCGTTTTGACTCGGAGGCAGAGGCAGCGGCTGCGAGGGCAAGCGCGGCAAAGGCGTCCTCTACGTGTTCGGTCAGGCCGTGGGCGACCGTCTCTGGCGGGGTTGCTGGGTGCGTCTCAATGTCCAAGGGAGCCCGTATGGCTCGCGGTGGAGTTAGCGGGGTAGCAACGGCAATGGCCGGAGCGCCGAGAATGGTGCCTGTGGGTGGTGTAGGGGTTGAGGCAGGAGACGGCGAGCTCGGGGGCTCGGTTGAAGTGTTCTCGGCGATAGCCATGCTGGTCGTTCTGCTCTCGAGGGTTGCCGGTTGAATTTGTCAGATAACTTCCGGAGATTGAAGTCGGCTGCGGAGGTGTTCAATTGAACGCGGTAGGTTAAACAGCCCTGACAGTGATAGGCGTTGCGACGAGAATCTTCCTTGCTCTCCCGAGCGTGGAGTATTTGTACCGTTTTTGGTTGTGTTAGTGTGGGTGTCCGTGGTGGGAGGATGAGGGGCTGCTTGTCCACGTTCCTCTCTTTTTATGGGCGGCGGATATTGGCGTTGCGCGTTATCTGTCTTGCTGTGCTGCGTGATCTCTGTGCCCGGCATCTCAGAATACGCGCTTATCACCATTACGAGACCCCTGCCAACGTGTTTTCCCCATCCTCCACGGGGCCTTCCACCTCTTTCCACCTCCCTTGCAAATGACCGCCCATACTGTCAATAACCGTCTATCCTTGGCGGAAATTCAGCTATCCATAGGGCCTCACCCAATCAAAGATGGTGACGCTGCTGCATGTCTTGTCCGTCGAAAAGAGGCGGACATGACACCATGAGTCACCTTACAAACAAGCTTCCGTCACGCGTTAAAAGCGGTGGGTCACCCGCTCCGTAGAGCAAGCATTTACCGGTGGTTTTGCCGTCAACCTTCCGTCCCATATCGTTTGGCCTATTCGCACGTGCCGGGGCCGAACACGGAGACTCAAGGATCAAGCCAAGACGCCGTGGTCGCTTTTGATGCGACGCCCGAGTCACCGTTGTTGGTTTTGATGCACTCGATGAATCGGCAGACGGGAACTGCCTGTCATCGCTCCATGTATATATTGTACAAGGAAGGACATCGCCTTCGAGTGAATCGAGTCGTCGATAGTCCGCTAACGGTGACCCAATCCGAGCGCCACCCCCCGCGCTGATCTGGCCGTATTTCACTTGTCCAGTTTTGAATCTGGAGCTTAAGGTACCGGAGAAGGGAATTGGGGCTGTGGCAGGCTCGCAGCATGTTCTTGTCCGTCGGACGTAGCCATCCATGCGGTGATGAATCTGATGTAGTCTCTCCTCTCTCCAATTGACGCTGTCTGTTCAAGTGAGTCCAAATGCGATGGGATTCATGGGAAGTACCGGAGGGGGTTGGAGGCGGGTGTTGTACGCGTCGTGCAGAAACCGCACGATGGTGGGGACGCACACCTCATAGCAGGAAATTTACTTCACAATAGTGTCCGTTACGGTGTGCACTGCGGATAGATAGACGCCGTCCGTGCGGCAGAGGCGTCTTCTCTACAGCATGAACGCCCAACGGAGACGTCCATACTGTATATATCGGGAGGTACAGGTGGGTAGGTCCCCATGTCGGTCAAGATTGGGATGCCCGTAGACCGTCATGGTCTCCTCCCCTCCCGCCACCTCCGTAACCCGGCATCCAGAAAAGTTTCGAATACCCCCACCCCGCCAGTCCAGTTTCCACCACCTCGAGGCCGGCCTCACAGCGGCACCACCTCCATATGATGAGTCCGCACTCTACCCTAGGCTAGCTGCCGCTCGTGCGGACAATGGACCCTCCCGCCACGACCATGGTGCTGCATGGCATGGCTCTGCGACGTCGATTCCTTTAGCGTGTCGGCAGCATTCCGTGGAATATGGGTCGTCAGTGGGGGAGCGGGCATCGGAGCTGTCATTCGGCCAGACATCCCGAAGTGAGGCTCTTCCTGGGAGGGTTCTTGTTGCGCAGTTCGGTTCTTCTATGTCTTCCCACGACAGCTTGGACTTTCGTGGCAAACAGAACACGTTCACGAGACTTCTAAGGTCAACCAAAGGGCGAATCTTGGCCGCCGTGGCAATAGTAGCTGTCATCCTCGCCATATCCTTCATCACAGTAGGCCTAAAACTGCGAAACAACACCCCTGATGAATCGACCACTCCGCTCCGCTACGGGGTGGTACATCGAAACCTAGACGCACATTCGAACTCCATCACATCCATCGCGGTATCGCCAAACAACAAAGAAGTCTACACTGCTGGTGGCAGGGACCTCACGGTCAGGTCGTGGTCTGTCGACACGGGCGAGACCCAGCTGTTACGAATCCCCAACGTGACTCAAGTGTTTGGGCTGGCGATGGATCCGGTCGACTCTGCGGGTCGGACCCTCTACATCAACGCCGACTATACGGTCTCTCGTGTGAATCTGCCACTCACTGGCTCAGACAACGCAACAATGTTGTCTCCAGTAAGGGGCAACGTGTACTCGTACGGCATCTACTCGTCCGTCATGTACTACAGGTCCAACACCGGAGAGGGTATATTCGACACAATGTATGAAGCACCCGTTGGCGCGACGCAAGGAAACAGTAGCGACACCAGCGGCTCCATCGCGCTTGGCCCTGGACGCGGCTCGCATTTCCGATTCTCATCGCAGGGAAGCGGGTTATGGGTTGGCCTGGGCACGCGGTTCAACGTCACCATCGAGGCGGCTGTGTGGAGACTCGGGAGAGTCGGGACGCCGTTGAAGCTCACGTTCACACCAGAGTCTCTGCCGCCTCCGGATATACCCGGCGGCAACGCAACGGCAGAGTGGGTGTCCATAGCATTCGACTCGCGGCGTGTTTTCCTACTATTCTCAGATACCACGATCTACTCTTCCCCGTTCGACACGGCTGGGGCGAGGATGAAGGTGTTTGCGACGGCCGGCGCCGGGTTCAAGTTCGTCACGCATCACCCCTTGTCCCTGTCGCCGGATGGGAAGTGGGTGTTCCAGTGCGCTACGACCACCGGAGCGGAGACGCCTATCGTGCTGCAATGGAATGCTGGAACGGGTGAACTTGTTGGAGGTTATCCGGACGCCGGTTGGCCGTTTGCTCTGTCGGCGGATAGCAGGTGGTTGTTTGCGGCGGCGCGGGCGTCGAATACCTCGGTTACCTCGGTTTTGCAGCAGTGGGCTGTACTTACTTGATTCGGATTCCCTTTCTTTCTTTGTCTATTCATGCATTCCATTACATATAGATCTAGATCTAGATCTAGTCATCGCATTTGCAACTGCAGTTTTGTACATCGTTTTCACTGTCACTATGCACGCATAGAAAAAATACTGCTGTCGTGCATTACTGCTGCCGTTCGCTGGAAGTACCTTGATAGCTTTAACTTTTTGCGAGGTTGCGCACAACCAGAGATGCCTCGATGCACATCGCACAGATGCGACGGGTGGGCGAGGGTCGGAATCGGGAACGCGATACACTGATGAATGACGCGGCGCGCAGTCGATATTGCGGAACTTCCTCGCAGTCTTTCGAGCTGGCCCTTTTTTTCCAACCCCAACCTGCCCTCTCCAAACCAAACAACGACAGACGACAACCACTCCCTTCCATCTCACGCACTCACTGCCACCACCCGGCCGTCTTCCTCCGGGCTTGCATAACGAAAACCCTACTCGAAATCCCTCGTCTCTGCGACGCATTCTACTCGGTTCCCGTTGTTCGCACACTTCCGACTCTCCTCGCAACCAAACCCGTAGACATTCAGCCACAGCACATATCCGACTCCAGATGGCCCTAGCCGAAGGCGAGCTGGAGGCCTTGAGCGCGCTGCCTACTCTCGATCCTCCGCAGGTATGAAAATACACACAGTTCACAGAGGGAGCATTTCGCGCTCTGCGCGGAGTTTTGGCCGGAATGCTATCTCGACCCACTCCATGGCTTGGCTGCTTATCGATATGGTTGATTTAACACAGCTCTCAATGGAAGATGCAACCGCACCGCCAAAATACCCATGGGCAGGCTCGACCGCGTACCAGAAGATGATATCGGCGAGCTCGGGTGCTATCTTGACCTCCTTGTTAGGTATGGCGTCCGTTGTTTCATGGGTTTCCGTGTCTATCGCAATGCGCATAGTACTCACCTTCGAATATGAGCTTACGATGTTGTGTGTTCACAGTGACGCCATTCGATGTCGTGAAAACGCGCATGCAGACCGGTGTCATGGACCACCCACCACCGCCATCAACACCACCAGCGTCAACAGCATCAGTGAATACGAGTATACATCATCGAACAGGGGAGGGAGGGCATGCGAAGGGGGTGGGGTGGGCGAGGGTGGGGGGTGCTGGTGGTGTGGCAGGGATCGGCGGTGCCAGTGGAATAGGGAGTGCGACGAGGATTAATGGGACTTGGGTAGGTTGAGGGCGTGGTTGTTTCCATGTGGAATGTGAGGCTGAGGATGAGGGATTAGGGACGAGCGGGGATTGCACCATTGGCGCGAAAATGGCATCGAAAGGTCTGCGAATGTGCTTTACAAGCTTTGCGAGCGATGGTCGGCGCCGGTGACGATGAGGGATGCTGAGGCGCCCGCAAAACGAGCCGTGTCTCACTGTTCTGCGGAGGAAGGGAGTTTCGCCGCTTGCACCTATCTTTGATCTACTTCTGTGTGGGGCATGTCTTTCGGGAATGCTAACGTATCAAACCATTTTCGCCTACAGGACGGCGTGATTAAGATTGTCCGATACGAAGGCTTATCGTCCCTCTGGCGGGGTCTGTCACCGACATTGTGAGTGATACGTCGTCCGGCTTCACTTCCTCGCGCAGGATGGGATATGGAGAACGATCAGGAATGCCGGAGTACTGATTCCATTTACGTTCGTCCAGAATCATGTCCATCCCCTCCACAGTAATCTACTACACCGGCTACGAGCACATCCGCGACCTAATCTCCGCCCACCTAAAATCCCAAAACCAAGACCAATGGGCCCCCCTATTAGCCGGCGCCACCGCCCGCACACTCGCCGCAACCGCCATCTCCCCCATCGAGCTCCTCCGCACCCGCATGCAATCCACCTCGTCCCTGCGCACCCTCTCCTCCGCTCTCACCAACATCCGCGCCATGGTCCGTGATGCCGGGTGGATCGCATTATGGCGCGGGCTGACACCGACGTTGTGGCGGGATGTGCCGTTTTCGGCGGTGTATTGGATTGGGTATGAGGGGGGCAAGAAGTGGCTGGATGGGTTGGACGGTGGGTCCTCTCCGTCGGGTATATCAGAAACAGGGGGGCCCTGGAGTGGGAATCCACCTTTCACCACCGCTCCACAATCACCCACTACACCAACACACGCTCCAGTGAACACCTACCTCGAGTTCCGCAACGCCTTCCTCGCCGGCGCCACCAGCGGCACCCTCGCCGCGTTGATAACCACCCCCTTCGACGTGGCCAAGACGCTCCAGCAGGCCGCGCAACATCCCCCGTCGACGAAGCATCACCCGATAAGTGTCCCGTCGACGATGGAGGTGATGAGGGGTATCGTGCGACGGGAGGGGTGGAGGGGGCTTTTCAGGGGGGTGAGTCCGAGGATCGCGAAGGTGGCGCCGGCTTGTGCCGTCATGATTTCCAGTGAGTATTTTTTCATGGAAGTTTGGGTTTCCGATAGCGGGGCCGGGCCAAACATACAAGTAGGGTCACTGACGATCATCTTTCAAAAAAAAACAGGCTACGAGGTCGGAAAGAAAATATTCGAGCGAAGCAATAATCATCCGGCATGAGCACACGGATTCCTACGCTTTCGGACGGCATTTATCCCGCCCGCAACCCCATCAACAGACACTCATCGGGCCACATGAATCGGGCCCCTTCACATACGCATACATACATACGCCATAGACACTTTCCTTGCATAAGCCATAGCACATTCCAGTCGCAGACCGTGCCATACCATACATGACATACCCCCGGCATCACACACACACACACACAATTTTGTATAGCAACGTATTTATAACATATGGGTTTCCGTCAAGGGTATGTCAGGCAGCGGGGTTTTGGGCGTCTTCCGTGTGGTGTGTTCGGAGTGCAAGGTTGGTCCCGCTCCGAAAAAACCTGGGCCACGACGAGAAAGAGGAACACAGGGTGGTGTTGGAACTTTGTCCCATTTTATAATCGCGAAACAAAACAAAAAGAAACCACACAACAAAAGAAAACGTACACAAGGGTTTGCACACGAGGGTTTGATAGGGAAGGAGGATAGAGGATAGGGAGGGAAGGAGGGGTGCGTGGCGAAGGTGGAAGAGGGAGGGTGTTCACACAAAGCATGATGGGGCTAACGGGTGGTGGAAGTGGTGCGCTCAATCGGTCCGTACAACAACAAGGGCACGCGGCGCTTGGCCATATTTCTTTCCCATCGCGCTGTATCGATTTTCGTGACCTGTCTGCGTTCTTCAATGAATAGGTAGGGAACATCGGAACATCTCTATATTTTTCATTTCGGTCTGTGTCGGCAATCGGAAGAGTCTTTCCCATCCCATTTACTTCCCACAGCACCCGCCCTGTCGGTTCACAGGTTCCGCATTCACGTTCACCGCGGCCGATTTCTCCGGTTTGTCCTGCGCTGTGTCGATGAGGCGCTTTTTGATGTCCCTGTTTAACGTTTGAGTGGTGGAGGAGGGGGTTAGTGGCGCGGTTTCGTGGCAGGGATAATGGCAGAAGCGGATGTGAAGACTTCGAGGGGAAGGAGGTCACGAAAGAAACGCTTTGCATTTTGTCTGTTTTCCGCGATCCGAGAGCCGTGATCTGTCCGCCTCAAAATCTGTTGTAACCGAATACGTACCGAGCGAGTGTAAAGAAAGCCTCTTCGACGCCGATGTTGGATTTAGCAGAGGTCTCCAAGAACTTGATGCCGTATTCGTCTGCAAGGGCTTGTCCCTGTTCCTTGCTGATCACCTGAGCACAATAAGGAATGAGCATTTTAATGATTGCTCCTCTGGATAATTCTCATATCCCTTGCTGATTTTCGTCGTAATCTCATGAATTCGGTTTGAGGTACTGCACAACCCTCTCCTTGCAGCATCTTCGGGAAGTCCTTTCCAAACCCACCTTCTTCTCCAGCATATCGCACTTGTTTCCGACCAGTATCTTATTTACTCCCTCGCTCGCATGTTGCTCGATGTTGCGGATCCAGTTTCGGATGTCTGATAAATGGTTATGGGAAAATCGGGTCGTGAGAAAAATCGCTCGACGCATTTGATGATCGAGATGCGGGACACTCACTGTTGAAAGAACGCTCGTCGGTCACATCGTATGTCAACAGAATACCCATGGCACCGCGATAGTATGCTGCAAAGAGGCGAGAATAGAAAATTGATCAGCTTCCGTTGCTCCCGATATCGAGTTCCCACGAGAATAAAAGTGGCCCACTCACCCGTAGTAATAGTCCTAAAACGCTCCTGACCCGCCGTATCCCAAATCTGCAGCTTGATACGCTTGCCATCGAGCTCAATCGTCCTGATTTTGAAGTCGATACCGATGGTGGTGATGAAGGACGGCGTGAAGGAGTCGTCGGAGAACCGGAGGAGGAGACAACTTTTCCCGACACCTGTGAGGCGCAATAAATGGGGAAGTCTCAGCGTCAGAGAAATGTTGCGCGGGTGAAAGTGATGCGGGAAGACGTGTTGGAGGCGTTCGCCGACGACCATTTATCGCGACGCTGACGCATGGCGCGTACGATACGGTTGCGTGGGTGCCAGCTGCGACCTCCTCCCCATATTCAGCCAACCCCCGTCCTGCGTAGTCCTCCAAAGGTAGCTTTTCTGAGGGCCAGTCACAGAATCTCCATTTGTACCATGTTCCATCTCCGCCAAGCCCGCGCGCTCAGGAGTCGCATCCTCCCGAATTTCCCCACGATCCTCGCCTAAGAAAACAGACACAACGGGACCTCTATCAGAAATACTCACCACTGTCACCGATAAGCAACAGCTTGATTAGGTAGTCGTAACTGGCGGACTTGCTGGTCGCCATTGCGCGTTAAGTGGGGAGTAGACGGCGGAAAGATGACGCGGCGGGACCCTTTCGGAAATGTCGCGACAGAGGACCGTTTGGGATGTGGATTGGTGTATCTGGTGGTGGAGACTGAGTGGGGTCTGCTTCTTAGCGGGTAGAGTGGACACTGGCTGGGTCAAGCGGAAGACTGGGACTGCTGTTTGCGGGTGTGAGCGTTGGTGGGAAAAGCGCTCAGCGGGGGGGCAACGAGATTTACGCCAAACAAGGGCCGCAATCTTGAGGTGGATGGCCATGACATGATGTCGGTGGCTGCCGTTGCGCGTCGCCTTGTGTCCTAATCAACCTGGTGTTCTTCATGGCCGCCGTCTAACTCGCGCGCTAATCATTTGGCCTTGCTCGTGGCCCCCCAATCCTAAGACATGAAGGCATGTGCTAAACGATTTGAGCTCAGAATTCATTATCGTCATTAAAAGAATATAAACCCTGCGGTGAACGCACGTGAGACGCTGCTGTTCCGTCCGTCGCTGTCGCTCGTGCTCGACCTACCCGTTTTTGGCTTCTGCTTCTCAACGTTCCCCTTTCATATATAGTGAATGGATAGCATGTGCATAGAATTGAACAGAGCTGGGATATATATCTATACATCAGGCGCATTATGAGCTTGCGTTCATGCCAACGACTCTGTATATATGTCGCAGGTCGGTGATGGATGGCGAGTGACAGCACGTTGTTGAAAACACGCCCACGTCACTCGATGTGCTCGTCCGCCTTCCCACCCGCGTCCTGAAGACTACAATGTTTATGTTCGCAACATCATCCCGCTCCAGATCCCGCTCCAGTCACGGCACCCAGACACCTACCGAGATGGAAGTCTTCCCAGCGACGAGTCCCCGCTACCGACCCCTCCAAATCCCCGACGCACCAGGCTCCCTCTTCATCCCGAAACTCCTCTACAGCCTGCTCATAGCCGCCGCCTGCAGCCTCTCCCTCCTCTCCCTCTATCTCACCCAAGTCCACCACCTCACCAAAACACAAATGGGTCTGATTTTCGCCACCACGCCCATTGTCGCCCTCATCGGCAACCCACTCGCCACCGCCGCCGCGGATAAGTGGAACCACCACAAACGATATTTGCGCATCACTCTCTCGCTGGCACTGTTGTTGACTGCATGCGTGACGTTCCGACCAGCCTACCCCTTTCTGGTACTAGGAACGATTGTCGTGTCCTTTCTGCGCGACCCTGGGTTTCCAATATTAGACAGCTTGGTAATGACCATGCTGGGCCACGCGCGGAAGGATGAGTACGGCCGACAACGGCTATGGGGCTCGGTGGCGTGTGGGGTGGTCACGGCGTGTGTGGGCATGCTGGTGGACTGGACGGGCGATCTGGAGGTGATTGTGTGGTGTCATGTAACGTTGTTGGCGATTTTTGTGATGGTATTGGGGAGATTGCCGATTGAGAGTGCGTCGAAAAGTGAGGTTTTGGAGGACGATGATGATGGTGAGGTGGAGACGGTGGAGTTTTCGCCTGTTTCTACCATCGTTGTGAGCGATGGACATGCTCCAGGTGCTGATGCTACGACGACACTTGAGGACGACAGTGCCGGTGGCGGTTCGGAAGCACTCTTCGGTGATGTGACGGATCTGACAATAGCAGCTGAGGCCGACAATGATTTCTTCCGCGACGACGAGGATGACCTCTTTGCTGGGTGGCAGCCGCTATCACAATCACGGCTCGACATCGGACGTGAAGACGAGCAGCAGCGATTTCACAGCGCCGCCTATCCTCCGTCGCCGGCACTATCAGCAGCGGGCAAGCAAACCCGCCCGCGACACAACAGCGGGCCATCATACACATCGCTACCGAACGACGAAGAGGCCGCCACTAGCGACAGCGACTCGATCCACTCCGCTCCACCCGCATCAATCTTGGACTTATTTCGCGATCCCGCAAACGTATCATTCTTCGCATCAGTCTATCTGATGGGTTTAACGGTGGTAGGATAAGCGGTTTGCGATATCAACGAAATATGTGACGTGGGGCACTAAGCACCATTTATGCGTTCAGTCGGTCGTAGACGCCTTCCTTTACCTCTACCTATCTGAAAAGATGGGCGCAACAACAATCTTCCTCGGGTTCGCGAAACCCGTGCAGGTCGGTATGGAGGTGCCCATGTTCTATTTCTCGAAACAGGTGCGTGTATCCCACCGTGTTGCACTCGCTCCCAAAATCCACCCATACTCAACACCATGGCTCGTTTCCCAACTAGATCTTGCACACCGTGGGCGTAAACAACATGCTCTCCCTCGCACAACTGATACTCATTGTGAGACTGTGCGGCTACTTCCTCGTCTCGTGGGGCGGCAGCGTATGGTACGCGTTGCCAAGCGAGTGGCTCCACGGCGTGTTTTTCGGGATCATGTGGACCGGAGGTAAATGCCATTGTTCGCTCTCTCTGTTACGACTCCCTGCAACCGATGAAAGTCAGGCCTCCAGCACTCACTTCCTTCTGGCAACCCGCACAGCCGTCCGCTTCGCCGACGACAATGCCCCCGCCCACTCCCGTGCAACCGCGCAAGGTATCCTCACGGGCGTCTACGCCGGCCTCGGCCCAGCGACCGGCGCGCTGCTCGGGGGTTGGTTCTATGATAAGACCGGCGGGCGGTTGTTGGTGCTGTTTGCGTCGCTGGCGATGGTAAATGGCCTGGCGTTGATACTGTTTGCGGGGTGCAGAGGTGGCGGGAGTTGGAGGTTGAGAGGGTGGATGGGGAACGGACGGCGTGAACGGGGTGCGGCGTAGGATACGAGTAGAGTAGGGTAGGCGGAATGTATATAGCTGGCGGGCTACTCTACTTGTGCTGTTCCGTTGTCTATGTTTAGCTTTCTGTCTACTCGATGAGTAGCCTTGGGTTTCATCTGTACATATTTCAACTTTCGCATAAACATAACCCCGCCATTTTTGCAATTATTTTCATCTTCATCTATGCATACAGCCCGGGGCGACATTCCCTTAGGGCAGAGGACCCGCCCAACTGAACCATCTGTACAGTATTCCAAATAGGCGCTCTGGTCCCGAAGTTCATGATTCGAATAGTCGCTCAGTTTATCACCTCGCTCTCTAGACGCGCCTGCACCGCCGTCAACATCCCCACGCCCATCTCTCCTGACTACCGATCAAGACCCCCAAACCCACTCCTTCCTAACCCAATCGAGCTCCCCAGCCTCCCGAACAATGACGTGTTCCCCACCCGGGCATCGCTATCCGCCGCAACAGCGTTGTTCGATACCAAGAACGTCTTTTTGAACTCCTCCAGCCCGCCCGCGACGGGTCCGCCGCGGACGGAGTTTGTCAGCTCGATGGATTTGCCGCCGACATGGAGGTTTCTGTGATTGGGGGAGAAAGAGAGGGAGGTCAGGATGAGATGTTTTGGAGGAAGGGAATGGAGAACTGGGGAACATACCCGACGTAACCAGCAGCTTTGACCTTGATGTAAAATGCAAAGAGACACAGATTGTGGAACACATTGTTCCGCCCCTGCCACCAATTGATATTAGTAAAGGTGCGTAAAAGCAATTAAATGTCTTGCGTAAGCCCCGCCACCTTACCGAGTAAACATCATAAACAATGCCTTCCGCAACAGTCTGGTAATGTGGTGGCCACTTGGTATAATGGCGGATTTGTATCCCGTGTCCTGGTGCTAAGGAAACCCAGGAGCGTATAAGAAATCACGCAAAGCACTTAAGTGTTATGCGTTGGTGTTGAGACTTACTCGGCTTAGCACCGGTCGGAATAAAGTACTTTGAACTGAACGTAAAGTTGCCGTAAGTCGCAAAGTTCTCTCCCGGCATCTTCTCGTCTAAGTATCGGCAGAATAGATGTAGAACGAGCTGTGGTGCGCGTCGTTAGATGATGCGCTGGATAGTGGCGGAGCGCTGGCAGTACCTGTGAATCGGTCGGGAGCCAGTCGTGCGACCATCGCTTGCCTTCCCATTTCGATCCGCCGTTCCACTCGAAGTTGGCGAGGTTATTGCCTTGGGCGAGGGCTGTTGAGGAGAGGTACATCAATACAAAGAGTCAGCTGCACGCTGCTTTGACGTGCCGCGACTTACTTTTGATTCGAGCTACCACGTAACTTCGGCAGTTGAAGTCAGATATCGTAAGGTGGTTCTCCAGCTTTAAACGTTCTTGAACTAATGGTGCCTGGGAACACACGGTTTTGAGTAATACCTCTTTCGACGACGTTTGGCAATCCGATCCTCATGAAACTCACAGTCTTGTACTTCTGACTCAACTCGTACAGCGTCTGCGGCACGGCATTACTCTGTTGCGTCGATTGTCCAAACATCCCACCGGTAGACTGCGTTGCTCCAAACATCCCACTCGACCCTCCAAAGGCGGGTGGGGCCTGCTGCGTCGTTGATGCCGTGATGGCCGCCATCGCTGCCACGTTCGCGGCCATCATCCCTGCCTGCATCGTAGCCGCATCGCACGCGAGATGTCCGAGCCCTTCTTTGCCGAACTGTGTATCCAACTGCGTGATCCGACGAGCGAGCGGTTTGATAACCCGTAATGCTAACCACGCACGCATGTTTTCTGTCCACTCGCTGATACAGTTGTCCACTCGCCACTCCTCCTCCGTCTTTTGCGGCTCCTTGATCACCAAGCCGTCCTCAATCCGCTCTTGAACTTTCGCGGGCGTGGATGTCTTGGACGCCGGTTGGAACTTGGGTATCTTAGGCGTGACGCTTTGCAGACCGGCGAGAGATCGTGTAGGGGAGGCGTATCTCGAATAGGAGTCGTCGTGGCTGTGGTCTCCGGTATGTTCTTCGGGATCTTCTGCTCTTTGCAGCAACTCCTCCAGTGCGCGTTTGTCTCTTATTTTTTCCAGGTGCATATGCGCTGGGGAGGAGGACAGCATGTACTTTGCTAGAGGTGAAACAGGAGACGAGACAAAAGATCTAGGTTCGGCTCGTTGCGGCGTTTGGTACGATGCGCTTTTTGATGAAGCTGCATTATCTGTCGTCGCGGCGGGCTTCTTTGAAGATAGTGATGTCCGACCAGATTCAAACGACGGCTTCCGCACCGAGTTAAATTTCTTGCTTTCGGGGCCGGCGGGCGTCGATGGATCCAAGCCCAGCAGCTTCCTCTGCACCGGCGTCAGGGCGTACTCCGCAAAGCTGGGTGTCGGCTTGAAGAAGCGAACCAACAATTCCACCACGTTGAACACCGTCACGAACAAGTATCCCGCAAATGCGAATTGCGGGATAGATGGAGATATGAAGCTCGGAAAAGCGCTCCTCAGCGCCTCGTACCACCCCACCACGTATGCAAAAAGCAATCCAAGCAGCGTCCATATGTTCCAAACAAGTCTCCGCCGGTCTAGATCAGTGAACCCCTGTTTCGAAAGCTTCTGCGCGACCTCCCCCAAAGCTGGATGCTCCCATCGCAAAGGCGTTCCGGGTGTAGCCTCCGAATTTCCCCTCGACTCAATCCCTTTGCCTACCGGAGTCGCTGCTGCTAAATGTGTAACGGGACGCTTCCGCGGGGTCCCCGAAGACTGTGGTGATGCTGGAAGGTTCGCGAAACTCTGGTCGTCGTCCACCCCACCGCGGTAAGCTGCTGCGAAAGGCGAGGCATTGGCCATAGCTACTCCTCTCGGCGAGTTTCGAGCATAGCGAGCTTGAGACTGTCCAGCACCTGTCCGTGATTGGATACTGGGCGAGGACCAACCTGGCGAGGCCGAGGTCGACGATCTCTGCGGTGTTCCTTCGGCTGAGCGGGAAGCGCCGGGGGTCCAAGGCGACGGACCCACTGGCCCGGGGCTCCTTGGCGTTAAGCGGTGCATAGGAGAATTGCTGTTCGGGAGCAAGGTTTCTCAAGCAGATGCAACCAGAGTTGAATTCTCAGTGAGGAGGCCTTCGGACCGCGATGCCCCAGTCTCAAGGTACTCTTACGCGACGTGCGGGAGTGTGGGTGTGGAGGAGAGGGGTCCGCTGGATTGATGTGCGGGAGGTTGGGAGCCTCTGCTGCGACTGTACCACATCTCTCTCCAAAAGTGCGAAGTCTGTGCCAAAAGACTTCCTCAAACCACCTAGGGGAGTCCCGAACAAGCAAAAAGAAGGTCGTGAGAATGGCCCAGACAAAATGGAAACAATCCCGAAGTCGAGGGTTACCGGGTTCGAACCGGTGATCTCACGCTGGCCCTACAGGTCGGAGGCGTGCGAGTTTGCCACTTCTCCAAACCCCCTTACGGTATTCATAGAAGATGGGATTGCTCATATGCATATCTTGCCTGGCAGATTGCCTTCAAAACTATAGCATGCCAAGCAGTATTTGGATCGCGAAACCTTTTCAGCCGCGTCCCTCGAGAAGTTGGTCCTGAGACTTGGACGGCCTGTCCCTCGGCGCATTGAATTCACAGCCGAGTCTGTGGTTGGACGGATGGATATTCCGTTACCATATTCTATTTCGGATGAAGTGCACGGATGCCCGATAACGGCTCGCCAGTCCTCGTTGGATGTACATCGAATCTACGGCTCTACCTACTCCTGCACTACGAACTTCAAACTCAAGCATCACTCTTGCCAAAATACGCCTTCAGCTTCGCATCCGCGGCATCCAAAGTCTCCTCACTCTTACAAAACGCGAACCTCGCCAGATTGCCCGCAACGCTCACCCGCGTGTCCATATCCGACGGATGATAGAATGCCGATGGCGGGATGGGCGTCACGCCGACAGCTTTTGTGAACCACTTGCACAGGCGGAAGTCGCGGCGTGGGTCGGCGACTTCTTCTGCGGTTAATGTGGAATCGGTTCCTGTTTGAGCGGGATCGGGGATGCTGGTGGTGTCGGCTAAGATGAAGTATCCGCCGTGTGGGAGCGTGGGTGTGAGGCCTACGGACTGTAGAGCGGCGTGGAGTTTGTCGCGACACGCCTGGTATTCTTGGATTGTGCGCTCGAAGTACCCGTTTGTCAGCGTTTGCTCCAGGCAGACGGCCGTCGCTTCCTGTGACAGAACAATGGGATTAGCCTTACTTTAACGGTGTGCATCGAGTTCAAAGGCAGCCGTACCTGTAGCGGCGTGACGACGGTGAATGGGATGTACTGATGCACCAGCCAGATAGCGCGGACAATCTCGGGTGGCCCCAATGCCCACCCGATCTTCCAACCCGTTACTCCGAACATCTTGCCTGTGAGAGCCACTCAGGTCAGTCAACGATTCGTAGAGCATGGAGAGGTTGGCCACGGACCTATGCTTCCAACTGCATTGGGGAAGATGGGTCAGACTCGTATCAGATCAGTCAGGCTGCATTGCCTATCAAATGCAACGTACCTGTGATCGTCCTTTCAAACATCCCCGGTAAACTCGCTGAGGGAAGTGATCAGCCGCTGCTCGCATCTTCATCATCACCAGGTTCCACATTGCGCATACCAAACTTGATGAAAGGCGAGACGGAATCGGGGTAGACGAGTGTCTCGTATACTTCATCAGCCAGGACCAGCAGATCAAACTCCTTGGCAATCGCGGCGATCGCCTCCAACTCTTTTCGTGTGAACACCTTGCCTACAGACCCAACGCATCAACAATCGGCCGGCACACCCCCATAGAATGCCTTTGTGCCGCAGCTCTGTCTCACCAATGGGGTTATGAGGATTGTTCACCATTATCATCTTCGTCTTGCCCGGCTTAATTGCCCTCCGGATCTCCTCAACATCAAACTTCCAATCGTCCGATGTCACAGCCGGTCCATCCATAGGCGGCCGCAGGCTCACCATCACGGGAACGCCTCCCGCCAATGTGACCGCCGCCATGTAGCAGTCGTAGAATGGCTGCATGAGGATGACTTCGTCCCCGGGGTTGATGAACGCTTGCATGGTACTGTAGATCGCTGTGATGAGCGGGATATACAGTCAGTCATTCGGACGGATTGTACATCGCACGCCCCTGCCGTAGCTCCTCACCTTCCGATGCACCAACGGTAGTCACAATCTCCCTGAGAGGGTCCAGTTTGCGGTCGAGCTTGTCCTCGAAGTAGGTCGAAAGTGCTGTAGTGCCCAATACGTAAGGACATAGGCCACGATCATCCTGTTGTCAGAAGTATGGCATACCGTTCGCCAACCTCACGTGTCCCTCACTCCTCGTATACTGGTGCAAAAGACCATGTTGCTGCACGGCGTTTGTGGCCGCCTTCGTAATGAACTCGGGAACCGGGAATGTAGGGAATCCCTGGAGTTGGAAGGAATGCGCGTGAGGCATATTCAAAGTACGACTTCAACGATGGTTTGAAAACGGACCTGCCCCAGGTTAACAGCATTATGCTTGATGGCGAGAGCGGTGAACTCCGAGAAGACGGTCCCTGCTGGGTCAAACGTGCTTAAACGGTCGGCGGACTGCAAAGTGAGGAGGTTAGTTCCGTAGATAACCGCTGGTTCCATTTCGGCCAAACGCACCTTTGTTGACTTGGCGGTCATAGTGGAGGTATACTTGGTTTGAAGACGTAGTAGTGGCGAACCCCGACAGCTGACTCTGCGGACGGACAGTCGAGAGAGCATTGCGACATTTCATTCCCGGAGGAGGGGGTCTTTGTCGTTGCGCGTGCGAATGTCGCCAACCCTTCTTCTGCAGAATTGGGTGGGACTGTGCGCTCAGACTCGGGGAGCTGCCAACATTGACGACTGCAAGTGAACCGATATTCCACCGTTAACAAAATGACCGCCGCAAAGCCATTCAACCCCTGGGTCTCCCTGCGCACTCAGCAACCCGTCGCCTCGTTCAGCTGGTGTCCTATGAAAGACCTCCTCGCCCTCACCTACGAAACAAACTACGTCGAGGTGTTACGGCTACCAGAATGGACTAGCATATGCACCCTCGCGAGAGACTCGCAAGTGGCCGTAAACGCTGTGTCGTGGAAGCAGGATGGTGGGTTGCGAATATTTATGTGAATACGCGTACTATGTGAAGTTCTCACGCAAGACATCTTAGGGAGATCACTTGCAATAGGGTTTGCAGACGGACGAGTGGAAGTCTGCGACGTTGAAGCTGGAACTCTCATAGCAAAGTTCACGGGCCCAACAGACGGCATCAAGCTTATGGACTGGGTATCAACAGACGTCTATGGATCACAGAAGGTGTGGGAGCACAACCTCGACTAAAAAGTTGACCGAATGAAGACTTACCGAACCCTTATTGGAAGCAAAGGATCGTGACGTTTGGAGGCCTGGACGAGAAGTATTTGCCTCCGCTGCCGAGTAGCGAAGGACAGTTGCGGAAACAGTCGTCAACGTGAGTGATGGGATAGTGGGTGTGACGACGAGATGATTAATGATGACATTCTAGGATCAACATTACGGATCGGCCTGGGTCCCCAGAAGTGGCTCCGGGGCAGCTGGATATAATAGCTTCATCCGATGGAACTGGATGGATACAGCTGAGGTAGGGATCGCTCGGCTTGTTTGCTACTTGAGGATATACGTAGGATTGCATTGCTCACAGTTTTTACTTGGCACAGCGTCGCCGGACGGCTCCCAGCAGGCCAAACAGATTTGAGTGCGATGGGTGAAAAGCGGTTCAATGTATGTTATCATTGAGCTCTGATACGTCGGTCGATACTTACTGTAGACCACAACAGAACCCGGAAATCTCGCAATTGTGGTTCACATCGAATCCTTCGAACTTATGCGCCCAAGTCATCGACCAATCAGACAATGCACTCAAAACACTGTATCTGGTGCACTTCGAACCACGGTTGCTCGGCACACATCGCACCCTGCTGTACTCCGTCACGACGCACCTAGCGCAAGTAGAAACCCTTGTAGCATACCTGGAAGGCGGCGTCGAAGCCATCGAACGCGAGAACAAAATCATATCGGAGACGACTAGTAAAGAAATCACCGCCTTTGACAGAGTCCTCGAGGAACATAACATCGACACGGATTTCGGCAGCGAACTCCTCCAGCTGCTCCTCGTCGGCGTCCCCAGCACCATCCTGGAACCCTACCTTACCCAACGTCTGAACCAAGGCAGCGCGCTCCGCTCCTGGCACAAAAGCGTCGAGGCGTCCATGCTCAATATCGGTCGGGTGGCGTGCACGAAGGTTATTCCAGCCATCGAGCGGCTGCTTCTCCACCTTGACGAGCTCAAAGGGCTGGGACAGTGGGGTATACGCCACGGCACGCCGGTGGTGAACGTGGACGCGATACTGAAATGCATAGAGCACGTGCGGTCTCTCGCGCTGTTTGTGGAAAGTCATCAGTTAGAGACCCTCACAAATTTGCAAAACTTCGTGGAGTTCTCGAAATGGCTGGCTGAGAGTTGTCGCGCCGTTGAGGCTGACCCCGAATCTCCGTACGAATTCGATGTGGATGCGGCAGATGTTCGGAAGGTTATGGCGTATGTGCGGCGAACCTTTTTGCCTAACGACTACTGGACGCGTGAAGAACTAGCTGCCGTTAATGCTAATGCCGGATGGGATATGAGCGACTTGGCACCGATAAAACACTACAGTGGACTCTTGACTCGGACCGACGCTGGGAATGATGAGCAGTCTGTTGTTATGCGGAGTTGTGTACGGCTGTATAGTTACCCGTCGGGAAGCAGGGGCGCCCCCGCCCATAAGCTGGATGTTACGTCGATGACTACTTGGCAGGTCGGTTCGGGTTGCATTGTCTCAAATAACTAAGATAACATGCTCAACAGAATATTATCTCCACAGAGATTCCACGACAATTACATCGCATTCAGGATAGAGCATGACTTCAATCCAGACGATGAATACGCCTACCCAATACGTATAACCCGTCGTCCCGCATTGCGCTTCTCCGTTACCTCCAGTACTGATCAGCTCCAATCCACAGTATGCGTCACCCGCCAAGACTGCGGATCATCCCAACGGGCCGCACCATCAGACACGCCATTGGAGCTCGCCTGTGTCCAACTTTGCACAGATGAAGGGGTGCGGCTGGATCACGTTGCCGGCCAACATTTCCTTGATGACGATCAGTTGATTGTTATGCATGAGCATGAATCGGCTGACGGAGGTATGTTATGTTCTTGATCGTCATTAGTGGAGATACTGGTGTTAACGACTGCTGCTTTGTATTGTATTGTTTTGTGTTTACAGTGCGGACAGGGATGCTCTCCTCATTCCGATACCCGGACTTTCCATACGCTTCCATATCACCAAACATCAAATCGAGTGATCAATATTCAGGTCTCATCAACCTTTTTTTGCGAGATGTGGTAAGTTTCACCTTCCAACATCACGAACATGCACACCTCGCTCAGAACTGACAATACCATCCCCGTTTTCCCAGAATCATGAAAACGTACCCTCAGTCAACGCTTGCCATACAACAGTTCTGGAAGCCCCATTCATGGAGCTGGCGGTGAATTGCAAGAAGGGCACCGTGGCGCTGCTGGATGAGAGTCGACGGAAGGTGGCGGTGTTGGAGCAGTGAAGAGACGTGAGGAGACGGCGTAACATTTTGCTGAGCGGTTTGCGCAGGTTTTCCTTGCAGGTTCGAGGCGGTAGTTATTGGAGCAGTAGCCATTCTATTTGCAGTAGGGTCCATCGTTCAACTGTAGAGCGAATTGACGCGTAGATGGCGCGTTATGTCATGTCGTGCTTACAACACACTAAAATCGGAGCTACCCTCACGTGACCGCGCAGTCTTCCCACCTCGTTACCCACCTTGTTACATCCTTGACGCTTTCCAGCATCTCACCCGTCTTTTCTCTCTACTTACGTCGCATGGCCAACTCACGAGGCGCAACAGACGACGGCCCCGGCTACATGTACAGTCCAGGCGCCCTCGGCCTGGCGCTCGTATCTATGGGCCTTGGCCTCCTGCTAGGGCTGGCCTCCCCAAAACGGTTCGAATTTGGCAAGGCGGTCCAAGTGGCTGGCGACGTGGGAAGATCGGCAACGCGATCTTACAAGATGGTATACCAACCTCGTAGAAGCTCTGTGCTTGGGTTGAACTGATCAGCTTGGAACTGCAGGTCTTGGTTATCCGCTCTGACTTGCAAATGTCAACTGGGAAGATTGCCGCGCAAGCATCTCACGCGACGCTCGGGACGTATAAGGCGGCGAACGGCAATGAGACGGTCAGTGCCGCGGGAGGAGAATCTGGAAAAAGGCTCGGCCACAGTCCTGAACGGAAGTTGATAGACAAAGAGATGGCTGGCTGAATGGGAAATTGCAGGACAGAAGAAAGTGGCACTGCGAGTGGATTCTGAGGAGGCCTTGTGAGTATGGGGTACACTGGCCATCGCCTGTACGGCATGTGTGGTTTCCATGGATCCTAGCAGCTAAACGCCCTCGATAGGATGCAGTTGAGAAAGCTGGCGCGAGAGAAAGGCCTGCCGGAGAAACTTGTCCGGGACGCTGGCCTAACTCAGGTTCGGAGCTTCAATGTGACCTTCTCGCCTCGGTTCCCATTACCAAAACGTACTTCCTGCGTTCCTCAGGTCGCATCAGGATCCGCTACCGCATTGGGAATCTTTGGTGAGTTGAACCCCGTCCCGAGGGGACGGAAGAAACGATGATACGTGTGCCAACTCCATGCAAAACTCGACAGGTCCAGACGATGAAGTCAATAAGATCACCGGAGAACTGAGGCTCTATTGAGTCCCCTCGCAAAAAAATCATTTGGAAGGGGTACGCGTCTTCCAGCCATAGCGCAATGCATTTCACAAATGCGCTACACGATCCTCAGCCAACAAACAGGAGAACTCGGGGGCCATCCTATGTAGCTACCGGCTTTGGCCTCCGAACCTGAGTGGCCTGCGATGACGGTCCTCCACCACCCGCCGCCTGATTGGCACCTCCCGCTGCACCCCTAGGGACCGACGACTTTGCATCACCGCTCCACGTGTCCCTCTTCGGTATCGACGCAGCCGGCACCACCACAATCCTCTTGGGTCGCTGTGCGTGTGAGTGGACGTGTTCAGAGACGAGATGCTGATGATGGGAGTGAATGGGTTGCATGGGGTCCACCGCTTCTGTGGCGAGCAAGCTCGCTCGCGATGCTCATGGTGCTGTTGGCGATGGGACCGGGGAGGCGGCCCCCTGCATGTGCACTGCGTGATGGAGCGGCTAGATTCCCACTCGGCTTGATTGATGTCCCTATGCCGTCGATCTTGACGGTGGGACTCAGGTAGTCAGTGATAGCCTAGTTAAAGAACTTGAGCAATAAATCAGACAACACTTTTTGCAGTTCCCGAGTCTGCCGGGGGTTGGTTGAGAGCTTTAACCATCTGCAAGCCAGCACTTGGCTTGTAAACCGTCTCTTTCTTGGCCGCGGAATCACGCCTGCCGTCGCCACATCGTTTACACAACAAAAGAAATGCAGAGTGCCTCTGGCACTGTTATGGAGCGCTTCCAACTCTTGGAATAGTACTGCTACACGCATACATCCAAGTGTAAACTTACTGCGTTCTTCTCGTTCCTGATTTTACTGCAGCGATTCGACGTCTGCAGCGATTCGGCATGTAAGTGTTGCCATGATAATTTGTACCCGACATCCGCTCGAGATGGGTTCTTAATCCTTCTCGTCACACTGCGGCATACGGACCAAGCTCCCCTTCTCCCGTCTCTTCTCTCAGGTGAGCGTCAACTGTTTGCATCGGCAGGTACGTCCATGTCTTCGGCTCTCAAACATATTTGTGTGTTTCCTGTGCCCTTTGCAGATTAGGCGACGAGACGTGGATCGCAGGTTCGAAAAGACTTGAACCTCCATATCAACTCGTCTACAGCCCGCTACTTAAGACTCGGACGATAGGGACGATTCTCTTGGGGACAGTGCGGTCAATGTCTTCTCCGTGGCCTCCTTCGCTACCACTCGGCCAGACGAAGGGGGTTCGAACTTCGGAGAGAATCTCCGGAACGTGACGGTGTGTTCTTCTCGTCGACAAGCCGATCCCTCACATGAATATGGTGGTCCTTCTCCTGATTCCGCGAGTAGTATAGCGACATTTATAATTACGTGTATAATCGCGTGACGACTTTTAGAGGCCGTCTGACCCATGCCCCTCGGCACTGTGTGGGGTCAACATGCTAGGGTATTTTACGTGCACCTGCACACACGGGTGGAACAGACACTAACTAACTAAGCTAACTAGCCCACTTGTCTTGATCCATTTTTGCAGAGACTGCACCGACATAAGGCCAGGCGTACTCATTCAGACTCAGACTCAGTCTTGAATTTGAACACCCTATTCATGGGTTTAAAGATAGGAGGAGTCAGTCAGCATTCTCACATGTTTTCCAAGTAATGTTGAATAAAGCGCACGTACCCACGACAAAGAGGCGTGCGTTCCACTCATCATTCCTTCAAACTCGCTCTCAGCTGTTGGCTGACGACTTGAAGGCGTGGGAACTACGTAGTTGGTCGAAAGTCTCGTATTAACACACAGCTGGCTGACGGTAAAACCACATCAAATGCAGAAGACGGGTTAAGTTACCTACCTGACCACGGCTCGATGCCGTGTTGGATATGCAAAAGGACTCTTGTTAAGACAGAAGCGTTGTTTGTTCCCGACGAGACAACTGGGGGGAGCCGATGGTGCCCTCCTTTTATATCCTTGCGGGGTGTGCGATATCCTTGCCGGGAGTGCCACATCCTTGGGGGGCGTGCGATGGGCGCTCTTCCCGGAGCCGCTAGAACCAACGCTTGAGAGGCTTGAACTCAAATTGAGCCGCTGCACACGGGATGGGTTGATTGGGCATTTGGGGCAGCCGTTTCATCCGTCCGCGTGGTTGCCATCGATTGCATGGGTGCACGGTCCTCCTCAGACTCTACGGTTTTACCCACTCCTGGGCTTATACTGTATGTATAGGAGTCCGTGCCATTACAATACGGATTCTTGAGGCTTGAGGCTGGTACTGTATGTAATAGTACTTCATATAGGAGGTACAATGTGCGGGATGGGTTGTTGCTGTCCACGAACACGGCAAACAATTGCGACAACAACCTGTTGCCCCGGTTAGTGGTTGCAATACATATGTCCGGGATGGGCCGCACCAGTCAAATCAATTGCCAATGTTTGCAATAAATTATGGCAACCAGTTTCACGCCATAATAATACGGGTTCCGTCTCATCCGGGATGGGCCGGGATGGGCCAGAGGCCGGGATGGGCTGTTTGGAAGGATCCTCACATGGTTAGGGTTATGGTTAGGGTTATAGTTAGGGTTAGGGTTCCCTAACACCAGGTTAGGGTTAGGGTTAGGGTTAGGGCACGGTTCCCTAACACCGGCCTTCCTCGCGAAAAAACTCAGAGGTAGGGTTAGCACTCCGCGCAAGGAACCGTTCCTTCCTTCCCAACCTGCTTTCCAACCCCCTTCCTTCCCAACGCAATTGCGAGCACCTCTGTACAATACACCCCCAGACCACCTCCAGGTAACAACAGCAATCCCTCACCCCGCGGCAATCCCTCACACTACCTAAAACAGATCACTCTAAACCCCTAATCCGGAATTTCCCCGAGACCTGCTCCCCAGCCACTTTCCTCACAAGTCCCCTGCAACTGCACGTTAACAAGCAACTTCTGTCCAATCCCTCAACTATGTCTGTAGCGCCAGAAACAATCCGCACGATGGAAAAGGAACGTCAGGAACAGAAAGCACCTCTGGAACCGCCGATCGACAACAAGGATTTGGATACCCACCCCACAGATAACGCAACCCCGGATGAGTTTGACCCTGAGTTTGCCCCAGAGCTAGATTACGGCGACCATCACGATATCTGTGCAGATGAGAATGATGACAGCATGAGCGACGATGGGGAAATGTTCCAGCGACAACGCAGCGACAACGAGGACAGCTTTGAGGAAGAACAGGAAGCATACAGCTTTGAGGAAGAACAGGAATCACGTGAGGGTGACGAGCGTCGTGAGGGAGAAAGCAACAGTAAGGGGGAAGATGTCGAAAGGGAGGGCGAATAATCAATGCATGTGGAACATCCGAGTGTTTGTGCAATGTCCAAGTCTTTACGGGGTTCGCTTAGGTTGGGGTTCGCTTAGGTTGGGGTTCGCTTACGTTGGGGTTCGCTTACGTTGGGGTTCGCTTACGTTGGGGTTTAGACCGCTCGATGCGGTATAGGGCGTAGTATCAGTTAGACCGCTCGATGCGGTATAGGGAGTAGTATCTGGCATAAACCTCGTGTATTTGTTTTTTGGGGTGAATGTGGATATATTGAAAATATTAAACCACCACAATTGCCGTGAGAGCATATTCAATGCGACTATCTATCGATCCTGTTCTCTGGGGTGCAGTTCGCATTCGCACACGCTTCTCGGCATACAAGCGGAGTTTGCCATCTTCTCCTTGCTCGATGACGAACTTCCGGAACTTTGCTCCACCCGTTCCCTTTTCTAGGCGCACGGAAGTCCGTCGAAGAGAGAGAGCGGGCTATTCCATGGTAGTAGAAAGGTAATGCATGTGTAGGAATAGGAGACGAGTTCCATCATCTCTTAGGGTTAGATACACGAGTGCGTGCGCGACTCCTCATTGCTGGGGCAGGTGGCCGGCCAAGCTCGGACGCGTTTATGTTCACATACTTGTACAGTACAGTACTGTATAGGTACAGTACATACAGTACATACAGTGCAGTACCTGTATCTGAATGCGTCCAATTCGACGCGTCGTCGCCCAACTGCCTCGCGTTATTCAAGACGCCCCCCTCCTTCCTATTTCTCCCCTACGCATGCACTCGCTGTGCATGTACTGTACTGTATAAGTGCAATCTGCACATCTTGTCGCCAAGTAAGCAGCCCATTTACCCCAGTTCAAGCACTGTGAGTAGTGCGGTGAGTGGTTGACAAGGAAGCGAAGCCGCTCTGTCACCTTTGCCTTCCCGAGGCGCAAAGGCGGGAGTGTCGTTGGCCATTTTTCGACAGCTCCATTCCTACAACTAACGTCCTAATTGCCGACTTCTCTCCTGCATCGGCCTCGTAGGTGCTCCAAAGCAACCGAAGCTCGTCGTATAGCTATTACCGCTCAAAACTTGACTTGAGCTGAGCTCCTCATTTCCGACGAGTCTAAAACGGCAGGTACGTGTGGGTGACATTCTGACAGCCCGTCTTGCTATTCTCGTTAGTGGCATCTGACCTTCCCGGACCATATACAGCAGCTGGTGCACAGACTACACCCGGAACCTCAGGCGCCAGTATGAGCAGCCACGAAAGTGACAGCAGCGGGAGCGGTAGCGACGACGACGGTCGCTCGCACAAAGAATCCCATGGGGAGGGCTCGGAGAACGAAACCCACGAAGAAGGGTCCGAGGAAGATGCTGATGAAGAAGGCTCGGGGAAAGACTCCGATGAAGAATCCGAGAAAGGCTCCGACTCCAGCAGTGAGATTGACAGCAGTGACAGCGACAGCGAGACTGACGAAGACGACTCTCAAGAGGGGTCAGGATCGGAGGATGAAGAGGAGGAGAAGGATTGGGAGGATAACCCCAAAACCGACAAAGAGGAACGGGATAAAGTAAATGCAGAGCAGTCCGCAAAACTCCTCCACGACATCAAAGAGACGGCTAGAGATCTCTGGGTGTCAAGCCGCGAGCACGCAAACAACCCCGAACTCGAGTGGCTTGACCCGATTGACACGAAAGACTTCAATACTGCCGACCTCGAGAAGCAGTTCGGGAAGTTTTATGAGTATCTCTTTGGACGTGATCGTGTACGGGACAAAATCAAGATCCGTTGGAGGAAGCTAAGCAAGAGCATGGCTACATCAGGTTTCGAGCGGAGCAAGGCGAAACAGGGGGACAAGCGGAAAAAGACCGGTTTTTACATCAACATCAACAAATCAATGAATAATCCATCAATCAAACGGTCCCAACTCCTCGCGGTCCTCCTTCATCACTTACTACACGCCTATCTCCTCATCGGAAAAAAGAAGAAGACGGTGATGGATAAGGACAAGACAAGACGCCATTTGCATTCGAATCGCTTTCTCAAACTCACCAACAAAGTGAAAGCTATGACTGGGATCACGGTCCCATTGTCCCACTCGAAACTTCCGGCGGTCAACGATGCCCATCGGGATCATAAGTGGAAGTGCAAACGCTGCGGTTTCATACACGAAAGCACGCGCGATATGGCTCCATCGAAAATCAGCAAGAAACAGCTCAAGAGGGGTTTCTACGGTCGACTCAAGCGACATATGAGGAAATGTAAGGGCGGGAATAGCGAGTTCATAAAGATCGCAGACAAGACTGGTAATTTGCCAGTCCCCGCCAATCTTCCTGCTGAACCGCCAATTGAGACGTACCTCGAAAGGCAAAAGCGACGGAAGGAGAAGAAGAGGGAGAAGGGGAAGGACAAGGGGAAGGACAAGGGGAAGGAGAAGGAGAAGGACAAGGGGAAGGAGAAGGAGAAGGAGAAGGAAAAGGAGAGGAAGGAACGCAAGCGCAAACGCAAAGAGCAGCAAAAGGGCAAGGACAAGGACAAAGGCAAGCAGCGAGCGGAGGATGACTCGGTTGAAGAAGAAAGACCTCGCAAGAGGCAGAAGAAGGTGTTCACAACGGTGGACGGTGTGCGTATGACGGTGCATGACGGTATATACCATGAGCACCAACATAAGCTCTTGTGTGGGATGCACGTTGTCAACAATCTTCTGCAGCGGCATCGTTACAACCAGGCCGCTATGAATGCACTTGGAGTGCATTTGGAAGCGGCTGACGGGCTTCCAGCGAATTCCTTGTGGTCTCCCGATGGCAATTATGCCATTGATGTCTTGGAACTCGCGTTGCGCCGTGAAAATATCTCGGTTACGCAGCTTCAAAATGACCTTGTGAACGGCGCCCGCGACTTGGCTCAAGAGGAAGAGGCCTTCATCGTCCATCAGAACCACCACTGGGTGGCTTTTCGTCGCTTCGAGGGCGTATGGTACATTTTGGATTCAACCGCGAGGGCTCCTGAGCAAGTTGAAACTGCCTACATGGTAAGGGTTCTTTATGTTGGGCGTATACTCAAAGGGGATATACTTATTGAGCATATCCACAGAGCGCGCTTCTCCAACAACTTCTGTGGAACGGATTCAGCATCTTTGCGGTTCGTGGAAACTTGCCTCTTCACCGGGCGGCGACTGGTGATGGTGGAGCGACTGCGGGCGGGGCTGGTCCTTCAGCCGGTCCTTCTGGTTCCGCTGCGGCCGGTCCTTCTGGTTCCGCTGCGGCCGGTCCTTCTGGTTCAGGTTCTGCGGCCGGTCCTTCTGGTTCCGGTGCGGGTGGAGCTGGTGGATCCAGTTCGACAGGGGCTGCATAAATCGGTGCGGCGTCATCTGTTGCGGCGTAATCATTTTCATTCACCTTGTTCGTTCATTTTCCTTCTAGTTCCTTAGTGTCCGTTTCCCTAGCATAATCCCTCTATTTTCTGCCGTTTGCATGTTCGCATTCCCGTTTGCACATTCATTCATTGTAGATCTCAGTCTGCCTATCCTCTCTTCATCATTTTTTGCAATATTTGTATACGTAGTTATGTTTTAAATCAGAAAAGTTTGGGATTTCACGTCGGAAACTTCTAGCGCAAGTAGCGCCGAGCGATATGCTCACACTGCAGGCATTGAATCTCTCCATTCCGTCGAAAGGAGCCCCCGGGTACAGGAACAGGAATATGCAACCCCAGACCGAACAGGAATACGCAACCCCAGACCGGGAAGACAGAATTCACCACCGTCTTTGAAGTCGCGGAGGCACCTGCAGAGGCACACGACAGCACATCATCCGTTTTTGGCCTCCTTCAGGTCACGATGCTTGAGAACGTACTCGTTGATGACAAGCACAACCATTGCGAAAGTCTTTTGGCAAGGATTTGATGCCCAAAATCCTCTGTGTGCGGGTGCCATCCGTTTCAACGCTTCCCGGTATTCTTTTGCCATGCCCGGGTCCACCTTGTCGAACATCTGACTAACCGAGAAACAGAGCCGCCGGAACACTTCAGAACAAAGGAAGTCCTGAACTGCGGACACCAACCTCCCGCCATGGCCGCCGCGTTCTCTTTGTTGTCTCGTTTCCACTTATTCATAGCTTCATAGCTTCATAGCTTGAGCCGAATGGCAAAGTGGGGAAGCTTCTGCGAGAACAATAAGTGTGATAATTCCGCGCGGAAGGCTGTTATATCTTCTGCCTGCACCAGTATGTACCTGGGGATGGGCCATGGGATCACCTGGGAATGGGCCATGGAATCTTGGCCTTGACCTTGAAAAGATACTGGAAGAAAAAGGCGTTTGCCGACGACGCGCAGCTGTACATACATACATACATATGAAGGTGTAACGTAACCCTTGAAGGTGTAACGTAACCCTAACCCTAACCCTAACCCTAACCGTGCCCATATATTAGTTGCATAACTGTAAGAGAAAGCTCGATGATGTATCTATTGTCAACGTCTCCAGCTCTATGCAGGATGAAGAACGAAGAAAGGAAGCAAGGGCTCCAACCCGACAGGTAGGGTTGTACACAATAAACTACTGTAATGTCACGTGGATGCATGGGGTAGGGTTAGGGATAGGAAGTTAGGGTTATAGAGCAAGGGTAGGGTTAGGGATGGGATTAGGGTTAGGGACGTGCTTCTCTCACAATAACCCTACTCTTTGTCGTCGGACTTCGTCCTTGTGACCTCGATAGTTACGTTTTTCTACAACTGAATACATTGTGAGGTTCTCATCACAGCCGGTTACCTTCGCAAGGGTTACCTTGCGCGGAGTGCTAACCCTACCTCTAAGTTTCTTCGCGAGGAAGGCGGTAATCGAATCCGCCGCGAGAACCCTTCAGACCCACCCCATATGACGGCGGGCGTCTAGATGGCGCTTCTGAAAACTACTTCGACGGCAAGTACATACATCCCCATCCCCAAACACCGCCTCGACGCAATTCATGCCAAAAAGGCGCCCGTTGTCCTCGCGCTGAAGCCCGGCGAACTTCCTCCTCGCCCGCGGCTTCAAAAGACCATCCTAAACCGGACACGCAGCCGGTGTTCATCGCCATGAGCCAACCGCTGCCATCCCTTCGCGACATTCAAGCAGCCGAGAAGCGCACAACCAAACGTCGTCACCTCCCGTTCGCACCGGAGAATGATGATGAGGATAACGGACTCGAAAACGGTCTATGGACGAGGAGGAGGTTGCTTAGTATCCCACCTCACTACCCACCGCACTAAGCACCTCCTCCGACGCCGCATTCGCCGCACAAACCGGTTTATTTATCAACATCGCCCTTTACGGCGCGATCAAGCACCTCCTCCTCACGCCGCATTCGCCGCTCAATCCATCGCCTTCCACGGCGCAATCAACAACTATTTAAAGGTTTTACGGGTTTCCCTGGACATTGACTCCTAAATGCGCTGGAGGTGGACCATCCCATCCCTCCCCACCGTAGCCTTCAGTCATGCGTTAGCTATACGCACAGTAATCTGTTATTTATACTGTCACTCGAGAAGAAAATAGAGAGAGCTTACTAAGCAACCTCCTCCTCGTCCATAGACTCTAGAGGACTACGTTCCTCGTCCAGAGTACAATAGGACCCAAGAGTGCCCAAATCCAGGCTACACCTCAAGCGATTGCGGGAGTGGAGAGAGCGTACCGCGAGTGCCCAAATCCAGGCTACACCTCAAGCGATTGCGGAAGTCGAGAGCGCGTAAGAGCGCGAGAGTATCGGTTTTGGTAATGTGTGCGGCTTCTAATTCTCACCTATAGTGTTACGGTCTGTTCCTTCCTTCCAGGTGTGGATGCACGGCGTGGAGGTATGCCCGAGGTTCTGATCCCAAGAGAGCGAGAGAGAGAGCGTGTGAGTGAGCGGGCATGGATCGGGTAGGGATTGGGAGTGAGAATGTGGATCCTGTTACCTTGAAGTTGAAGCGGTCGGTAGTATGTAGGTTATGCGTGCAGTGGAAATGTCAGCGCTGGCTTGCCTTTATACCCGTTTGGAAGGATCCTGAAGAAAAAGTCCGGTTCCCTCGTTCCCTTGGAAAGTCCGATTCTCACGCCTCCAGATCCAGTGGGCAAACGCTTGTGAAGGGTTAGGGTTACGTAGTGTTAGGGTTAGGGCCAACGCGAGACAAACGCAGTCACGTACTGTCTGTACAGTATGTACTGTACATACTCCGCCGAGCTGTCGAATATCCAGTGTCGCCTTTCTTTTCGCTCCATACTCCCTCCCTCACTTGGACTTTCAACACCGCACACCTACTGGATCTAGGCATAGACGCGGATCGCATCGTTCAATTCAGGTGAATATGCCATCGCCTTTGTCGCTGCGGTGGGTGGGAGCTCGTTGAACCCCATGTCCATGAACGGCATGGAGTTTTCGACAGCCTCATCGAAACTCGCGAGATCCTAATCCATCTGCCTCTGGTCAACAGGACCACCTTGCTCGACATGTCAAACCGAAACGCACGTGGAGTTCCACTACCGCCTGATACGGATGTCGCTGACATAGAGGCGGATGGGAACTGCCAATTCCGCGCGGTTGCCCACTGCATGCACGGTGATCAGAACCAACACGGCGAAGTTAGATGGGCACTCATTACACACATGCGCATTGACATGGAGAAGTTAGGATACGACACCCTCTATCTGGAGTCCTACCTTGAGCAGCGCAACAACGACGACGATCACACCGCATTCAGTGCGGTGGATGCACCTATCGACTTTGTAACCTTTCTCTCCACCATGAGTGAGGATCGCCAGTGGGGGGATGGGTTCACTCTAGCCGCTCTCGCCAACCTTTACCATGTGCAATTTGGAGTGTTCACCCTCAACTCAGTGGGGGGCAGGTATTGTCTGACGCACTACGAGCCAAATCCCATGTACCCTACACCCGCCACGGGTTGGCCTACGTACTACCTTGTGCTCAGTGGTAAACACTATGAAGTACTCATCAATGACCATACCAGAGAACCCATCAGATCCCTGGACAGCATCGATGATGGGTTCCGACCAGTTCTACCTCAATGCCGATCCGCGCGTCTGGCAAAGAAGCCTGCCAAAACGCCCCCAAAGCGTCCACTCCAAATCAGCTCGGACGAGGATATCGCTCCAAAGAGAGGCAAACGACGCACGGAGGAGAGTAGCGGAGGGGTCAAGGGACGGAAGCGCAGAATGGATGAGAGTAGCGGAGGGGGAAAGGGACGGAAGCGCAGAATGGATGATAGTCCGTCTGTGCCACACACTACAGCGCATCCATCCAAACTTATTCGACGTGCCAAATCCAAAGGACGTCAAGCGGTTAAGCTCTTGACCATGTCTGAATCCAAGTCAGAGTCGGAGTCGGAATCCAGCACGTACACCGAATCTGATTCAACGCAGTCCCCGGATGGGAATGCCTCCAGTATATCCGACGACCGGGCCGATTCTAACTCGTCTGTCAGAGCATCGTCCAATGCGCTTGGCATTGAATCACCGGTAAGTCACATGAAGTAATGCATCATTATATATCACATATGGCATGTCGGCGACGATGAACTGACATCTGCTTTCTAGGAGGCGCTGATGAAGCGGATTAGGCGTGAGAGAAAGAACAAGCTCAACCGCGAGCGTGGTGCCAAGAAGAGGGAAACCTTGGCACAGGCCAGAGCTTTTAGCGTACCCGTACTTGCTGAGCCTGAGGTTTGGCATTGTCATTCTTCCGGTGTCAACGAATGAAATGCTTACCCTGACCGTTCTTACTACACTATTAGGTTTCCAGGATCTATGACATCAATTCGTCAAACCTTGATATGTTTGTAGCGGACGGCGGGCTTCTCCAATGCTTGGATGGGGAAGGCCTGGTCCCTTCGGCACCCGATTGCCAGAAACACGCCGAGCTTTTCTGGAAATTCATCAAAGACCGCGGCTCGATGGGACCGCTTCAAACACTGCAGGAGCGGCTGCTTAGCGCAGAGTCCATCGAGGACGCCTGTGATCTCATTGAATCATACCTTGGTTTCCCATTCCCGTTTGCAGTGACATTGTGTAAAGTGAACCGCCTGAGACTTGACATCCCCGGGCAACCCAAGCTCCCGACTGTAGTTGAGATGCTAATGTGTCCAATCAATGCAGTTTATGGGTTCAATGGACAGTCGTTCACTGGACGGTTCATGGGGAACTTCATCAATGCAGTGAAATACGCGGATCTGCCGGAACCTGCTGGAGATCACGCGGTGCACTTGGTACTGGAGCAGGCTTGGTACTGCAGTGCGCTTCAGCGGGTACCCCCTGAATCAATTACAGGGAAGGCTAAGGGAAAGGCTAAAGAGAAGGCCAAAAATGGAAAAACCACTGCGACCGTCGATGACGAAGTGCTGGAACGACAGTGTGATATGGAAATGGGAGAACTTCCTATCCCGTTTTCCGCCAGTGTTAGGAAATCTCAACGAATGGCAGTGGCAAATGGCCCATCCTCCGGTTCCAGCACATCGACAAGCACCTCGACTAGCACATCAACTAGCACATCGACAAGCACGTCGACAAGCACATCGACATCCACATCTACCTCAACTAGCACCTCCTCAAATGGCACGACAAGCACCTGTGATTCAACAATTCCGTCATCTTCAAGCGCATCTACCTCGACATCTACCTCGACATCTACATCCACATCTACCTCCACATCAACATCTACCTCGACATCTACATCCACATCAACATCTACGTCCACATCCACATCCACATCCACATCCACATCCACATCCACATCCACATCCACATCCACATCCACATCACCAAGTGGCAACAGCTTCGCCGCTCTTGGAAATGGCCCCGCTCCTCATAAGACTATAACCCATCCCAACCGCGTCACGTTTGCTCAGGAAAACTCGGTACACTATTTTTCCAAGTACGCGGGCTACGTATACACTCCCAGCAATGGGGATGGCGCTGGACAGGATGCACCGGCCCTAAGCTTCCATCGCTCACGTGGGAGCGGCAGAAAACGCGGCAGTGGCAAAGGAATAGCCTCACAGCATGAGGACACGTCTCCAACGACCGCGGGCAACAATGACCCAATCCCATCCGTCATACCAGAGGTCATAATGGCACTCAATGACGTGTCACTGCAACTATGCAAAATAGCAGGGCTGGACGTCAAAATGATCGTGACCTATGGAAAGTCCGTTGCGTACTACTTTGGTCAAAACTACTATTTTGATGGCCAAACCGCACTACCAGAGCACTCAGTGGATACGGCATCATTTGGGGCTATTCAAGTGATCTCCCTCTTCCACCCAGCCCTCCTCGGACGACAGATGCCCGATGTTATGCACATTGATGGTATTCTGAAAAACTTCAAACCTAATAGCATCAAGGGGAAAGGGTCAGAGTTTGCGGATGAGACTACACAACGGCGGTACATGGCATTGATTGTACGGACATTCACGGAGCTGCAAGCGAGGATTCTTGGACTGATCCCAAGCTGGACTGCCAATGGGCTTGATCTTGAGATCTACGACCGCTTGTACGAACACATCAAGTGGCACTTTAGAGTTGGACGCGTGTGGGGAACCTGGCAGGAGCTTGTGCTTGATTCTCTCATACCACTTGAGATAGCCCCTTACTTTCCCGGACCCCGAAAATACTGGAAATCACAACTCGTCTCGGGAAGAAGGATCCCAAAAAGACAAGAGATTGTGGAGTTGATGAAGTCGTCGGATGTGACGTTATGCCGCAAGGCTTTTCGAAATCGATCAAACCACGAAGCCACAGAGAGTGCTGAGCTCACAACGGAAGAAGTCCTTCACTTGAAGCGCGGACAGGCACGTCTACGTGCTGTTGGGGAGATTGGCAGTCGGTTTGCGGATGAAGGATTCTACTGCCGGTCAATCTCCGCTCCCGTGGATGTCAAGGCATTGCCAATTGTACCAGGACAGGAACCACGGAGCAAGGCCGCCATTGGCATGCGCAAGGACGACACCGCTTACACCAGCGAGGTGGCATGCGCGCGGTTGAAGGAGGTGGAGTCATTTAACAGATTGGCTGCATTCCTACATGCAGCCACAATTCGTCTCTTCAATGGACTCACAAACGTCATGGCGTTTCTGGACACTCACCAAAATTTCAGCGAGGTCGTACATGTATCGAAAGAGGGCGTTGTTCGGCCATCTACCACGGGCTCGCAGCTATTGGTGGGAGGACGGACAATGATCTTGCAGGCGGCACTGAACGCGCTTCACGCAAACCATGCCATCTACGTGATGTCAACGGAGACCACCATAGAGGATATAGTGCGGGCATTTGGACGACCGGAAGCGAACCAACGAATGGTTCTTGATGCACTACTGCGATGGGATCAAGAAGATGGGGTAGACGATGCCGATCGGCTCATGTTTCTTGGGGAGCGGATGCGTACACTGACAAAGAAATGCAGTGGGGGAAATCAGGGGGGGTTCAACACCGTACTTCACATGTCGCTGTTGGTCGCACACCGTGATCCACAGTGTCAAACCATGTTGGAGCAGCACGGATGGCTGCAGGTACGATCCTTCAGCGAGATGGACATTGAAGATCTGACAAATTGCCCGGCCTACCTCATTATTACGGAGGCGGACGCTGACATTGAACGCATGGAGTTCTGGACAATTACTCGCCCACCAAGTAAGGTCATGGAAAAAACATTCATATGTGAAATGTTGCTCGCGTGGTTGGTTGATGTACTACACTGGACGGACGAAACGGTGAAACACGACGCAAAGAAGATATCAAACGCAAAAACCATCAGTGAACTCGAGAAAGCAAAGAATGTAACCCGCGAGACTGACAAAGGGCGTCTGGAGCGAAAGGGCGAGCGTTTCAGAACTCTGGCATCCCAAAGAAAGGCAATCATCGCCGTCGAACCTACATCGAAGAATCATCCACGTGTCGAAGTCTCGCTAGCGGATGAGGATGTTGTTCTTCACGACGTAGATGAGAAGAGAGCCGCAGACGGGTTACTCGAGTTAGCCACCAAGCCTTCTTCTGACGCAGACCCTGACCCGAGCTCCCCAACCTGTAGACTCTCATTATCTTTGAGGATACTTCAGAACAACACCGCACTACGATCACACCGCATTTCATTCCAGATGACACACGAACAAAAGATAGCAACGAGGTTTATTCTGTCCCGACCAAGCCCAACTCACAGGACGATAACTGAAGGGACATGCCACGGCCCGACCAATGCGGGAGCGATTGCGGCTGAACTTTTTGAGCGTGTTCTAGAAGCATCTACGCATGGATCCCGACCGCATAAGGAGGGCCTAGCGGATGAAGCGGATCCACAGAAGGAATACTTTGAAATGTGCAATGCCATTGCTTTTCTGCTACAGTCCGTTGTCTGGGCTTTACATCCCAGCCGAGCTTTGGCAAAGGATCAGAGGATTGCCGACGCAAAGGCAAAATGCGCTGCGGAGCGGGTCTCTGTCAGCTTGCTTGACAAATTAAAGACGGAATGTGTTTTGAGTGTGGATGAGCTCAAGGTCATGACCACACAGCGGAGTGGACTAGATTTCATCGGTACGAGGATTCGTTCAAATGATGCCACACGCACATGGGCCACCCTCCGTGGACACGTCAGTGGGTTCATTACGACGACCAAAAAGCTTGCCGATCCGGAACATGTCATTGGTCGATTATACGGCAAGCACTTTTTTACTGGGACATCCACAGCTCTTTATTATCCTTTCCGTGACTGGAAGTTCACAAAGATGGTAGTCAAGGGTCGAGATATTGATCTCATCATCAAGAAAAGGAAGGATGAGGACGATGAACTGGAGGACGGCCGGGCAACTCTGAAGCACAAGGAAAGCTTGCGTGACAATGCCATCAAGCGCAAGTTAACGATTTACGAAATCCGGTCACCTGAGTATATGATCACCTTCAAGCGATGCGGATATGTGCTACCCTTCCCGCATGCAAGTGCGCTGAGTGGTGCTTTCCGAGGAGCAGACATCGACTGCGAGTGGGGTGAACTGAGTCTGTTTCTCAATAAGCAAGGATGCTGGAGAGCCACCCTTCCGATGCATCGAATCATCACCCCGGCTCGAATCATCACCCCGGCAACACCTGCGAAACCTACCGTTCCATCGCAATACCAATCACATCCTCAAAGAACAATGCCAAAGCCATCCTCGAAAAAACGCGTGCAATACAAGGAAGTCTATCGACGGGCACATGCGGCCATGGAACAAAAAAGAAACTTTGTCCGCTGGAAATATGACCCAAGTTTTGACCCACCCGAGCTTAACGACGTACAACCGACGTGGAGCATCTTTGTAAAGCGGGCTGAGCAACGGACAGTGTGGGGCTCGATCCCGGGGCTCAGTACCATGATCTCCATCGACCCAGGCATCAAGAAGTTCATGGTTGGGTACGCATCCAACGGCGATATATTTCAATTCGGTCATCCATCTGCCACATACATCACACCCAAGCTCCGGAAGATAATGAAAATGGAGGCGGCTATTGGGAAGAAATTGGAGAATCTGGACGAGATCAAGTGCGCACGGGCTGAAGTGGCTCTTGTTGCAAAAAAACAGTGGATCATGCATGCTCAAGAATGCATCGCTTGGGGGAATCCACCACCGCCTTCCCAGGATGATGACATTGGTGAAGACCTCAAATGTCGCATCCACCAACTCGAATGGGCGATCCCAGTCAGAAAGCAGGAGCTCCGGGCTACTACGTGCACATCTGAGGACAAGGCAATTCAGGATATTCGTGATCGTCTTCGGCGCAAGATCGACCGCCTACATCTACATACGGTCAATTTTTTAGAGAGGTTTGACATTGTCATCCTCCCGGCATTTGATGTACCGAACCTACTCAAGCGAAAGGTGGGCCAGTTGAGCCGGATGAACAAGCAGATTCTTACCACGCTCCAGCACGCTGGTCTTCGGAACACTTTGAAGCACCGGAAGACAATTCGAGGTGGGCAAGTCGTGCACCCAAGTGAAGCATGGAGTACACAAGCTTGTTGTGATTGTGAACGGATGGCTGGACGACTGGGATGGAGCCGGAAGTTTCGATGCTCACGTGTTGAGTGCAGTAAGGGCAGGAAGGAAGCGGACCGAGATGAGAATGCCCCCCATAGTAATCTGAATTTCACAATGGGGAGAGCGATTGCGGAAACAAAGCGGGATGCGGCAAAGGCCCTTGGCATCACACCAGAGAATGTCGAGTCGCCGGCGGCCATCTTCGATAGACCGTAGGGTGGACTTCAGTACGGCGTATTCCCGGCGTATTTTTTTTTTCTTGTATACTCAAGAGGGCGTACGCGCTTTTATTATCACTGTTGAACTATGTTCACATACATTTGGGCATTGCATCTATCTTACACAAAATTCTGTGATGAAAAAATGACAAATTACTATGCCATACATGCCCATACATCTACACGCGGATGCCAGCCTCTCACACGTGCGAATCAAATCCGCACACGCTTCTCGGTGTAGATGCGAAGCTTGCCGTCAACGCCCCCCTCGACTGTGAATTTTCGGTATTTAGCGGACCCATCTGAATTATTTCGGTGCACCTCATCCAGAAAACGTTGATCCAGGGCGCTTTCAAATGACACGCCAAGGGCCGTGACAAGTGGGGGCGGTTTTGCCCAAGGAAGGGTTTGTTTCGTCATTGAGAGGGTGATCGCCGTGACGGATGTTTGGGCGTCATTCGAATCCAGAAGGTCAGCATAGAAGCCTACTTGGAAAAGAGGTTTACGCTGATGTGAACGCTTTTTTGTCAATGGTACACCATCCTCCTTTCCAACGGATGGCATTGTCTCCAGTTCGGGATGTGTACGCGGTGTTGGCGATTGGGGAACCGTGCGTGGAAGCGCTGGATTGAGATTGGTCACGACCGACTCGACCGTCGTAAAGGCAAGTGCCCTGGCAGTTTCGGAGAGGTGTTGATACACTTGAGCGTCCAGAAAGGTGATTGACAACGGGTAAATGGACGCTTTGCTGTTTTGATACCAGGTGGCGGTCATCGTGTAGAGTTTGAGGTCTGCAAGGCGGCCGATCAAATAGTGCGAGGTGTCTTTGATGTCCCGCTGGACCGGGAGTTCTTTCATGTCCCGACGCAATGCTTCCCAAGATGCATTGTCTGCTTCGGGGAAGCGTAGGACACCGATCTTGCTATGGCGACCGGATACTGCAAAGATTCGACATGCACCTCCCCGTGAGAAGAGGTTGTGCAAAGCCGAAGAGTCCTCAAAATGGTTTGGCTCTAGGAAACCAGTGTTGGCCCGCTTCCAGAGTGGAGAAACCACGATGTTTGAAGTTCCACCATGGCCGTCGATGTTGCAGAAGGCAAAAGCGTGCATCTCAACAATGTTCTTCACTTTGGGTGGTTTCTGGCCCTTCTCTAGTGTCTCAGGCATGTGGACCTCCGTGTGGTGCGTTTGCAGTAAAAGGGTAAGCGGCTCCCAACTGGCACCGTCCTCATTGCATGCAGCGGGTGCTTTCTGTTCAAAGTTCGTTCCGACAATCAACGTGGCCAAGTTGCTTGACGCCATCCCGCAGACTTTCCCAGAGTTGATCTTGGTGTGGGTTCGTTTCAATCGCTCAGAGATATAGGTAATTGCCCGCAAATTGGAGTCAGCCTCTGCAATCATGTCTGAACTGGCGGTGGCGGCATGAACGAGGTCATCATGGTTGAGCTGTTGGAATGCCGTTTGCGACGAGAGTTGGGCTTCTATGCCACAAACAGTAGCATGTGCTGCTTCACACTGCTGTCGCACGGGTCGTAGCTGTTTCGGAGAACTCATCCCGGGAAACCTCAGATTCGGGGCGTACAGTATAGTACTGTACAATGCTGGCCACGGCGGCGTTGCCGCCTCTAATAGAAGCGGCGGAGGGCTGGTCCAGAAGGCTCTAAGTTCGCCGGCTAACCCTAACTCTGAGTTTCTTCGCGAGGAAGGCCGGTTACCTTGCGCGGAGAGATCAGGACGAGGCAGCGCAACGGGCAGAGAAGTGGAGCAGCAAGGGAGTCTCTTCCAGAAGGAGAGGTCTCCTTTATGCGAAACGGGAGAGGCGTCCGTTCCGCTTTGATGGTCCGTGGGAAAATCGCGAAAGCTCAAGAGCGTCGGGCTCGTCGAAAGCCTCGAAATGCTCGGACGATCAAAGCAGATCAAAGCACTCCGCGTCCCAGTCGGAGTAACCTGCCTGAGCTGTTGGCACTGGTGACGTTTCTCAAAGCCCACCGAGCGTACTGTAATTGTGCAGGGTTACTTTTATGTACATTTTCCACCATAAATGGGGCTACCGTGACTACTCGCTGTTAACACAGATAACACCAGCAACTGCGTATGGTCTTACATTACTTTCCATGTACCGTTTCCGGCATATGTATCCTGAACGCATTTTCAGTTCACATAGAGCAGTATATTTTGACACGCACATCTTTTTCTTATTCACATGCTGATTTATAACTTCATATGCAACTACCTAATCAAGTTCATACGGGTTCCCATCCAAGTTCATACGGCGCAATCCAGATCGTCCTAAGGAAGTGAATCTACTCCATTATCCGGTCCATTTATCGTGCCAACAAGCAGCACGCGTGTGAAAAAGGATGCAAAGGTGTGAAGCTCCGACAGTAGCCGTTTGAACTTGAATGACATAGTGCGGATGAGGCTGGCTTGTAAGCGGATGATCTCAATAGGCCACCGTAGGAAGTGTAAATGCTAGAGGTATGAACCCTTTCAGCTGCAATATGAAGGTTTTTTCTGAGCGTTGGAACTGAATATGCCTTCAGGATAGTGTATTCCCCAGTAATGGGCGTTATCGCCGTTGTCATATTTCCATAACATTGTTAACGCCCAAAAACTCCCGTTACCAACATTACGGGCATCACAGTGAAAACATATTATTATTGTCCATACGTGACGTACGCGTGGGGTTTCCAACCCTAAACCTCGCCCTAACCCTAACCCTAACCCTATCTCGGAAGTCATATCACTGTCGCTCAACCATATTTCTGTCGACAGACAACTGATATTTATGAGAGTTCAACTACTTACGTGGTAGACAACAGCGCAGCCCTGGTTTCCTGAAACAGTAGGGTACGCGGTACTTTCCTACTAGACGCGGTTCAGGAAGCGGTTGTCGCCTAACCCTAACCCTAACCCTAACCCTAACCCTAACCCTAACCCTAACCCTAGCCCTGAACCCTACTTTTCCTCCTCTTCCTTCGTTCATGTGTTGAATACGTACGCATATGGACGGCGAGGCCGGTGGGGGAGAGAATTGCTTGCACTTCGCGCAGTTTGTTGGCGTTGCCGGTTACGAAGACTAGGGGTTCTTGGGCGGACATGGTGTTTTGGCGTCGGTCTGAACTGTGAATGGGTTTGGTTTGGACGGTGGTTATCTGAACGGCATTGTTGTATCCGCGTTTAATGTGACTCCGAACTCCTTCAACTCCGCCCAGCTCCACCATGACTGTCGAAGTGAAAGCCTCCAGAGCAGATATCCGTCCAGCCACCCTCGACGACGTCGATGCCATCGTCGCAACCCTCAACGAGGCCTACAGGGGCGACGGGGGCTGGACCACCGAGAAGCACCTCATAAAGGTAACGTCGCTCCATTCCCAGTGCCACCCAATATTCACGTAACCTTCCACCCTAATTCTACCTGCAGGGCGACAGAGCCTACGCCTCTGAAATTATCCCGCTGATAGCCTCCCGCCCGACCTCCGAAGGCGTCCTCCTGGTCTACCACCCGGCCTCGTCCCCACAACCGCTCGCCTGCGTCGACGTCGAATTCAGGGGGAATGGCCGCGGCTACTTCGGACTGTTTGCGGTGCGGCATGCGTTGCAGGGAAAGGGTGTGGGGAACCTATTGATGGAGGAGGCGTTTGGGAGGATGAGGGCAGAGGGGTGCACAACGGCCGAGATTACGGTGTTACATGTGCGGAAGGAGTATGTACCATCCTTCACGTTTACATCTGCGTGGGGAACGAGTGCACTGATATGGGGTTCTCTTCTGTTTAGTATCATCGCCTGGTACCAACGCAAAGGCTTCGTGTCAACCGGCAAGCTGATGGACTTCCCTCAAACCTCGGATCGCGCGCAGCTGCTGCCTGGCGTCGATGGGCGGCTGGTGTATCTAGAGAAGCAACTTTGAACCGGCGTAGATCCGAATCGTTGAATTGTCCGATGGGATACAGTTTGCTTTCCGTTCTCGCTCTGGGGAGTAGAACGATTCTGTGCAACCCCAGAAGGACCCCGACACACCCTCACAAGCTCTTGGTCAAGACAATGTAGACAATGGACATGTAGAGATGGTATATAGCATATAGAAGCCGGCAGAAGTACAGACATTTTACCACAAAAGCGTAGTATCTTGAGCATCACGACTGTATCGATGCTTAGACCAGGATGTCAGCATCTTTTTACTGTATCAAGTCAAGAAATGAACTCATTCCTAACGATGTGTGCTACGTGGGTCTGGGCCTCAAATCTCTTTTTGCTATGTAAGGGCCGTCACCCACAGAGCGGATACTACGTAATAGGCTCACGCACGCAGGTCTGCGGTAACAAACGCCTTCACCGGTTCCACAAGCACCTCCTTAGTTCGTGTACGAATCAGAGAGGCCAGCATTCCCCTAAATCGACCGCTCCCGGGTTGTCGACAGCGAATGCAACTTCCGTGAGCCTTGTTGGAAGGAAATATACTTCCGCATCTGTCGCACCGGGCAACGGGAGGGCAGCAGAAGCTGCTGAGGACATCAAGACAGCCGGTAAACGCGGTAATGGTCGCGACAGCAGGGGCGAGCCATAGTAGTCTTCCAGACCGCCCGGAAACGCCTTGCTATTCCGACATTTGCAACATGGCTTGGTTCTCTCAAGGTATACGATCGGTAGAGTATGAGAGTTCGTGCGCATGTCCAAAACGCCCGCTTTCTCGCCTTCGCCGTGAACACATCTCATTGCCATAGTGTGCGTCACAACGGGGTCGAAATGGGACCACAAGCACGACTGATAAGATAGACCCGGTGTATCTTAGAATCACGGCCAGATGCTCAGATCGGCTGGCGAATTCCCACATCTGAGTTGGCTTTCGAGGAGCGAGCCCAGCATCTGACAGGCTGTTTCGCCTTGCCGTTTTGACGCTATGCACAACCGCTTCCTCAGCGAAATATGTGACGGCGTTCAAAAGTGGCACGGGTTTTCTTCCCGCAAGACGCATCTATTGCCGATCTCGAAAGAAATCAGCGCAGATGCCGGGCACTCGTCGTATCCTTCAGGATGATCCTTAGCGGAAATATCATCATGTGGCAAAGGTGGGGTGAACCATCTCACGCGAAGCGGTATACAATCAATTGCTGGCGATCTAGCAGCAATTGAGGCCAGTGCCGACTTCTTGCGATCTGTGAGTTTGAGATGGTAGGAGCGGACATCCTCAGTGGACTAGTCGTGGTCTGGGACCCCCCACGGATTCATTCGCCCGGTCGGTTGATTGTGCGAGATCCGAGCAACCCTCACTATTTTATGACCTCCGAACCCACTCGCGGACGACAGTGGCGCGCAAGTGTCGTAGCCCAAAATGGCATTCAAAACGGTGACGCCTTCGTTATCGCAGCTCCTCTTCGATGAGATTGTGCCCCGTTCCTCGCACAAGCAGGGCGCTCGGCCGAATGGCCGAAAATGAGTATGACATCGATGTACTCATGTAGCGAGTCTCCACTGCGTCGGACCAGACCATGGCTCATTCTCTCCTGATCCGAGGACAAAATGCCATCCCTGCCCTCTGCACCGGCTCTCCTTCCGCAGGTTCCACAATCTCTCGGCCAGAAAGCCATGATACTTCGCCGAGCTCACTTCCGACGCTGCCTTCAGCGCCAGAAACTTCTGACGAGTAGAAAAAAAAATGCAGATTGCTCGACAAAAGGATACGTCGAGCCGAAGTCCCTCAAAGATACGATTGCACATTGCCTTGTTCGCGAGCGCAACAGGCGGTACGCGAAAAGTCGTACTGGAGATGGATGCAGAAAGTCAGCACGGAAACAGTGGGTGGTCCAGGACTGACACCTCGTACATACCAAGTTCGTCTTGCGCCAGAGGCAGCGGGAGGTAGCGTAGTGCTCGGCGTAGTCCTCCTGTTGCTGGAGCAACCATCGTCTGCGGGATCGTGGTTGTGTTGGTTTTTGAAGCTGAGGGATGGGGATGGGGTTCTGTGAGAGGCTGAGATGTCCCACGCCCTATTCCGCTCTGTTCTGCTCCCGATTGCCCCCTGGCCCTTTTCACCCCCTTTTGCAGATTTTGCATCTCTCTTTTGCACCGAGCACCCTCACTCTCTCAAGCGTTTCGTCCTGCTTCATATGGCTGCCGAAACTACCACCACAGCTCCCTCCTCCACCTCCCCGTCGCCGCCGCCAGTACCACCACCGACGTTGGCGTCGGCGTCGGTACTGACCTTCCCCGCCGCGTCGCAGCCCGACATCATCCGAGCAAACCAGAAAGACACCTACTACCAGAACCTAGTCCAGGAGCAAGCCACGGGCGTTTTTCGATATATATTTGGTATGGCTCGAGCCCTTACATATGTTTATGTGTATATATCTGTGTGGTGATTCTAACGGTCTCCCTGTACCCTTCAGGAACGCGGACGCTGCTGAAATATCAGAATGCCCTCAACGTCGCTTCTGACCTGACTTATCATGGGCTTACTACCGCCGCTGGAAGCAGGACGCTAGGCGAGGAGTACTGCGATCTCATGCAGACGAGGAATAATCTGTATCCTTCTGTTGCGGTATGTGTTAACGCGAGGAGATCGAGTACTCGGGGACGGGGACGCGAGACGCCAGCGGGCGAAGCCCATTCAGTGTAATACCGAGTGGCAGGGAGGACCAACAAGAGGAGTGAATTGCGAGCGAAGGGCGTTCCCTGCGCCCAAGGCGGGATGTCATTGCGCCAGCAGTAGCGTGGGGTCGATCTGGCTCACGGCAACCCGAGCGCGATAAAGACGCAATTTGTCTTTCACTTCGGCTCGTCGGATTTTTTACTTCCGGCGAGCGTTGGATGTTTGCGAGCAACCTTTGCATCAACCAATCAACCCTCGGGCCTCAAAAATCAAGCTGACCCAATATTCCCTATCCTGCATTGACCATCAGACGCGAGCCATCCTCGTCCTCCTCCACGTCGTATCGCCGTACGCTCTCACCAAGCTCCTCAACCGGCTCAAGAAACAAACAGGTGAGTTCACCCAAAAGCATCAAATACGCATCTATGCGCGTGCCATCAGTCTCTAACCCCAAGCGCACAGCCCCGTCAAGATCTGACCCCACGACCATCACCGGCACCTCCGCCCGCCTCACAACCCTCCTCACCCAACTCCGCGACCTAACCACCAAATACTTCCACTCGATCCACCTCGCCCTTTTCTACTTCACCGGCTCCTTCTACCATCTCTCCAAACGCCTACTGGGGATTCGATACGTATGTACTCTCTCCCTCACCTTTCTGTATATACACGTGGGGTACTGGCGACCTCACGCTAACCGATTCTCGATCCATAGATCTTCATGCGCCAACTCCGCCCGGACGAAAAACAACCCACCTACGAAGTCCTTGGCGTCCTCATCGCCATCCAGTTATTGGTCCAAGCGTTCCTGCACGGGCGCAAGTCCCTCCTCTCCACCTCTGCGACCTCCAAATCTAACAATTCCAGCGACGATTACAATGAGTGCGTTTGTATGCTCGTCTCCGTACCATCATTGCATTCTCATTGTGATCGTTTCCTTTTAGTGAAAACGACCCAACACAATGGGAAACCCTCAACTTCCCATCGAGCGCCGACACCGCCGCGGCGCAGAAATGCATGCTGTGCCTGAGCCCGCGGAAACACACGACTGCGACGCCATGCGGACATGTGTTTTGTTGGAGTTGTATTGTTGGGTGGTGTGAGAATAAGGTGCGTTTTGGCGATTTGGAAAACTGGAAACTGAACCCTGAACAGTCCCACCGTTTTGACACCGGACTTTTTCGCACGATATCTAGGCCGAATGCCCCCTGTGCCGGCAAGACGTCAACCCATCGCATTTGTACCTCGTCAACAACTTTTGAGGCCCGAATGTTTGCCAGTACGCAAAACGCGACCCCTTCGTTTCTTTTCCAAGGGCTGCCGTCAGGGGTATAACTGGTGCGGTGACGGGGTTTGGTATGGCAAGCTCCATAGTGACATATACTGTGATCCAGACAAGGCAGCGGTAGACGGAAAACCATCATCGCACGCTTGCGAAATCCCATATGCCGACGCCAGCCCAGTGGGTGTGAGATCGCCGGCGTAGAGGAGGATAGTGGCCGCCGAGGCCAAACGTCCCTCAGCGCCACGGACCCCATTCAGATTCCCCGCATGGAATATGGATGGATGCCCCGGCGCGCCCCCATACCGACTGATCCGCTGGCGCGGCCCACAGACGAACGGGAAAACGGATCCCCGGGGTGTCATCCCCTGCCACGCTGAGGTCTGAAGGGCCGACACACAGAACGAGGTCGAATAGTACATCCCACAACATTGTAGAGGTCGCGTAGTACATCCCACCACACTCTAGTGCCCTGGACGTGGAGACGATGGCGCGGTTTCCTGCCGCGGACATTTCGTATGGGCGGTTCGGTGGCAAGTCTCTGGAAGACTGGCGTAGTACACTCGTGCCGACTCTTGTTCCACGTCCAACGTACATTAGTCGTCGGTGTAGTGCGTACGGTCATGAGCCTGGATTGACATGGGTGTCTATTGCGACGCGCCGGGCCCTCCCCTAGCCACATCATGTGAGGAAAAGATGTCTTCACGGCGACATACAGTTCACGGTGCTCGTCTGTTCGAGATGGCTGTATGGGTATCTCACCTCCGTGTATCATTTCCTACGGCGGTCGTGGAAGAGAGCTACTTGAAAGTAGATTTCCCGCTTTCGCACGATCAGATAAATTACCAAAGCGATACGAACATTCCTTTACTTTTGTAAATTACACAACAGAAAACAATCCCACTATGACATAAAGAAACGCATAATCTCAAGCAGTGTCGGGGACAAAATGTAGGGATGTGTGCGCATAAGGTCGGCGGGTACCTTAACCCGCAGACCGAAACAACATCCAACCTGATCCATGGCCATTCCCTACTCCTCCACTTCCCGGTGCGAAATGAATGGTCCAGACCCCATACGTCACATGTCAAGTGATCCATCCTCACGCCAAAGACCCCTCACTCAAACTCCCCGACGAAAAGATATGCTCGTCCTCCACTAATCTTCCAGCCCCATTCGCGCCATGACTCGACGATTGCGGCTGCTGTGCCGGTTGCGGTTGTGGTGGCGGCGACACAAACCGCCCCCGACTCTCCCTTCCCCGTTTCTGCACCCCGCCACCATGTCGGCTACTCCCACCGCCGACATCAGACCGTCTGGCGTGTTTAGACGACGAAGACGGTTTCCGGCTGCGTTGCCGGTCCACCTCGCTTTCGGAAGTGGTCAGATCGCTCTCATAGTGATGCGATCGTCGTCGGTTAGTGTGACGGTCCCGCTCCCGTTCCCGTTCGCGGTGTGAATGAGAATGGGATGAGCGGCGTCGGTGGGGCGGTGGTGATACGTCGCTATCGGTGTCGCTGAGACTGGAGGGGGAGTCCGAGGGGGAGTAAGAGCGGCGTTTGCTATTTCTTCCGTTTGAGGAAGATGGGCGGGAGTGGCGGTGTTGTTTCCGGGATGATGATGAGGATGCGTGGTTGTGTTTCCGCCGGCGCTTGAGATCCCGGTCGGAGTCGGAGTCGGACGAAGAGAGGGATGGCGAGGAGAGGTCCGAAATGGGGGACGAGAGCAGACCGTCGTCGTTGGATGAACCGTCGTACCGACTCCGTTTCCTCCGTTTCGATTCGCGATGGTGGCCTTTATCGGGTTTGCCCACGGAAGATCGTTTACGTTTGCGGTCCTTCTGCTCCAGTCCTCCAACCGCCGTACTACTCTCCCCATTCTGCCTCCGCGACCGTAAACGCAGGTCAACATCACTGTCGTCGTCAGAGAGGATGTCCGAGTCGTTAGGATCGCGTTTCCGCTTCTTCCGGCTGCGGTCCGTCTTGCGCCGCGCGGCCTGCAGCATCGTGTCCGTGTCGTCGCCGCTAGAACCCGTCTCGCTGCGGCGACGTTCACGCCGGCGGTGTTTCCGGTCACGGTCGTGATCGCGATGGCGCTCGACAGCCGGCGACTCGCGATGTTTCTTCTTTTGCTTTTTCTTTGACGCCGCCGGCGGTAATACCTGACTCTCCCGGTCTGCCGCGTCCCGGTCCCGTTTCCGTCTACGCGATGCCGTGCCGTCGCCTGTCCCAGCCGCCTCCGCAGCACCAGCACCTGGATCCCCACCCTCCGGCGTCTGCCCCAACTTCAGCTTCAACTTGACCGACTTCCCACCCGGGCCCCTCGTCGGGGTTTCCGACGGCGTAACTTGCCCCTTCTGCAGCGGGGCAGGCGATGACGCGGCGTCTTTGGGTTTGCGGCCGGGCTTTCCCCGGGGTTTGGGTAAGGGTTTCATGGCGGCTTCGATGAGGGCGTCAAAGCGGCGGAGGGCGACGGGCTCGCGCATCCAGAACTTGTCTTCCCATTTGCCGTCGACTAGCTCGTCTTTTCCGAGGTTTTCTGAGGCGCGTTTCTTGAGAGAGGCCAGGAATTCTTGGTGGAGCTCGTAGAACATTAGGTCGGGGTCTGGTCAATCACGCGAAGATACACGTTAGCATACAATTTTTGCATTTTCACATCTGCAATCTCCACTGCCATACCCTCAATGATCAAGTCATTCCTCGTCAACCCCCACTTCGCAACGCCCTTCAAGAAGTCCAAATCATGCTTTGCAGTCCACCACGTCGGCAACCCGGACCGCCCATGTCGCTTCAACAGCCCAATCTTCTGCTCCAGCTTATAATAGAATGAGAATATCACCCGTCAGCATGAACATACCCGACAAGACTGGTCAACGAATCACAGGTACTGTGTGATGCAAAAACTCACATGAGGCTGCGTCAACACATCCAACCTCAAGATCCTCATCTGGTCAACCCGTTTAAGGATCCGTTTCGCGCGGTCGTATGTCACATCCTCCTGGGTGTCCGCGTTCTCCTCATCGCCCGCGACAGGCTGCGGCTGCGAACCCGCATTCCCAGTCCCATTCGCACTCCCATTCACAGAGGTCTTTCCATTCCCACTCGCCGTCGCGTCTCCATTCGCCGCATCCCCATTAGCAGTCACATCCGCGTCCTGATCAGGTATAGCCTCGGCTTTCCTCACAATTTCCTCACAATCCCGCACCAGCTTCCCAAAATACACCTCAAGCGCCTCCGGACTCTTCTTCAGTGAACTGAGCTCCTTGAACCTTGTCCAATCCCTCACATCCGGCTGTCCCGGCACCGTATCAACGCCATACGAAAGCAAAGTGCGTTGAAACTCCTGCCTATCTTTCCGCGAATACTCCTGCTCCCTCGCCCGAATCTTTTCCTGCTCGCGTTCCAATTTCAACCTTGTTTTCTCAGACGCCTGTTTCTGTTTAGCCGATTCGCGCGCGGAGGCGTTCAGCTGTTTCGTGAAGGCTGCGATGATCCGGCGGAGACGGAAGCCCAGGTCTGATGGGGACGGGAAGACGTTGGCGGTGCCGTTGAGAGGGGGTGGGGCCGCGGAGTCGGTGGCGTTTAGCGAGGGCGTTCCGGCGCCGGAGGGGAGTTCGGACCCGCGGCCGCCGGCGTCGGGGTCGTCGTCGTCCATATCGTCGAATTCGAGGGTATCGTCTTTTTCGTCTTTGACGGCGTTATCACGCGCGTCCTCGTCGTTGGTCTTGCTTTCATCCTCGTCTTGGCTGTCAAGCTCGATTTTGGTGGTGCTATCTCCCCCATTTTGCTGTCCCGCACTCGCATTGTTCTCCGCGCCGCCGAACGTCTGCGCCAAAAAGCACAAGTCGGGGTCCGCCCGTATCTTATCATACTGCCCGTACCCATGCTTGGCGATCCCAATCAACATATGCAGATCCTGTTTTGGGCCCCACCAACTTGCCGGCGGGGCGCCCACCACCCTCGGCATAGGTGTATCTTTCTGCGGCTTGATGCGGTACCGAATACAATGCATCATGCCCACCCGCATCAACATATTCTTGGCGCGTTTCTCCAGATGGTCCAGATACTCCTGCGGCGCGTCAAGCATAAACGACCGATACTCGGCCAATTGCCTCCGCGAGGGGTTCGGGTACGGCACTTCAGGAATGACAAACTTCCCGTCCTTCACAAACTCCTCAATCTCAGGTCCAACAGCGCCCTTGACATCCGCAAGCGTCTCCGCATCAATCACCGCACAGCCCAACCCATGCAAAACCATCGCCCTCGCACACCCCCTCACATCCTCCGGAAACCTCCGATTCAACGCTTTACCGCACATCACATCCCACGAATCAAACCCCTGCACCATCATCGCGCGTTCCAGCCGCGTCTTCTCCGCCTGCGCCCACGGTTTGATCACCTCCGCCTGGGCACGGTGTTGCCTTGCCCCTGCACCGCCCCCATTGGCGGTCCACTCATCGCCATCATCCTCGACAACCGGACTCCCCCTGAAATTCGTCAACCCGTGCCGTTCGGCGCCAAACCGCTGCACCTGTCGCCTCTGCCGTGGTAAATCGATGATAAGCTCCGCTTCGGTGGAGAGCGGCTCGACGATGTCCAGTTTGGCTTTCTCGGCCATCTTGTCCCAGAAATCGGGGTCGTTGATATCCACATTATCCGCATTCCCCGCCGAGAAGGTCGCTTTTGAAAAAATCGAGCCCTTTTCAGATTGGGCCGCCGGCGCGTCATGTTTCACCACCTGCGTCCGGCGTGACAATATGCTGTCGATATCCTCATCGCAGAACCGCTGGGACGCCTCATCATCCAACATGGCTCCATACGCGCCCTTCTTCAACAGTTCCTCGATCTCCGTTTTGGAGAGCGACGACGGCGGCTTGGACGCGTCGAACCCTTCCATGGCCGCATCCCCATCCATGCGTTGCAGGATCGCGCGATCGAGCCCGAGCTTCATGCTGGCGCGGTCAAACATCTCCCGCTCGTAGGTGTTTCGCGTGATCAGCCTGTATATCTGCACGGGGCGTTTCTGCCCGATCCTGTGGACCCGCGATTGGGCTTGCAGGTCGTTTTGCGGGTTCCAGTCGCTGTCGAAGATGATACATGTATCCGCCGCCGTGAGATTGATACCGACCCCTCCGGCGCGCGTGCAGAGGAGGAAGACAAAGGTCTCGCTATCGGGCGCAGAGAACCGGTCGATCGCGGCTTGCCGTAGATCCCCTCTCACTCCACCGTCAATCCGCTCAAACTGCCACTGCCGTCCCCGCAGATAATCCTGGATGATATCCAAACATCTTGTCATCTGCGAGAAAATCAGCACCTTATGCCCCCCCGCCCTCAATTTCACCAACAGTTTATCGATCAGCACCATCTTCCCCGACGCCTGAATCAGCGCCTGGAAATGCTGCTCGACCGTATCCGCCGGTTTCTCCTTCATGATCTGGTCCTCGGCGCCTTTGAGCAAGAACGGGTGGATACAGCATTTGCGCAGTTCGATCATGGTGTTGATCAAGTTCGGCACGTTGCGTTTACTGGGGCCTTGTTTCAGCCATCCGAAATTCTTTTCGAGGATTGAGCGGTAGTATTTCTTCTGGACGGTGGTTAATTCGACCTCGACGATGGTTTCTTCTTTTACGGGGATGGATTTCTCCACGTCCTCTTTCATCCGGCGTAACATGAGCGGTTTCAGCAATGCTTGTAATTTCTCGACATCGGCCGCGCTGCTGAGGGATCCATACTGCGCCTGGAACTCGGCTTCATGCACAAACCGCTCCGGTTGCAAAAAGTTCAACAGGGCCCATAACTCCTCCAACGAGTTCTGTAACGGCGTGCCAGTCAAAAGGACACGGTGGTCCATCTTGTACGATTTGAGGATCTCGGCGACTTTCGAGGTCTTGTTCTTCAACCGGTGCGCTTCATCGAGGACGACACAGCGCCAGTTGATCGGGCGGAGCTGGGCCGCGCCGGACATGGCCATCTCGTACGTCGTCAGGATAACGTCGAACTTGAATATCCCCGTAATAATGTGGTTGTTCTGATCACGGTAGTAAAACTCCGTCTCAACAATCAGATTCCGGGCGGTTTCGCGGCCATGGTAGACGACAACATTCAGATTCGTCCACGTCTTGATCTCGCGCTCCCAGTTTCCAATGGTGGAGAGCGGGGTGACGATTAGAAAGGGCCCGCAGAATTTTTCTTTGGTGTAGAGGTAGTCGAGGAAGACGGTGGATTGCACGGTTTTGCCGAGGCCCATTTCGTCGGCGAGGATGCTGTTTTGTCTGTTGTACCAGCTTTGAAATCGTTAACGCGTTAGCATACACTAGAATCACCTAAACAGGATCATAAAGCCTAACATACCAAAACAAGAGCCAGTTCAATCCCTCCAACTGGTACGGCCGTAAGATCATATCATTCTTATATCTGTAGAACCAACTCTTTGTCAGATGGTCCAACCCTGGTTTTCGAGATCGGCGAATACAACATACGCAGGCGAATCATCCATCTTCCGCCAATCCTTGGGTAATGGTCTCTTGGGTGGATGTGTATAGCTGGATTCTTTATCTTGCGTAAGTATCCTTCTGCGGTTGTATTGCTTGATTTTCTCCGCATCGAGCTAGAAAAGACGGAATGGAAAGCCCAACCAGTGAGCATCGCAACAGCCTTGTGGAGCGAATAGCCGTTGAAGTCAGGATACATACCTGGTTGACTAGTGTCGCAGACTCCCAAGTGCTGTTGTCATATGTCTGCGCCTTCCATTTGACCAAGTAGAAGATTTCTCCGGGACCCATTTCTCCTTCATCAAGTAAACGGTCAATCTGCGAAACGTAACGTATGCGTCAACCCACACATTCAAAGTGTCTGCAAAGCGAGAGGGAAGAAAAACGCACGAGTTTGAAAGAAGGATTGAACGGTTCATCTTCCGTCCACTGGCTCTGCGTGTCCCAGACAGGCTTATCCAGGAACCGTTTGACGCGCATCTTGCCCATGGGACTCGCTTCGACTGCGGGACGGGAGAGCCATTCTGCATGGTAATAGCTCATATTCTACAAAATGCCACGCGAAACGATCAATCCTTGCGCAATGTCGGAAACGAAAATCAAAGCGGGAGAGCGGCGCCCACACCCACCTTATATTTAACCATGATCTCCTCGGTCCCATCCACCCCCGTCCGCCAACTGATCAGCTTCTCAATCGCAAACTTATCGCCCATGGGTATCGTGACCGAGTCGAACGGCACCGTCCGCGCGGCTGCGCCGTCGCTGGATTTCTTGACCGGTTTGACCTTCTTGAGCGCCGCCTCCGCTCTGCGTTGCTTGGCGAGCTTTTCCCGTTTTTCGCGGACCGTCTCAGCTTCGTCGAAATCGTCGTCGTCGGAGTCTTCGGGGTTTAGGTCCGACTATGGATAGCGGAGAGTGAGTGCCAAGTTGGGAGTCACCGATAACCAACAACCTCATCAACCCAATCAACCAATCCTCGACCATCAACCATCATCAACGATCATGGTGTGGGGAGTCTTGCGCCTTTGGCGCAATGTGGGGCTCGCTTCGCTCGCAAAAGATCTGAAGCTCGCCAGGCTCGCTAAGAAATGCGGTTAGGGGAGTTTTGCGCCTTTGGCGCAATGTGGTGCTCGCTTCGCTCGCAAAAGATCTGAAGCTCGCTCCGCTGAGGAAAGCGCTCGGTCTGGTCGACCTCGCTACGCTCGGTGCTAAGGCTCGCTAATACAGTGGACATACATACATCATCCTCATCATCCGACAAAAAAACTTCCTCCTCCTCATCATCATCTGCCCTCCTCCGCAAGGGCACAACGGACTGCTGCGATGCTGGGCCCATGGACTGCCTGTCTTCATCAGAAACCTCGGATAATTCCGAATCCGAGTCGAATGGATCTGTGAGTTCCGCTTCTGGGTGGGTGTATGGTGGTGGGGCTGCCATGATGTTCTCTAAATGATGGGGAGGGGAGATGTGGATTAGTTTGGAAAGCGAAAGGATTTGTGTTATTCCAGGCGACTGTTGCTGGACTGGCAGCTCCGGTTCGCTCCCGTCCGCTTCCTCGCTGAAGTGGAGGTTGTCTATCCTGCCTCCGGACTCGACACCACAAGTTGGGCCCCGGTTTGGAGAAGCCTAGTCCGCCCAAGAGACAGCGGAGCTATGTCTGGGAGATGAGCAAACTCTCCTCATCCATGCCGCCCAAATTCCCCCCATCAAAAGTCCTCCACCTGTACTTGAAATTCCCGCCACCTATACAATGGCTCCCCTTCACGCTCGCCATGGCATCGTCCGCAAGATCCCAAGCCAGGGTCAACCTACCAGTGCAAGAAATGTAGTGTGGGGGGGGGGGGGGGGGGGGGGGGATAAAATCGCCACCAACGCCAGGTCAGCAGGTCAGTGCGTCTCTTGTACACACCCGTTGCTGTGTGCTGTGCTTGACTCTCTAGTGGCTTATGCTGCTTAGTCCGATATCTCTGGGCACCTTATTCTCGGCGCACGTTTTTTCTTTTCTCTGACTGCCTGCCTGACGACAGTTGTGTGTTGCTCTGTCTGGCGGAGTGTGTCGCTATGGGGGGGGACCCACCGACGCCTCTCTCTCTCTCTCTCTGCTCTCCATCATATTCCTCGGGGGGGGGGGGGCATATTATTGTTGCTCATAATAATTTTCATGGCGGGTGCTTACCATTTTTGTCACCACGACCGGCAGCCGGCTGAACTCGCGCGACCAGCAAACAAACGAACCTCGCCGTGGGGGAGCGACACCATTGAGATGCAGCCGTCATGATTGGGAGCGGGGGCGCGTCTCAGACACCACCCGCAGACAGCAGCGAGAGCAACCACAAGCAAACCACAAAAGGTTCCCACGGCAAAGAGGTACTGTACGAGCAAACACTTCCAAGACTACAAAGACAGTCCTCTTGAGCGTGTGTTGTGTCTGTCTGTCCACTGTCGTCTCCGTCCACTTGGCGCCCGGTGCTTCCGCCCTCAGGTGAGTGTCGGTGGGATTCCGCCCATTTCTCATTTCTCAATCCAACCTCGTTCCGCAGAAAGGCCCATTTCATGAAAACGGACCTCCCGCAGTAGTTTGCGTCCTTCAGAAATGCGCCGTTCTGCAAAGTGAGTCTCATCAAGTCATATGGACGCTTGCCCATGGAGTCTGCGGCGAATGCAAACGAAAGAAGGAAATGTCAATGAGAGGGCATTTTGGAGCCACAAGACAGAGAGGGACCCCCAGTTCAGGCAAAGAGGGCAAATTTACAACTTCCCGGTTGCAGAAACGAACTCGAAACCGTGATGGGCTCTCTCCCATCCAGCACCTCCGTCCATGGAGAAGAGAAACATCTGCTTAACGTAGAAGGGACGATGCCTGCTATACGCCCGCCCCGGTGCAAAAAGCGAGTCGGGGGAGTCACTGTAGTGGAACGGCAAGATCAACGTCACCGGGATGGCATATGCAAGCACTGGGTATATGAACCTTCCCGACCTTGATTGACCGAGGACACAAGTTGACCAGCAGGCCTGAAAATGTCGACCGCGCCTCCATGCGACAGATCATGGCAGGAACGACCGGTATCACACCTGTTCTCTTGCTACGGATGCTGCTCCAAGACTTGCAAGGAAGCATTTGCGGTCTATCGAGAAGACTTCGACAGATTTGCCCAACCAGAAAACATGTTTGACAGTCAGGGTGGCAGCGAGGACTTGTGTTGGGGAGGTGGGGAGGAACGCTCAGCTCCATGTGGGTGGAATGCTGATTGGAGCACACCCGCCCATGAAGGTGATGGCCAGACTGTTCACGACAATGTCCAGAGGCATCTCATAGCGCATCAGCGTCATCACCTCTGCTCTGATGGGTACGTGTGACTATAACCATGGAGGTGAAATCCGAAACTGGATCCTGGGCCGCTTTCAAAGCAAGGGATGTTTTCTTGCGCTGCAGATTTGCACGGACCCCACTTCCATCCCCATTTGGTTGTCCCGCACGACCTCCACAATATGTACACCGTCAAACGGGGGTTTGCTCACTCGCACATACGCCGACCCACCATCACCCAGTACAAGCGTATCAATCGATACGTCCCCTATATACACATTCGTCCCTACCTGTAATCCACCCCCCACCCATCTCATCACGCCCGTGATCTCACATCATATCATCCCATGCCCCCTCATCCGCCGCTTAACCCCGCCAATCGCCTTATCGACATCATCCAGCTGCGCCTCGATCTCTTCTTTCCGGCGCCGCGTGCGGCCGCCTGTGAGCGGCATCTTGCTCATTTCCGATGTCAACTAAAACCAAAATCGGCAGGTTTAGACATGATTGGGGGGGAGTAACTGTGGAGTATGGGGGACGTCCCACATCCCGAAAACAGTGCCACGAAAAAAAGACAGGAAAGCACCACACACGTACCGCCGCCTTCGTAGCCGCCAGCGCGGCCAGCTCCCGATTCAGCTCGTCCCTCGTTTGCAAGTACCCGTTCTGCGCCGCCGGCGGTGTCGGTGTCACAGGGGTCCCGCCGGCGAGCGTGTTCCCCTTCGCCGGCGAGAACCCATGCCCGGGACTATGCCCGTCCGCCCACGCCTCCCCGGTGTGTCCCGCCCGCCCCTTGTGCGCAGTGTATACCCCGCCAGCCACCTCCGCGCGCCTCCCGGGGTTCGCAAACGGGTTGTCGGCCGACAGAACCGAGGCCGACATGCGCGGTGACATCCTCGGCGACGACGACGCGGTCAACGGCGCTGCGGCTACGGCGGGGAGGTGCGGGTCGGACTCGTACAAGCGCATCTTTTCCGCAAAGGAGCGGCGTTGATGGTCGGTGGGTGATGTCGTCGCGTACGGCGACGTCGCTGTTGTGGCGTACGGTGACGTCGCATAGGGTGAGGAGTCCTGCCGCGTGTACGGATGCTGATCCCACGCGGTGACCGACATCGATTTCGCGCGGGATAGGGCGGGGCTGTGTGTGCGGGAGGTGAATGCGCTGGGGACGCGGGAGGGCGGTGCCGTTGAGATCCGCGACGAGGGCGTGGTAGGGTGCCCCGCATCGGTGGTGGTGTCGTGTCGCATCTCCTCCACCATCCTCCTCAACGCCGCATTCTCGCTCTGCACCTCCTCCAGTTTTTCCCTGAAGAAGCCATCCCCGTTCGAGATGGGCGCGTTGGGGGCCTCATACTGCATCCGTCGCAACTCGGCACGGATGGTCTCCGTCTCCTCGTGTGCGGAGTTTAGCTGCTCCTGCATCGTGCGCAGTCTGCGGGAAAAGATGCGGAACGACTGTTCGCCCGTCGATTTGGCGACGTCGGCGGCTTTGAGGCGCTCGTAGAGGTCTTCCTTCTCGTGGTGAAGGGCCTCTATCACACTTTCTAGTTCGAGTTCGCGTTGAGCGGACATTGTTGCTAGGCGAGGGAAGAGGTTAAGCAGTTGCCGCATTCAATCCTCTGCTTCTGGGATAGTGGTCCTGAAAAGGCGAACGGGTTCGTCTCACCTTGAGCATTCTTCTCCTGCATCTCATAGACCTGCCTTGCCAACCCCGCATTCTCATTCCTCAACCTCGCGTTCTCATCCTGCAATGCTCGGATCTGCAACGCACCCACAACGAGATCAGTCCCTCCGCAAAACCCATCCTTACACCACCAACGCACCCCAACACACCTGCTCCTCACCCGCCCTCCTAACCCCCTCAACCACCCCAGCGGCCTCATCCAACCGCGCCTGATACATCTCCCGCATCTGCGCCTGCGCCTCCTTGACCGTCTTCATCTCCGCCAGCTGCACATTGACCTTCGCGGCCTCGGCCTCGAGTCGGATGCGCACGGATTCTGAGATATGCAACTGGTCGCGGAGCCAGGTGAGTTCTTCGTGGGCGCGTTTCAGTTCGTACGATGTGTCGATTGCGTCGGTGGTTGTTTTCACGTCGTCGGTGGGAATGATATGCCTCGGTGGTGACGATTCGGCAAACGAAGGGTCGATGCTTGGGGAGGTCTCCTCCTCGTCCTTTGAGTCGTCGTCGAGGAGCGGGATGAACCCCGACCGACTGGCGAGTTGATTCCGCGATGGGGAGAGGGATGCACACCGGAGCTGCGAGGCGTCTTCGGCGTAGGAAGTGAGATGCTCGAGTCGGAGACGGGACCCGTCGTCTACGTAGACTTGCTCGTCCTGTGTCAACGATGCCGACACGTTGTTTGCGTTGTCGTCGTCTTCGTCGTTGAGGAGACCTGTTTCGTCTTCTTTCTCGCTGTCGTGCTCCTGCTTTGAGTCTGGCTCTAGTGGTTCCAGCAACCCGGAGATTGATGATATGTCCACCTCTGCCTCCGCCTCCGTCTCTGCCTTGTCCTCTGGTATATCCTCCTCTATCCGATCCTCATCGATATGTGGCAGCGACAGATCCGTAACATTCACCTCAAAGTCGTCCTCCTCCCCAAAATCCGTTCCCACCGTCCGCGGCGTCTGCCTCCCACTCCCCTCCACCAGCGTCGCCTCATCAGCGCTCGCAGACCCATCCCGCCGCGCACCATCCCCAATGCGTAGCTGCTGCGGCGGTTTCGTCGGACTAGATAAGTTCCTCGTCGACTTTGCGAAACTACTGGTAGATAGACTGAACAGGGATTTGGTGAGGTCGTTGTAAGGGAAGTTGGGGTCGTTCATTGCTTTGCGGGCCGTGAAGAGGAAGCTTTGGGATATGCGTTTGGGGGTGCGCGGGGAGGTTGTTTGGGAGTGGGAGAGGACGTCGGGACGGGTGAAGGGTGGGGCTTTGCGGGTGAGCCAGGCCTCGGAGGGCGTGATGGAGTTGGGGAGTGGTGGTGGTGGAGGAGGAGGTGGTGGGTTGTCGGGCTGGTCCTTCAGCATGGCGGCCGGGCGGGGTTAGAGTCGTGTGCAGGAGGGTGGAGTTGCTGCCCGATGGGGGGTGAAGTTGAGTTGGGCGAAAGGGAGAGGACGGTTGGGAAGGAACACCTGCGACGATGTCCGAAAGGGAACCCACGCACCCAGACGTGCAATCCAGCCAGTCGCAGGGGGCGGGTGGAGTCGCTTGTGATTAGGCGCGCGATTAGAAAAGGGGGATGGGAGTGGATTGTTCTTCTAGTTCTGATGCTTAGCACACCGCGTCACCCACCCCCCCACCGCCAGCGAGACAGCCGAGTGTGCAAAAGAGCTCCCCTCGCTCGCGCACTTTCTCTGCAACAGGCTCATACTCGCTGCGTCTTGCAGGCTGCTATATAGCTGTTCCTTGAGTCGTCCTCACGCAATGCCGTCGTGTAAAAGCGTCGTCTGCCGGCGCTCAACTACCGCCTCCACCTTCGCCACCTTCGCCACCACCCCCGTAAGAGGTCGTCAGCAACCCTGCCTCGGCGCCCGACGAGCGAGCTCCATAGCAGCGCCACCTTCGTCGGAGTCTAAGGAACTACTGAAAGAGGATCAGCCACAGACGAGGGGGACCGCGGAAAGTCGCGGCCGCGTAATGCCAGTGGATGTCAAGACACCTCGCACGAATGCAGCACGCAACCACTTGCCGAGTCAGAAGCGACCGTATTTGTTTACCAAGGGCTCTCAGCTGGGGCGGCAGTTGGTGGCGGAGATGGAGACGAAGCGGGAGGGGAAGGCGGCAGAGCAAACGCTACTTCCCCAGTCGAGAGGCCGTCTACGCCCAGAGATCATGATACCCGAGCGCCGCCCACCACATCTATTCAAAGCAAACACCATCAAAGCTTCTCTTCTGGACCAAATGAGGATCGATGGGTCCAACAATAGGCGAAATCGGCCACATCACCACGAATGGGACGCAGATCTCGCACCCCAACCCCCATCCAAAGACCCGACCGCCATTTCCAAAGCAACAGACTTCACCGCCCGCTTAACAGATCCCAAATACCCACCACTCTCAACCGACGAACTCGTATCCTGGACCCGCGAAAAAACCGACTGGCTACGAAACCTCTCCCCCGAGACCGTACACACCGTCTTCACCGAATTGAAGAGTCGCAAAGCCACCCGCCAGCTACGTATAGAAGACTGGCACCGTCTCATGCAACACATGCTCGCGCGCACACCCTTCACGCAGCGGAATCCTGCATCCTACCCGGCGCGAGCTGTTGCGGTGTTGAAGGAGATCAAACACTGCAGCATCACACCCGATCCGCTCATGTACGCCTTCATCTTCCGCGCGATGAAAGATCACGAAAAAAAGATCGAAGAAATGCACCGGTTCCTGTTCGTCGATAATCGCGCAACTCCACCGGCCCTGGATAGTTACTCCGGTAAATGCTGGCGGACCATACTGGCAGTCTACCTCCGCCGCCCCACCGCGCACCGCCTCCTCACCGAAGCCCGCGACCTGTGGCGTCTCCTCCGCCAAGCCGGAATCCAGCCGGATAAGTTAACCTGCCACGCCTTTCTCGAAGCCTTTGCGTCACAGCGCCTCACAGAACGGGTTAAAGTGGCCCGTGACCCCAAGGGTGTAGCCGAGGTGCATAATTTCATGCAGTTCACCGCGTCGGAACGGAAACTGGACCCGGTATCAGCGGACGCGGTGATGGCCGCGCACGACGCGTGCGGGAACGACAAGAGCGTCGTGAACATGTTTGAAGCGAGGACGGAACGCGAGCGGGTGAAGTTGGGGGTTGTGGCGTACACGACCGCGATCCGGGCTGCTCACCGGCTGGGCAAACACAACATGGTGCTAAGACTCTACCTGCAGATGCAGAGGGAGGGGATCACACCCAATGACGACTGTTTTGGGTTTGCGGCGCTTGCGCTGGCGCATTACCCGCATCCGGGGCATGAGATCCGCGAGACCGTTTATGAGCCGTTGGGGAGGGTGGTGCAGCAGCGTAGGGAGATGACCCGTGGGGAGGGGGAAAACCGGCAGGACCCGGCTGTGGCAGCGTACACGAAAGTGTCGTCGAAATCGTACGAGATGCTCATCGAAGCCCTGCAAAAGTCGCGGGATTGGCAGCTTGCGTTACGGGCTTATCAGGAACTGAAAGCGTTGCGTGAGGTGGAATTCGCTGCTTCTGCACTTCAACACTCATCTTCCACTCCGCGCTCCTCCACCCCCGCCCACGAGTCACAACCCCCACCCCACCACTCGCCCCGCAACCACCCCCTCACCTCCCGCACAACCCTCCACCACGTCCTCCACTGTCTCGGCCACAACGGACGATCCATCGAAGCGCGCGAATTCCTCCTGACCCACGTCGCATCCGCGGAGCGGTTGACGGCGTATTGGACCCGCATCGTGAATGGAAAGTTGAAGGCGGCGCGGGTGCGGAGCGAGAGGGAGAGGCCCGGGTTGGAGGCTACGCTCCAAACCGCCGTCCTCGAATTGGAGGCGTACGAGAAGCAAGCGTCCGCCATCACCCACGACGACGATAAGGGAGACGCTACACCGAAACAACAGAAGGCAAAGAGAAAAGGAGGACAGCAAGTGACACAACGCTACCACAACAACCTCCACTACACTGTCCACACCACCCGGCTCGCCCTCACCTCCCTTGCCACCGCCCTCACGCACCCCATCCCCGAACTCCTCGCCGGGTCCGCCGGCCCTCTCAGACTCGCATACACGGGATTCGTCGAGGGGTGGCGGGGGTGGGCTGTCTCCCTCGGTGGGGAACAAACGATTGCGGACAAGGCGAAGAAGGAAAGGATGGTAGCGGAGGCGTTTCTGGAGATGGAGGAGATGGTGAGGGGGGTTTGGGAGGTTGAGATGGGGTTGGTGAGGGAGGTTGTGCGCGGGTTGGGGGTGGAGGTTGAGTGGGTTCCGGGAAGGGTTGAGGATGGGGGTGGGGTCGTTGGGATGGATGAACCGGCGACGAAGGGTGCGGAAGTAGGTGAATGGGATGAGACGTCGGAATGGGGGTTGAGGAGTGGACAGGATGCTGCGGCTGATGGCGAACGGGCAAGTGCAACCGCGGGTCCTGCACATGAAAGCGACGACGCGGGGATGGCGGTGCAATCGGGGGGTGAAGACATCTCTGTCACGGAAGCGACCGAGGCGCAGGACGAGACTAGTGATGTGCGGTCTGTCACCCGCCGCGCAGACCCGACGGCGGCGACAACATCCGAAACCAACCCCGCATTCGTTGTAGCAGACTCGACACATGAGGCCGTCTCGGCGCCTGTCACGCAGGACGTTGATTTGGGACGAATCGAAGCAGAGGCTGCGGGGATAGAGTCAGATCCAAGCCCGGCCACCCCTCTCGACGAAACCACGACGCAAGAAGCCTCACCGGCCGTCGCCAGCAGACGAGCTCATCTCGGATACTTCTGAACTGTGTTGTTGGGTTCGAGCTGGGGGGTACGTGGGAACGTTGCAGATGAGAAATCACCAGGAGAAGGGACTCCTCCCTTCTTCGTGGATGTATGTAGAGGGAAACTGGAGATCATGCAAGCTACTGTAGATTCATGTAGAGTAGATAGCAGGGGGCGTTACGGGCGTAGGCGCATGTAGTGGAATGTAACTGGCTCTCGAAACAGCGGAAGAACAAGTTCATGGGGATGTGGTTCTTTCTTTGCCTTTCTTGGAACCTTGCGACGCGTCTCGGTCTCTGCGTGTCTGCTGTGCTCTCTTTGCTCCCCCCCATGGCCATGAGAAACCATTGACGGACTGACGACGGCAGATTTCACGCAGCAGCACAGCACACACAAGCACCGGCACACCCACAATGGCCGACCCAGCCTCCTCATCCCCAACCTCCCCCGCACCCTCAGAGCCCGACGACCCCGCCTCCCTCCCCGCCCTCGGCTCCCACGTCCACGTCTCAGCCGGCCCAGGCATCGTCCGCTACGCCGGCCTCACCGCCTTTGCGCCCGGCTCCTGGGTCGGTCTCGAGTTACAGGAGCCCAACGGCAAGAACGATGGCTCCGTGCAGGGGAAACGGTACTTTGATTGTCCACCGAATTACGGGGTTTTTGTGAGACCGAGTCAGGTTAGGGGTGATCATCTTGGCTCGCCGAGAGTGGGTGGGAATGGGGAGGGCGCAGTGCAGGCTACACCGTTGCCACGGACCCGGCCGGCGTCTGCGCCGACGAGGACCATCACGCCGCCGACATCGCGATTATCGATTTCCCGGGCGCCGATGTCGGCTACCACCACCACCAACACCACCACGGGCCGCCCAAGCTCGGCCTCTGTGTCCCGCCCGCCTTCCTCGCTAGGCGGTCCTCCACCATCCTCATCCACCGTCGGCACGCGATCTCGAAAACCTAGTCTGACGCGTGCGAGCACGACCACAGCGGCGACAACGGCAGCGGGCGGTGCGAGTTCGTCCCACGTTAGATCCCCGATCAACACTCCGACGTCTTCGGGAGCCACGTCGCCGAAACTGCGGAGGTCGACTATTTCACCGGTTGGGTCGACGGGGTATGTTGCGCCAACGACGACGGCGAGGAGGACTTCGAAGGTTGGGGTTGGGGCGGAGAGGTCGTCGGTTACGAGGGTGGCGGGAGGTGGCGCCGCTGCTGAGCGGACGTCGATTACCCGGCCCGCGGTTGGTGAAGCTGAACGGCCCTCCAGGCGGTCGATTGGGGCTGAGCGGGCGTCGGTTACGAGAGTGGCGGCAGCGGTTAAGCATGCGAGTAGTTCAAGCACTCCGTATACTGCGTCTCCGCCTGATACCCCGTCAGCGGAAATCGAGGCAGTGCCGCATACCCTCTCTGCTGTCATAGAATCGACACATGCGCTGAACTTGATACAGCAGTCGCGCTCTGAATCACCTTCGGTCATGTCTGAAGATGTCGTGTTAGAGGATGTTGGCGTCGATGAGATGTCTTCTGCAGACAATAAAGGCCCAGTGGTGGATGTGGAGAAGCAGGACACCGTAGTTGAGCAGGATAAGGCGGAGGAAACGGTACCCTCAGCATCGGTACCGCCTATGCCCGCGGAGGGGTGGGCAGAGAGCCGCGCGCCGTCCGACCGACGTTTGTCGTTTTCCGCTAGTCAGGTACCGGCCAGTCCCGCAAAGTTCAGCCAGGTAGGCCAAAGTGTGCGTCGCAAACTGCAGTTTGATCGTGCAAACTAAATCCTTTCCCCCATCAACCCCTTCTCGCAAACGAAAGCTCGTCCCCCTCCGCGACCTTGAAGAACTCCGCATCAAACTTACCCACCTCGAACTCAAATCCGCGCAAGACCGCGAAAAGCTCGTCGAACTCGAACGCATGCGCGTAGAACTCGACGCAACCACCACGGCCAAACACAAACTTTCGGAAAAGCTACAAGAAGTCCAGTCCGAAGTCAGTGGCCTCCGACGCAGTGTGCGTGACGCCCACGATGAACGCGACCGCGCGAATGCACAGGTGTTGGAGGTGCAGGAGAATATGGAGATTATGCTGTTGGATAAGGAGATGGCGGAGGAACGGGCCGAGTCGTTGCAGGCGGAGGTTAGGATACTGGAGGAGAGGGTGGAGGAGTTGAGTTTGGATTTGGAGGTTCTGAAGCAGGAGCGGGAGTTGGATTTGGATCAGGGGACTGCCAGAGATGAGGGGGGTGGCGGGCTCGCGGCGGCGGAATCAGTATCAGCAAACCCCACACAGCCGCGCACAGCCGAACAAATCTCACAAACCCAACTCGAACGCCAAAACGAACGCCTCAAAGAAGCCCTCATCAAACTCCGTGACGTCTCCTTCCAAGAAGAATCCAACCTCAAATCTAGAATAACCGCCCTCGAAGAAGAAGTCGCCGAGCTCGAGGCCTACAAAGACCAGTACGCAAAAGCGACCGAGGAATTACTCGCCGCCGAATCCGCCGTCGACGAGCTCAAAGCCATGATGGACGACTCGCTCGGCGTGGAAGATATGGTCGGCGCCCTCACGGAGCGGAACATGGCGCTGAACGAGAAACTCGAGGACGCGAAAGCCGTGATCCGCGATTTGGAGGCGTTGAGGGAGTTGAATGATCAGTTGGAGGAAGATCATATTGAGACGGAGAATCTGCTGCAGGAGGAGATTGAGGTCAAGGAGGCGGTGGTGGTGGAGCAGAGGGCGAGACTGGCGGCGATGGAGGATGCGTTGGCGGATTCGGATCGGACGATTCAGCAGTTTAGGGAGCTTGTGAGGACTTTGCAAGGCGATTTGGAGAATTTGGGGCCAGCGGTGCAGGATGGCGGTGCGGATGCCGCTGAAGTGGATTCAGCCGGCGACCGCAATCTTAACAGTCAGAGCCAAGCCATGATCAAACTACAACTCCAGCTCCAATCCACACAAGCCAAAGCCCACGCGCGCTCCGTCGAGCTCGAATTACGCAAACTCGAAGTCGAGCAGGCCAATCTGCACCTCAGTATCCTGACACCCTACCTCCCCGAAACCTTCTTCCAAACCGACCACAGCTCCATCGCGGCTCTGCTGCTGTTCAAACGGATGCAGTTCAAGGCCTTGTTGCTGGCCCGGTGGGTCGATGAGTCCGCGCATGTACCAACGGGGGATACGGACCACCTCGCCGTCGCACTGCACGTGCTATCCTACCTCGCGCAAGTCAGCGGTCTCTCTTCACAATTGGCAACACACATCGAGACCGCAGCCCCCGCCGATTTCGAGAGCTTTGGCAAAATACCCACCCACCTCGCCGGCGTGGAAATGAAACTGGACGTGGTGCTTGAGCAATTGCAGAAAGACGCGCCGGTTGATGGGGCTGTGGTTGAGGCGACAAGGGCTGTGCTTGTAAGGCTGGAACGGGTTGCGGAGTCGGTGCTTGTGGATGCGCAATTGGGCGCACGGACCCGGCACGCCCGTGTTACGGCGACGTTGGCGACTATGGCTCGTGATGCTGAAAGGGTGGGTGTTAACCTCGATCGGATCGACGGTATCCTGACCGTGCAGCCGAACGACGGGGATATCACGGATGAAGTATCTACCAGTCTGCAAGCCGCGCGGGGGACGGCGTTACAAGACTGGGAGACCCTGAGAACGAACGCGAAACAAGCCACGACCCTTCGCAAGAAGCTGGCGCGCAAGATCGAGGACATGGCGCAGCGCGACGGCGGTGGGTGGACGCTCACGCGGGAGCCGTACGAGGTATTAACGGCCGTGGCGGGTGACACGGCCAACCTCGCCGAATGCACAGCCCGTATCGCGTCCCAAACTCTCACCTACGTCCTCAACTGCCGCGAGACCCAGTCCCCGATCACGATCGAGACATTGGCCCGGATTTCCAAAGACGCTGTTGAGCAACTCTTCGCACGTCCGGAACCGGACTTTGCCGCTGTTGTGAAAAACGTCTCGGCCGCTTTACCACAGCAGTTCTCGCGAATAGATCAGTTGCTTGATAACGCAGACACGGCATGGACGCCCTGCCCACCCCAACCCCCGCCCTGGCACGCGCGCGCCGCACTCTGCAAAAAGGACTACACACTCAACACAACCACCCAAACGCAGCTGTCCCACCTCACCGCCGAACTCACCGCCCTCCTCGTCGCCACAAAACAAAAAGACGTCGCGCTAGCCGAATCGCAGCTGAAAATCGAGTTGATGGAGAAACGCGTCGCGGATTCGAGACGGCATGCGGATGTCATTTCGGGGTTGAGGGAGGAGTTGAGTGGTGTGGGCGAGAAGGCGAGGGTGTATGAGGAGGCCGTGGAGAGTCTGCACGCGGATTTGCAGGCGTTGGAGACGGAGAATGAGAAGCTGAGGAGGGTTGTACGGCGGTTGGATCGGGGTGGTGGGTCGAATACTGCCAGTACAGGCGCGGCGTCACCTAGCAAACACGTCGGCAGCCCTCTGCGGAGCGGTGGTGGGTCGGAAGCGGATCTGAGGGAACCGAGAGGAGGTGGCGAGGAAGCGGTGTTCCAGCGGGAGATGTACGCTCAGCTGACGTCGCTGAAGGCGGCGGTGGGGTATCTCCGGGCGGAGAATGCGCGGTTGAAGGCCGGGAAGGCGAATGCGAGTGCTGCGGTGTTGTTTGGACGGGGGGATCCGCTCATGAGAAGGGGGTTGGAGGTTGTTAAGGGTGGTGGGGCTGCTGTTTCGGCTGAACCTGATGCGGAGACGAAGCCCGGGACTGCAAGACCACACGCAGGGGATGTGGAAGAGCCCCCGCAGCAACAACAACCGCAACACCGCCTAACCCACCTCGCCCGCACCCTCCTCCGCGACACAACCCTTCACCTCGCCACCCCGCGCGTCGTCAACGTCTCCACCCTCCCGCCCGCGTCGAGCAGGACCTGGACGTCGTGGAAGACGGATCCGAGGGTGCAGAGGGCGGAGGGCGAGGAGGTGAGGAGGGGGTTGGTGGAGAGGGCGGGGTGGTTGAGAGGGGTTGGTGGGGATGGGGATGTGGTTGGGGACAGTGGGAAAGTAAGCCGGGGGCGCCAACAGCAGCGGGAACAGCAGTGGAGGATTGGGAAGGTTACGGTGCGGGATATAAATGCGACGAGCACAAGTACGACCGTGCCAGCGAACTTGTCTTCGGCGACAAACCGTCCTCGATGTGTTGTCTTGAACTCTCGACGGGAGTTTGAGGCTTTGCATGCCGTTTTCGCGTGAGCCGCTCGCTGGGTTTCTGGCGGTTGTTGCCCGCGAGAGGACAACCTTCCATGTTCATATGTACGTACACATTATACCCCCGAACGAAAAATACGAAATGAGAGAGTCTGTATGCAGAAGATGATTCGGAAATACTGAACTCTGAAACCGTGACAACTTCCACGGCCACTGATTGGGCGTAAAAATGTGATTTGGATACGATATTACATATGATACAAAGAGTCATGGGGCTTTGCCATACAGCACTGGTGGTGATCCTGCCGGTTCCTACTTTTTATACCGCGCAACCACCTTCTCCATCCGCTCGCACTTGACCGCCAACCCCGCCAGCGTCTCGTCCACTTTCTTGTCCATTGCTTCGAGCCGTTTGTAGACGTCCACTTGGAACACTTGGAGGCGGTCCATTATCACTGATGAAGAGCCAGGGGGTGAGTTAAGCGAACCTTCCTTTTCCTTCTAGCGGGCGGTGAGCCGTTATTTCCGGTACCTCGCAAATCAATCGACCGCGCCCTCTCCTTCAATTCCAGCTCCAACAGCCGCTGCTCGAGGTCCTGGATGGTGCCTTTCACTTTGAGGTTCTGTGGTTGTGCGGGAGCGAGGGAGACTTGGAATTTGGAGATTTTTACCTGGTGAAGTGAAAAGAGGGGGTTGCTTAGATGATGTCGGTCATTGCGATGGGGGTCTGCTCCATTCAGATTCCGGAGGGGCAAGACTACGTCCCGGAGGGAGCCCAAAGGTGCTCCACGAGCCGCTTTCGCCCATTCCGATCCCCAGCTCGCACTGGCCGTACAAAATCCCCACTTCCGCAAAACAGCAAACTCACATCTCTCCTCCCACTCAACGCCGGATCAATCCCATGTATCTTATCGATCTCCATCGCCAGCACGCCGTCCTTGATGCCTCTCTCCAGCTTCCCCACCGAGTCATTCGGCACATCCATGCTCGCCAGAAACATTTTCTCGTCGGAGGTGAGCTTGATGGACACCGTGGTGGCTTTGAAGTGCCGCTCGAAGAACCACCAGAACTCGGGCTCGGTTTCTTTCCATGTCTGCCAGGGGAGCGTGGAGCGGCAGACGAAGTGGACCGTGCGCGCGATGGTTTCCTCGTTGAGGAGGGGTTTGCCGGACATTCTGGGAGGGTGTGGTGTGGTGTGTGATGGGTGGTAGTTGATGGTGTGTCTGATGCTTTTCCCAGGTCTTGCGGATGGACGGCGGGATAAGCGGATTGTAACGACCCGGCGGGATGTCCACCCCGGACTGAAAAGCTCCTTGGCTCAGGTGGACTTACGTCTTCCAAGCTCTCCCTTGACCTAGCACAAGAGGCCAAACACAACACTGCGCAGATCAAACCTGGCGTAACTGGCGGCAGTTCAAGATCCAGATCAAGCCAAACCAAAAGAGCATTGATGAGGTGTCCATCGAAGGAGTGACGGCCCTTTGACAGCGGCCACGCGCGTAACGTAAGCATAATCCCGCCTTATTTCTCACCTCATGCATGTTTTTCTCCTTCTCCTCCAAACCAAAAGATGCTGATGTGAGCCCGGCGCCGAACATGGTTAACCTTAGCCTTTTTCATAGAGGAAATGAGCCCTTAGAGCAGACCGGACGATCTAGTCAAGAGGACACGAAAGTACACACGCACTGAACTTGTACTCCACTCACCAGATCCAACTCCCAGATCACACGAGAAAGCGAGCGTATTCACAAACACCTACATACATCATACCCACCAAGCACACACTACCACGACATAAGCGATGGGCAACCCAGTATACGCCGTCGCAATAGCCGCAGCAACCGTCTTTGCGCTCGCTGCCAATGTCTTCCCGGACGCGCTGGAGCGGCTGGGCGTGTCGAAGGACTGGATACGCGAGCAGCCTGTGTCGAGGGCTCGGAGGGCGCCTGGTAAATGAGATTTTCGCTCTTTATCCTGGAGGTTAAAGATTGGAAAATCTAATGTATATACATTACGTTTACAGTACGGATAACCCAACCCAAATCGACGAGCGACTGCCTAAACCCGTCCTTTGGACACGCGGCATCGCTATTTCACCTGTTTGTGAAGGATACGGTTGCGTCCGAGGGGGAGTCGGTCGTGCATGGTGAGTTTGGGGAGAAGGTAGTGTGAGATCGGCGGCGGTTCTCTTTTCCGGCGGAGGACCTTCGGTCGAGCGTTTGCGTAACGCATTGTATTGGTCAAAAAAGAATGGGGATGGGCGAGAACAAAACAGGCCCACATTTGTCTCGAGTAGATGCACAAATACATGACTTTCCTCCAAGAATACTAAGCCGTCCGCTCCTTCCCAATAGGCCGCCTAGCAGTCGGTGGCGCCGCCGACCTCACCGGCTGGTCCATCGGCGCATCCATCTTCCCACAACCACAAACCTGCGCCGCGCTCAGCCAGGCGCGCATCTACCCGTACGCCCTAACCACCGGCTCCACCCTCACCATGTCCTCCGGCAGCGTAACCAACGGCCACATCGGCACTAACGGCGCGCCCAGCAACACCACCAAGTTCCAAATAGGCGACGCCGTCCAGCGCGGCCTAGTGTCGCGGCAGTGCGGCGTGGAGGATATCGCGGATCTGGAGTTTGATTTCAGCGAGACGCAGAAGGAGGTGGAGATGATTTCAAAGAAGTTGTTTGAGCTGGAGCAGACGGCGTGGGTTGGGTTGGAGAGGATTGCGCCGCCGAAGATGGTTATTAAGTTGGGCGGGAATGTGACGGAGGTGGCGTATATGGATGCGGAGTCGTTGGCGGTTTCGAAACTTGTTGGTGGGTGTACTACTGCGAACCGCATCTATCACGCAACTGTGGGACCACTTGACTTATCCGACATTCACAATCGCCATAGCGGTGCTCTCGAAACCCGTTAGAATGACCCCCGGCACAACAATCATCATCAACATCTTCGGATCACCCGACATCCATCTCAGCGGCATCGACACGAGCATCTTGACCTTCCCCAACAAGATCCTGTGGAACTTCCCTGAGGCGACAAACATCTTGTTCGAGGACACGGATTGGTATGGGACTGTGTTGGCGCCAAGGGCGCATGTTGGTATGTATGGTGGGACATGCCCCACTCTTCGAATAGTAGCATGACCAAAACGCGACACTTCAATAACCCTTCTCCCCCATCCCACAGTCCTGAAATCCGCCCGCCTCCTCGGCTCCCTCTACACCTCCTCCCTCACCAGCACCTCCTCCACGCTCAAACCGCCCGCCTTCGACGGCTGCCTGCCCCTCGGCCACCTCCCTTCTAAGCTCCTCCTCCAGCGAAAGCGCCGTGCCGTTCCCGCATTCAACGCTGCCGCTCAGGCGACGACCACGGTGACGCAAACGGTGACGGTGACGCGCACGAAAGCGTGTCGGATGGACCCGACGCCGACGATCGAGACGGGGGAGATGAGTGAGAGGGGGGAGGTGCATGTATAGGGAGTGAGGAAGGTTTTCTGTCATTCGATAGGCGATTGGGCTCTGGACGGTGTGCTGTTGTGTTATGCTCCCTGATTCTGTATATGTGTTTTGTTGGGAAACCAACCAGCGTGTGGGGTGGCATGCCCTTTTCCGACCCCTCATCCGTCCTCTTTGCAATACATACTTTCTCCTGCTCTGACTGCGTTTCTGCCTTTGAGACCCCTCATGAGAAGATTGTCGCAACCTAGAAGCTGCAGTTGCACAAAGGGACCTCAGCTAGATCCCATGATACGAATGTTGGCACCAACATATCATTTGTCAAGACGCTTTACATTACACCAATTGTCGATGTTGCTGGCGCACCCACCAGCCGTCCAGGTTGGCGTCCTGTTTATGCAGAGGGTGGCATTCAAACCTCCAATCAGAATGCCGTCTAACTGAGTTCTGCTATCTAACTGCAATGCGTCGTATCCCCCGTCCGTCGATCGAAATGTGTGCCCAGATGTCTAACCTAAACTAACCGGTATCGACATGCCCAGTGACGAGGCGCATGATGGAAAGGGCGTCGACGGCGTTTCCCTGCCTCTTTTAAGCAAACTTCTTCTCCGGTGCCTTTAATAATTGCACATCCGGGCGTCATCAGCTCTATCCTCGGAGCCATAGGCATGAGAACGTCGCTACCGCCTGCCCACGTCGGCACAGTTCAGCGGCCACATTGGGCCATGGAAAGCGTGCGTCCTGATTTGACAATCTCTACCGGATTGGGTATGATCACCTGGTCCAGGTGGTGAGTTACGGCTCTGAAGCGTCTGTATCGCTGCTGTGCCTGTTCTTCGTACTGTCCGTATCGACTCGCCAGCGAGATCCTTATGCGTTCAGAGGCTAGAAAAAAGGTCCGAGTATGAGGAGCGGAGTTCACTGGTTCTTGTCTCCACAACCAAGGCACTCCCCTACTCCTTCCTCCCTTCCCCCTCTCTTCCGTGTCACTTCCCAACTGTCCGCTAACATACCCCTCGTCGCGTTGCCGAAGCCGCCGGCGGCATCTTCTTCGTCATGCATTCACGCTTAAAGTCTTCCCATTCCTTCAGACACTTCGACCTATCGCCTGTGGCAAGAAATATGGATTCGGAAATCTGAGGAGTTAACGGGTGCTAACGTGGGAACCGAGAGCATTCACCGTACCGTTGTTGCGGTCAAGACATTGTTTGAGCGGTTGCGAGTCGCAGACAGCGTTGGCGCCGGTGGTGACGCCTGTGGGTGGTTGAGCTGCTGGCATGACTGCGAGGAGGCACGGGCTGTGATCTAGCAAGGTTTCCTTACTGCAATGTTTTGCCCACGACGAACACGCCGCGTTAGAATTCGCCATGGCTCCCCCAAAACTGCCCCCAAAAGGCAACACAGACTCGGAGGACTCGGAGGACGCAGTAGACACTCCGACCACAATGGCCAGCACCGACACTACGGCCCTGCCATCCTCCTCCCCGTCACTCGCCGAAAAGGCTCAACGCTGTCGTGCAGCCCTCATCACCGCCCTCTCACCCTCCGAGCCAGTCGACACCATCCTCCTCTCAGGCGGTCTCGACACATCCATCATCGCCGACCTCGCCCCTCTCACCCATCTCGGCCTCAAACAAGCCGTCACAGTCGTATGCACACCCACCGCTCCCGACGAAGCCTATGCACGCGCCATCGCCGAGAAGCACAGCTTGAAACACACCGTTGTGCGATGCGATGACCCGATGAGCCTTGTGGGCGATGAGGAGGGCGGCACTCTAGAGACGTGCGTGAGGGTGCTGAAGACGTTCGATCCGATGGAGTTGAGAAACGCGGTGGTCGTGGCTAGGGCGTTGGTGGAGTGTAAGCGGATGGGCGCCAAGGTGGTGGCAACTGGGGACGCGGCTGATGAACTGTTTGCAGGTGCGGCGCCAGAAGAGGAGGGGAAGGGTGCTGATTGTTGCTCCAACTTGAAAGACTGGACGTGCCTCCCGGGTCGTCCGGGTTCATTATGCTTTTCGGTCGCCTACTGAGATTCTTCACCACGCACATCCAGGATACAGTTTTCTTCAGGGCCTGTCCCCTGGCAAACTCAAACGCTGGATCGCACGCCTCTCACGACCCTCCGTCATGCGGTTCTGCGCGGGGCCCCTCGCCGCCCATCTCGGTCTGAAAGTCTTCCAACCCTTCCTGGCACCGCCCGTCATCGACTTTGCATTAACCTGCCGCCGCTCTGACCTCATTCGATCCATTCCCAACCCTGCTCCCACCAAGGACACCACTCCAGGTGAGATGACCACATTTGGAAAGTACGTCCTGCGCGAAGCGGTGCCCGAAGCCTACTCGCGATGGCGCCGGAAAGACCCTATCGAGGTCGGGTCGGGGACCACTACGCTCCCCAAGCTGTTCGAAGAGCACACCGACCCGGCGTTTGTGGAGGCGGAGAAAGCGCGGATCTTGCGCGAGGACGGCGTCACGATCCGCGATGCCGAGCATCTGCATTACTACGGCGTATTCCGGAGGGTGTTCGCTTCGGACGGGGCGGCATCGGCAGAGAATGAGGATCAGGACATGGATGCGAGACAATACCGATTGAAGGCGTTGTTTGCGAAATGTGGTATCGAGCGGTACGGCGATGATCCGTGTCTGGAGTGTGGCTTCCAGATCGATCGCTTGGATAGCTGGTTTTGCGTGACTTGTGGGGCGTGGCCGGCTCGGACGGGGTCCCCGGAAGGCGATGTGCAGGAGGGGGATGACTTGGATGAGTGAAGAGACCCATTCGTAGATATGTTTAGGTAGATTGTGTGCGTTGAGCTGCGCTTTGTCAAAGCGGCACCGTAGAGTATATGATCACACATTCGCCAACAAAACTGCATCCCGCATAACGGCTCCCCTCGCGCGGCCTAACACACCACAACCAAAATCCGCCCCGACTATCCTGAAGATGAAGGTGGACGCGTGCTTAGTCATTCGCTTCCGAGACGCGCTGTCGAAATCGGGAACGACTTGGGTTTTACCCCCCAAATTCGTCGCCGTCGCTTTCGTGCACTAGAGCTCCGCACCCATTTCCGCACTCTCACACCAAGTTAAGTTGCCCGAGCACCTCAAATGCCGCCGTCGACGAGAGCTCCGGCGCTCTTCTCCACATCCAAGTTTGCCGGCACGGATTTGTTCAGGAATAAAGGCGGTGCGTATCACCTGCAACCTTCTCGTTCGTTTTGTTTTTCTCTGCCTCGCATCATTCGACTGTGCTTCACTGACCTGATTTGCGACCAAAATCCCCATGCTTTCACCACGGCTACTAGTCCTGGAAGTCATGGTAAGCGCCGCTCGGGGAAAATGAGAAGACCAGCTGGGGTACATGTACCAAAGACAGAAGCGGTGGATTACGGCCATCGATTTTTGCGTTCAGGCGCCCTGATGCGGCCCGTTCACGAGGCCGACATTTGTTCAACCCGCTTTTCAATCATGCAGATGATCCACAGCTGCGACAAATGCATCTTTGTCAAATCGAAATACATCCTTGCCCTCGATCTGGCCAGTACGTGAAAGAAAGACGTATCCCGTATTCCCCGTCCCTACCACCCCACCCACACCGGTATTTCGTTTGTTTAGGTGCAGCAGCAAACCACCTGTTTCCGCACGGCCAAACGCAACGAGGAAAAGCACGGCCGAAAACGACCGTTCGCGTTGTTTTGGAGACTGAGGAGGGGACTGAGGACGCCGAGATGCCTGATTATTCGTCTTTAGGTATGTACATTTGTTCCGCACGAGGTTTGAGTAACCAGACACTGCAAATGCTGCTACTGCAAGAATAGTGCAGAGAGATGTGCGGAAAGTGGGGAAACGCTGACACTTTGCGCAAAATCCACAGACCCAACGATAGCAGACATTGCCAGAACAATGGACCACCATTACGCCGTCCTCCTCCACCTGCTGCGAAAACACGGGCTGGTTGAAAGTACGTTACGTCGCGACCGCAAAACACGTAGTCCCTCGCCAACAATCCTCATCCAAACTCATACATTCACAGAACTCCAACCCCATCTTCCTCCCAGCGCGAACGCCGCCACGCTTACAAACTGGCGCACCCTCTCCCTCACCCAGCTCCGCAGCGTCCTCATACGCCTCTTCACCACCATTTCGCTATCACCGCCCAAAAACCCTGCTCTCGCCAATCACTCACATCATCGGAGCGCATCTACAACAGCCCTTCATGAGGCGGCGGGAGGGTGGGCAACCGCGACTGCGACCCATCGCTCGGCGTCTATGACGGATCTTGTCGGTGTGTCGGTGGCTGATGTACGGGGTGGTGGTGATGGTGGCGGCGGGAGGATGGGAGCGTCGAGAGCAGGGTGGGAGTTTTAGAGTAGGGGTAGATGTAGTTAGGGCATTAATCAGCGTATCCGGCTTCATGATATTCACTCAGTTTTCCAATCGGACTTCTGTTGAGATGGATTGTGTTGTTACGATCGAATTGACAGGGTGGCTGTTGTGGGGCTTGTCTCCGCAGTCACCAAGATCCGCAAAACGCGCAAAGACCGAGCGACGCGTGATTCATCTCGCAGAGAGAATGGGAGAAGCCGAAACGTGGCTTGCACTGCGAAGAACTCAGACATAGACAAGGCACTTCAAATAGCAAGGACGTAAGAGAAAAGGGGAAGAAGGGGGGGGGGGGGGGGGGGTGAATAATCTATGTGGAGAGAGGCAGTGTTTGCTTATTGTATGTGAAGGGAGTCGGGGGGGTATGTGACTTCCCTTGTTGTACGGCAGATGGAATATTAGCAGGTCCCTCTGTCAGTCACAGCCGGCTGAAATGCATAAGCGTCGATCTCCCCGCTTACAAGATGGCTGGGCACGTTCTCACCGGTGCCTGATGGTAATGGAGAGGGGGGGCGAGTTGGGGGGGTGTATGCTTGGGTCTGTGCTCTGTGTTGGGCGAAACGGAAAGCAAATCGCGCGCGTCCTTTCTTATCACGCCTCCGCCATCCAAACGCTCCACGGCCGCCGCAATCAGAGAGATCCACTCTTACCACCAGCACAGCGCATCTTCACCCCATACCCATACTACATCCTCTACAACACCCTTGTCGCTCAAAGGCATTGTCCCCTTCCGAGCCCCTCACCTCATTGCGCCAAACCATCGCCAAACGCGCTCCACTTTCCACCCGTCGGAGTTTTTTCGGCAGCTCATTGCGCGCGACCAAGCACACCTCCACCCCCAAACCACCATGAGCCAGTCCGCACGAGCCGCCCGCAAGCGCAAACTTGCCGCCCTACAACAACAACCCGAACCCGCGCCAACCCTGCAACCATCCCAACGATCACAACCATCCGCCCGCGATGCTGCCCCACCCATGGCCCCCGACGACGAACGCTGCAAAGTCCTTGGCGCGATCCGTGAAGCGTTGTTGAGGGAGGGGAATAGACCTAGCTCGCCGAGGGAGTTGGCGGCGATTATTTTGAGGGATGGGTTGGCTGTGCTTGGGTGAGTTTTTCTTGTGGGGCGCGTTATCTCTTACGCGTTTAGGGGAGGTGTTCTTTTTCTCACCATATATCATTGTGCACTTACGCACTGAATGCAGAGGTCAAACACCCTACGCAACCGTCTCCTCCCGGATCTCTCAACACTTCAAACGCTGCGCCGAAGCCTCGCGTCGGCCCCTCCTCGGCAAGATACCGGGCGGCACCACCTCATCCCTTGCCCCCACAATCCAACCAGAGGCATCGGACGCGTCGACCACCACCACCCCACCCCGAAAATGGCGCTACTACCTCGACGGCGTCCCCCTCCCCGCCAACGAAGCCGCCACCGCAGGCCGCGTGGACGCCATGTCGGCCGTCACGGAGATGCAGGCACAGTTGAGGCGGAAGAAGGCCGCGGCTGCTACCTCTGTCTCTGAAGATGACACCCGGGCAATGAGGACGCGTGGGCGGCGGGGCGAGACCTCTCCTTCTTCTGGGACGGAGAGCGTGGAGGTGAAGACGAATGTGGTGAAACGAAAACGGAGGAATGGGGTCGCAGATGTGGACGGCGCACCTGCGTCGCCGCCCCCGTCTGCGTCGACGGATTCGGCAACCGGGGATGCGGACGATCACGGCAACAATGTCGGTTCCGCGTCCGACGATGAAACGGGACACGCGGCCGACCCCGACCCGCCAGCGAAACGCAGCCGCCGTACCAACACCACGAAACCACCCCGCCCTACCACCACCACCGTGAAACGCACCTCGACACGCACCAAGGCAGGCGCACCCCCCGCCGCCGCCGTCCCGATCGCTGCTGAGGAATAATCGAGTCGCGCCTGCTTGTGTGGTTGGATCTGTTTTTGCTATCCGTTTTTGAAAAACTTGACTGTTTTAGATTTAGAGGATGCCCCGCCCCCCCTCCGGCAACGTACCGGGTGGGGCTAGGGACCAACATGGGTTTTGCGTCTTTGTCGAGAGGAGAACGGGAGGTGGATGTAGAATGGAAAGGGGAATGGGAGTGCCTGCAGTGACTGAGCGAAACGACTCACCCCCCCACCACGGCCCACAGTAGTTTGATGCGTTTTTGTTCATCTTGTTGTAAAAAGAAATACCATACAAAACCGTGCTGTCAAACGCCCCATCTCACATGCATGCCGGGCACGTTCGGGCATCTTGGTCTGCAGGTCAACATTATGGATCGGGGGTGGGTTAGATCTCGACATCCGTCTCGAACCTGTCTGCGCGATTCGGCATCGCAACCATCCATTCAACCAGTAGATACATCTATCCTGAGGGTAGCTAGATACATAGAAGAAACATCCCCCAGGCCGTTGCGCCCACTACCCGCTGCCATACCGGCCTCCCACGGGGGATATTGTCCTACGGCTCGGGTCGTCTTTCGCATGTAAGGGGGGGGGGGGGGCTTTCTATGTTTCAGTTTTGCCCGAAGCTGGGTATGGGAGTGCGGGGGGGACGCATATTTATGTGCCTAGTCGACGGTAAGCTGTGCCTCGATTTCGGCAAAGTCGTGGAAGAATGACTGCGAAAAAGAAGAGGAATGGTTTTAGGAATTGTTCGCTTGTAGGATGGATTAACGATTGCTTTTACCTCGAACAAATCAATGGCGTACTTGACGTCCTCAACACCGCAGGTTTCGCGGATGGAGTGCATGCTTAGTTGTGGGTTACCGACGTCTGCAAAGACAGAGACGTGGTTTGTGAGCAAATGAATAACCGCACGACGCGACCTCATGGCTGCAGCGCAGGTAGTCCACCTACCAATAGTCCTCAACCCCAACTGCGCACTCAACATCGGTCCAATAGTACTTCCACATGGGGAATCATTCCTCACCACAAACTCCTGTAACGGCACGCCCCTCCTCTCCGCCACACGTCGCACAAGAGCGGTTGTCACAGCGGTAGTCGCGTATCGCTGGTTCGCGTTATGCTTGATGACAACGCCCTTGTTCATCTGCGGGCGGTGGTTGTCCTCATGCTTCTCGGCGTAGTTGGGGTGGATCGCGTGGGCCATGTCGGCAGAGATGAGGAGGGAGCGCGGGATGGCGCGTTCAAACGCCGCCGTTTCGCTGCTCCCCTCGGCTGCGAACTCAGATGCAAGACGGCGGAGGGTGACTTCCAGCAGGTTGGAGCCGGCGCCATGGGCGGAGACAGACCCGACCTCCTCGTTGTCGAACAGCACGACGACGCGGATGTTGGCGTCCTTGGCCAGCGACTCCTTTGTGGAGCTGTTAATGAGAGCGGTGAGGGAGCAGTAGGACATCATGAGGTTGTCGAGGCGGGCGGAGAAGATGTACTCGTTTTGAGCGCCGCCGATGACGGAGGGTTGGGTGTCATAGAGACAGAGTTCGAAATCGCCGATTTGGGCAGCGTCGATTTTGAGTTCTTCGGCGAGGAGTTTGAGCAGTAAGGGGGAGTGCTGCTCTGCGTTGGGGGCCGCTGTAGTGGTGGTGCTTTTCGCTTCCGCGTCGCCGTTCAGGGCCTTGGTAGCCGCCGCAGCCAAGATAGGCGTCAACTGCACCTCGTTATTGAACTTGAACGCATCATTCACCCCCCTGTCCAGATGAATAGCCAACGTCGGCACCCTCAAAATCGGTCGATCAATCCTCACCAACCGATGCTCCAACTTTCCCTCCGTCCCCGTAACCACCACTCGTCCCGCAAGCCCCAAGTCACGGTCAAACCACGTATGCCACAACCCGCCCCCATACGTCTGCACGCCCACCTGCGTGTAGCCCGCCTTCTCCTTCTTCGAGTGCGGTTTCACCTTCAAGCAGGGTGAGTCGGTGTGCGCGCCCAGGACCGAGAAGCCTACATGGCTGCCGCCACCACTACCGACGGCAAAAGCGGCAATGCAGCTCCTGTTGCGCGTGAAGAAGTATTTCCCGCCTTTCTGCAGTTTACCGGCCCAGGCATCGCGTTCGTGGATCTCGACGAACCCGGCGGCCTTTAGTTGGGAGGTGGCGGTTTCAACGGCGTGGAAGGGCGAGGGGGAGGCATTGACAAAGTCGAGGAAGCTGGTGGCGGAGGCTGTTGCTGATGACTGTGTGGAGTGGTATAATCGTTGGTGGTGGTGGCGATGGTGATGGAAGTACCGAGGACGAATTTTGATGGAAGTAACGAGAAAAGGAGACGAGGTCAGCGTATGCAGGCGGCCGGAGCGAAGACAAGGGATCAGTATGCGCTGCGAGTATAAGTGAAACGGGTGATGGAGTGGGCGGAGGGGTGAATGCAGATGGGTCAGGACGATTCCCATTGTTTTCCCCAATTTCACACTATCTGCAGAGATCACCGCCAGACCCCACTCATTTTCTGAGGCAAGTGTTCCGGAGGACTATAGATCTAGAGGCACTTACCATAGCTGTGCGAGTGACTGATAAGTGCCAGGTGCGTGTGGGTGGTTTCCTGTTGCCGATGCTGGAGTGGGAATTAGCGAGGGGTTGACCACTTCGCTCGAAGCCCTCGGAGACGCCGCTCACGTGCGGCACAACGACCGCAACCGTCAACGCGCTTTCCAGGGCGCACTTTCCAACCGCCCCCCCCCCCCCCCCCCCCTGCCCAGAACTTATCCTTTACATTCACACCAGGAGACTCATCAAGAGTACTTCATCCACGGGTTCCATCTCTCCCTTCTTGGAAGAGAAACATCGAATGTAATGCCAAAGAGGGAAAAAGTGCAGCCATCGGAGATGAAACTGCGATGCGAACTGCATACCGCCGGTGATGTACTGTATGAATTAGCGAGGTGGTCATTGATTTCTCTTTCTTACCCGGTGTAACTCGTCCGTCTTGCTGGATGCGAAAGGAAGGAAGGAAGGGCGCTGGTATGTACATGAGAGCCGGTGAAGAGACGACGTTGGTCAGTATGCGCGAGGCTGGTCGAAACCCTTCGGGGGCTGATGGAATGATTCGACAAATCGAGTCAAATCACTAAAGCTAGCTAATATCTCTTTCAGAAAGTCGGGAGCGCTGATGATTTCTTGCTCGGTTTGAGAAAGATATCAGAAGCCGGGATCGTCACTCGGATTGCCGGGCGGAGGGTCTGGACTATCATCTATCTTCAAATTTCCCAACGGTGGTTGCCTCCCTGCTCTCAATGAACTAAAGTGAATGGATGTGGAATAACGAATCCATGATGAATTTTCAACTGCTGCGTATTGTGTGGCCAGTTCTCTTCCTGGACGGGCTTGTAAGCTGTCGAATGTGTTGGCAAAGTTCGACAGTGCATGTGTCATTCGCTGACGTAAGCCCGTCATTCCTTTCACCCCGCCTCCCGTCAAACCGACGTTGCCCCCACACTTCCTACCTCCATACCGGGTGTACATATCTACAATGCCAGACAAGAAGGCTTCCAGTCCAAAGCTTGTGCACACGGCGTTCATTTGACCGTCCCTGTACATATATATGTTCCTTTCATCTGGATTTTGTGTACATATATGACATTCGAGACCTTGTTGATATCCGGTGCTTCTTGTGCGTAAAACTTTCCCGCGGCAGCTGACGTACACCGTCATTCTCGCCCGTCAAACGTCCAACCCTTTCTTTCCAATCACCGAAGAAGAGGGGATGTGACCCCGTTATTAGAGCCGATGATAAATATTGTGTTATGTGCCCACTAGTCATGTCGGCTTTTCCCCCGTTACCTGCGCTGGTTGTTCCCGCCACATCCTGTTGAAGGTCGCATCCTTCGTTTTGTTCACGCGGAGCTATTCCTATCCACCTGGCTTCTGTATATATATGTTAGAAGTTGTCCCATGGCACGGAAGATGAACGACGCGGAGATGGTGCGTTTTAGCGAAATGTGGACGCGATTTTTTGTTTATTCTTAGTAGGCGCTTCCCCACCCTTTCTTTCCCCGGGAGAGAATTGACACACTGGGCATGTCGTTGGTTTTTCTTTTGCAATACGTATATATAATCTATGCCGAGTCCACCAACCCGGGGGCATTTGTGGGAAACATGAGACTTCACTGAAATCTCCCTACCCATCCAGAACATCCACACCAGACATCACTAAGAAAACATGAAATGCGACTCACCGCAAATCGCTTTGAAGAGAAAACGGATAGGTGGACGGAACCAGTTCAGGGGGGTATGTTCGTCGTGGTGCATTACGAAAAGCCCCGCTGTCTTCCCCCACCTCACCGTGTTTCCTTTCTTCCCTCGTGGTGCCAGAAGAGAGCGTGGCAGAACGCTTCGGCTCTCATGACCCTGCCTGCGGTGGCTCAGCCCAGCAGCCTGCCTCCCGGAACCGTAAGGGTTACCTACACACACATCACCGCCTTCTCTTACTAGCAGTTTACATGTACTAATCACATATATAATATTCAGACACTCTCTTCCTCCACTACAATCTCACTTGCCAATATCTGGCCGGCGGAGAAACAAGCATGGCCGTCGGGGACGGGTTACGGCATCAGTGAGGTGATTACGGTTGGGATGGCGATACTTAGTCGTGCGCTGGGGACAGATGCTGTCTTGAAGAAATACCGGGATTTGTGTTTCCCTGAGGTATGAGGAAACCGGAGAATTTTGGGCGGAGTGCACGCATTCCCAACTGACGTGCTCGCATCGTCCTCAGCTGCCGCTGGACACAACGGTTGCTGGCAGCCTCTTCACCGCGGCGGACTGGCCGGAACTCCGCATTTCCAGCGACGGCGCCAAAGGAAGCCTCATGCAAACCGACATCATCCGCCACTGCGTCTTCATCGAGCCCAACTTCTACGGGCCTGCACGGGACGCGCAAAATGTGGCTCGCCATCCTCTTCGCCAGTGCGCTGTTAAAGGAGATTTGCAGGTCTACTGACGTTGCGGTCTATGGGTGACAGAGTGGGCGTCTCGGAGTCGGTCATGTCCGCCGTGCGCGATGCGGGTCGCGAGTTTGAGACGGCGCTCTTCGGCGGGGAGCTTGGGATCGCTCACTTCGACATGCAGGTAAAGCGTGTCACTCCCGTTTCGCATGGAGGCCATCCATGGGTGGCCCATCTGACTTCCTCCTCCCTACCCCACAGGAAGTCGGCGGTCTTTACCTCGACGCCGCGCACTTTCTATTCTGTCCATCCCTTGGTGTTTCCAGTTCCTATCCGAGCCATTCTGGGCATGAGACAACGACTCCGGGACTTTCTTACACATCAGCAAATTCCCGCTGGTGCGGTGTATAGGGGACTGGGATTTTGTGCTGGACGGGAAACTGTTCGAGATTTTGTTCCCATGGGAGAGGAGTCCGGCGTAAGTCCATGAGTTGTCCCTACCTTACTTTGTCTTTACTCTGTGCCGGTTTCATGTGTGTGTATTTGTTTGCAAAAATATATCGGATTTCTATCATCCCGGGAGGTGACATCTGCCAATTTGACGGCGCAGTCCGAAGATCTTCGAAGATGCCAACTTGGAAGTCTCGGACGGATGGTTTATTCTGGGGCTCAGGAAGAACCCATCTCTGAGGAAGAACCCAAAGTGGCCACCCCAAAGGCGCAAGCTTGATACACAGAGGGGCGCACGGCACCCACAAGTATTTCGATTCTGTAGTGCAAAAGAACTCGATTTTTATACCATACAGCCAGAAGTACAGCACAGAAAGCTTTCAAGCACAGCTTGGACAAGGGGATGTCACCCCCATTTCCCGCTCCCCCGTCTTTCATCCCCACCCTAACTCGACCCACTGACAGCCAATTTCTTCAAATGATCCATGAAAACCTGCAAGCTCACATCATCGGTCGCGATCGCCGCGCCCTGCGTCGCCGGGTTGAAGCCGTAACCGCTGGGGGATGTGTGCGTGGTCGAGGGGTTGACTTTGGATTTGAGGAACCGCTCTTGGGAGCCGCCGGCGTCGCAGTCGATGTAGCGCGGGATTGGGAAGCGTTCTGTTAGGAGTTCCTGTAAAAATACAAAAACAAAGAGTCGTGAGTGGTAGGGCTTTCAAGATGAGAAAAGCAAGGTGAGGGTTAGGTTGATTGACTTACCTGAGCAGCCCCTTTCGGCGCCTCCAACAACAATTTGAAATTCTCATAACTCGGCTGTTCATGGTACTTTGCCTTCCTCCACGCGGCAATGGTCTCGCCGTGCCAGATCAGGATGTGGAAGAACGTATCCAACAGTAAAATGACGTCCGGTTTGATGGAGACAGAGTCGAGGAGCACGGGCTCCGGTGGGCCGTTGAAGGAGTAGGACATGAGGGTGGGTTGGATCATGATGAGAGAGTTGTTGACGTCTTCACGGTTGAGGATGTGTCTTTTGTGTGCGGGGAAGGGAGTGTTTAGTGAACGCGAGAAGGGGACAAGAACAGGACGTAATCCCGATACATACCTGTAGAAAGCAGTCTCATCTGGACTGTTATTGAAGACCTGCAAGAACTGACTCCTCCTCAAGTGGAACATGAACTGCGGGTAGATCGAGAAGTTGTCCGTCAAGCGGAAGGAGGTCGGGTCGTCTTTGCGGTAGTCGGCGAATTTCTGGCACTGCAATCATAAAAGACTATGTCATTAGCCAAGAAACCTCAACGATGGACGATTCGGCTATCAATTATCAACATACCAATCGAATAAGCATCCGATCCAACCACCTCAACACATCGGGGCTATCATCAATCTCCGCCTTGAAAATGGCGATCCGAGCCATCAGCACCGCTGCAGCTTCTTGATCGAACGATGCGGGAATTTGGGAGGAGTTTGCGTCTGCCCATCTGCAAAGATAGGGAAAGACACAACAGGTCAATCGATATACTCACGTGCTTGGAGTGGTGTATGTGGTGTGTAGGGGAGTTTTTGAACTACTTACGCGCGAGCGATGGTGGAAACGCGGAGGCGGAACTGCCCGCTAGCATGTTGGTAGAGAGTGACGAATTGAATGAGACCGTTGGAGCCGGGCGTAAGGCCTGCCGCTTGCTTCAATTCATTAGGAAGAATTATTGATCGTCAGAGAATGCATTTCACGGGCATACATATGCGGTGCCTCTGCCTACCTGGTTGGCGACCTCAAAATACAGCCCTACGGTGGTGCTGGGAGAGATCCCGCAGAATTTCCATGCACTCGTGCCGGAGATTCCAATTTCCTGCAGATGGAAATAGTATCAGCGCTTCGCATTCCTGACTGGGATCTCGTACTTCAAGAAGGTCTCACCGTTTCTCCTACACACTGACTCTTCTTGTTGCCCGAGATAGCCGGACCAATCAATCCACACACTCTCAACTCCTTCGTCGTCTACAAAATTCGTCGAAACAAATCAATCTCACTCTCCCGAAAGCCACACCAGCCATAAGCCCGACCCACATACCTGCACTTCCAACGTCGCATTGAACCCCATCTGCAAGAACCCATCCGCGTCCTTACTAAATAGCCTCAGGAACGACTGCTTGAAAATGGCGGTGTTGAACGAGTCGGAGAGCACCATGTGCCCGTTGGTGGAGGTGACGAGGGACTTCATCTCCATTAGACCGATCTGGTCCAGGCAGCCGGCGAAGATGTCGATGACGTGGCCTTTATCGGCTGCGCGTTTGGAGATGGCTTCGTAGAACTGCGTGTAACATGATCGAGTGAGTTGATGTGGGATATACGGGTAAGGGGAGGGGACGGGGGTAGGAAGAGAAGCGTTACCTTTGAAGCCTTCTTGGCGTGCTTTGCGACATCTTTCTCAATGTCGTTATGAGACCTGATGGGTTCCCTCAGCTCTGGGCCGACGACCAATCCGGGTCCTTCGGTTGGCGGGCCACCTGCGAACAGCATGATTCTCGCTCCTGTGTTTTGGTATGCAGCCTAATAAAGGTCATCAGATCAAACCACTTCGTACGTAACCGACAGGTTGTTTACATACCTCCAAAAGCCCAACACCGACGGAAAGAGCCGTTCCGGTGCACCTTAAGGGACGCTTGTCGTTGGCGACGGGCCAAGGATCTTGCTGGAGTTGTTCCAGGATGGATGTGAGGGTGAACTCGCATTGGGAAACGGGCAAGAGGAATCTGCAGTCAACAAAAAGGGTTCAGCATTCACAAATCGCACACATACTCTGATGAAGCGAGGAAGTCTAACCTGCTAGCGCCCATGTTCTGCTGTGGCGCCATGGCGGGTTGACCTGGTCTGCCGGGAGCCTGACCAGGGCGCATGGCCGGAACGGCACCCAGGCCGAGCATGTCGTGAATCTGCTTCGCGTTGTACTCTTTGCTACCGCGGAAGACGTAGGACTTCGGACAGTCGCTGTATCCCAATTCGTGCACTTGGGCCTATATATGTAAACGAGGGGACAAAGTGTCAGCGATCATCGAGAACCGTGCTCCCGACTGCGATGTTGGGCAACAAAAAGCATGAATGCGCTAGCCTCTCCCTTGTTCTCCCGTTCGGTCCCTTCCTTCACACGTCCTCCCACTCCGTTTACTCCTCCTATTACTCCCACTCCTGCCACTCCATTTTCCCACCTGCTCCTACTCCGTTCACTATATTCGCCCTTGCCCCCCTTGCACTCAACATACCATCGTCCCGTAAGTAATCAATCCAACCAATGAGTTAGGCGGCAACAAGCTCAAACTAACAACCAACGAATCCTTCAAAGCCTTCAGATCCGTCTCATCGAGGCACGTATCCACAACATAGAGGAAAATTGGCGGAAGAGAAGGCGGTTTGTTGAGGACGTATTCGATGGTAGTGTATTGGCGGAGGAGCTCGGCGGGCAGGTTGGTGTTGGAGATGTCCTTGTAGTGCGGTGGGAACTGGTTGCGTTGCAGACAGAAGGGGCAGATCCAGAGCTTGCCGCGGACGTCGATTTGACTAATCAACAATGGTCGGAGGGGACAGAGACGTCAGCACGTCTGATCATGATAAAAATGCAAGAATGTGGAGCTATCTCACCAGTAAGGGTTCAGGATGGCCCGACAAGGCATCTTGCAAGTGACTGGCTCATAGGCAAAGGGCTGGATACCCTCCCTCTCCTTCAAGGGAGTGTAAAGAGCACCTATGGGAACGACCATCCTCGTTGCTTCCAGTCGCGAAGATGGCCAGACGTTCCATGACAGCCTGATTCCATCTTGGTCCTAAGTAAGCGTGGGAAAATCAGTTGTCGGGGTCAGTACACCCACAGAGTGGGTAGAATTTAGGGTTGGAGAAGGTTGCCACTGCGAGAGTGCTCCTCGGACCACCTAGCAGTTGAGGCTTGAGACATACCTCGATCTCTTCGAAGGTGTTCATCGTTGCGTGAAGGTGATGCTGAGTTCCGACGAGAGAGTGAAGGCAATCGTGCGAGACAAAGTGACCGTGTATCCACTCGTAAGTCGACGTAGAGGAGGCGTGCAGAAGCGACTCTAAGCACTGTATGCGCTAAGCGAGCGGGAGTTGTCTGTGCAAGGTCCGCCCCGTCGGCTATGTCGTTGGGTGGGCAGTTGAGATGTCGACGGCGAAGGGAAGAACGAGCCACGCCGTGGCCGCTGTCCGTTTGCGTCGCTCCGTCACCGCCCGCACTCGCAACCCTAACCCCTGCGATTCGACATGGGAGGAGCATGAGCCGACGACCACCAAGAGAAGGCAAAGGCATCGCCCCACCTTTTTGGTTTCACAGTGGAGCAATATCCCTTGTTGCTGTCCTCAAGTCCTCCGCAAGTAGGACGTTGACCTTGGAACACTTCTCGGCACTCATAGTCTTCCTCAGCAGTGGGCAGCGGAAAAGGAGTTATGCGACTGTCATCTTCAACGGAGAACCATAGAATCACAAGCAGCATTGTCAAAGGGAATAGTATGCCGAGATGTCAGTGCCACCCGCAAAGAGGAGACGGTTAGATGTAGAGTCGTCGCCCGAAAACTTCCCTATCATTCACTCGACGGCCCTTGAGCCGTACAGCCCTCCCAGTGACACACCTTATGGGCAAAGTTCGACGTTCCCCAACGCAACGAGTTCACGATGGTCCCACGTCCGAGACCTACTGCACAGGTTACAGCAGCCAACGACACCACGAACAAACTTGGATACGAATGCGTTGGAAGACCTGCTGGAGCTCATGCGGGCACTTGCCTCTGTGAGGGTCGAAAAGGGCTCAAACGAGGAGTTGGATAATCGCTCGCAGATTGAGGACGCTCTCGACAACCTCCTCCTCGTTATCGCATCATCCAAAGGTCGGACACGAGAAAACGTATTTCGCATATTTGCCAACCTCGTCAAGCCTTCTCCGACTGTAAAGATACGCAATCCCGCGTTTTCCCCGCCAGATGTCTTGGATATCATCTCCAAGTCGTCAGAGCGGCATAGAACATTGATCAAGGAGGTTCTCAACGGAGTCTGCTCGCGAACAATCACTACGCGATTTCAAGCGCTCAGGACGTTCGTTGCTCTCGCTCAGAAAGACTCGTCAACTGTGAATGACATGCTGTCGGCAGATCATATGTCCCATGTGATATACTGCTTGTCTCTCGATATTGGGTCAAACAACCGTCCATCGTCGCGAGTCCCGGCACATGCGGACATCATCAGGGACATACGGCTCTTCGCTGCAATCATCATGCACGCACTGACACGACAGAGACTCCCCAGCCCTCTTAACAACATCGAGATGAAAGCGCAAGCGATAGAGGCCCTCGCGCGGCTTGCAACGGTGCAGGTCTCATCCACCATCACGGATGGCCATATCGAATACCACGTGGATACTACTGGTTACTCGGTCAAGCTTCTCACGCACTGCATACCAGCCCTTTACATACTCTGCAAACCCGCTGTACTCAGCACCGCCGCACTGGACGTCCACGAATGCATCGCCCTCGCCACCATCCTGAAAGAGTTTGCCACAGCGAAAAATATCGTCTCAGCCACACCCGCAGAGATCGAGATGATGCGAGCAGCCAACGAGACACTGCTTATGGTATGCCGCATGACAACAAAATCGCGTTCCTCAGAGTTCACGTCGCTCGCCCCACACACCGCCCAGGCGTGTGCAATCTACCTCAGCATGCTATCAGAAGCAGGCGTCGGCCCAGCTTTGATCGTAGCCCTGTCCGGTCTGGACTTGCTGCTATGCACGTTACCGATGCCCGGCGCGTTGGACGCCGCCGTCGCATCAAATGCCCCGTTGGCCCTCGTCAACCTCTGGCGGTTCATAGATTCCCCCGCATATGCCGCAAAGTATGACGCGGCGAAACTCGACAACGCGAAGGGCAAGATCCTCAAATCGCTGACGTATCTACTGGGTAGCGGCTCACGCGGCGCCGACGTGTACATGCAATGCGAACAGCCGATCATAAGCGTATTCCATCGCTCAATCGGGAAGCTTATGCGGGAATCCATTGCCGACGCTGCCACACATCCCCTTCAAACGACTTCCGCCGAAACCCCCTCCACAATGGTTCCCCACCCATCGCCAACCCTAGGCCACCGCGCCCTCCGCCTCATCTCCGTCCTCATGACCGACAAACGCTGCCGCCTCCGTCTAGTCGCCGACAACATCCTCGCAGACCTCATCAACACATCCTTCGTCGCCCCGCTCCTCCTCCACCCCGCCCCGCCCATCACCGCGTTGCTGTTCACGACCCTGCAGCGCGCCGCAGAGAACTCCGGGGTCCGGTTTAGGATGCGTGATGGAAGGTTCTGGAATGAGGATAGTGAGGACACTGACTCGGACGTGTCTGATCAAAGTACACATAGGCCGTCCACACAGATCTCGCCATTCACAGTCGTCCATTTCTGCATCGCTTTCTTCATCCTCGGCGCCGCCCTGCCACCCGCATCGACACCCCACGATGCAGAGTACAGAGCCAACCTGATGCAACGCGCCATGACCTTCCTGTACGGGAACTATAGCCATGATACCTCGGTGGCGGAGACGCTGTGTGGGTGTCCGATGGATGTGCTTGGGGAGATGGAAAGCGTTGTGCCGCGGGAGTGGAGGGTGGGGGGTGGCAGGGTTGTTAGTGCTTTTCCGGTGCTTATTGGGTTGATCACTGGGGGGAATGGGGAGTGTGGGGAAGAGATGCAATTGGAGGTCTCGTCGGACGATGGCGACGCGAAAGAGACACCGCAGGGATCAGACAATAATCGCGAAAAAGATAACCCGCCCACCACCACCGCCCAAACCCGCCTCGCAGCCGCCAGCCTCCTCGACGCCCTCATCACTGCCGGCAAAGCCCTCCCCCAACTCCTTTCCCCCACCACCCTCTCAACCCTAACACACTCCCTAAACCCCGCCGAAGCAGTCTCCCCCGTCTCCAAAATCCTCACCCGCGTCCTCGGCCGATTGATCTCCTCCCCCGAACTTTTGAACACCATGGTGGAGAACATGGGCTTTTCGGCGGTGTTTGAGACCCTGTTGGGGAAAGAGCGGATGGTGGATGGTAGCGGGCGGGGATTTATGAACACGTTTGCGGGGTTATTGGCAAAGGATAGGTGGGAGAGCGCAAGGATGCTGTGCAGGTTGTTCGAATACCATTCCAATAACGCGAATGCAAGACATGTCTCGGCGGAGGCGTTGTGTGCGTCGCGGGTGGTGAGGGAGAAGATTGCACTGGCGTTGGCGTATTGTTGGGGCGGGGAGCTCTTAAGCGCCGCTGTCCTGCCGCCGACGATATCAGCGACCCACATCACAGCGACACACCACGCGACCGCAAAGACAGCACTGGATTGGCTCTTCTCCCTCGCGCTACGGTTCTCGTTCACTGACGATGTGCCTGAGGACGCGGATGAGGGTATGGACGAGGAGTATGCGGCCGGCCGACACGACCGCGCATGTGCCGCCCTGCGATACCTCGCTTTTACATCCGACTTACGGCCCGAGGATGCCTTGCCGCCGGATCTCGTGGGGGCGGATATACCCCCCTGCGATACATCCCTGCTTGCTCAGATTTACCACTTCGCCTCAACCCAAACCGAGGGGTGTGAGATATCCACGGATGATGGCGACACGGTCCTGGCGCATTTGACAACCGACAACACAACCATCCCCTTCCCGCGCGCCGCGGCCGCGGCCGCATCGCAGGTGCTGAGTGATATGCTGTACGGCGGGTATAGGGAGTCACGGCAGGATGTGGTGCACATCGAGGATGTGGAGGCCGGGACGTGGCGGATGATGGTGGGGTATTTCACTCTGGCTGGGAAGGACAACACCGGTTCGAATACCCCCACCGGTTCGGATACCCCACCTCCGCCACTCCCATACACCCACCCCACCCTCCTCCGCGTCCTCCGCCTTTTGACAACCGCCGACAAATTCCTCATGGCCCCTCTCATCGAGCTCTGCATGCAACATCTCCACAGCGCGGCAATAAATGCGATTTCCACCGAGGATGGGGTGTTGAGCTTGGAGGTGAGGCGGTGGGCGAGGGGGTGGAGGGGTGCACAGAGTAGGTGGGTTGGGATGTGTGAGGAGGGGGGGTGGAGGGGGATGTGTGGGGGGTTAAGAGGGGTTGTGGGGGGGTTGGCCGGGGATGCGATTTGATGTTATAGACAGTATTTTGGACGTAAATAGAGTTTGTACGTTTTTGGACGTAGACATCATCCATTGATAGATGGCGGGGTGAAATGTGAAGGCCTTCTTGGCCTTGCACGCGTTTGTTGGGGGCTCACCCGCTGCGTGGTGCAGTAGGTCTATATAATAGATGAAAGGCGTGCACAGGAGGGTTAGGAAAATGGATATACAAAAGACGCGGTATATTGATCAATCCGCAAATCAAGCCAGCCTCGCCCGGCCAGCTACTAGCAAAAACTTGAGAGCCCGAGCATGTGGAACGGCGGGCATGGAGCTTTTCGCTGGGTCAGAGAAAGGAAGCAGGTCAGATTGCTCTTGGCGGGTGGTCTTGCGTCAGCGTATAGAGTGGACCTTACGGGATGATGTGCTTAGTCAGTTTGATTCGAAGAGATTTGGGTGTTCTACGGCACCCGACAATCAAAGACGTCAAGGCACATACCGGTTTCGAGATGCGTCTGAACTCCGGATTCCCCAATGGTTTTTCGGCGTGCATGCCGCACCCTCTCAAAGTACTCGGTGAGCGCATTTGCGACGCGTTCCGATAATCGCGTCATAAGTGGTGTGTAGCTCCATATTGCAGGAAGGAAAGTACGGGAGAACCACAGAAAATATGATCAGCACACATCAAGAAAGAAATACGAGAGAGGGACCCCGTTCGAACGACTCTCATGAGATCGGATCCCCATCGGAGATGCAAGCGGTCCACGTCCGGTTTCTATTGTACGATCCGACCTCCCTCGAGGTTCTAGCGCTGCCCGAAGCCCGGCTAGATCCCCGATTTGTGTGAGAGGCCCACGTCCATTAGACTGGTACGGCCTGACCTTTCCCTCGTAGAGGTCCTGGCGTTGCATAAAGCCCGGCCAGGTCCAAAAATGTTTCACCATTTCGCGTCCCTACTGGGCGGCGCGAGGTATAGAGTCGGTCGCCCCGAGGATGGGGCGACCGGCTCCGCAGGTCTCCGAGGCCAGAGACGCAACATATGTTCATATGATGCTTGCGTTCCTTCCCTCGTAGAGGTTCTGACGCTCCTACTGGCCGGCCAGAACCCCCAGTCTTTTACGATTTCGCGTCCCTCCTGGGCGGCGCGAGGGTACGGTAAAAAGACCCACATGAGCCGTACACGATGGATGATCTTACCTGTCGTTGAGATCCGCGGCACGATGTTGCTTTGGAAAGTAGTGGGAAAGTAGCGGGACGGTGTCGGGGGTCCATCTGCCAGCGGTGTCGGTCCGGATGCCCCAACGCCAACAGCACGCCGGAGCGAGACGAGCCATATGGCGTATACAAATCGCGGGAGGTCACGTGACTATCCGCATTCAATTCAGTGTTGCATGTCCGAATGTCCGGAAGTTGCCACTACGCGTACGCTCTTCGTCCAGACCAGCCCTAGATCATCTACATACATATACCTTCTATCGAGGCACCATAGTGGCTGGTGGACGAGCTGTGCCCGAAAAGTAAGCTTGCAACATGGGTCATAAGAGAAAATCCAGTACGGACCAAAAACTCGCTCAGACCGTCAAATGTCTCTCGGCGGACTGCGTGAGCAGGCTGCAATACCCAGGTACGACACCCTTCCGAACTTTTGACTGTTTTGATGATCTATCCGAACGTGTCGTCTCGCAGAATATTGGACCAAGAATACGAAGTGGAGCATCAATAATCTCGTAGACCACATCGGCGAACACTCACCCCAGACAGATTGGTGGGATGACGAGGCCAACCTGAGGCGAGACATATTGAGCGAGCTGTCCATCCTACGGGGCGGATGTACTGGGAAGGGGTACCTGTCCGACATTGAAAAATTAAGGCAGACGATGAAGGTATTTGCTCAACGTCCAGTATTATGTGTTCTGTTCCTCATGTGGCTGCCGGATCCTCATGGACATGCCATGCCGTTCGCCTCCTTCCTCTCAATCAATCGTTTGCCCGTTGTCTCTTTGTGTTGGAAAAAAGTCCAATAAGGGTCAAAAGATTTTCCAAGAGCACATTGCTGGGGAGCCTTTCCGCCTCATCGTCGCGTCTGCAAGAGTCGAAAAATCATACGAGCGGGCGGGAATCAAGGCGAAGCGGGCGAAGCTGTCGGTTCTGGCAACGCGAGAGGCCTCCAACGAAGTGAGGGACATGGCAATCCCTGAAGCCGACGTTCCACACTCTTCTGAAGAGGTACAGCAGAGCTTTTCATTCCATTTTGGTCCGAAATTATGATTTTTTGGCTTACTTAGTGAAGACAGATGACGATATCGATGCGGATGACGCTGGGCCGACGGCGGAGGACCCCGTCTCCAGTTCTACTCCCTTCAAAGGCCGCCGTGCCTCAACTTCGTATGTCACACCCTGCAAGCCAGTAGTACCACGGGAACTTTGTCAGTTTGCCAATGACCTCGACCATCTGTGCGAAGGATGGACGCTTCCCATGCATAAGCTCGTCGAGGACATCAGAAAGGTTTGTGAAAGGATCAGTGCTGTTTTGTGATTGGCGCTGGTGTTGAGCTGGTGTCAGCATTGGGGCGTTTCTGCTCACAGTGGTTTGAAGGTGGCGGTGGCGCATCGGAAAGGTGATTTCCCACCGCTCAGTATCCAGGTTGCAGAGGCGTTGACAGTAAACATACGAAGCTCCAACTGGCCGCGCGATAGCGAGCATGGGGCTTTCGCGCAATATGTGCTCGAACACTATGTCCACATGTATGTTACGCTCAGCTAAGTTGCACGGAGCGATTTATTCAGCAACAAATGCTGATCCAGATTCGAAGTTATCATCTGACAGCCCTCGGGGATGTCAGTTTCCAGAATGCCGAGAGGAAGTTCGTGGTTGAATCAATCTCATATACTTTCTTCGCTCTTGAACGCATCTTCGGTGTGGCAGAGACCATTTGGTAACGGCGGTGTTTGTTTGATCACAGAATATGACGACATACTCACTGGCATTCCGGCTTTAGGTTGGAAAGATCGTCCGTCACCGTACAGCAGGCAGCATTCCAACCCCAGCAAAGGGAAGTTGACAGCCAGACAGGCAAAGTGACGTATGTCTCGCACGGCAAGGAAAGATGGCTGGATGGCGAGAAGGGCGGCGCCAACTTTGATGTACTCGTCCGAGCTCGAGGAACCATCGGTGATTTTGTGCTGGTCGAAATCTCCGGGTCGCAGCTCACTCTCCAGCACACGTTACACCCGCTGGAGGACGCAGAGAAACTCGATGTCCAAGCAAAATTGCTTTTGAAAGGCCGACTGATGAGACATGCCAGGATCCCGGGCAGCCAAGCAAAGTTGATGCAAGTCCTGACTATTCAGGCAATTGGCGGGACCTTGACCGTCTTAGGATACCACCTCCAAGGTAGTGTGCTCGGTGCATTGTCGGAAAAATGTCAGCCAATTGATTTCGCAATGCTGGCGCAGCCCCACAAGAGGTTGCCGTGACAGAGTTGATGTCGTTCATGGTCCCCATGTCTAAAGACCACCATCACCAAGCGAAGTTACAGCTGGCGTTGGGCTGGTTCCTTAAGGTCAGTTTATGGAGGGCGAATTGTTGCAACCGAGTCGGACTCATCGAATTCGGATACTCATACGGGCTGATTATGCAGATCCGCTGCGAGGCCCTCAAAGCTGTTGAGCAAGATATGCTAGCGGCGCGACCCGGGGTTGAGGGTGATACCATTCGGGACTGGCTGTTTTGAACGGTTGTTGGCGGGGTTGACTTTCGAGATTGATAGCTTCATGCGAATGTCCGTGCATGTTCGAGTTTTCCAAAATTCGGAAACCTTCTGATAGTGCCGAAGGATAGTGCTGAATGATATACAAAAAAGCAGCGATTAGAATGCTCGTACATGTTACCAAAAGCCGTCTATTTCCAAAACCGGATTCGCAACAACAACCGCACTCCTCCTTCATCGCCGACCCACTCCGCTCGCTCACCGTTCACAGCTCAGACCTTACTCCCTCCCGGTCTCCATCCTCTCCATCCCCTGTTCGTCTTCCCCATAAACTGATGTCTTCCCCCACAAACAACGGCGCCAGCCCCCGGTGCCCAAATTGTTCACCACTGTGCCCTCGGGTTTCCACCTCTCGAGTAGATCCAGCATCCATGTCGCGGGTACAGGGTCTTCTACGAGGCAGGCGGAGTAGCCTCCGTCGCGAGGCTGTCGTCGTACTGGATGGGGTGCAAGTTGAATGTGAGGCATCCTTTTTATATTTACTGACTAGGAAGTTTTCGGGTCGGAATGTGAGGAAGAGCACGAGGGGCGTAGCTGAACAAGGTAATGTAGGGTTCAAATATTCGTTTTTGGACGGTAATCCGACAGCGCGACGGACACAGTCAAAACTTACGTAAACCCGTCAGAATAGCTTTTGGTTAGTCGGGATTCTATGATTTTACAAGTGTGAAACGGGACAGGGCTTCCAGTGAAGGGTATCTGTCAGGGAGAGAATGTTGAAAGCACACCCGTCGTTACATACATTTTTGCCATCAGAATTTGGGGGTCAATATCAGTTCCACGGCTACAATCTTTGATACCTTTGAACCCAGCATACCAAAAAGTAGGAAGCACCCATGATCCAACAATTCCCATCCGCCTCACTCACCACCTGGCCGCCATCATGCCCCTCTGCCGCTGCCGGGCATTCTCAGCTCAAGAAAAAGAAGCACGCTAAGAGGGTGTTTCCGGGCGATGTAGATATTCAGGTGACGCCGGGGGCGCGGGGTGGTCCTGGGAGAGATGGTGGGCTTGGAGAGCGGAGAGGTGGTATGACGGACGGGAGAGAGGTGAGGGGAAGACCGCAGTCAGCGCCGGTGAGGAGGGCGGCGTCGGCGAGGGAGTTGAGGAGTGCTGCAGAGATGATTCCGACGTTGAGGTAGGTCGGGGGATGTTTATAAAAGGGACGGTTCTGACGACCCTGCAAATGCGAGATGTAAGCTTACCGACACATCTACGATTCCAGACTCTTCTCCATGTCCGAGCTCGCAATGCGTCTCCCCACCCACACCAGCGATGCCTACACCTCCAGGAAGCACCCAGCGCCACCGTCGCCTATGCCCACGCCGCCCAAACGCTCCTCACGGCCCTCGACCGCCACCTCCGTGCGCTCCACACGGCTCGTCGCTCCCGCTGCACAACCATCAGCAACAGCTTCGGTGTACGCGTCAAATGTGTCGTTGGCGGGCGGGTACCCCCCCACGGCGCCGTCGTCACGCCCGTCGTCGGCGCGCACGGCCAGGGTTGCAGGTGGGGAGGAGGGTGGGCAGAGGGCGGGGAATGCGCAGGCAAGGAATGCGTGGTCGACTTGGCCGTACTTATACATTGAGGTGGGTTGCTGAGCGGCTTGGGACGAGCAAGCCGAGCGTTGGTGAGAGGCCGGAGACATTATAGCATTGCACACACAACAGACGGCAACGTTACACTAGCTCACCCGTCTCTTCTTCCTCTCCTTGGCTATCACCCGCAGCCCCTCTCCTCGACAGCCGCCCGCCTCGCCGACCCCGCCTCCCGCCTCACGCCCCCAGCCTGCACCCCACCATCCACCAACTCCACCCCCGCCACCCCACCGCCACTCATCTCCAACACCAACCCTCTTTCCTCGTCCGCCTCCTCAACCTCATGCGAGAATGAACCTGAAAACGATAACGAGGATGTCACATATACGCCCGTGATGCCTTTTGCCGCCACTCCCAAACACGGTGTTGGTGAGGATGGTGATCCGGCAGCAGCAGCGGAGAGTGGGGGTGGGAATGGGAGTGGGGTGGATGTGTGGGGGCCGCGGAATGGGGAGACTGTGGGGTATATGAGCGGGTCAAGGGATGGTGGCGCGGGAATGTGGGTGTATCCGCCGCATTTGTCGATTTATGAGGTGAGCGTTTCTCTTGGCTGAGGATCTATGGAAAACGGGGGGCATGGGTGGGCCTGGTTGTAGGAAGGGAGCGCCGTCGCAAGGAGTGGCACATTGCTGGAGTGGGCGATGTCCCACCAAAGTGATACTATCCCACCCATTCTCTTTTCGATTCCCCCTCCCCCTATGGGCACCACCGATTACTTATGAACCAGACGTCTCTGCCATCATTTTTTCACACGATGCTATCATTCCGCACAAGATAGCAAAACCACTCGAAAACAGCACCGACGCGAGCACTAGCAACATACATGGCAGTAATGTTCAGACGCAAGGTAGCCAAGGGCTTGCACAGGGTACTGGACGATTGGATCTTGGCAGGCGGAATCTGACGGTGGGTTGACTGGGTGTGTTGTTGTGTGAACTTTGCCTCCTTCCCCTCGCGCAGGTCTGCGTACTCATTGCTCTTCCACATGTTGGAATCCCCAGTCATGCCTCAACCTCCTCGACGAGCAACGCCTCCGCTTCCTCGACTACCAGAATAACTTCATCGCCAAAATCGAGCACCTCGAGCAACTGTCGAATCTCGTACTTGTGGATTTCTACAATAACCACATCACGGTAAGCACTAAGCCCTCCCTCTCTCCGATGCTTCGCATTCCATCCCGTCTGTTGGATTTTTTGATTTGCCCTTCTGTCACTTTCAGCACATGAGCGGCCTCGACTGCCTCTACAACCTCAAGATCCTGATCCTGGGCAAGAACAGGATCCAGAAGATCGAGGGGCTCGACGATTGTTTGAAATTGGAAGTCCTGGATTTGCATGCGAACGCTGTTGTTGTCGTTGGTAAGCGCCGTGGAGGGAGAGAATCTTGTCGGCGGGATGGCATGTGCAAGCTAAGAATTGGTTGAGTTGAGTCGAGAGCGGCGTAGATGGAGTGTTGTAGATCGTGGAAGGACGGCGGGGCATTTGCGCATCAGACGGCGGGAGAGACAGAGAAGAGAGGACATCCCGCATAATGAACGCTTCAGTGCGGCAGGCAAGGCGCTCTTTGATTAGGCAGCACTAATATCCTTTCGTTTTCGCTCTGTGCCTGGTGCGGACCGCAGAGAACATAGGTCATCTCAAGCACCTCCGCATCCTGAACCTGGAAGACAACCGCGTCCAACATGTCGGCAAACTAGGCAACTTGCGAGCGCTTGCAGAGTTGAATCTGCGGCGGAACCAGGTAAATGCTCAATTATGCATACGGCCCACGTGTCTAATCGCTCACATCGCATCAAATCTCAGATTGACTCCATCAAAGATGTACAACGCCTCGTCAACCTCAAACGCCTGATCTTGAGCTCGAACTGTATCTCGTCGCTGGACAAGATCGCTGATGTACTAGTGCTCGATCAGCTTTCTGGTAGGTCAACGAAAGTTGGTATTTGTACGAATGGTTCTCCCATTCGGTCTTCAAACATAAAACCGGCGCTGATGATACATTTGCCGCTTTCGTTAGAACTGTCATTGGAAAACAACCCTCTCTCATACCTCGCGACTCCCGCCCCACCAGCCACCACCTCAAACCCAGCACCAACCACCACAACCACGACCCCATCGGCATCAACTCCCCGCGCATACATCATCCACAAAGCGAAACGACTAAAAATCCTCGACGGGCGGCGGGTGACGGAAGAAGAGCGCCGCGTCGCGACAAGGCGGTATAAGCGTGAGGCGGAGCGGAGGAGGGAGGTTGAGAGGGTTTGTGCCGTGCGAGATGAGCGGTAAGCGGGACTACCTTCTGGGTTTCACAAGATTCTAGCGATCACTGTTCCCTTACTCGACAATCCGATCACAGCACACGCAGCATCAAAACCGTCGCAACCCGCTGGGCCAACCTCAACGGCCTCTCCACGATCGACGTTACCGAGCTGCTCGAGTTCACTTGGCCGCCTGATCCGCTCAATCCCACCACATCCACATATACTTTCACTGCCCCATCGCCCCCACCACCGCCATCATTGGCGGCGAATGGAACGACAAAGACTGGGGTTGGTAAAAGCAAGCGCGGGTTACTGGCTCAGGAGGGATGCATACATCGGTCTGAGACGTGTTTCGCGGAGATGGAGGGTGGGAGGCTTGTCATGTACGTTTTGCAGATAACGTTAGTAGCAAATGAACCTCCATCGGTACTGACCCGGGGTTCTCTGTCGTAGATACGGCGACGCAACGGTCATCCTCGACAAAATCGACGCGGCGGCAGTGACATCCCTCGCTCTTCTGTATATCAACGCTACGCGGCTGAGCGGGCCAGCAGGCGGCGGGGTATTTGCCAGACTGCGGCGGTTTACGGGGTTAAGGTGTTTGGTTTTGGGTGCCAACCGGTGCGATCGGTTGAGAGATGTGAGTTTGCTGTCGTGATGTTCAACCCGTTTGCTGGAGAGGATGTCGTAACACCTCAACAACTTTCCTCGCTCACAGGTGACACATCTAGCAACCCTCCCGCCCACCCTGCAAACATTCACCGTCCTCCGCTCCCACAACGCCGTCCTCGACTCCTCGTTATGTAGACCGTACGCCGTCTTCCGCCTCGCATCCCGCGCGTCGTCTCCGCTGCTGGAGCTCATGGGCGCTGTTGTGAGTGAAGAGGATAGGGCGGAAGCCGAGGTGCTTTTCGGTATGGATGTTAAGTTCTCTAAGATGTTTCGGCATGCAACACGCTGACGCTCTCTTCTGCGCTTAAAAAAAGGTCCCCTCCGCCGCACCGTAGCCCAAATCCAATCCCCCCAGCTCCCCGCAACCGAATCCGACCTCCCCATCCCGCTCGCCGCGCTGCACGACCCATTCGTCTGCGCCGAGGGCCTGCGGAAATCTCACTCGCCGGCACATACACGTCCACATTCGTCTCATCATAGGGAGATGATTCTCGATATCAGCAAGAAGCTGGTGCAAAGTTGCGTGCGCGGCGCCGTTGATGATGTGGTGATGCGGAGGGAGGTGGATGCGTTGTGGCCGGTTTTTGTGCAGGGGGCTTGTTTGAGGGGGGTGGTTGGGGGTGGTTGAGGAGAATGGATGAGATGAAGGAGTAGTGTGGGGGTTTGTCGATTTTGGGTGTCGTGTTGAGACAACTGTCTGTGCCGCGCTCGAATGTATATATATGCCTATCTACATGTACATCTACCCTGGACCAGAACGGCGGTGGCCTCTGTAATATGACGTGCGGACGACTCCCCGCCATCCTCATCAGCATCTGACATTGGGGATGGGGAGGGAGGGGGAGTGCGAGTGGGAGTGGGAGTGGAAGTGGAGGGGGAAAGGGGTGGGAGGGGTGGAAAGGGAGGTTTGAGTTCCGGAAGCCGTGCCAAAGCGGAGTTTGGTGGGTGGGTAAGACACGTTACTGTCAAAAGCGCGAGGTGGTTACTTGCCTCTCCTCGAACAATTGGTAGGATGCAGATTGCCTCTCACAGCCGTGAGGACAATATCGCTGGATGCCACCTTCCTTGTACGAGCATCCATTTTTTTTTTCGAAACAATGTGATCGAGATCTTTACTTCCGCAATGCCCACCGTCACAATTGATCTCCAAATAGCGTAGCGTAGAACCGCCGGAAACAAGAGCATTGAGATGAACGTTGGAATCATGACTCCATTTCGTTCCTTATTCGTTTGGCAGGCGATACTTCCCACAATCAAGCATTTTCACAATCCACCTTTTCCACCAAACGGCTCAACAATGTAAAAAAAAAACAAAAAAAAACATAGAACCAATCCCAACGACAAGAAAAACAATGTCATGGCTAGTCGGGGCGTCGAGACTGGTCCACCAGAAAGGCAGGTCCCCAATGCGGAGGCGGCCAGAACAGATGGGACTCTTACCCAGACGGGGTTACCATGAACCTCAATGGATGTACTGTACAAGTACATGATAATCGATGACAAGGTTTGGTGGTGGCTTCGTATTCTTTCCGTTGAGCCCGGTTCCCGTGGGAGCCCATTCCAGTCAGAAAAGCAAGTAATAATATGGTCTGCTGCTGGAGACGAGGACTACATAGATCAGCATCTCACGAGCGCATCTTTCACCGTCAATATCCTTCAGAGAGAAATAGGGATGCATTGTTGAATGAGTGATTGATTCTTCAAGGGAAAAGGACTCAGCGCTCACATACGTCTTCGGCAAGCGTGTCGTTCGGTCTTCCGCGCAGAATAAACAGACATCTCTTGTCGCAACCCCACGGCCTCTGCACACACGCAACGGCCACCCCAGATATTGTAGTAGGATATGTGCGCCAGAGGCCGCTCTTCAAAACTGTTCCATTACATTTTTTATATTTTCTCTTAAAAACAAATAAATGCCTACTTTAACTTGCTTCATCAACGTCAAAGACAGAGGGCTCCTCATCGCTTTCCTCTCCCGCAACGCCAGCCTGACTCCACTCTTGCACCTTGCTGTTACCATCTGCGACAACGGCCTGCATGATTTCCTTCGTGATAGCAAAGCAGTTTGGGCACTTGCTCTGCTTGAACATCGCTCGAACACTGCTGCGGTGACGGCAACAACCGCAGGAAAGGGGCTGGCAGGGGGTGTTATGACCAGCAATGTCGCATGGGAATGCATATCAAGTAATGTCAACATGCTTTCCAACCTTGACTACGGTGTGGCCTTGTGCATTTGGGCGTCGCTGGTCAAGTGGGATGACTGCCTTGCCTAGCAGCAGGCCGTCAGGCTCTGCGGTGAAACGATACAACCGCGTGGTCACCGGATTCTTGCCAGCTGTCCTTGATTCCCTCTCGTAGGCTGGGCCGCCATGGTCTCTGTTGTAGACGATTATCTGGTCAAGAATGCTGAGAAGCTTATCCGCCGCAGCCTGGAGGTTGCACTCCTGGTCTTTGCGGAATTGGAACAACGACGTCCCGGCGTTTGCTCCCCGTAGCTTGCCTCGGCGAATATTCAGTACTGCCGCTTCCTGAGCATCGGCTTCTTGGAGGGCAGCTTTGAACATGACTCGCAGCTCGGCTTGATTCTGCTGCATCGTCGGATGAATAAGGGGACGGATGACTGAATGCCAGAGTTCGATGGCCTCCTCGCTGAGATACCGGAAGTAGTTTTGGATCCATTTGTAAAGCGGGATGTTGTGCGCACGGTAGAAGCCCATGCGCCCAAAAATGCAAAGGATGATTGTCACGTAGTTCTTCTTCCCCATTTGTATGAAGAACGGGAGGCTGCAAACAAGGAATTCCCCAAAGTGATCGTAGTTGAGGGATGTGATAATCACTGGTGCGTCGAGCATGAGCGGTAGATGCTCCTCGAAGAAGGTACGGATAACATTCCCGCCCCAACTGTAGTCATGCGCCATCGGGGCTGTTGACGTTGGCGTGTGAGCAAGCTGCCATGCCTGAAGTGCGAGAGACAGCAGGAGAACACGTTGAATGGGACGCAGATTGACCTGTGGACAAACGAGACCGGAAATGCCGCTTTGTAAAGGATCTTAAGAAGGGGGAACCAGTGCTTGTATGCTGGTTCCTGCATGTTCAAGGCAATGTGAAACGATCCAGGCCAATCCAAGAATTTTCCAGAGTGTCGCTGCCCCTCCGCAGAGCCCGTGATGAACTAAAGGGTTCCCATCCAGACGTAGAAGTCTTCAGATACAACGATTGGCGATTCATCGATATATGGCTGAAGTTTCGGGATGATCGTCTCCTGATAAAGCTTCACCATATCCTCATCAGACTTCATCGGGTTGTCTTCGCTTGCCAACGCCACAAAGATTTTGATGGAGCAGACCCTATCCAAGCGCCGGGTGTCATACATCTGGCGTATTTCCCCTCCGTTCCCACGTTTGACAATGTAGGATGTCAGTGTCCGATCCAACAGCCGACAATACTGCGAAAGAACATGTTGATCCTCTGCAAACCCGATTGTGTGAAAATTAGGGCGCAACGGCCCCAGCCCAGAGGGTAGGTGAGGCATCTCCGAGACATCCCAAGTACGCACTCCAACATTTGCTGTTGTCCAGGTGATCGATCGCTTTCCCCGCTCATTTGACGTGCCTCTCCCCTGATGCCAATTGAAATCATCAACGAGAACCACGGCGGATGTGTTGGGAAGCGCAAGTCGCGCGGACACGTCCCCTTCGTGAGCAGCAATGGCAGCCTGCGCTCGGACAGTGGAGCTGGGTGGACATCCAGTGCGGGAGGTAGTTTGCACGAAGGTGTCGGGTGCTGAGATCAAGCAGGATCGAGATGAACACTCTGCGGCGGATCCTATCACGGTTTTTCTCACTCCACTTTGAGCTGCGCTTCAGAGGCACGTCCCCAACGACCATGGTCATCTTCATGTCAAACAGCCCATCGCATGTGGTATTCATATGATCAATAAACCGTTCCATGTTTCCGATAGGGAAAAGAAGCGCCCGTGCTCGTCCTCAAGGGGGTTCTCCATGAGCATCTGCAGCTTTGCTGCGTAGGTCCTCCCCTCAGGCCCCGGCGTCGTTGGTTCGTCAATCCTGTCATCCCCCTCATCTTCATCTTCAACCTCATCCGTGAGTCCGAGGAAAAACAACATCTCCAGTTTGTTCCACGGCTTTGCTGATGAAGCCTCGAGGACACCAGATGTTGTGCGGGACCGGCTGCGGCGAGCTTCGGCGTCAGGAGGGGCAACACCTTGAAACTTCGACTGAAGCGGGTGCATGAGTCGCTTTGGGAGGCAGATATCAATGTGAGACTGAGTGCGCACAGTGGGCGGGGGCAGGTTGGCAGCATCGCTGCTGGGGGGAGGAGTGCTGTCACCGCTGGGGGGAAGAGTGCCGTCCTCATTGTCACTGGCAGAAGGCCTGTCACTGGCTACCCTGCGCTGTCTCTCTGCTCTCACTGCCTTCATGCATGTTTTGCATCCATACAGCTTGACGGTATTGGGAAGGTCACCCGTGGGAGCCCGCAAACAGAAACTACCGTTGGAACTTCCAAGCCAGGAGCGCATATCCGTGCTCAACAGCGTGAATTGGCGGTGAATGCCCTTTGCTTCAACACGACGGCGTTGCACTCGAGCTTTGGAGCAGGGCTTATCCGCTGCTGTATTCCAGATATCACAGTACACATAGTCTTTCCGGTCATCCTCAGCCTTACACAGCAACTCGGCAGTTTGCGTCCTGGTCCGCATCTGCAATCCTCAAGTCAGTTTGTGTGACCTCATTCTGAGATTAGAAGGCCAGCTTTTCCATACCTTTGTGCATTGAGAATGGGAAGAGCCGTTACGTAGAATCCAGAGGTCCAAAGGTTTTCCTAGTAGCACGTTGTTTGAGGGTTGGCGTGGTTGAGGAGTTCTGCTTGGTAAAAGTTCGCAGTAAGTAATTACTTTCTCCAACAGACCAGCTGGAGTTGCTCCTCATACCTGTTTTAGTTATCCCACAAAGTCTCAGGTCAGTTGGGTGTGTGTGGTTTTGCCATTGGCAAAAGCAATGTTGAAAAAAGGAGCTGTGGAAAAAGCGTCGGCGGAGTTGTCGAGGTTGTCGCGGCGCAACTGCGCGGACGTATGTGAGCGCTGAGGAAAAGGACGTGCGCGATGGAACAACCGCCGCGTCCCCCTTTCGCCCCCTTTCCTTTCGTGAAAGGACAACCAACTTGCAACCCCAGACACTCTCAGCAGCATCGCTTCACAGGCACAGTGTGACGTCGAACGTTCACGCAGTAAGATACCCACCGTCCGTGTTCTAGCGACCGAGTCAGCTTGACAGCGATAATGCGGGTTACAAGGTAAGAGGCCATGTGTCTTCTGGGTGACAGACAAGAAAGACACCCCTACCCCTCACCAGCCCTCCCACTGACACCCCCCTCCCCCACAGACTCCTCCGCCTCTGGAAACACCTAACCCTCTTCGTCCTCCTCCTCCTCGCCTACACTTACATCCCCGACCCGGTCTTCGACACCGTCCAATTCCTCCTCTCCCGCAAATTCGGCCTCCTAGGCGGCAAACCCGCTCACGAGCGCACGGGGGACCTCGCGCCTTACCTACGAACTTGGATGACACCTATAGACGTACGGCGGCAGATCGATAGATGTTCGTGGCGTAATGAGACTGGGAGACCACCGCCGGTGCAGAGGATACCCAAATATGTGCATTTCGTCCGTGTGATGGATAGGGACGACTATTTTGGTATGATGCACTACCTCGCCATCCGCGCCGCGGTCGTCAACATCAAGCCAGAGAAGGTGTTCTACCACCACCGCGGGCTACCGAGCGGGGAGTGGTGGGATCGCGCTCGGGGGATGATCACCGACCTAACACCCACCGCAGACGTCAAGGAGATATTCGGGAATAAAGTGGAACAGGGGGCGCATAAAGCGGATGTGATCCGGCTGCGGGCCTTGCAGAAGTGGGGCGGGATCTATCTGGATATGGATGTGATTGTGACGAGGTCGTTTGATCCGTTGTTGCATCATACGACTGTGTTGGGGATTGAGGGGTTTAAGCCGTGGATTGGGCTGTGTAATGCGGTGATTCTTACTGCACCGAATGCGCCGTTTTTGAAAAGGTGGTATGATTCGTACCGCACGTTTGACGACTCGAAATGGAGTGATCATTCTGTCATGTATGTGCCATACCGATGTCGCACCGTACCCCACTTCCACATCATATACCTCTCACCCTCACCCCTTTCCCCCACAGCATGCCCTACACACTCTCCAGAACAACCCCCGCCACCGACCTCTGCACCCTCCCCACAACTGCCTTCTTCTGGCCCGCCTACTGGCTCCCCCACATCCAATTCGTGCACGAAGAAGACGAATGGGACTTCTACAACGACTTTCAGTACGCGGCGCACTTGTATAACACCGGGTGGAAGTATCTGAAGAACGCGACCCCGGAGTATATCAGGGGCACGAATACGAGCTTTACCAGGCTGGTTAGGCCGTATTTACCGGATGATGTTTAGAGTAGGGGTAGGGGTAGGGGCGTATGTAGGCGTGGTTGGCATAGAGATTTATGTCGAGGGAAGCAATTTTGGGGATTTTGAGGATTGCCGGCGGTATGGGAGCGGCGTAATAGACATCTTTTTTTTGGAAACGGGCTGACCCAATACCCCTTCATGCATGTAATAGGATTCGAGAAAATCACAGGCCATCAAAAGCCCTGACTGAGTCTGTTCCATCTGAATAATTCTCTCCAAACCTCGTCTCATGAAACTTCCCGCGAAACCTCAAAATCCACCCTCAAATCCGGTTTCCCGCTGTCTGAGGACGGACGTCGGCGTGCCGCGCTGCAAGATGAACGTGAAAACTACGTGTGATGGCTGGACGTCTTTGGTCTAACCCAGAAGCAGCATTGGAAATCATGTCCAGTTCGTGCATGTCTATCTTTTCAAAAATCGGTGCTTCGAACCACGTACGGTCTATCGTACATTTAAGTAAAACAAACGCCGCGGGCAAACCAAACCAAAATGATGCATTACGAAATACAGGTTTGGAGCATGCCCCGCCGAACAAAAGCGATGCCAAAAAAAGGACAACTACGCCGGCTTTGAAGCCAAAGGCTCACAGAGAACGCAGCCGGTTCCCATATCCTCCCGAAGCCTAGTGAGTTTCCCTCATCCCCGGACAGGTAACAAGCGAAGACGTTGTAAGGGGCGGCGGATGTGTCGGACGAACGAAGCCGCCTGTTGTTGATGAGCAAAAAGGACGCACTAAACGGGATGGGAGAAGATGCTGCGGTGTTGTCGGTAGAAGATGGGAACGGATGTGGAATAGGGCGGAAAACTGCGACTAGAAGCGTGCGAGGCGAGGACGGCGCTTCTAGGCGCAGTTTTCCGCACGATTCCACAACTCCGTTTCCATGTCCGTTTCTACCGTGCGCGGGAAATGTAACTCTCCATGCGACGTTTTCGTTTTCCTCACACGCTTCCTGTACATGTACATGTACATATGCTAATACGTGCTGCAGGGTTGAGATACCGTCATCTGGGCGAACTTACCATAAATGCGCTTGCGATGCCGATGGGCTTCCGCGATTCCGCGCTCTGACCCTCGATGGATGGTGATAGGTAGAGCCATGCGTCCAATTTTCACCAGCGAGGAAAACACTCTCGTAATTGAAACTTGACGGCGGTCTGGAGATCCGTAACATTTTGCGGCAGATCCAACAGTCGCTTCGCAAACCCCTTTCCGAAGGGGTCGACCGTTGACTGGGACTGAAGGTTGTGGCGTATTTGGATGGTCGGGCTTCGGACAAAGGAAGGCATTTGTGGCCCCGCGCTGCAACCCACTCGTGAGAACATGTCCCCCATCCATCGGGAAATCGGCTGCAACTTACGAAAAATCTTCCGTATTCTCCACACAAGCTGTAACTTTCTAAGCCCATCCAGCACGTCGATGGAGTTGAGTTCCAAACCTCTGTGTTGTTTCGTGTTTGTCAATCTCTTCCGGAGTGGAGCGCATCACACCTTGGGAGAGGACGGCTCTGGAAGGTAAGCATCGCTGGTATTGAAAGGGTGTACAAGGATTTTCAGCGTTTTTCGTTTTTCGTTTTTCTTACCTTCTTCGCAACTCAGGAGGCCCTCGATTTGGTTGGCAAAGAACGAAAGCACCAAACCGGGATGTATCCCGCCATACCCAAATCCACAACATCGTCGGAGGTCTAGAGCTAGCCCCGCCCGGTGCTCCCTCGTCGTTTTGATGTCGATGGAACACAATTCGTGGCGACGAAGAAACATGGCTGGAGTCCGCCAACCATTTGGATTACTCCGCAAAGCCAAACATTGCGCCATTAGAAGAGTGCCCCAGATTGCGCACCTCCTTCTATTTCCCTGCCTCTCAAGATATCGCAATTCCCAGAGCCATGTAGCCGAAGAACCAACTCATGGCAGAGCAGCGAGTTCTATCTCAATCACACGTTCTAAACTCTGCTCATGAAACTTTACACTAAACTCCTTCCCCGCAGCCGTAAAATCCAGCCTCAAATCCCGATTCAACCCCTTCCCCATCCCCCTCTCATCCCACCCCACGTCCTTGTACCGGTCCCGATACACCTCCAACGGCACATCCACCACTACCTCGACATGCTCGATACCTGAGGGGTATGGGCGGCCTGGTTTCGGCGAGGGGAGTTCTATCACGTCTATCGTACGATCAACCGGTTTGCAGTCGGTGGTTTGGGTGTAGTGCAATGCATGCTCCGGTCGCAATTTATAGGTCGCGATGTGCCTCCCCCCGACGATGGATTCGGTCAAAAGGGTGCCGAGGGATGCGAGTTCAGCTTTGTATGAGTCGTACTCTGCGGCTGTTGATGTCCTATTGGGGGGTTGTGAAAGAAGGGGTGAGATAAGGGGGAGGTGGGAGAAGGTGGGGGTTTTCGGAGTTACCGGAAGCAGAGGTGGTCTATTTCGTAGGCGGCGGGGATGTGGATGTTGATGGAGGAGAGGGATATGAAGACTTGGGCTATGAAGGCCGGGAAGGCTTGTTGGAGGGTTGTGTGGAGGGACATTGTGGTGGGGGTTGGGTGGGCTGCGTTGAATGGCTTGCGAATGAAGGACAGTCTGACCGTAAGTAGTTCCCCGCTCTCCGCTCTTGAGAATCCAGTTACAGTAATCAGGACCTTCCGGACTCTTTCGGACGCGTTGCTTTTGTGGCGAGACTTCGCACCCGAGACCTCCCCGCCCTTGAAACCTCCACCTCTCAAACAGCCAGCCTCATAACGAACTCGGCATCGGCCCCGAAACTCCACAAGGAGCGCCTTCTCAGTCCTCTTTGGAGCCTGCAGCGGTCCCGTGGGGAGGCTATTGTGGGATTTGTCATCTTTCTCTACTCAACTTGATATGAAACCGAAGAGGCGAGAAGCGAGCGAGCAGTACGTCGAAGGGTCGTGGATTCGAAGCTCGAGCTCAAGTTCCTGGGGCGGCCCTCGCGGACCACAAAGCTTTTGGGTGGAGAGACAGAGAGACGTCGACCTGAGACCTCTGAGACCTCTTCCAACAAAAAAAAGACGTATCAAACAACCAGCTGAAGAGGTGAAGCCCCGCCAACCCCATACCAGCCGCTACAGTGTCGGAATACTGGGGAGTAGCACAGCATGCGTGATCCGCGGCGAGAGTTGATGTCCACATGTTTCTGAGATGGGTGTTCGTGGTTGATGTCCTTCTGGGTGGTTTGCCGATGGGATGGCATGAGATTACCCATGTCCAGTACGTTGCTGCAATGTTGATGCGTTGACGTGCAACTGATGAAGGAAATCCGTTTGCCAGGTCTCTGCTCTTTAGTAGGTATCGCCAGATGTGGATGTAATCTGTTTCGGTGTAAGATCTGCATCTGGCTTTCCTATATAACGGGCCCCGTGTTCTGTGCACGTATTTGAGAGCATTGGTCCTACAACTCATGGAAGATACTTAGATATGATAGACTTTATCTCCTACACGTTGCCGACGTTGCTTACTACACTCATGATGGCAACCGCCTGCTGCATCGGTATCGCATCCTGTCGGTCCGTCAAAAATCCACAGCAAAAAAAATATGCTGTCAGTGTCCGACAGCCCCATTGCCCCAGTATTCCTCACTGCTGCCAAAGGAAGGGCCTTTTCGTAGCCCCTTGTGGCCGTCCAAGCACGGGTAACGAGTCGGACTTTTTTCCCGTGAACCTTACAGACTTGTCGTAGTCTTTACTGCGAGCCCAGCTCGTACCCATAAGGACACCTCCTTGGTCAACCGGGCGATCTTTGCTGCCCAACATGCTTCATATCTCTCAGGCTTCTTCAGTGAATCTGCCCTCGTACTTCTTCACACATCGCACGCAGCTCTTCATTCGCTTTTTTCTTGTCCTTTCCACGACCCGCAGCAAGATTTGGAGGAACAGGTTCGTTGTTCGATTCACATTGGTTTATATGTACTGACCTTCCTTTTCCTCTCTATAAGTCTTTCTCTCCCCACCAACTTTCCCTTTTGGTTTGCGTTTCTACCGTTTGGACGCGAGGAACGCTTGGCTGGAGCCATCCGATGCAAGTCTTCACGAGCTCTGCCACCGCGTTGAAAAGGCAGGCTACGCAGCCCCAGCTGTGCTCTCAGTGGCAAAACGGGGCGTGTCACGTTCAAACGTGTCTACCAGAGTCCGCCGAAGGATGCGTCTCCGGTGTCGGGCAGATCACCCCCGTTTGCTCCTCGTTTGTTTTTCCGTCGCAAAGTATGTTTGATTTCATTACAGCCAGACAAAGCATGCAGGTCCGCACCGGTTTGGTTGCTTTTGGCAAGGCGCTGCACAGGTCCTTGACACGTTCAAACAGTAATGACATAATCGCCTGTTAACAAATCCTTGCAAGAGCGGCGAACAACCGTCACACTATTGCCGGCTTCGTTGGAAGGGCCGTACTTCTCTCCTTTCTACCGTCGGACACGGAAATCCGCTGCTCGTTCTGAGTCCACATCCGCCGCAAATAGGCGCGGAGGTCCGACCTTTTCTCAAGTTTATCTGTTCCAATCTCCATCATGTCAATGTAAACGTTGGAGATGGGCGCGTTCAGTTCAGGTTCCCCTGTGCGTTATTGAAGATGACAGGACGTCGGAGTGTCCTCGCTGCTTTGTCATCACGCGTTCCTGCTGTCAGTCGACATCTCGGCTGAACCCCAAAGGGGACACCTAGGGGGACACAGGGGGAACAGAGGGGCAGAGGGGTCCTTGGCCAAACCAGGCTTCCGGACGACGTGCAATCACCAGCAGCTCATTGAGGTCTCAGATCAACGAGAGCGCTGCACACTTGTTCTATTCCCTGCTCGCCATCGTCCAGCTTCAATCCGAAGGTTATCGCCTAGTTCCCGATCACAATGACGACGACGGACACCATAACGGCGGTCGACTACCTCGCCCAGCAGGAGGAGCTACTCCACGAAGCCGCCGAAGTTCTTCCCGTAAGCAAGAACGTCTCTCAAGGCTCACTCGCTGGAGGGTCTAATGGAATTGACCGCGGTTTTTCGTCCAGGGCGTCATAGATCGCTGCTCATTCTCCGAAGGCTACGTCCGGCAGAAAGTGTTTGCGTGCCGGTCGTGTCAGGCAGAGGGCGGCGGGGAGTTGTCGGGGATGTGCTATGGGTGTTTGTATGTATTGCGTCCGGGCTCTCGTGATCTTTTCGGACCTGTGATTGACGGTTTGCGGTAGTGTTTATGTAGGTTTCGATGAGAGGTTGGAGGAAGCGGCGAAGGATGAAACAGAGGAGGACTAATAGAATCGGGTGTAGTGTCATACGAAATGCAGCGATGTCGTAGAGTTGTTTTACAAAAGGGTGCGTTGGGCAGCTTCTGTATTTGGTGCGGGTTTGTTCGCTGACTTGGTTACATCCTCCAGGCTTTCAGGTAAGCCCTTAGATCTAGAGCCGACTCCTGCGCTAGTAACGCAATGCAGAACCGCACAACCAAACCCCTAATCGGATCTACAGATGCGACTGCGGCACCGCAAAACTCCCCAACAAATGCTCACTCCAATCTAAACCCGGCGAATTGAACACCCAAAACACCTACACGCACAACTTCCGCGGCAATTTCTGTTTCTGCGATACGTACTATGACCCGGACGCGGAGGAGGGGACGATGTTTCAGTGTGTTGTTTGTGAAGGTGGGTGGAGCTCAACACGCTCCTCATATCTTTTATCCCCGTTTTGTTGACAATTTTTGTTTTGGGCAGATTGGGTAAGTCCGTATGTTTTCGAGGATTTTGGAGAATAACGTACTCACCATACGATCGCAAAAAAGATGCACGACCGCTGCATAGGCGCCCTCCCGCCCACCGCCGCCGACGAGGACTACATCTGCAGGACGTGTGTCGGCAAGCACGCCTTTTTGAGGGGGTATAAGGGCAATTCGCGGTTTTTGTATCCGCCTTTTGAGGCGTCGGCGACCGGTGGTGAAGAGCCTGCTGAAGCGAGTAGGAAGCGCGCTGCGGAGGAAGGGGAGGGTGAGGGGTCGCCGAAGAAAAGGCGGAAGGAGGAGGGTGGGGAGTCAGGTTCCACTGAGCGAGCTTTGAACGTGGAAGATGTGGAGGTGGAAGATGTCCCAACGCACAACGCCACGGCACACACCATCTCAGCAGACCCCGCCCGGGAAACGCCCCCACACCCCACCACACCCAAATCCCCAACTTGCCGCCTAGAAACCTACCAGCAAGCGCCCTCCAGCGACATCTTCTGCAAAGAAGGCTGGCGAGACGATCTGTGTAGATGCGCGAAGGTGGGTCTGGAAAGCGTTCCACTCATCTCTATCACCTTCGCTGACTGACTGTCGTGGGCAGTGCATCGAAACATACGAGTCCGAAGGCGTGCCGTACATCCTCGCCGTCGAGCCGGTAAGTTCCTCTCGCACGTTCACGCGTTCCCCAAAACCACCATGACTCAACCCCCTATCATCTTCTTAAAGACGTTTGATCCCACCGAAGACGAGAACGCAGGTAACGTACTCTGCAAACATCCCACCCCCACCCATAACCCACGTAGGCGTACTGTGTCCAACTTGGCGGATTAACGGGGGGAAATGGTTTAGACGTATCGCCCCACGACATGGGCCTGCAACAGCTCAACAGCATGGACCGCGTGCAAGCTCTCAACGGCGTGCAAGCGTATCAGAAGCTGAAGGAGGATCTGATGGGGTTCTTGCGCGGGTTTGCGGAGGAAGGGAAGGTGGTTACGGATGTGGATATCCAGGGGTATTTCGCGGTGAGTGTTTGTGTTTGTTGGTTGGCGAGTGTGGGGTGAATGTGCGGGCACGTGAGGTTGACATTCATGTTTGGTAGCAAAAGGAGGAAGATCGGCGGAGTCGGCGGGCGCGGTAGCGTGAGGAGGCGCTTGGTGGGTGCAGATTGGCGTGATGGAGGGGAAGCGTACGTTTGTTAGGTAGTTGAATGGTCTCTCTTGAGGGTCGGGCGAGAAGGCGTATAAGTAGTCTGTACAGTCGGTTCCGAGTCTCCACTGTGTACATTTTATTCCCTAAGACCGGGTGTTCTGAGCTAGCTATTGGACGCGTTGCCTTCTCTGCAGCGTCGGGGTTAAGTCGCCAGCGCACTCGATTCACAGCATGAACGAGCCCCAGAAGCCCCCATCCTACACGATTGTCTACATACAATGAACGCAACGCTACGCCCATCCACCGGATACCTCTTCTCCCTTGACAACCCTCACTAACCCCATACCTTCCATCGCCGCTACCCAGTCAACATATCCAAAAACGCATCAAGATCCATCGCATCCACATCCACCTTCTCCTCCTTCACCTTCTCTTTCTCCTTCCCCTTCCCCTGCTCATTCACTGTCGTACCCCGCACATCCATCCGATCCACTACCCGCCTTCCCGTCTGCGCATCCTCATCCGTATCCTCATCCTCACTACTACTATTCGCAAGTAACATAGAGGGTATCCGCATCGGCTGAGTCGCCGTTCGTGGTATTGCTGTTCCGGGGATGTTTACCCGGGCAGACGGGATGGCGTCCGAGTCGGTTGCGGAGGATGAGCGGAGGAGCGAGGTACGTTTTGGGCGGGGGGGAGGTGGCGCTGTGGATGAGGAGGGTATGGGGCGGGTGGAGGAGGGTGGGGGTAAAGGGCGGGTGGGGGAGGTAGATGGGGATGAGGCTGCGGCTTCCGTGTCCGCTGCGGCTGCTGAGGCTTCGTTTTGGGCTGCTGCTTGATCTTCGAATGTCTATGAGTCAGGATGCATCAGAAGATTTGTGAGTGAGAAGTGGGGATATGGAAAACATGAAGAATGTCGAGGCATAAGCGAACATTCCATCACATTACCTTTCTCGCCTCATCATCCAACGCCATCCATCTCCGCTTCAGCAACTTGGTGATCTCTGGTCCCGAATGGTGCGGATACTCCCGCTTCAACGCCGGTCGCGTGGCCTTCACAAACGCGCCGTACGACGTCACACGACGGGCTCCACCTGTCCCTGTCGCTGTTGCAGCTGCTCTCGTCCTCGGCCTCGCCCGCGCAGACGGCGACGCGGCCCGCTTCCTCCCACCGGGCCCAGCAGGAACCCGTGGCGGCCTCCTCTCCGCCGCCGGTCGTTTCGCCACCGCACGCATCCGCATCATCTCCGCCTCCGCCTCCGCCTCCTCCGCCTCCGACACGTCCAGCCCAGACCCAACAACATCATCCGATTCCTCCGAAAAATCTTCCGGCCTTACCGGAAACCCCGCCTCACCCGTATCGCTCACCCCCGCATGCGACTGCACGTCCTCCTCCTCCTCCCCCGCGCCATGGTCAGCCGTATCCATCGCAACCTCCTCCAACACCCCATCATCATGCTGCGATGGATGCAAATCAGCCTCAGAGGACGTGATCCCCACCACCGGGTCAGAATAGGGAACAGATGAGAACGCGGCCTGGACGATGGAGAGGGTGCAGATGTGTGTGCCGGCGACGAGGGCGATCTTGTCGTTGTGGCGGAGGAGGATGATGGTGTCTTTGGGCATGTCGCGGCCGTTGTGGGATGAGGGATTGGGTCCTAGCTTATGAGACGGTGGAGTCTGTCAGACTTACCCCATACTTGATGAACGACACTTCAAGTGTGTTCTTTTCAATGAGACGGCGAGGAGGTCCCTGGGCTTACCCTTTCGGCCGTGACAGTCCGTGCTTGAGCATCGACGACGATATTGAGTTGCTTTTTACTCAGTCTAACAAGGTCATAACAATCATCCGTAACGATGCCAGCGTCAGTAGAAAGAACGGCCAACCCCCCCAAATAAACATACATAGCCCCTCCAACCACATCCCTCCTGCATCTACCGGCTTCCCGCTCACATAGGTCTCCACATACCTGCGATCACTAAGTCCCAAAATCTCGCCACGGCCGATAATGTTGGACCCATTCTTGAGCGAGGCGGTGTTGCCGTTTGTGGCGCAATGGAGGGAAACTAGGAAGGACGACATGCGCGGTGAATGAAGTGAGAGGTAGGCGTTGCTTCTCTGCGTATGGTGTGGGGGTTGCGAAATGGGGAGGGCACATGGGGATTGGTTTCTGGGGCAACTTTGTAGCAAATTGAAGGTCTCTTGATTGCGCGCGCACGGACAACACGCGCACCGACGGCTGGAGGACTTGGTTGGACTTGGAGAAGGATGAGGACAGCCAAAGTGAAATGGCCAGTACCCACATCAACACAAACCACGCATCCTGACAATGGCAAGCTACAGACCCCGTATCCAACCCTTCTCTCCACGCCTATCTGTGGGATCCTTGACGCCAACAGTGATTATCCAGGTATTCTCCCGGAGCTCTTCCGCATGTCCCAACGTTCTCATGATGAACCACATTCCGCGTTTGTCACCTCCTCCCGACACCTCTTCTTATCCCCTCTCGAACTTTGTCACTCCTCACTATGCCCCAAAGTTGGTGAGACCCTGTTCCATTCAGCACAAATTCCATCTCGAAGCCCGGTCCATAGCCGCGTCCCACTCCGGCATCCATCCCGATTCAGAAGCCCCCAGCACGTGTTGGTCTTGCAACAGAACCCATCAACATTCGCTTTCAGTGCGAGCAACTGAATAAGGTTTCAGGGAGGTATGATATTGATGCCATGTCGTGGGTGTATCTTTTTCCTCTACTTCTTCAACGCCTGCTTTACATCCTGCTCGACCTCCCACACGTGCGTTTTCAGCTCCAGGTGCGATACGTTAACATCATCCTGTGGAGCAGAAAAAGGGATCAGAGCCAAATCAGTATCATCATGGCCATCAATGCGAAAGAACCGATATCTATCCACCCGGATTCCCAATAGGGCCAGCATACTCACGATAACCTTCAACAGCTCCGCTCTAACCCTCTCCAAATCCTTCTGAGTCGCCGCTCTTCCCACAAACCCCCTAAACTCGCGCTCCAGCACCTCGATCTTGGCCGTGTGCTCGCGCAGCTTCGCCGTCGTCTTTTGCAGGTTGTCCACCCCGCTTAGCAGCGCGTTCGAGGCTTGCTCGTACTCGTCCAGGAGGAACACGTAGGCTGTGCTGCCTGTGGGAGGAGAAAGATGCGTGGGGGTGAGAATGGAAGGTTTTCGAGCGGAGAGGTTTGCGGTGAGAGGGATGCTTGGTCACGTACCCGCTAGAGTGAGTCCTGTTAAGAACCCGATCACCCTATGGATGTAAGAAGACAGAGATGAATCGGTCAATACCCCAGCATTTCAACCAACCCCAATCCTGTTACGCCCCCCTCCCCCGGATCCACTCCCCAATACTAACCCCCCACGAAAGAAGCCCCCGCTCCTCCTCGGCGGCACCGCAGGCACGGGCTTCACAAACACAGGCGGTGTCGTCGTCGTTGGCAGCGGTGCGGGCGCGACGAGGGTTTCTGTGCTGGTTGTTGCGGTCGCTTGGGATGAGACGCGGCGGATGCCCCCCGTTTGCCGACGGGCGGCGAGGGAGATGAGCGTTGGTGGGCGGATGAGGGACATTGTTTGGTGTGCTGGGGACCGGTGGTGGGTGGAGATCTCCTGTGTGCTGGCAAAACTCGAGGTCAGTCGGGTCCCTACGGGAACGTCAAAATGCAAAATAATCGGTAGTGGGATCACGGGACCCGGATTTGAATTTGAGGAAGCTCACTCAAGTAGTCGAGACCGCTCAGACCCAACGCAAGTTACCAGCGACAGGTATACATCTCCATATCTAGCACCAGGTATACAGTACACAAGGTATCTACGTACATCCCCTCTCTACAACCCCACAATCTCTTTCAACCTCCCCACCGCCCAAGCCTCACTCCTCTCCACCCCCTCCGGACCCTCATCCCTCCCCTCAACCCACCTCCTCAAACTCTCCACCGCATCCTCCACATCCCTCCCACCCCTCACTCTCTCCGCCGCGCTCGCAACCCCTTGCGCAACAGCGCCCACAACCGCCGACCGTGTGAGCGCAAATTGCTCGAGCGGGCGCGGGTGGGTGGCCGAGGGGTTATAGAGCCCGAGGTGGGAGAGGGTGTGGGCGGCTGAGAACGCCATTGGTTGTTGTTCTGATGACGAAGAAGGGAGGGTGGTCTGGCGCCGCACACGCTCGACTACCCCCTCTAACGCGACCTTCAACCCTTCCGCGGTCAAGGGCACACCTTTCTGCACGGCCACAGTCAACAGTGTCGTAAGCAACCCCGCGGCGTCTCGGCGATCACGCACGCCTCTGAGCATTTCCAGCGCCGATTTTTCATCGTTTAGGGTAGCGTGGGAGGAAAAGATGTATGCGGCGGCGGTGGGGTCCGCTGTGAGGCGGGTGGAGAAGGCACGGATGAAGGCGCGGTGTAGGCGGGGGTCGGTCGGGTCGATGTGTTGGAGGATGCGGTGTTCCGGGTCCTGTGTCGCCTCATCATGTGGTACCACCGTCGATGCGGACGACCGCACTGCCGAGGTGCCCGCGGTCTTCTTCGTCATGAGATCATAGAGGTACCATAACCGTCTTGCGTCCCCAGCCCTGCCCAGCGCATCCACGAGCTCGACGAACGACTTACGCGTGGCAGACGTCTCCCTCAGTTTCGTCCACACGTCCCACGCGACGCGGTCTTCCCGTCGGTCCACCCCATCGCGCTCCGTCTCCCTCCCGACTTTCCGCAACACGCTTCTTAACAACTCATCGCTCGCAGCGGCTCCGTTCTGCTCGTGCAGTCGCATGGCGTAATCCAGGCCCTGCGAGAGGGCTCCGTCCGCGGCGTATGCTTCGACGATTACGTTGGCGGCTTGGACGGATAATGGCACGCCCAGCCCGCCGAGGCGGTTGGCCCAATCTAGGGTGTAGGACAGTCGGTTGGAGGGTTCCTGGATCCTATTGGCTGTCTGCATTAGTTCGGTTTGCACGCGGGCGGAGCGGAGGAGTAACCACTTTCTGATATCTTCAAACACGCCTTCGAGTTGCGATGGGGTCCTGCATTGGCGGAGAAGGATGCAGGCGGTGGTCGCGTTGGGACCGGTGCGGCAGCCCGGTTTGACGGGGAAGAAGTGCAGCATTTTTTCGTAGACAGTGGCTGTTTGGTTGCTGTAGGAGCTGCCTCCGGCAAATGTAAGTTCGAGAAGAGTGTTGAGGGCGCGTAGGCTGGGGCGGAGGTTGAGGCTGGACATGGTTTCTAGAAGGCCCCATGCTACTTCGACCTGGTCCGTGGTGCATGCTGATATGAGGATGTTAAAGGTTTTCGCATTCGGTTGGAGATCCACTCCGGCCATTTTACGCAGTACTGGGAAGTCACGAGAAGGGGAGTCTGGTCAGCTGGCGACTCAAGAGATAGTGTCTCAAACTCTCAACTCTCAACTCTTCACTTACCATTCTGACACCCCTCATGATTCCCGCTCGATGCAAAATCCTCCAACAGTGCATTGAATGGCACAATCCCCATCGCTTTCTGAGCATCCCCGCCCTTCCCTGCAATCAACCTCGCCGCTTCAACATATCGTTCCAAAACCTCCTGGGCGATATCGCTTCTCCCCAGTTTGCGACAGCCGACAATGATCCGCGCGATCGCTTGCGGTAGTAGCGCGTAATGGTGAGCGGTGGTGCTGGCGTCTGCGTTAAATTGCTGCAGCACCGAGGCGCATAGCTGGAGGAGGGTGTCGCGTTGGGATTGTGAGTCGAAGGTCGAGACTTCGCCGACGATCGTTTTGATAGGGCCTAGTACCTGTATAATTGGATGACACTACCTTAGCATATGGAAGGACGACCCCTTCTCGGCCATCACTCGCCATCCTCGGGTATTCTGACCCCTCCGGCTAGCTCTCGCACTCGCCGCCGCTCGCATCATACGTACATCTCTTGGGTGCAAATATCTCGTCCTCTCTCCTCTCTCCTTTTTCACAGCAGCCACAGCAGCCGTGGCCGTATCCCTCTTCACTTCCGCCCCCTTAATCTTCTGCGGCCCAATATCCAGCGAACTCAACATCTGCCACCCAGGTAGTCTCCCACCCTGCGCCTTCTTCCCCTCAGCAACCTCTTTCCCCCTCTTCGTCTTCCCAGCGACTCTCTGGGGCAGAATCGTCTGGCGAACAACGTCGTGCTTCCAGTGTGGGAATGTGCGGCGTTGTTTGGGGACTCGGATTGTGTCGCGGTAGAAGAGGGGTTGGAAGGCGGTTGCTGCACAGACTGTGCGGGAGTGGCTGTATGTCGGGGTGGGATTTCGTGATGGTGTGGTGGATCTGCGGAGGAAGGTGGGAATGAGCGGCGGGGCCGAAGTAGCGGCAGCCTTTGCCGGCGCCCTGGACATGTTGATAGTTGATAGTTGCTCCGAGTGTGATTTGGCGTGAGGGATGTGTCCTTGCTTTTGGGATGTGCTTCCTGGAAAGTGACAACGGAAGAGGACGAAGGGGGAATAATACCATTGGCGCGTGACCTCATGTGATGAGCGAGATAAACTCTGTCGCTCTGCTCAGCGGCCGTTTGAAGTTTGGGCGCATCAGGAAGTTGTTGATGATGTGATTGATGCACGAAGGCACAAAGTCACAACCAAGCAACTCGCAGAAACAACCATATCCCATACATATACAGGACTTCCTGCAGCTTCCCCTCAAGGGCATCCACCCGCTGCTGTGCCTCGCTTTCATCAGCTGCTGTGTCTAGGTTCCAACCCTCTGCCGCGGAACCAGCAGCCACCCAGATCATCCCGCTTCGTCCCCGATCATCTGAGAGTTTCCGTCCGTGGGAAAAAGCCCCACCTCAACTAGCCCGGTACATCTCCCTCCCGCTAGCCTGGAAAGCTGTCTTAGAATCACGGAGGGAACTCTGTCTCTCGATACAGCTTAGCGAACCCCCAAAAAACCTAGCCCACGATGGCATCCCCGGCCCCCGCCACCCCCTCCCGCCGCGCACGGCCACGTCCCATCCTGCCCATCAACCTCGACCGCCTGCCCTCCCATCAGGAACTAGAGTCGCCCTCAGGTGGCGCTCTAGTCCCGCAACTTTCGGAGTTGTCCCTGCCCCAGGAAACGAAACTCGACTTGAAGCGGGAGGATATCGAGATTCTGCAGGAACTGGGCGCTGGGAACGGTGGGACAGTGCATAAGGTTAGGCATATACCCACGGGGACCATAATGGCAAAGAAGGTAAGATCTGGAGCAAGAACCACCCCGTGGAGCGAGATCAAGCGGAGGAGCCCGGACGTAGTGAGGGGTTAGTTCGGTGGGAGACCGAGCCTGAGCGAACGCCTTCGCGAGCGTTAGCGAGCGCGACCGGAGCGAGCCACATTGCGCCAAAGGCGCAATACTCCCCTACCCACAGCTCTTAGCGAGCTCAGCGGCGTCAGATCTTTTGCGAGCGAAGCGAGCACCACATTGCGCCAAAGGCGCGTACTCTCCTCATCCACCTAGCCCATGGTGCTTCATGGAAGGACACTTGATGGTTGATGGTGGATGTGGATGGTTGATCCTATTGAAGATAATGCTAATCGACTTCCGGTATTTCCCAGATCATCCACGTAGAAGCGCGCAACAGCGTACGACGACAAATCGTTCGCGAGATCCAGATCATGCACCAATGCATCAGCCCATATATCGTGTCCTTCTACGGGACGTACCTGAACGAAGGCGACATCTCCATCTGCATGGAGTACATGAGTCTCGGGTCGCTGGACAATGTCGGCAAGAAGGCGGGACCTATGCCTGAGGATGTCATTGGGAAGGTCACCCATGCGGTGTTGGCTGGGCTGGTTTATCTGTATAAGAATCATCGGATTATACATCGAGGTGGGTGCCGTGCCCAATCAAAAGTAGTGTCTCATCATAAAAGATTGACGCGGTTGTTCATTCAGATATCAAGCCGAGTAACATTCTGTTGGACGCTGAGGGCAACATCAAAATCGCCGATTTCGGAGTAAGCGGGCAGCTGATCAACTCTGTAGCCAACACGTTCGTAGGCACGAGCGCCTACATGTCGGTAAGTCCCGAGTACCGCTCGCATGCCCATATTCTCGCTCTCCGTCGAGATCCCGGACATCATCTCACAACATCTTTTCCCGATGACCACAGCCGGAACGCATCCAAGCCGGCCGCTACTCAGTCCAATCAGACGTCTGGAGCGTCGGGGTAACGCTGATGGAGCTCGCGACGGGCAAATTCCCGTTCCAATCCGACGGCGAACCGTTATCGGTGTTTGAATTGCTGGAGTATATCGTGAATGAGCCGATAGCGACGCTGCCGCCGGGGAAGTTTTCGCCGGAGTTGGAGGCGTTTGTTGCGAGATGGTGAGTGCGGGTGGGATGAGTTAGTGGGGGTGAGGCGTGCAAGAAAAGGATGGTTTCTGACATGTGTTTTCACCGACTTTGTTTCTATCAAGCCTCATCAAAGACCCCGCGTCGCGCCCAACGCCAACCGAGCTCCTTAACGACCCATACATCATCCAAGCAGCAGAGAAGAAAGTCGACGTGAAGGGATGGGCGACTGTATTACAAAAAAAGCCCGCGTAAAGCTGTAGCCTGCGTAAGAGGGGAATGGACTTTATAGGTCTCCATCTCAGCTAACGTAGCCTTCCCATGAGGGCGGGATGCACTGTCGCGTCGTGTCTCCGCGCAAGAAAAGGAGAGGCCCGGAGGGAGGCTGGCCAGGGTTTGTGGTTTATACAGTATATATATAGTGTGTGGGGATTTGCCATCATCAGCTGCTGCATTGGGGGGGTTAGGTTTGGAAGTTGGGGGGGTTGGATGGCGGCCAATAGTTTTCTCGCGTAAAGTTTTGAGGGAGGCAGACAGATGATGGATTGTATTTAGCGCCTCCTCAACCAAGCTTCTATGTTGTGAATCAAGTCTCCCTCTCGCATGGTTGCCCGTTTTGCTATATAGCCGATGTTTGATGAGCGCCGGGCGGTGGTGAATATGAAAGTCTGGACATGGACGGAGGGGAGGGAGCCTCAAGAGGGAGGTGGGTCAAGGAGGTGGGGAATCGGCCCGCAAGCAAGCTCCGCGTCTTGCTGTATTATGATGAAGCGAGCGCGTTGCTTTCGGGTAAAAACATGATTATTACTCATCGCAAGCCTCCAGCGTCGCGCCCGGATGCTGCTGCGTCATACAGGACCAAGCAAGCCGCGCCCGCCCCGATTGAATCCGAAACGACACAGACCAGCGCCCATCGATTATAATAGAACCCCCTCCAAGGGCTTCGCTGGCTTTCCCCCACACAACTCACACACACTCCCCGCAAAGCGCCATCAGAACCCACATACCCCGCTTCTCACTACTCTCTCCACTCCTTCCAACAACAAACACATATACTGATCCAAAATGCCTGAAGCAACGTAAGTGCTGCGTCGTTCTGCTTCGGTCGGTGAGGACTCGTGGAGGGGACGATGGACGAGATCTGGGGCTGGGATTGGGACGCCACCCTCGGTCATCTCGCCAGCCAACACGGAATCTTCGTAGTGGCGGCTAGATTGGTCTCCGATGCTTTAGCAGGTGTGAGCGGAGGCCTACTGAGGCGATGGGGCCGATGGGCGTCCACTACCGGGAGATCGGCCGATGGTGTGCGAGTCTTTTGCCATCTTACTGACTCGTTCGTTTTGATGTTCCTTTTTTGTGCAGTGGAGATATCGGTCTTATTGGTCTGGCCGTCATGGTGAGTACAACGGGTTTCTCTCTGTTTCGATGCCTTGCAACACCATCTCATCTCTGGTGGGTTGGTGGGAGAGTTCGACAGCTGACTCGCAACCATCTCTTTATGTTTTTTAGGGCCAGAACTTGATTCTGAACATGGACGACCACGGATACACCGTATGTATTCTTGTTTGTACGCTTGGTCGATCCAAAGGGCAGGCACGCTGACGATCTTTTTCTGTTCGCTTTCCAGGTCGTTGCCTACAACCGTACCGTCAGCAAGGTCGATGACTTCCTCAACCAGGAGGCCAAGGGTGAGTTCTCCCACGCGTCCAGTCATACTCTCAAATAGGTGCAGCGCCTCATCCGTCTCTCGCAGGCACCAAGATCCAAGGTGCGCATTCGATCGAGGAGCTCTGCTCCAAGCTGAAGAGGCCACGCAAGGTCATGCTCCTCGTCAAGGCCGGCCAGGCCGTCGACGACTTCATTGAGCAGCTCCTGCCCCACCTCGAGGCTGGCGACTTGATCATCGACGGTGGTAACTCGCACTACCCGGACACCAACCGCCGATGCAAGTACCTCCAGGACAAGGGCTTCTTGTTTGTTGGAACTGGTGTGTCTGGTGGTGAGGAGGGTGCCCGTTACGGTCCCTCTTTGATGCCTGGTGGTTCTCCTGAGGCTTGGTGAGTTCCCGATTTGGTTGTGGGAAGACGATTCTGCAACTACAATGCCAGACCTGACGAAATCTGTGCTTCCCTTTCAGGCCATTGATCAAGGACATCTTCCAATCGGTCGCGGCCAAGACGGAAAAGGGCGAGCCATGCTGCGACTGGGTCGGCGAGGGAGGTTCGGGCCACTACGTCAAGATGGTGCACAACGGTATCGAGTACGGAGACATGCAGATCCTCGCCGAGGCCTATGACATCATGAAGAACGTGCTGAAGATGAGCTACGACGAGATGGCCAATACCTTCACCGAGTGGAACAAGTCTGAGTTGGACTCGTTTTTGGTTGAAATTACCGCCCTTGTTCTGGCGTTCAAGGATGAGGATGGCCAGCCCCTTGTTGAGAAGATCCGTGATGCTGCGGGTCAGGTGCGTTGTCGTCAATTGATTGTACGCAGGATGTTGTCGCGTTGGTTTCTGATTTGCAAATGGGGGCTCTTGGTTGATTCTATAGAAAGGAACAGGCAAATGGACCGCCATCTCCGCCCTCGATCTCGGCATCCCCGTCACACTCGTCAGCGAAGCCGTCTTTGCCCGCTGCCTCTCCGCGCTCAAGGACGAGCGTGTCGCCGCCAGCAAGGTGCTCAAGGGCCCCGAGAACGTCTCCTTCACCGGCGACAAGAAGTCCTTCCTTGAGGACATTCGCCAAGCCATCTACGCCGCCAAGATCATCTCGTACGCGCAAGGGTTCATGGAGCTCCGTGCCGCGGGTGAAGAGTTCAAGTGGAACTTGAACTTTGGTGGGATTGCCCTTATGTGGAGGGGTGGATGCATTATCCGCAGGTTTTTGAAACAATTCACTTTCGAGATGGGAGTCCTGCGATTTTCATTCACTAAACCTTTCTCTTTCGCAATAGTGCCTTCCTCGGCGACATCAGCGACGCCTTCAAGAACACCCCCGCCCTCAAGAACCTGCTCCTCGACCCCTTCTTCACCAAGGCCATCCACAAGGCCCTTCCCCACTACCGCCGCGTGGCTTCGCAAGCCATGTTGCTCGGTGTGCCGATCCCCGCCATGACCTCTGCCCTGGCTTTCTACGACGGATACCGTTCCGCCCGTGTGCCTGCTAACTTGTTGCAAGCTCAGGTATGTGTGGGAATGCATATCTTTAGGAATTGGCAACATGTATCGATACTGATGATCTCTCTCTCTTTCTCCCACCCAGCGTGACTTCTTTGGCGCGCACACGTACGAGCTGGAAGGCAAGACGGGCACATGGGTGCACACCAACTGGACCGGCCGTGGTGGCCGTGTTGCGTCTTCCACTTACAACGCGTAGATTTCCGAAACCCCCCACTTGTTCTGATGTGTTTTTTGTTGACCCACCCAATACCGCATTGTTTTTCGCCCTTCGATCTCCGTATATTCATTCCCCTTCACGAACTTCTTTCTATTGAGAGGATGTCGGGGTGGATGATCTCTTGTACCTACCTATCCGTTTTGTTTAGAAGATGATGAATAACTCATGAAGTGATGGAAAGGAGGGGGTCCATCCTCCCCTTTGGTCGGGGGACACAAGGCACGTCTGGCGCCTTGTGCAAGACCGCGCCCATCAGCCACTACGTCAACACCCGGCAAGATTTTGGACTCCCCTTTTGTCACAAAGCTCCGCTATCTCTGCAAACCACCCCCCACACAATCTTGGGCAGCATTGTGAACATACCTCATCCACGGTGTCCGCACAGTAGCAGTAGGCCGTAAGCGATCCTCATATCCCGCAAACAACGTTTTACCCACGCATTTGTAACAAGCAAGATGGCATCCAGATTCGGTCGAGGTAAACCCCCCGCCGTTCCTGCTTCCCCATCTTCCCACGTTGTAATATCTCACACCCCCCGCGCGCGCATCCCTTTCAACAGCGGCCACACTCTCCCTCCTGTCCACCGCGCGCCGCGCCATCGTCACATCCACATCCGGTTCGCAGACGATCACGAACGCGGCGGTGCCGGCCAGACGGGGGTTTTTGAGACGACATGGCGGGAAGGTGTTTGCGGGGATTGTTGTTGGGGGTGTCGCGGTGTTTGGATATGGTGAGTTGCGAGGGAGAGGGGGGGGGGGGGGGGGATGTGTAGCAAATGTGTTGGGATGTCCGATGTAGGGCGGGGAGGCGGAGGAGACCCGAAGAGCCGGGAGATATCTCCGACGGGCATAACTGATTCTCATATGTGATGAACAGAGGTGTACAACGCCCGGCACCCACCGGCTCAGTTCGGGTGGGACCACAGCAAGAAGACGATCGCGATCCTCGGGTCCGGGTGGGCGGCCGCGTCGCTGCTCAAGGAGCTCGATTCGGAGAACTATAATGTCGTGGTGGTGAGTCCGCGGAACTACTTTTTGTTTACGCCGCTTTTGCCGAGGTGGGTGTGTGTTATTTGTACTTGTGGGGTGAGAGGCGGGGGCTGATGGAAAGGTTTTTGGATAGTTGCACGGTGGGAACTGTGGAGTTGAGGAGCATCATGCTACCGATGCGGTATATCACGCGGTTCAAGCAGCGCGCGATCACGTTTGTTGAGGGGGTGTGTAATGAGATCGATCCGGTGAATAAGATGTTGACTGTTGAAGGTATGCCTGCGGGTGCTCTCCAAAAGGGATGTTGAGTTACTGGACACTGATGCTGGAACTCCACATTCCCGCCTGAATAGACAACTCCGAAGTCGTTGGGGAGGTATCGAAACAGACCATCCATTATGACTACCTCGTCGTCGCATGCGGGGCCGAAAACGCGACATTCAACGTCCCGGGTGTGAGAGAACACGCGTGTTTCTTGAAGGAGGCGTGGTACGTCTAGGATTCCATCTTCCGAATCCTATGCCACCAAAAGCGAGGCGTGAACCCCCTACCAACCCCTCTCATTCTGTAAAATCTCACAGGGACGCAAAGAAGATTCGGACCCGTCTCATGGATTGCATGGAGACCGCCGCGTTCCTGGGCCAGTCTGAGAAGGAGATTGACCGGTTACTGCACATGGTCGTTGTTGGAGGCGGGCCGACGGGTGTCGAGTACGCCGCGGAGCTTTATGATTTCTTGAAGGAGGATTTGGTATGTCTGTCGGAGAGCATTCCCGAAAGGCCAGTGTTGCGTGTATCTGATCAGTGAGTCACGCATCTAGGCAAGCTGGTACCCCGAACTAGCCCCCAAGATCAAGATCACGCTCATCGAAGCGCTGCCGCACGTGCTCCCCTCCTTCTCCAAGGAGCTGATTACATACACCGAGAAGCACTTTGCGGAAGCAAAAGTCAATATTCTGAGCAACACTGCTGTGAAGGAGGTCAAGCAGAAGGAGCTGACAGTGTCGAATGCGCAGAAGCAGTTGGAGACTATTCCTTATGGTATGTTGTCGGGAGGGGGATGTGGAACAACGGGAAGCGTGTACGACGAAAGCGTCGACGTTGGCTCATGATTTGTCGGCAGGGTTATTGGTGTGGGCCACAGGAAACACCGCGAGGCCCGTCGTGGCTGAGTTGCTCAAGAAGCTGCCGCCGACGCTGCAGAACCAACGGTAGGATTCGGGTAGTGGGAGTTCAATCGCGTGCTCTCAGTCTCCTATTCGAGGTTATCCCGCGGGTTCTGACCAGCCCTTTCTTCTGCAACCTCTAGCCGCGGCCTAGTAGTCGACGAGTTCCTCAAAGTCAAGGGCGCTGATAACATGTACGCTGTCGGCGACGCGTCTGCAACCAAGTAAGATTCCCAGATTAACGATCTCTCATCACACCCACCCACCCACTAACACCACCCAACGTGGCAGATGGGCACCCACAGCGCAAGTTGCATCGCGCCAAGGCGTCTACCTCGCCCACAACTTCAACCTCCTCGGCCGCATCGACGCGGACAAGGCGAAACTGGTTGCCGAGGGCCAGGACCCTGAGAAGATTGCGCAGGGGGTGATTAAGCCGTTTAGTTATGAGCATCTGGGGGCGCTGGCGTAAGTTTTTTTTTTTGCGTTGTGCTGGGGTTTTCGTTTTTGGATTTTTGCCCATGGGTTTGATAACGATCCGGCTTTTTTTTCCTGCAATACAGTTATATTGGATCAGACAAGGCCATCGCCGACCTGCCCGGCAACGTGCACATTGGCGGCGCGCTGACGTTCTACTTCTGGAGGAGCGCATATCTCAACAAGTCAGTTCAATAGCCCCTCCCCTCCCCACTCCTGCCCCCCTCTTTCCTCCTCATATCTGACAACCCGTTTATTTTTCTCCTTTAGCCTCTTCTCCCTCCGCAACCGAGTCCTCGTCGCCTTCGACTGGAGCAAAAAGACGCTGTTTGGGCGTGACATTTCGCGGGAGTGAATAAACAGAAAACTACGGCGCTTTAGGGGTTTTCCATTTTGCAAGATGAATTTTTCATGCACATTTTACAAACACCGGCGCATTTGTTCTCTTGATGGATTTCTGGTGACGGAGTGCATGCACCTCGTCGTAGACCGCGCGATGATATGTACGTAGATACAATGCGCGGTAAACGGACATCCTACGGCGTGTCCCGATGTACCAGTCCGTCATATGCGCCCCCTCCCTCCATACTTTCTGACCCCCGCACCTGTCGCTTATCATACGGCATTTCCCTTCTTTCGCCGTCTGCTCCGTGACCGCGATCAACCCATCCATCGCGTTCCCCCCCGTATGCTCCTGCACACACACCACCACGTCGGAACCTTCCTACGATGGCATCTATAACTGAAACCCGCATGGGATGCGGGGTGGCACTTCCATTCTCCTCATTTGCATGTTCGAGAGGGTCTGAATCACGGGGTCACGTATGCTGCGGGGACGAATGGCGCCATCAGCTACGTTCCATGCTTCGAGCAGTGCAGTACTCAAGCTCACGGCATCCAGTGTCCCACCCCCAGTCCCCCTAATTTGCCCAGAGTTGGAGAAAACCAAACCAGGCGTACCGCTCACTCACCAGGCGTGGTATCCTCCCTCGGCAGCTGCGGCTCGGGCAACGACGGCGGGTCGGGGACCGCGACGTGCACGGGTGCGCCGGAGGTCCAGTTCCTTGGACATAAGAAAAAGAAGTCGGATCAGCCGCTGGGTTGTAACACCCCCCAACCAACCAACCGACAAAATCGGTGCGGTGTCGCAAGCCCCGCTTCCGTAGGTTTCTATCCACACCGCCTCCCCCCCCCCCCCCCCCAGCTTCCCAGCCGCACCACCCCCCCCCCATCAACGCCCCCAACTCACCAATTCCCCTCCCTCCTCTTGACCCCATCCACGCCCACCTCAACATCCAGCCCCAATCCCTTGACCTCGTCGGCCGTGTCCGCGTCGACGATGCCGTCTGCTGCTGCGGTGGCTGGCTGCGCCTTGTTGCTGGTGTTGGGTGGGGGTGTTGCGGACATCTTTTTTCGGGTCGTGGTGTGTTTCGATATGCTTTGTGGCGTTGGGATGGGTGGATTTATACTTCGGGGAACATGGCTGGGAATGCCCGACTCGCTGGAGGTCGACATGACGCTGCAATGACGGCAGGGAGGTTTGACAGCGTGTCCCGCTGTCAGTGAGGTCTCGCCCGCTGCGACGGGAGATGTCTAGCTGGGACTCGCTGCTGCGCACGTACGAAATGGTCGTGTTCGGGAATCATGTGCAAGCACCGTACGTAGGTGCAGAATCCATCGGGACTTGATGTCTCCCACGTTCTTCATGGTTATGGGGTCTACCTTTCCATATAGACTGACTTTTCTGGTTAGAGTTGCAAACATTCTTGTGCCCCCGATTTGGCTACCGTCCACGCTTGTACTGTATATAGTTTGTAAAGTGCGGATGGGGGGGTACCTGACGCACGTACAGCGCATGAGAGTGGCGCATGTCCAGCCCACGACGTGTGATGCCGTCCGTGCTTTTCTATCCTCTCCAGGCCTCCGCTGCATACGATGGCACATCCCGAGTGGCTCTCTCGCGTTTGCCGGCAGTCTTGGCATTGTGTGTTCGCTCGCCCCGGCGATGTCCGGGAACCCAGATAGGTGGCAAAGAACCGAAACAGATGGCCTGCCGCACGCCCTCCAAATCGTCCTCCAAATCGTCCTCCTCCCACGTCCTTTAACACCTACGCACAGTCTCGGCCCTCCTCACAGCCCCGTCCCCTTCCCCTGCCCACCAGTCGTGCCCTCCCCACCCTCGGCCCCCGCCTGCGGAAGCACCTTAATCACACTCTTGTCGAACGCATACTGCGCGCCGGACCACACCGTCGTCAAGCCCACTGTCCACCTATAAATCATCAAGTATCAATTAGAGTTAGCCCGGGGGGGCGTTCTGGGATGATTGATGGAGATGGGACAAGAGAGCTTACTGCAACACTTCCAACGCGGTATGATCCAGGAACCCAAACACGGGCGCCGCGAGGGAGGCGGACATGAGTGTCAGTTGGAGGAGGGTGTTGAGCTGGGTGGTTGTGGGAGCGTTAGTTCATTTTGCTCTCCTGAAGCCCGTCAATCGCCGGTGCAGCGGGTGTTTCTCACCTTGCTAATCATGGGCGGCCGCACTTCCGCGGAAGGGAGGGAGAGGTCAAAGTATCGTTTTGTGGTTTTCTATCGTGTCATATACGCGATGATGAGTTGTGAAAACACATGGACGGAACTCGGCTCGAGAGATGAGGCGACTTACAGGTGGTGGGAGGGTGTTGTACCGGACCCAGGCTGTGCCGGCGATGAGGCCGATGTCGCGGCCGAGGATTAGGGCTGCTAGTGGGACTGTGTGTGGGGATGGGAACGAAGTGAGGGTGGAGATGTCAGCCGTTGTGCATGTGTGGGAAATGGCAGGCGGGCAATGTACAGAAGGCATCGTGCATGGTTCGTTCGCACATTAAACTCGACGCTGGGCCCGCCCCAACAGCCAAGCACATGCCTCAATCACCCCACTCCTATCCACTTTCCACATCTAACTCCCTCAACTCACCCGGAATCAACCCCGCCGCCCCCTCCGCAACCACCAACACCGTCATCAACACCTTATCAGCAGCCGGATCCAACGCAGACCCCAAAAACGTCTTCATATTCCAATTCCGCGCAATATACCCATCAGCCAAATCAGTGAGTCCCGCCACTACGAGCAACCCGAGGGCGTGCGTGTAGGAGTGCGTGGAGATGAGGTACCCGATGATGGGCGACATGATGAGGCGAGAGGTGGTGAGGATGTTGGGGAGTGTGTAGATGTTTTCTTTTGCGAGCTGCGGTGGAGCAAGGGTGTCAGGGGTTGCCGGTCCGAGCAATAGGATCCGACTGGCGTCCTATTCGCTGAGCAAACGTCGTGCTCCACTCGCACGGCACACTTACAGGTAACACCTTCCCCACAAGCTCCTCCTTCCTATCTCCTAGTGGATTCGGCGCCGATGCAGCATGCCGCCTACTCATCATCCCCCCTCCACCCACACATTTCTTATCGCACACCGGTCTCTGCAATCGTAACGAACCACATCCTATCCCACTTAGTCTCCCAAGGGTTTGCACAGGCCGCCGGATTGAGGAGGCGGTAGCGGTGGATGAAGTGGTGAATTTGACGTTGTGGGTGAGGCGTGGTGAGGATGGTGAGGGGCGATAGGAGGGAGAGCGGCAGGAGAGGCGGAAGAGGGAGTTGGTCCTGGGGAGTGCCATCTTGGAGGTTGGAGGTTGGGGACGGTCCTTAATGGGCAGCGAATGACGGCGGGATGGCACTGCGAGACTGGATCTTGTGGTCTTCCAAGACATCCGAGGAGTCCGAGGCTTTTCTCGCGGGTTAGGGTTAGCGTCTTCGCTGGGGCATCGCACACCTCGTTCATTCCCTCGTTCATTCCTTTACCACTACACACACCGTCGCTCATTGTTTTTCAGTCGATTGAGTAGGAGTGCGATGCTTGCATGAATTATCTTCTACCAGTCAAGTCAAAGGAAACTCTCGCTCAAAATATCGGATATGATATCGGTGTGCAGAAAATTCAAGGTCGAGATATTCTCAGTGTCTCCAGATTCAGCCTTCGACATGTTGAGCTCAAGGCCGATGAAAAGCCATAGTCTAACTATCCAGATTCACACCGAACAAGACTCCATGTTATTGGACGGGGAAGGCCGCACACTTACCCAAATGACGAGCGAAAACGGCGTGAATCTCGGAGGTCTCCTCAACCACCTACATGGGCGGCCACTGTTGTACCTCCCTTCATCGGGAGGGATATTCAATACCAGAGGCCTTGCAACCCATCGTTTTGGGCATGGTCGCTTCATCAGTGGGTGGCAGACACCCCTCCAGCGAAACGAATGACACAGACAGATGCAGAGTCCGTACTGTTAAGCGAGACGCGTCGAACACGCGTGAAAGTTGGAAGCGGCCGTCGCAGCAGCAGCAGTCCCTCGCTCGGCGGACACTGCCTGGGCCCAAAAGTTTTAGACTAACACTCAATGCAAGCTGTCAGATCCCAGCCAAGTCGCCTCTCTCTCCCGCAACTCCGCCGGCATCTCGCATCTCGGGGAGTCCTCAACTGAAATCCCGATCCAGAACAGAACTCATAATCCACTGTCCACACAAATAAGATCCGTAGAACATTCGTTCCCTCACCCCATTGAAGAAGGAGTACCGCCCAAACTCAGCGGCTGCCATCGAACGTTTCACAAGCATATTTCAAGCCGTCTTAAAGCACAAGGGTCTCTGAAGACAGCGGCAAGGATGATGAGGGACTGGGCGGCCCCGGGTGGTCGCACCGTCCTGGTCAAGGCCCTTCCTCCGGGCAAGGATCGGGCGGATTTTACAGAGTTCTTGCGTGAAAATCATAGTTTTGGTTTCGAGCATGTCAAGTTTGATACGGATGGTATGTGTAATGAATGGCGTTGTCATGCAACGGAAGAAGGGGCATCCCCACTTGTGTATATGTAGCGGTGCAATAGGTTTTCATGTCCTTCATCCCGCTCGACTCATCGTATCTCTGGTGCATCCCTACAGAAGGCATCTCAATCCTTTACGACACGCACCAGAACGCCAAGTTCGCCCTCGACTCCATCACCCAGAGCACGGCCATCGACATCACCTGGGCCGCGCAAGATCTCATCCCAGACCCCTCCCTCCTCAGCTCGCGGGCCCTCCACGCCGTCGAGCCCAACCCAGTTGTCTACATCGAACCAGCATTGACGCCGCTCTCGCCCGACGAGGTCAAGAAACTCCTCATGGCCTACCGCGGCTGCGAGTCGTTCGACATTATCAGCAAGGAGGAACTCAACTACGACCGCGATCGCGGGGTCGGGCGAGCGCCGCACCAGGGCCGCGCGTCGTCGGCTAGGTTCTACTACTATGCGCTGTTTAGAGACGTGTTTTGTGCAGAGACTGCTATCGAGGACTTGAACAAGTGTATAGGGATACCGGCCACGTATGCAAGGAACCATGAGCGTGTCAGGAATATCCTTGAGGGGAAGGTCGCCCGGCTGGGGACGGCAGCCACGCCCGCGCCGGCGACGCCCCGCAACAATTCGGCGATGCTGACATGGATCCACGTCGCGGAGATCCCAACCGACGTCGATTTCGCCAAGCTGCGGGCTCACTTCGGACGTCTGGAAGGGTTCCGCTGTCTCTCCTTCCAGCCCAACGGCGTCTTGCTCGGGTTTGCCACCGAGCCTTACGCCAAGCGCGCCGCCGAGATGCTTTTGAAGAACACCCGCATGGATGTCAATCCGGCGACACCCGACGCTGTGCAGACCGTGCAGCAGGTCACGACGGCCATGGCGGTGTCGCAGCCCGCCACGACATTGTGTGTCCATTTGACACCGTACGCGCCCGTCCACCGCGTGTCGGAGATGGTGCACGTCTACGCCGGCGTGCAGGAGGTCAAACCCGACGCCGCTCATGTGTACGTCCGGTTCGCAAGTCTGGATGAGAGTGTGCGCGCCGTGACGGATCTAGAGGCCACCACCGACCTTGCGTTGGAATTCGTGCCCGGGTTTGGTGTGGCGAAGGATCATAACCTTGGGGTACTTTCCCCGACCGGAACCACCCCTGCACGTCCGGCGTCAACCCACCCCGGTGGGGGACTGGTTACCGCCGCAGGCCTGCCCACACGCCCACGCACCACGCGCGCCGACTCCACCATCTCAACCGCTTCGTCCGCCGCCGCAACGCCCTTCCCCCACCAACATCAACACCCAACAGACCACCATGGGGCCATTTCCATCTCCCCCTTCGACACCACAACAGTGCTCATGGCCTCGCACCCCACCCCAACTCCCCCATCACACTACGATCCCCGCTACCTCTCCGACGCCGCCATTTTCATCTCCGCAAAAGACCTCCCCCACGTCAAATTCTCCCTCCGCCACTCCGTCGGCACCCTCGACGGCTTCACCCGCATGGCCTTCCAAGAAGAAGGCTTCTACGCCTGGTTCACCACGCGCGACCACGCCGCCAAAGCGGTCGGCCGCCTCGAGGGCGAGAAACACATCACGCCCACGCTGATCAAGCGTCCGCAGACCCGCACCCCGCATGCCCCGCACCCCATGCGCCCGCTTACGGCAGAACACTACCAGGGCGCCCTGTTTGTGCGGTGTCCGTGGGCGCTGACGCTGGACGGCCTGCAGTGCATACTGGAGGCGTATCCCGGGTACATGACCTGTCGCCACCTACGCGACGCGATCATCGTCGACTACGTGAACCACGAGGTTGCGGAGAAGGTTGTGCGGGACCTGCAGGAGACGACCAACATCCGCGTGGAGTGGTCGACCCGGTCCGCGCAGCCGGGGAACAGATACATGGTGGACGACGCGGGGGACGAGGCCGCGCACGAGAGACGGTACAGTGCCCCACGACCGATGGAGCCTCTCGCTCGCCCGGCGTTCGCGCCCGCGCAGACTTCTCGCACGTTGGTGGTGAGCACTGCCGTCCCCGTCGACAAGGCCGACACCCGGGCCATCGTCGCCAAACTCCCCGGTTTCTCCCGCGTGCGGTTCCAGGGGATCAATTTCCACATCGCCTTCCAGACCCCGGAACTCGCGGCTCAAGCCCTACCTTTGATCAAACGCAGCCAACCGGCCTGGAAGGCATCGGCAGCGAAAACAGACATCCCGCCCCTCCCCGAGCAACTCGCCGCGGTGCAGGAAGCCAAAAACCCCAAACCGCCCCCATCGACCGTGCTGGAGATCGCAAACGCCGGCTGGACCGAGGCGGAGTGTATCAAGCTTTTGGAGAGTTTCCACGGGTTCGAGAGCGTGGATTATGATTCGGACACGAGTCGCGCGTACTTTAGCGATGGGCGGACGTGTCAACGGGCTTGTGTGGATATTAACAGTACAACCGATTTGGTGGCGGCTTATGAGAAGAGGGGGGAGGATAGGCTGGCGGGGCAGGGGTTGTCGTTTGTGGGCGCGGCGGCGGCGGCTGCGAAGGTGCTGAGAGAGGGTGGTGGGCACGCTGAGGAGGGGCCTGTGATGGTGCATAACGCTGAACCCGCTGATGTTGTCGTGCATGCGTGGAAACAGCAGCCTGCACCCGACACCACCACCACTCCACCAACAACCGTGACGCCCGCATGGAAACAACACGCGTTCGACTCTACACCCCCGAAAGCAACCACAGAACCATGGTGGAAACGCCGCACACCCCCGGTCGCAACACCAACAACGCCAACACCCACCGACGCCGCCCCACACGCGTGGAAAAAAGCCGAAATCATCGACACGGCCGAGCACGCGTGGCGAGTGTGGGCCAATACACCCGCCGTGAGCTCTCACCCTACTTTAAGCGGTGGTGGTGTGGAAAACCTGTGGGCGCGCGATCTGGCTGGCGGTGTGGTTGACCCCTGGAAGCGTAATGAAGCTGCCGCTGCGACGGAAGACGCGTGGGGCCCGCCGTCGGCGGAAGGGGGCGCGCGGTGGGGTGCGCCTGTGCTGTCTTCATTCACGCCCACCGTAAGTAACTCCGCACCGGCGACCAGCGCCGCCGGGTTCGCAGGCAACTGGCCCGATCGCCCAGCAAACTACATCTCGACCCCCAACAGCGCGGCGCGGTTCAAAGACCGTCCGCCCGCTCCGGCTGTTGTGGCTGATTGGCCTGTACATGTACCCGGCGAGGTCGGGGAGCGTGCTGCCACCCCGGCGGTTGTGCCTGCTTGGCCTGTTGCGAGGACTTTGGGAGATGGCGCGGTGCCGTCGGTTGTCGTCGAGGTTGAGAAACGTGGGACGTTGACGGAGGTGTTTGCGAGACCAGGAGTCGGTGAGGGTGTACAGGAGGTTGAGTTCGGATGGGATATGGGTCGCAATGCGCATGGGAAAGCGGAGAGTGTGGAGGCTCACCATGCGCCGCAGGAGGTACGTTCGCCATCCCTCCATGCCGTGCGGCTTGGACTATATTTCAGACTAACTCGACCTCCATCCCCACCCACAGACCCTCTCAAACATCATCATGATCCGCAACTGCTCGATCCAGTCCGCGGACGAGATGGCGCGGTATCTGGCCGTGCACGCGAACTTTGAGGACGTGATCTGCGAGAATGTGAATGGCGCGGTGGTTTGGTATGCCAAGTTTGCGGATGTCAAGAGCGCTGAGATTGTTAGGCATAGTTATGAGGTATGTGCTAGGCCTAACCGAGCGAAGGTCCTCTGAGGAAGCTTACGGTCGGGGGGAGTGACACAGCTATATGATCATTACGCTGACTTCTCCCCCCCAGCTCCGCGAAACCCTCAGCAGAGGCTACGGCGGCGTCACCTTCCAATACGCCACGACCCAAACCACCGTCCCGCCCATGTGGGCGTCCTCCCTCCTCCACCAAACCACCGAAATTCGCTACACACCTCCACCCCCGCGCCCAGACTCCGTCCTAAGCACCACCAGCCAAAACAGCCAAAAACGCCGCGCCCCACGCCTCCGCGCAAAACCAAGCGATCGTCTTCCATCGACACAGCCTGTCGCGCCGTGGTTCAAGCAGACCGCGCAGGCTGCTGAGCCCGCGTTTCATTTGCGGGGTGGGGAGGGCGCCGCGCCGAATCCGAGTAAGGAGGGGTTTGTGGATCCGTGGGCGGCTGTTAAGAAGGAGGGTGCGGAGGAGGGGTGGGGGAGGAAGCCGACAAGCGTGATGAAGGACTTGTCGCCGTTGACGCCGTTAGTGGGGTTGCATGAACAGTCTACTGTAAGTTTGACGAGGGGTTCTTGCGATGTGTGGGGGTTGCTTGATACCTCGACGGCGAAGACTGGATACTCACCGGGTTTCCCTCGCTTGTCAATCAGTGGCCTCAAGCGGTCGGATCCACCTGCCCGCCCCTCGCGCCACAGACGCCCAACCCCGGGGTTGAACACGCCCAAGCCGAACCCCAACAACCCCAAGCAGACCGAAGCATCTCCACCGGGGACGCGGACATCGCGCGCGCCGACTCCGCAACCCCAACGCTCCCCCTTGCCGAATTGGCCAGACTCAGCGTCCGCGACGACGACGACGCTACAACCACCACCGTACCCGCCGCCGTCGCCGACTCCCCCTCTCAACCCACTCACTCCCAACACGAAGATACCCACCAACCCATACAGACCCCACCCGCAACCCTCCAAACCCGCCTCAAAAAACTCGACATCTCCCTCACCCACATCGAATCCTTCCTCTCCCTGCCGCCATCCGACTCCGATTTCACTCAGTTGCCGGTCACGCCTGGGGTCGGAGACGCGGCGTTTGATGAGATGTTGCAGGGGCGGGTGAAGAGGATTGTTGGGGCTATTGAGGCGTTGGCGAAGGCGGGGGCGGGGGCTGTGAGGGAGGGGGGGCAGCAGGGCAGTGAGGAGGAGGGACAGGGACGGGAAGGGGAGAATAAGGAGGGTGTTGCTGGTGGGATTGTGGCGGTTTAGGATTATTTGGTACGGAGACATCTACGGTTACTGGGCGAGTGATGAGAGGGGTCTTGTAACGATCCGAGGGAAGCATGGATCCATCGACATTTTTGGGACTTGTGTGTGGAGAAGCGGTTGCACTTTTGGACGCCGTGGCCTTTTTTGGGATGTGTATGCATAGAGACTTTTGGATGCGATGTTGTAGAATACAAATCACCCGAGATAACGCATGTTCAACGCTTGCAGCCAACCGGAGTGACAACCCATGGATCCTGCACGGAAGCGGAACGCGGAAGGGCTTGCTGATCCTCAAAACACCCCCAAACAGCCCCAAACCGCTCTTTGCAAAGTATGGAAGTCAAATGCACCAATGAGATGATTGACACCCAAGGGTGGTGGAGCAGATGTCGTGTAAATGAAAGCGCCTAGGCTACGATACAAGCATACAGAGTCCTTCGAGCGTCCACCCTATAACACAGGTACCGCCGTTGCACCGCACGCCGTAAAGTAGACCCACAACTCTTACTCATCATCCTCCGTAAAATCCCCATACCTCCACATATTCGTCCTCGCCCCCTTCGCCTCCTCCTGGGCGTCCACCATACGTTCCACAACCGTCTTGTTCCCCGCCGTCTTCTGCGCCTTACTCCACGCAGCAACTTTATCCACCGTCTTCGCCTCCGCATTCAACCGCTTCACGATCGCGCGCTCCACCGTCCCGAAGCCGTCGCGGACTACACGTTCGTTGATGCTTTCACCCCCGGCGGAGGTGAGGGACTTCTTGTCGTACAGGATAACGTTGAGGGCTTGGGGCGAGGAGACACCGGGGACCTTGCCGACGATTTTGGCGACCAGATCCCGGTTCTCCGTGGCATCGCGGAGGTACTCGTACGCTTCTTCGCCGTAGTCCTGGTCGAGCTCCGGGACGCGGAGGTAGGCGAGGCGGGCTTCGATGGCTTGTGGGGCCAGGTGCGTGGTGGAGAAGGAGGGGTCGAGGGGGCGGATGCGGGTGGAGGGCACGGTTTCGGAGTTGCCGTAGTCGATATAGATGAGTTGGTAGGTTTTGTCGGGGTTGGTTTTCTTGACGCGGGCACGGTACCTGGAAGGGATCCGAGGGAGGGTGTGAGTAAATTCGCTACGAATTATGATGTCTCATACTGCTTCTTTGTCATACCATTGGTCGTCGGCACTGAATTGTGCACTGCAATATTCGCCATTACGTGGTTGATGGGCCCCGGTGGATGCCGATTGATGGTGCTGCGCGAACCTGGACATCAGGTCCTCCAAGCGGTTGAGATCTGCCAAAAGAAAAAACACAAGCATCAGCAACTCAACCCCGTAACACCGCCCAACCCTTTCAAACCGTACTCACCAGCCCCCTTAACCTGCAAAAACAACCTTCCCCCGCCCTCAATATTCGACACAATCACATCCTTCGTTTCAAGCGGCTTGCTCTCATCAAACTTCTGCTCCTGCACCGGCTCCTCAGTCTCCGTATAATTCTTCCAAACCCCCTTCTTGGCCTCCCTCGCGCCCTTCTCCGCCGAGTACAGGACGTGCGAGTTGGGGCTCTGGCTAGCCGAGTAGTCGTGCACGCTCGCAAGACCTTCTTCAAGCAGCATAGCCGCGACGTTCTTGCGCTCGTCGTTGATGGTGATGTAGAGGGCGCCGATGAACCCGCCGACTTTATCTTGTCCTTCAACGGAGAACTCGACGTCGCGTTGCATGACGCGCTTGGAGACAAAGTCGAGGGCTTCTTGGCCAAAGGGTTCGGATTTCTCGCCGGGACGGCCGACTTTGGGCGCTCGGATGCCGCCGAGGACGAGGGTGAGGGTGCAGTTTTGGGTGGGGACGTAGATGCGGAAGCGGGAGCCGCTCGAGACGTAGTCGACGACGCCGGCGACGGTGCCGCTGCGTTGGAGGAAGGGGAAGAATTGCTTGGCTTTATTGACGGTGGCGGAGGCGTCGCTGATGCGGTGCAGGGGCGCGTCTTTGGGGGAGTGGATGCCTTTTTGGGCCTTCTGGGCGCGGTCGAGGGCGATCAGGAGGGAGTCGTACTGCGAGGATCGGTTGTCGTCGTCTTTGCGGTGGCGGATGATGTCGGCGAGACCTCGCGAGACGAGCAATTCTGCGAGGTTCTTGGAGCCCTGCGTGACTGTGGCGCACTCGCGCTCCTCATACTGTCCTTCGGCGGGCTTGACGTAGTCAATGACGACGTGGACAGGCTTGCCGATACAACGAGAGCGCAGGAATTCCTTGGCTTCGAAATCGTATCCGTACTCCTTGATGGATGCGTCACGTGCAGCAGGTTGTTCCTTCTTCTCGGGACCTTTGGGTGCACGGATACTTGCCAGCTGAATGCGGCGCTCCTTGCCAGTTGCCGCACTTTCAACGATCAGCGTATCGGCGGAAATGACACGGGTAACGACGGCATCAAACTCAGGCTCTGGTCCAGCAACGCGTGGCTTGCCCGCCCAGGTTTTCCACAGACGAAGCTTCTTGTCCTTGGCCTTTTGCTCAGCGGCGCGGTATCGCTGTGGGCCTCCCGTCACCAGCGTGATGTTCCAGTCGACCACTTTGGCGAGACCTTCAGCGAGAAGAGCTTCCGCGATATTGCCCGCAGGGAATTGAACGGATCCGACAAAGTTGTCATTTGACGACAAGCCTTCCAGGACCACCTTGATGTCCCGCTGCAACAATCGCGACTCGACAAAATACTTGGCTTCCTCGCCGTACTCCTCTACGAGGTCCTGAACGTTGGGCACGCCCTTACGATACGTTGGCGCCTTCAATCCCGACAGCATGAGGGTGATGTACTGATGCGTTCCGTCAGGCAACAGCAGCAAGACCCTGAAAGTGGATCCATCGCGCACTTGCTCCAGCACCGCGGGTATTGGCTTCCCCTTATGTTTCTCCAAGAACGCCCTCGCGTCGTCCTTCACATCATAGCTGACAGTCCTCGCAGCGGCGCCGGTGTCCCGGAAGATGCCCTTCTGGTTTGCTGAAGCCTCCGCCTCCAGGATCGCAAGCTGCTCCTGCTCGTCAGTGGCTGTCCTCTTCCCGTCCGCGGCCCTAGCGCGCGCCCACCCCTCCTTGATCGCAAGGCGGTTGACATTGGACTCGCCGTCTACTGGGTGTTGCAAGACGATCACACCGAAATCGCGCTGGTTTGTGGATGTGGTGTATTCGACCTTGTAGGCGACTTCTTTGCCGACCAAGAGTTGACGGAGAAACTCGCGGGACTCGTACGCATATGGCTATCGGGACGGAGAGGACTTACGATGAGAGTGATCTAGAAAAGTGTAAAAGGCAGCGAATTCCCACACGAACCTCCTCCTTCTCCGGATCTCTTGCGGTGCCAAGACGCGGCGCCTGGAGGTTAGCAAGCGAGAGGACTTTCTCCGGCGGCGGTCCACCTTGAGGCCTCGCACGAAGCACCACAGTGTCTCCTGACAGGACGTTTTTGACGATTGCGCGACCTGTAGGGGGAAGACTTGCCGATGACATCTTTTTGGATTGTGACTTTCTGAGAAGCGGGGGCGTATGTGTGAGATTCAGCTGCTTAGGATCCGTCCTCTGTGCGCCCTATGGAGGTGGTGCTGCAAGATGCTGCTGCTGGTTGATAGGGATGCGCTTTATGACGTTCGGTCTGGTTGAAGCCCCGGGGAAGTTGCCGCAACAAGGGGACCGCTGTATTGCGGGTGGTTTGTGCAACACAGTCGGGAAACTGCTTCTTAACACGAATACGGTGGAGTTATCTCCCAGCTTCGTAACGGTGTCGGCGGCAATAATAACGCGTTCCGCTTACTCAATCTTCCCATCGCGTGCGTCGCGTTCACACAGCACACAGCAACCGCAAACACCTACGATATACTGTACAGTACATTCCAATGGTCCCTTCTCCCTCTCTTCCGGGTAACATCGCAAAACATCATCATGCTCCACATCCAAGCTCTAGTACCCTTCTCACCCGCCCCTTCAAGTGGTGGTAACACCTCGCCCGCCCCGGGACCGAGAGGCCGAGGTCACGTTCGTGCTCTCGTTTAGGTTTCGTTCGTCAGTTCACAATGGGAGAAGTAAAACTGCAGCGGCCGGTTGAACTGACTCAGTTGCTTTCCTTCCCTGCTTTTTTTACCACGCACCTGTATTTGAAAGCCGAAACTTATCGAACCCAAGATTATGCTTCTGCTTACGCTATGCAGATACCCGAGGCAGCACACAGCGGCGGGGAAACGAGTGCCTCTCGTTCGCGATTCCCAACCCCAGCATATCAGCACGTGATTGAACAATCGACCCCAGGAAATCCCGAGGCTCGTCTTTCCAAGTGAGGGTACGAGCAAAGAAATGCTGCACAATGCTCCCGACGATCTTGTTGTCTCAGCTTCACATCTTGCGGGTACGGCCAAAGGGGATGTCGCAGGCCTGGGTGGGTGCTGGCAACCACGCAACCATTCCCGCTCGCCGATGGTATCTCCTGCCCCGCCGACGAGTGCGAAGATACCATGCACGAAGAGTAGCTTCTTTGAAAATCTCGCGTTGTGCGTTTGTGGTTGAACGTGACGACCCCCCCGCGCGTTGCCCGAATGGGGGTTGTGGTACGCGTTTGTGCTGACCAATTCCTCATTCAAACTCCGCTGTTCTTCCCCCACGGAAAGATGTGTTCAGCCATCGCCTTGTGGCCATCCCCTCAATCATCGTGCAACCAGGCCGGTGATATACAGTATACAGGGCCGCACTCCCTCTGTGCGCCCAAACCGTATATACATCCGCTCGCCAACGCCGACAAAAGGCTGCCAACGAACGAACATTGGACTCGGGGGTATGCTTTGCCTCGCTTCCCGTTCAGGTCCCCTGTCAAACTCTCCATCGTTGGACGCGTTTTGGGGGCTCAAGTACCCAAACGCCTTGTTCACGCGTTTCTCTATCCGCCTTGTCGCCCCTTCCTCACCCCCTCTCCCCGTTTCCTCCCCGCCGAAAGTGTCACGCAGGGGCAATCCGAAAAAGCTGGCCCGCTTCCTCGCATCCTGCGTTAGCCGGACTGGAAGAGGGGGTAAACAGTGGCGGTCTTCACTTTCGTTTGTGCGGTCGGGTTACGATTTGGCCGCGGAGTTTCGATTCTTTCGGGGCCCGACGCAACGTGGACATGGACGTTACTGTTACGCTAAAAAAACACGCGTCATTCGCAATTGAGGAGGTTAAACGCACCATCCGAGGCACAAGCAGCCCAGCCCGTTCCCCAACCTCTCGACAGAGCGTAACCCGCGCTTATATCAGCGGACATCCGCAGGCTTGAGCCGGTACCTCCAAAAAGGTTTCAGGGTAGGAGATAAACGACCTTGCTTGTGCTGTCGTTTTCATATGGGGTCAGTGTTGTGACCAACATGCGTTGTTTTGCCATCACGGCCTCAAAGGTGGGGGTTTGTACATATCCCGGCGCGGCACCCCCAATGTCAAACGCCGCCCAGGACCGTTCAATGTTGCGAATAGTAGAATCGTCAGTTACTTGCACAAAACCCAACACACAGTTATACGGGAAGAAAATGTCCGATCAGAGATTATATTACACTGGCTGGGTCACATGAGGGACACCGGGGGGTGACGAGGATGAGTGGAACGTGCGCTCGTTTTCGGGGACGCGTGGTGCGGAAGGGAGAGGGAGGATGTGTGTGCGTGCAGTGTGTGTATGAGGCGAGGTTTTTTCAGTCGGTGAAGTTGAGGACGGACGTTACCGCCGAGTGGTCTGCGGAGGAGGAAAACGAAATGGACAAGACATGTCAACATGGGGGTTGTCAGGAGCCTAAAGTCCGGGAATAACCCAGACACATACCAGAAAGCTGGGCAAACGGTGTCCCCTCAACCTTAAAAGGCTGCAACGCCGTCTGATCCACACCCAGTCTCAAGCGAGTCCTCCCCCCCTGCTTGACCCCGCCCTCCCACTGCAACAGATAATCCAGCCGCTTTCCCCAACTCTGCGGGTCCTCCTCCTTCCTCTCCTCCTCCTCGCCCAGCACAACCTTCCACGGCTTCCACGTCGGCTTCTGCTCCCCGTACCGTTGCCTGTACACATCCGTCACCTTCGCACCCCCGGTGGATAATGTCAAAAGCATACGGGTGTATTCGGCGGAATCCTCGTGCGGGAGCCAGCCGAAGGGCGCGCCGGGGGTGTTAAAGTCCCCGGCGAGGAGGACCGTGTCTAGGGAAGAGTTGTAGTGATTGGTAGAGAGGGTGGTGGAGAGGTAGGTGCGGAAAAATTGGAACTGGGCGTGGCGGAGGACGGTTGTGTCGGTTGTTAGGTCGTTGCCGTCTTCGTCTGTTTGGAGAGAGGGGAGGTGATGAGACGGGATGGTTTTTGTACACAGTGGGCGAGGAGGGGGCAGTTTTACCTGGGATGTACGTCGCCTGCAAATGCGAGACAAAGAGATGGACCTTGTGCACGTTATGCTCCTTATCCGCAACATTAATCTGCGCATACACGATCCCCTTGGCCGCCACCGCATCGGGTCCCAACCCAATCCCATACTCCACACTATCAATCACCATAATCGGAAACCTCGACATCACCAACAATCCCGAATCCACAAACTTCCCCTTCCACCAATTCCGCTCGGGTCCATGCGCCCAGTACTTTATTCCCCTCGCCGCCGCGGCGTCCAGTAACCGCTCCCGCCGACTCGTCAGCGTGCCGAAGGTCTCGGTCAGGGCGAAGATATCGTAGTTGTCGAGGTGGGTGTTGATGAAAATGTCGAGACGGTCATTTTTGTAGTCCCCGTGCAGTTGAACGGGGGGTGGGCGGAGGTAGAAGTTGTAGGCCATGATGCGCGCGCCGGTTGCCGGGAGGACGGGGATGGAGGTTGTGGAGTCGGCGAGGGGGGCCCGGCGGGGGTGGATTGGAAGGGCTAAAAAATGAATATGGGAGAATGGATGAGTACGGTATGTGGATGATAAGTATAACCGCGACGATTTGAGTGGGCGATGTATGTGTGTATGTGTATGTGTGCATGATGGTTGAGCGATGCATGAAACAACATCCTGGTCGACCCACTTGCGACAAGGAGGTTGGGCTGCGGCGGGCGGAGCGTGCTAGCTCGCGCACAATCTCTCACTGTCGCTCGCCAGAATGCAGCGCTCGCTCCATCGCCAAATCTCCTCCGCATGCTCGCTGAACCCACAAACGCTAGCTATCCCTTGCTTCCACCAAAATCTCTCGCTTCCCCTCCGACTTGCCATCCAACTCACATAGAATAGCAAATAACAAAAACAGGGTCCCGAAGACGAGTGTCGCAGCCACAACAAGTCTTGGAATCCTCGAATAAGCTTTCTTCACACTCCCACTCACACCCCTCTCTCCTTCTCCCGTTAGACCCCTCTCTCCACTAGCGGAAGCGACCTCAATATCGGGTTCATCCCAGCGAAGGAGCGGGGAAGTTTCTGAGGGTGTTGGTGCTGTGAGGGGGTCTGTAACGGTGGGTGGGACGTGGGCGGGGTCGGCCGGTGCGGTGGGTTTTGTGGTCTTTTGAGCCATCTTGGGGGATGAGGTTCAGGGTTTTGGAAGAGGATAACTTGTGAGGTGTGTGAAGGGGTTGTTGCTGCTTCCGCCGTGATATTATTATTGAAGACGAGCCGAGGGCAACTGAGAGAAGCGCCTGGGAGGATGTTGTTCTGCGCGGACTGCGAAGCGGGCGGAACAGGGGGGAGCTGCGAAAGGACTCTGGAAAGGACTGGGTGACGTCGCGCTCTCTGCACCGACGCGCGCAGCAGACAGACACGTGCATCTTTTAAACAGGGGTCTCCTCCAGGCTCATGATACTATGCAGGCGGCCCCTACTGCCCGCCCTCCTGAGCCGATTCGACTGCACATGCAAGGAGACTGCGACCGGATTGCCAACGAGCCTTGGCCTCCCGCCCCTTGTCCCGGAGCGCCCGGGGAACATATCTATCCCGTACATGTCAGCGGTGAGCATTTCTAGCATCAAAATGCTCCCATCGCCATTGAACCCAACATTGCGCCTACAAGACCAAGGACGAAAAAGGGGCCCGTGAAGTTATGAACCACCTATGCCCGACACGGGCCATGATCGAAAGTTTCACTAGTGTATGTACCTACTATGTACATATATAGGGACATGTCCCAAGAGCGCTTGATATATTGCGTCAAACACCCTGAGATCGTGTCAGGCCCGAGCAGGGCGTGCGTCACTTTTGCGTGGCGCTTACATATAGAGCTATAGAGGTAAGACCAGGTTTCCTGCGTCTCGTCTCTGCCCAGTGTACCTGGTTGAGGAATAGTAGGGGTGAGAGGGCGGTCGAGATCGGATGAGGGCGCAACCACTTGAAGAGTTTGAAAAAAATCGACGTAATCAGAAATGCGTCTCCTTTGGTATGTACATACAGTAAATGAAGAAAACGCGTCGGCAGGCGGGCGGAAAACGCGTTTGCTTCAACTGCCAACTGCACATAACGTCCCAGCCCCCTATATATATATGTACCTGTTGCATTACCATCCAGAATCGACTTCCAGACCTTGCTGTTGGTAGTCTTTCTTTCTTGATACCAAGGCAAGACCCGTGCTGTCTCAAAACAGAAAAAGGGCTCAGACCGGGCCAAACACTGCGTCTTTCATTCCAGCAACATCATTGGCCTCAACGCTTCACACTTGTCTGAATCATCGATGCTTGCGTTCTTGCGGTTGTTGACGTGTTCAAGCGGGATGAGGGGACGTCTCCAGTGATAACGCATTGCAGCCGAGGAAAACGCGTTGGAGTTGCAACCTCTCAGTGGTCTAAACTCCCAACTAGCATCCCAACCTCTCCATCTCGGACGAACATGCTTGAGAAATCTTGTGGTTCCGACAAGGCGAAGCCTCTAATCGAGAAACGGTGTAAGCGTACACAATGCGTGAACAACGAGCTGAAACGTTACTTAGCACGTCAAAAAGACGGTCTCGACCTAACCGAAGCGGAGATTTCTCAACAAAAAGATCAGGTTAATAAAAGCGGGCTAGTACACGCAACGCCTCAAGACCCCAAGGATACCCGCACGATAAGAAGCGAAGCTTATGCGCGCAAAGATCGGTGCCGCTGCTGCATTGAGAACACGCCGAGTCCTAAATGGGGACGCTGTAGACTGTGAAAGAGTTGGTGAGGACCCCATTATGCCACACCCTGATGAAACATTCGTCGCTCACCTGTCGGAATACTGACCCTCGGAAAACGCGTGCAACTGGGTAAGCGCCCTCCGCGGTCTCGAAACGTTTCCTCCGTGCCCGCGCATGACTTTTGAGCGTCGCAGCTGGGGTATGAGCCCCTACGCAGCGTCAAGGGTACTAAAGCAAGCCAGCAAATTGCATCGAGGAAGCGGAGCCAGAGGGGTCTGTTTTCGCTCAACGCGTAAGCAAAGTTCGTTTTCAATCCCACCGAGCGCGAATAAGAACCCTCTCTGTAATTGCCCGTTCCCAACATCCTCGACCCTCGCTCACTCCCCGCTTCGTTTTCTTCCCACAGGTAACTCATGCACGCGCGCATCGTGCCGAATCCGCTTGCCAGAAGGTAAGAGACGTCGCGAGCCCGCAATGGGGATCCAAGTGGGCCTTCTGCGTCAGTCGGCTGATATAAGGGACGCGTTGAGCGTCTCATGGATGTCCACCTATTTGCCAACTCCGACAAATGCCGACAGGGCCCGGTAAGTCACTAATAGCCTCCACTGCCGGCGTCTATGTCAAGACGGACAGAACCCTCGTCTTCGCTTCCCATGCCCCAAGTCCGTGAGCGCAGGGGTTGTCCACCTGCCCAATGAAAGAGCGTGACCACCCCTTCCTCACGCCAGTCCGAAGCGGAATCGATCAGGAATATTCACGAATAACGTCATAACGTCACCTTTTCGATATCATGGCTTCTGCCCATGGGGGGCTGGAGATTGTCTGACTGGCGTATATATTCGATTTATGCATCCTGTGGAGGATCCGAGGAGCGTCAGATGAAATCCGGATTCTGTTCAAGGCGTGGTCGGCTAAGGCGAGGTGGCTTGCAATGGGATGATGTTCGGCTGGTTGCCCAACCGGTACGTAGTGCGTCCCTCAAGGGGTAGGGCGGGGCTTTTTCCCAAAGCCTAAGGACTCCCCTCCAGAAACATCAGTAAACATGAGCTGACACTTGCATGTGGACTCTCCATTGCGTTGTCATCGAGCCGAAGGTAAACAGAGTAGGGATATCACTTTCATTCCAAACACTACGATAACAAACAGCACAGACGTTGAAGGAAACGAAAAGGAAAGAAAAGTTCAGTATCTACATCACTAACGTCTATAAATGAAAAAACGCCGGAAGTCGAGCGAAACGGGTGGGAGAGGGAGGGCATTAATGGCGGGAAGGTACGATGTCTTTGTGCAAAAGGGACCGTTGGGGATATGTATACGAATACTACGCCGTCTTTTTTGTAGGATGTATATGCCTGTGATGTTACCCGCCGAAGTCTATGTATATAATGTATAAAAGGGTTGTGGTAGTGCGAACCGAGCGATAATGGCTGTCGAAAGGTTGCGACAGTGGGTGGTGGTGGTGGTGCTCGCTGTTTTTATACCTTGACGACCTGGATGTTGGGTCCGAGAGCGTTGGCGAAGTGGATCGAGCCGAGGCCTACTCGGATGGAGCCGGCTTGAGGTGCCTGTTGTGATCGGCGGGCGAATCCTGCGGCAAACCCTGCTGTGGGGCTTGGGACGATAGCGGCTCCAACGACCCCTCCGGCGGCGGGAGCAGCGGGAGCGGGAGCTGCTGGGGGGTCGACGGGGTTGAGTGGAGGGATGTCCGGGTTAACGGGGGGGTCGGCGGGACCGGCAGGGGTGTCAACTGGTGGTGTGGGAAGAGGAGTTTCCGCTGGAACAGCTGGGCCCGCGACCGGAGGTGTCACCTGAGCAGGGGGAGCAACGACGGGGGCCGCGGGAGCCGGTGTTATTGCGGGGGGTGGAGCAACGGGTAAGGGCGCGGGCACGGCGACAGGGACCTGAGTAGGGCCGGCAAGCGTGGGGTCCGTTGTTGCCACTTGAGGGACGTTGATCTTCTTGGCTGGCCCGGCGTTCACAGCGTCATTGTGCTTCTTGTAGACCATCAGGGACATTGCCGCCATCGCACCGAGTGCGATAAGAAGGGCAAGCGTTGTCTTCATCCAGAAGAGGAAGCTGCACATGCTACGGCGGGATTGGTGGCTCATATTGAAGTCGGTGTTATGTGGTGAAGTCCAAGCGACGGGTGGAAGAAGGCACTTGAGGGCAAGAAAGTTACGACTGTGGGGGAACGAAAGAAGGGAACCGTCAGCAACTTTGTTTTCTGCTCTGGGAATTTCAAGAGAAACTTCGAGATGCGCATCCCGAACGCCCTTCAGCTGTTCATTGCGGCAGGCGGGTAAGAAGCGTCGTCGAGGGATGGTTTTTCCCATGGGATTTCCGCCGTTGTGCGTTTCGCTTATCGATTCCCACGAAGCAACGCTTCACCACAGCTTTCGTCCGTCGCCGCCTGTTGTCTTTCACTCTGCTTACCTAGAGGGCCTTGGTTCGTCGTCGGTGTCTAGAGGATTGGTATCGAGAAGGTAGGTAGGTCGGGTGGTGGCTGGATTGGGTGGAGAGCCAAAAGCGGCGGACGAGAAGCAGAGGGCTCTTTTGTTCCCTCTCTGTCGCTTGGAAGTGATCGTGATAATACTCTGATGGAACTGATACTCCCTGATAAGTGGCTTATGATTACCGCCATAGTATCAAGCAAGTTATCATCAACTCATGGATAATTGGGCAGTGACGACCGGCGTTGCGGCCTGTGCAAGGAGGAGACAGAGCGAGGCAGAGAAAGGAGGGAGAGAGGGCGAAAATTTGCTTCATCTTCTTGCTGCTTTCTTGCCGGTTTTGCCGTTTGGGATGTCCGCTTGCGATTTAAATCACTTAACCATCATGATCATCCTTATTTGCATCATATCTTCAGATCTCAGCTTCATACTACGTACGTACGTATCAAGTCATCTCAAGCCTCTCACTATGTCGACCGAAATAAGCCCACCATCCCGTTCGGGCAACTTTATTTAATTGGGAAGGAAATTAAATGCGATGGCCAACCGACAATCATGAGCATCTTCCATCCCATCCAGTGTCCACCAACGGCACAAAATTATCATTTCTTCCAAGCCTCCCATTGGCCAGCCAGCAAAAACGGGTGGCTGAAGGTCACGTGATCTGACTTTTCTCTGAAACTCGAGGCTTGTTCAGCGCGCGGCCGCTTTGAGCTCGGAAGGAAACTCGGCGCCTCGATCTGCCCTTCACACACAGCCGGTATAGGGGTGGCGGTGGACCCGAGCATGGAGAACTTTCCAAAGCGCAACCCGTTTCTGCGTTTGCTTATTCCACAAACACCCTACGCCCTTTGGGACAAGCTATGGCTGACTCTTGGCGTTGTCCCTTGGCGTCTCTGCGGCAAGCCGCCGCGGGCCGCTTCCTCTTCCGCTACAGAAGACCGCTTCCTGGCTTCCAACCCCTCCTACTTGCCAGTCAGCAAGATAAATACTTGCCTCGGGGTCAGCCAAGATGCAAGCATCGTGGCAAGTATGAGGGACTTGGATTGCCCTTGGATGTAAGTGCGCGTTGACCCTCCTCGTCTCGGGTACCAGGACAGGGCCTACCGCACATTTTCGACTTTCGATGATATTGCCGATTGTCACAATGCCCGACGCGTATAAGGGTTATCTCACTTCCGCTTATCGCGGCAGCGCCTTTCTTGCGGGGTGGAAGCCTTTCCCTCCCCCGCCCTACCTTTTTTTTGGCTGCACTTTCCAACGATGATAGGCTGCCCCCCAACAAAACAATCGGGATTGGTAGGTCCCCGTGACCGCTACTGCACGGCGCACGCACGGAGATTCCAAGATCCGCAATTCGATGGCGCAAGGCCTCGTCCGTCCCGGGGACTGCACATCTCAGCGCTGTGAACAGGAAAAGAGTTTGTCGTAAGCGGTTAAGAGACGCTGCAAGTGAACGAGGCCCGAATCTGGCTACCTATCCAAGTTATCATCATGACTTCCACTTACATCTACCGCGAGATGGGGTTCTCGAGATGACTTACATCTGTAAACAGCAGTGCGGGACTGGGCAGAGAGGTCCTCGTTTTGTGGACTGGCAGGAGCTCGGTTTCGGCGTGTGATAAAGGGTTCTCGGTATGTCCCGGCCGGGGCCAAAGTGCACTCCTTTCGAAGTTCGAGCAGGTCCGTTCGGGAAAAACTCGAACTCGTAAGCGCCGAACACACGCCACCTGGGCCTCGGGCTTCCAAAGAGCGTTTCAAGTAGAGAAACAAAAATGAAAGCTACGACGCACTTCTCCTTTCCCCTCAATTTCAAGGCCAAGGAGTACCTCCTCAGGTCCAGCAATTGCGTCCTTTCCGTCTAGCCCGCTGGACCCTTGAATAATATCGCTTCCCCCCTGATCACGAATCAGGAAAGCATTGTTGATGCGAGTCGGTTCGTGCGCTTGACCATGCAAACCGTGCCGAGCGAAAGAACATGGGTGCGACAACTCGTGGCTAATGCACACCGGTTCTCGGCGGTGTGCGAGATTTTTCCGCACAGTTCATTATACAGCTCTGTTTGCCCAGGGCCTGGCCCGGGATAACACTCATGCGTACGTGCGTACGTACTGCCATAAGTTCGTAAGACTCAGAACAGGCAGTCATCTCTCCCTTGTTTGGATCCCTCATAGCAAATGTGGGTGACGTAAGCGAAAACATGACGCGTTATGGACGCGTTTTTCGGTTTTTTTTCCAACTTCAACGGTTACAGACATATGTACATTCACAAGGCAACCGCCGAGATGCCCTCTACAAATGACTACCGAAGGACGGACCGCCAAAGGCACCTCTCTTCCAACACCGGCAAAAGGCCGTGGCACAGACTTTCCGAGCTTCAGAAGAGCCACGCACGTCAGCAATGGCCCTTTGCAGGGTGGAGCAACGACTGCCACCGGAAGACTTGCTCGCGCTTTCTGTATTTTGCAGCAGTGGGAACAATCCGCAGGGACAACAAGCCTTCTCGTACAACATGAGGGATAACCTGGCACCATGAATGTAAGATGAGTTGCATGTTGGGTGGGTGACCTGCATATAAAGACTATCACCCTCCTACCTACTCATACGTGTGGCATTTACCTAGGCACCAAGAAGCGAGGTCCCGTTTGAGACTTTCAAAGTGGGTGACGTAAGCGAGAACATGGCGCGGAACGTGTTTTTCATCTTTACGTGGAACAGGAGGGGCTAGGCAGGGGGCCTCTGGGCAATGGAGAGGTGCCCCCACAAATCACTGATGATGCACCGCTCTTCTTTACAAAAGCTTTCTGGAAATGGCCCGGATGAAAATGGCCGAATTGGGCCCAGATGGGAATGCGGTAACAGAGAAACGGAGACCGGGGACACGTTCACGGAACAGGACGTAGAACTTATTGCAAGCGGTGCATGCAGGCTTGTCGAAACTCAAACAGCGCATAGCCCGTCAGGCCAGTGGCGCCAGGGAGTATGATGCATAGTCCTTCGTCCCCAGCAATCAGGGTCCTTCATCAACGCTATCCAAGCAAGTTTTGTCCAAGTATCATATTATCAGTTTGGTCATCCGGGACTAAACACGCCTGCTCCTGAACAGCGGAATGCCGAGCAGATAATAGACAGGCCCTTGGTGGAAGGGCGCGGTCCGGGCGACTACCCCATTATTAAGCCGCACGGGCTCACGGGAAGGCCTGGCACTGGGCAATAGTGGGGCTGCATAGGGCCTGCGTATACATACATAATAAATAGGCGTGTGACTGGATGTGCTCTTGGTGTGACGTAAGAGAAAGTAAGGACGTGTTATGAACGCGTTTTTTCAGTGTCTCTCCGATTCTCGGTGCGGGATGCTTTGTACCCTTTCAAAGGGCAGGGACTAGCTCACCGACCATCACATAACCGACCGGGAAGATAATCTGGCTGTTCAACTTCGGTACTCCAAATTCGCCGCGGGATCGATGCACGTCAGCAATGGCTTTCTGAACTCGAAATGCAAACGATCATACGTGACCGCTCCCTTCTTTCGATGCTCACGGGAGGAACGGGGGCAAGCGGCGGCGGAGGGCGGAAGATTGACAACACACTTGCATAACGTACCGAGATGAGGCGAACATTGGTACTACAGGCAAAAGGATGATGTGCGGTGTTTGCCTGACACTTTAAATTAGCCCAGAACGACGACCCCCTTCACAGCGGCAGAAATACGCAAAGGAAAGAGATTGCTGTGCAATGTCATGTCACTGTGACATAGGCAGACACACGGCGCTTTTTGTTCCTGGCGTGTTCTTGGTATTTTCGGCTCTTCGCCAATGTCTCGCCGCTACCTCTCTACGCTCTGAGCAGCACGGCTACAACCTTTCCCGTAGAGCCCCAGCCGTTTTCCAGGAAAGGGACCCCACGGCGACCCATCAGTAGGTCGTACCAGGTCAGGTCGCTAACACGCCTGACCGGGCACTGAATTGACTGAACTGGTGCTCCTCACCTGTTTGTTGTAAACGTTGTCCATCTCCTGGGATATCTGGGAGAAGCCCAACATATACCCGACCTTGGTAGAGGTTGACCAGTGGAAACAAAGCGCGGGTGCCGCCTCCCTTGTATCCTCTCTAGGATGATACAATGGGAGCGTGTCTGAGATTCGCTGCTGAGACGTCCCGCCTTCCGCCGTCCAATACCTGCTCTCAAACATACAAGAGTGAATGTGAGCCAGAGGGATCAGTGGTAGTCAACCTGGAGAGTTTCCGCCGTTTCGTCGGAGGGTTTACTATGGAATGCCAAGGAGAATCCGACATCAGGCGTCCTCTTTATTGAGAATCACGGATAGCAGGGTTGGCGGGCCATTATGCAAGGCTTGAGGGCGGAAAGTGGCCTGGACGGCATTGGCCCGGGGGAGTAGGGGAATGGGTTGGAAACGCATAACAAAACGCGTCGTCGAACAGGGACGCGTTTTCTCGCTGACAGAAGGTAATGTTCAAGCGACCGCCCAACTGCTTGCTGTGCAGTGCGGTTGGCTGACGAACTCGGGTCTGAGTACAGTATGTGGGCACCACCCATCGGGAGAAATCCCGGCTGCGTGCCCCGCTTCTGGCTGTAAAGGCATAGATCCACCAAAACGTATGAAGAGACTGGAAGTTCATGCACAAAACATTTCATAGCTTCGAAAGACAAGCAGACATTCGCAGAACTGGAACTTCACGCTCCATCCTCCGCCAACTGTACCCCATCCTCATGCTTAGTGCAGGTAGGGCGCGAAGTGATTTCCCATTACGGAGGTTTCATAGTAGGCAAGGGAAGCAGTTGGAGATCTGGACGGACAGAAGACTGGACGTTTCGAGGCCTGCAGTATGTATGGAGTATGAATGGGCAGCCTGTCATCTTTCTATGTGCTGTAGTGTCAAGGAACGCAAAGGGAATCCTCTGATGTATGAAAAGCCAAGATGTCGCCGGCTTAAGCAAGTGGCGGCGCTGTGCTGACTGGAGCTTCCCGTATCATAGCACGGATTTTGGACGCGATCTGATTTCCTGTCGCAGCGGCAGAGCGGTTTCATCTTCCGAACTTTACATACAAAGCTCTTCGTAAAACCAAGGGAGGTAGTCGTACAGTCCTTCGGTGATTTTACATGTGTGGGTAGTGGGCAGCAGCCGATGGGGGGATGCCCTGCTCAAGGGATAATCGTGAGCGGTCGGGTGAGGGTGAGTCACGGGAGGGTCTCCGCTGGTGTGTCATCGCGAAAGGCGCTCCCTTTCAAGGAAGGATTCGCAACGCTTTGGGCGACCCTTTCAACCCACTTCCCCACTGCCCCGATCGCACCAAGATTCACCGCCTGCTGAAACGCAAAGCTTCCTTTGGCGAGGTCGGCATACAACCACAAGGCCGTCTGTCCTTGAAACATACTGAACTGCGGAGCGCTTGAGGCATCTGGTCCAGATTTCCCGACCTTACGTCCGCCTATCACCCGCATTTCTCAGCACCGCCCAGGACTTTCCAACGGGCTGGGCAAAGAGTCGTCCAACAAACCCGAAGCCACAGGGAACCAACACAACGGGGAACCCAGCCACTCCCTCTTTGCGTCGTCTCCTTGAACAACACCGCAGAGTCCTCGCTCCAATTTCGGCCCGTCCCCGGCCTGTCAAACAGGGGTTCCGCCGCTAAAGCTGGCTTCCGAAGCCCCTGCCGGCCACAAGCGCACACGGACCCACGACGTGAAGAACGACGAGGACAACGGCGCGAGGGCTAAGCGACACAAAGGAGGTGGTTCCGCTCTGGGCGGGCAGTCCTCCTCTTCCCCGGAACCTGTTCAGGAAGACGAAACGGATATGAAGATACTCAAATCGGACTCGGTGGCTGGAGGGTCTGCCTCGAATGGCCACAATATGGGGTCGCAGAATGGACATGAGAATCATACGGTGCAGTTGAAGACTCCTAGGCAGGAGGAGCTGGTGCGGTTGATGGTTCAGTCACTGCAAGATATGGGCTTGAGGTAAGGACCGCGGCGCATCAAAACGGAGATCAGGCCCCACAAGCTAACACGCAAAACGATGATCAAAAGTGAGTCCGCCAAAACGCTTCAGAAAGAGTCTGGTCGCAGTCTGGAAACTCCAACTGTTACGGATTTCCGCCACGGAGTCCTTTATGGCGACTGGGAGACGGTCGAGAGGCTGTTATCATCGCTGGAGATCAGGAATCGGGATATCGAGGTGAGACGGGGCATCATGTCGTCCGCCATCAATCAGCGATCTCATATGGCTTGTTCCAGACCGTAAAGTTCTTAATTCGAGAGCAAAAATACCTGGAACTCGTTGAGAAACAAGATATGGCGAAAGCGCTGCATGTTTTACGGCACGAATTAGGGCCTCTCAATTTAAATACGGAGCGAGTGCATGAGCTGTCGAGGTACGTCGGCGATGGCGGAGCATGGAATAGGAAGTCCGGAGCTTTGACCATTCTTTAGTTTCATAATGTGTCCGAACGCAGAATCGCTCAGAGTGCGAGCGCAATGGGACGGAGCAGAGGGTCTCTCGAGAGCGTCGCTTTTAAATACACTGCAAGGTAAAGTGACACAAGGCCCATTCGTGCTGCAAATCGATTTTTTTCGTCTAACCGCTTACGTCCGTATAGCATATATGCCATCGGCAACAATGATACCACCTCACCGCCTAGACGTTCTCCTCGACCAGGCCGTCCAGCTGCAGAAAATGAATTGTCTCTATCACAACGTCGACGAGGACGATACCACGCTCTACGTCGATCATTGCTGCAGCAGGTACGCCGAGATGAGACCCAAGGGCCATGTCAACAATTGTGACATTCTCTGAGATTACCCAACCCCATCGGTCATTTCAAGGCAACGCTTCCCGTGTAACACAACGCATATTTTTGATGAGCATACCGACGAGGTGTGGTTTATCGCCTTTTCGCATAATGGAAACTATTTGGCGTCGGCGTCGAGGGATACAAGGGTGGCGATATGGAGCTTGCAGGTGCTAATATCATCTGGTTCATGCACTTCGTTATTTGCGTGCTAACCGCACCGAATTTTCATAGGAATGGTCACTAATGCATACGCTCTGCGGCCATACGAAAGCCGTGACCTATCTCGCATGGAGCCCCGACGACACAAAGCTACTAACTGCATCAAGTGATACTTATCTGCGTCTATGGAATGTCACGGTGCGTAGGAACCAGCTGATTCCACCCTCTCATCCCCCACTCACTCGCACCTGTCAAACCCCAGACCGGCGAATGCCCAATCGAATACTCGCGCCACACCGACGGCGTCACCGCATGCGCATGGCTGCCAGACGGCCAACGCTTCGTCTCCGCCAGTGTAGATAAGAACATATATCTATGGAACATCGAGGGCGATATACTCCACAAATGGGCGGGGATACGGGTCATGGATCTTACGGTCAGCAGGGATGGGGCCGTAATGCTTGCTGTGTATGAGAAGCATTTGAGGATGTATACTTTGGAGGATAAGGCTGAGACGGGGTAGGTTTCAGGCATTCGCCGGCCCGTCGAACCGCCGGGTGCTAACTGCGGGTTTACAGGTTGATAACGGAAAGCGATTGCATCACGTCGGTTGCGATCGCGGAAGATGGGCATCACGTGTTGGTTAATCTGTCGAACGAGGCAAGTTGACTTCCACTCTATGCGTGTGACGTACCATAGTTGGGCTCACCCCAGGTTCTTTCGTCAACAGGAAGTCCATCTGTGGGATCTCCGTCAAAAGCGCCTCGTACGCAAATACGTCGGGAATAAGCAAGGCCGGTTCGTCATCAGATCATGCCTTGGTGGTCTGCACGACAACTTCATTCTAAGTGGGAGCGAAGGTACAGCGTTAAGTACTGTCGAATGCATACGGTAGACTCACACTAACCCTTATGTACCCGAAGATTGCAAGATATACGTATGGCATAGAGATAAAGGTGTCCTAATCGAAGAGCTCACCGGGCACACAGGTACGTCGTCCCATCCTCATCTCAACCTAAACCCGCTGTCCGCCATGCTCATCCCGCTTTCAACCAGGCTGCGTCAACGCGGTATGCTGGAACCCCAAGCGCAACATGTTTGCCTCGGCATCGGACGATCATACGATTCGCATATGGGGTTGAAATTGTCCGTCCCGGTGTCTAGGGATAACGTCATTTAATCAGGTAGAAAGTTTTGCAACGGTTTCCTACTCTCTTGAAATTGATCCCCCAACGCCCGCTCCGCGCGTATTTGTTTTCGGGGGGCCGTCTCTGGCATATGCCGAAATTTTGTCTCGTTTTTTTCTTTTTTTGATCGTTTTGATTTAGTTGTGCGGAGTTTTGCCTAGTTTCCCCCCCTTTGTCCATCTCTCGGTTACTTCACCTTCCCCATCTTTCTCCCTCATTATGCAATTCAGCTATCCTCCGCTTTGCTACTGTAGTTTCTTTTGTTGTACATATGCCATTGAAGCGAGTGTGTTTTGGCAGATGGCATGGATTGCGAAAATCGAGTGTGCGAAGAGGACGAAGGACGCGTTGAATGACACCGCCCACGAATTCTGTCCGAACGCGCGCAATCATGTCCGAACCAACCTCCGCTCTCGGACGTCCTTCGAATTCGAACTCCTCCAGTACCTCACTCAGCAACCCATATCGTTCGGGCAAGCCGCTGTACACTCCAGCCACCGCAATACGCACTTTCAACAGGGACATTTCCTGATGTCTGCTGCACCGCACTCGCAACTGCAGAGGTTGAGGCCCCATGTCGCTCACGGGCGGGGATTCACAGACGTCGCGTTCTCCGCAGACGGAAGGTAAGAGGAGCATGCCCGTCCGAAGAAGCCACGAGGAATAAGGAAACCGATTCAGGCGGTAACGCAGGGAGAGAGTGCAGCTCTCATTTTGCCTCACACCGTTTACTGTATTCGCCTCCTAGCAAAATCCTAACTATCGGAGACGACGCCAACCTCCGTATCGTGCCCACCACGTCCGTCCGAGACGGGGACGACGGCGACGACGACGATGCAGCGATTGAAATTACGGAGCACTCGGGAGCTTTGACATGTCTGGACGTGCTAGTACGTACTCCTTCTGCCCCTCCACTTATATTGAACGACGCCCGCTGAGCTTTCGGCACCTTCAGGGCAACCTCGGCGCCACAGGCTCAGAAGACCAGTCCGTGCACCTGTACGACCTTCAAAACGACACCGCCCGACACCTCAAACTCCTCTTCCGCACTACCCTCACCGTGCGCGACGTCGCCCTCCGACCCGGCCAACACGGCCCGCGCAAATCCCGCCAGATCGCCATCGCCTCCGACGAGCTCGACATCCGCGTCGTCGACATTGACGAAATCACACACGTCGTCACAATCAAAGGCCACAAACGCGGGCTCAAATCCCTCGCGTGGGATCCAAAGGGGGAGTTCCTCGTCTCGGCGGGGTCGGACGGGGAGCTGATGGTATGGGATATGCGTGGTGAGAAGCCGAGGCTTGAGCGGACGTTGCGGAATCTGATCGCGGAGTCGGATCCGGAGACGAATGAGTTGTGTAGGATTGCGTGGCAAAGTTCTGGGAACCGGTTTGCGGTTCCGGGGAAGGGGGGCGAGATTGCGGTTGTGGAGGCGGGGACGTGGAGGCATTTGTATAGTTTTAAGGAGGAGAATAGGAGTGATTGTGTGGCGGGTGTAGCGTGGTCTGGGAGTGGGAGTTATTTGGTGTCGGTGAATGTCAAGGGGAGGGTGTGTATTTGGAGGAGCGATGGGGATCGGAAGGTGCCGCTTGTCAGGTAAGGAGGATGTGCCGACGGGAGTATGTTAGCCACCGGCCTTTTCTTCAGTCGTTTTTTCTCACCCTCAGCACCGAACATCCAGCGATCAGGGGAAAGCACGGGTCACGGGCGTCTCCTGGAACCCCAAGGCGCACGACCTATGTTTAACAGACGAGCTTGGCCGATTGTTCTACTGGCCATCAGCAGTCCCCGCCTCCGAGCAAGACAAGCGCCAACTCGAAAGTCTCTTCGCCGAAGAAGCTCACCCAATGGACGTAGACCGCCCTGCCAAGACACCGGGCCCAAACGCACCCCTACCTGATCTTGCAGACTACAACGCCGAACTCTTAGCGGACCTGGAGGACGACGATGAAGCTGGCGACGCGGAGAACGCGGACGATTTCGTCGAAGATGATGATGGCGCGGGCTATGCCGACCCTTTAGACAAGCCGGGCCAGTTGCGTCGATACCACGAGAAAGGGCGACAAAAGGTCATCCAAGACCTACACAGGGAGTACGGATCCCGCAACTTCGACATCACCACCACAGACGAGCAAGAACCTTTCCAACCCGGCGCAACACCCACCCAGAAAGACCGGCGCTACCTCGCCTTCAACATGGTTGGCGTAATCTACACCATCGACGCCTCGACGCACCACAACGTCAACGTCGAGTTCCATGACCGCGCGGTCCGCCCGTTCCATTTCACGGATTATCATAGCTACAGCATGGCGGCGCTGGCGGCCTCTGGAGCCTGTTTTGCGAGCGAGGCGACGGCCACGAATAGAAGCACGGTTTTTTTCCGACCGTTGGATACGTGGGCTACGAAGGCGGATTGGACGGTGCATTTGGGGGAGACGGAAAGTGTTGAAGGTGAGTGGGGGTGTGATACGGTTGGGGGGGTTGGTAAGGGTGTGTGGGAATGGGGGGTTCTCATACACGTTCTTGGTTGTTTTGGGGGGGATCAGCGGTCGCGATCACGGGCAAAGGACCGGTCGTGGCCACCAGCACAAAGTACCTCCGCTTCTTCTCGTACAGCGGTCTGCAGACCAACGTCGTGTCCATCCCTGGGAGGATCGTCACGTTGGCGGCACAGGGCGAGCGGCTGATGATTGTGTACCATGCGGGAGCCGCTTATCACAGTACGTGCGCAAAAACCCTACCTTGGGGAATGATTTTTGTGCGTCGTTAGCCAGGCTCATACCCCACGATCCCCTCTTACAGGTGATCAAAATCTAGCCTACATGCTCTACGACGTCAGCTCGCGAACAACAATACAACGGGCGCCGTTGCCGCTATCATCCGGCACGACCTTGATCTGGGCGTCTATTTCCGAACTCGGGGTCAGTCCGTCCATCACTACTTCCTCTTTCTTAAAGCCAAACACTGACAAAAATGTTCTTTTGTCAGATCCCAGTAACCTACGACTCCTCCGGCGTCCTCCGCGCCCTCTTCCAGCACTCTGACTACGCATGGGTGCCCGTGCTGGACTCGCGGATCCTGCGGGGGGAGAAACAGGAGTGGTATTGGCCTGTGGAGGTGTTGGAGGATAAGTTGATGTGTGTTACGCTTAAGGTAAACGTTCCTTTGAAATGAGGGGTTTGAGGGTGGATTTTCTGGTTACTGAGAATTTTGTTCGGTGTAGGCTGGAGACAAGTTCCCGGGCTTCCCGCGGCCCCTGATGAGCGACGTGCCGCTGCAGGCGCCGTTCTTGGAGATGGAGGCGCCGAATACCGGTGTTCAGGAAGAGAAGTAAGTTTGCAACAAAGGCGCGTTGCGAAACGGAATCCCATTCGCATCCCCCCGATTCGGGAAGCTGAAACGAAAACATCACTCTGTGAATTTTTTGCCCAGGATCTTCCGCGAAAGCCTCATGGCGGCACATCACCGCGGGGAAGCCCTCGCGGCGGGCGAGGCGGAAAGTCGCGAACGGGAGATGCTGAAGCGGGATGTGGAGATTGATAAAGTGCTTGTGCAGCTTATTCTCGTAAGTGTTTTTCCTTCCGCAATCGGAGATTTGGACGTTCATGGGTTTCACCCTCCACTCACCCCCCTTTTCCATCTCCCCCGGCATACAGGCATCCTGCAAATCCGAAAAAGTGCAACGCGCCCTCGACCTCTGCTCCACCCTCCAGACCATCAAAGCCATCGACGGCGCGATCAAGATCGCGGTCATGAACCACCTCCCGGGCCTCGCGGAGCGGATGAATCTGATCAAAGAGGGCCGGTTGCGCGAGAAGCAGGAGAAGGAGGAACTACGGTCATACGGCGGCGGCGGCGGTGGTGGTGGGGCGGTAGTGGAGCAGCCGCGTCCCACGGGACGGACACGGACGACTTCCGGCGGTGGCGATCGGAGCAGCAGACCGACCCGGGCTGACTCCTCCGACGTCGACCCCATCGGGCCCACACGCCACGACGGACCGGGACCGGACCCCCACCCTTTGCGCGACCACCAACAGGAGCAGCAGCAACGCCGCGCTAAACCGAAAGCGGCGCCGAGGGTGCGGAACCCGTTCGCGGTGGCCGATACAGCAGCCGAGGCGGCAGCTGGGAGCCCCGCCCGCGTCGCCGGCCGTGCGAGCCCGATCAGGGCAGGCCATCATAACGCCAGGAACCTGTTTGAGGCGTTGCGGGAGGTTACGACGACGGCGGCGGCGGCGGCGGCCGGGGCCGAGGGTGTGAATGGGAAAGCGGAGGTGGCGGGCGGCGTGAAGAGGAAACATAACCAGATGACGTTGTTGGGGTCGTTGAAGAGGGGGGGTGGTGGTGAAGGTGGGGCGACGAAGGAAGCGGGATCGGGTTCTGAGACGGTGGAGGGCGGCGGGGACGGGGAGACGGAGCAGGCGGTGAAGAAGACGCGGACGGACCCTGAGGACGAGGATTTGGAGCCTACGCTGGTGGTTATGGACGAGCCTGTGGCTGTGACGATGGAGGTTGAGGATGAGGGGGTGGGGGATAAGGAGAATGGGGAGGGTGGTGAGCCGGTGGAGGCTCCGCCGGGTAAGGTAGGGCTGGAGAAGTTCAAGTTTGTGGCTTCGGTTGCGAAGTAGGGGGTTTGAGGAAGTATGTTAGCATTGCAAAGGCGTAGGATGTTGTCAGAATCAGGATGATTGGCATTGCATTTATGTACATTTCAAAAACAGTTTCTATGAGACTAAGCGTTCTGTAAAACTAGCGGTGTGGGAACGGGAACCATCGTTCTACGCCATCTGACTAACGTCGGGAGTATCAAATGGGACATGTCGCACCTACAAGGATTACCACGAAAGCCGGCCGGGTAACAATCATAGCTTAGCCTTCGTCGCGGCCGCAGCCTCCCTGGCCACCTTCTCCTTGTCCATCTCCCTCAACACCCTCCTCAAAATCTTCCCACTCGCCGCCTTCGGAATCGCGTCAATAAACTCCACCCCGCCCCTCAACCGCTTATGCTGCGCCACCTTCTTCTCAATGTACCCCACAATATCCGCTTCCGTGACGCCCTTATGACCCTCCTTCAGCACAATGTACGCGCGCGGGATCTCGCCGGCTTCCAACGAGGGGCGACCGATGACTGCCGCGTCGGCCACGTCGGGGTGGGCGAGGAGGTAACCCTCCAGTTCGGCGGGGGGGACTTGGAAGCCTTTGTATTTGATGAGTTCTTTGAGACGATCGACGATGTAGAAGAATCCTTTGGCGTCGACTTGGGCTATGTCGCCTGTGTGTAACCAGCCGTCTGCGTCGATCGTCTCGGCTGTTGCTTCAGCGTTGTTGTGGTAACCTTTCATGACCATCGGCCCGCGGATCCACAGTTCGCCCGGTTCGCCCGTCGCAACGTCCTTTTTGGTGTCTGGGTCGACGAGGCGGGCTTGGGCGTTAGGGAGGAGGGAGCCGGTTGAGCCGGGCGGGCAGCTTGGGTCGGCTGTGATGTGGCTCACCGGGGACATTTCGGTCATGCCGTAGCCTTGGAGGACGGCGGTGCGGCCTTTGAGGCGGTGGGTGACGGCGACGCAGGTCTCGGCGTCGAGCGGGGCGGCGCCGGACATGAGGAAGCGGAGGCTGGTGATGTCAAATTTTGCGACGGCGGGGTGTTTTGCGAGGCCAATCATAATGGGGGGGACGATGTGGGCCATGGTGACTTTGTATTTTTGGAGGGCGCTGAGGAATTCGAGGAGGTCGAATTTGGCAAAGACTACTACGGGAATGCGGAGGCTGAGGGCTGTGTGGAGAGATAGGTTCAGGCCGTAGATGTGGTAGAAGGGCAGCACACCCGTCCAGGCGTTGTGCTCGTTCGGAATGACGTAGGCCAGGTCGGAGGAAACGGAAGTGATCTGCGCGACATTGGCGACCATATTATAGTGCGTCGTTTGCACCCCCTTGCTGCGACCAGATGTTCCGGAACTGTAGCAAAGGTAAGCGGGTGTGGTACGAACTTCCTCGTCGGTCAGCAGTTGAGAGGGCAGTTTGTAGTCGGTGGTAGAGATGTCGCGAATGCTTTTGAGTTGAGAGCTCTTTTCCACACCGAGTGTGAAGACTCGCGACTGAGGAATGTTGACCTTCTTTGCGGCTTCCAACGCGATAGGGACATGACTAGCAATTGTAATCAGTGCGACGGCCCCAGAATCCTTGAGTTGGTATGCCACCTCATCGGCAGTGTACGACGGGTTGATGAGTGTCACAGCGCATCCTACAAGGAGTAAGAGTCTCAACTTTTGTTTCTACGCATCAACCTCCATCAACCCCATCAACCTCATCAACCATCAATCAATAAACACGTGGGTGAGGGGAATCTTGCGCCTTTGGCGCAATGTGGTGCTCGCTTCGCTCACGTCTCGCATGGCTCGCGCCTCAAATATTCCTGGGGCTACGGCCCAGTTGGGGCTCGCTGACGCTCGCCTTCTCCTCGCCATCGCTCGAATTCTCCACTCGTCGCTCACACGTACCAGCCCTAATCGTCCCAAAAACAGCGACCGAATAATCCATATCATTCGGGGCAAAAACCGCCACCACATCCCCCTTCTTCACGCGGACATTCCCCAACAGGCCACCGGCCAGCGCCCTCACAGCGCTCCTCAATGCATCAAAGGTAAGCGTCGCGCCGGTGACGCTGTCGATGAGGACCACGGCGTCGTTTCCTTCTTGCGAGGGGTTGTAGGCGTCGTCCCGGCCAAAGAGGTAGGTGTAGGTGTCTGTTACGGGGATGGGGATGGCGGGGAAGGGGGATTCGTAGATTGTCATTGTTGGGGAGTTGTTGAGAGGGGGTGCGAAGGAAGGCGGAGGAGAGTAGATGGGGGAAGGGTGTTGCAGTGAGTGTTGTGCTGCGGTGGCAGGAGGGCAGCAGGCGACCTGAGAGGGGGCCTGTCTGTGAGAAGGCTGGGCGGGCAGCGAGCGAGGGCTGTGCGGGTCCTTTTTGAAGCGCTTGTTCGCAGGCCCTTCCTTCCTTCAGCCCGTCCTTCAAGCAAGCAAGCAAGCAGCTCACTGAGCTCGGTCACTTTGGGGGTGTTTGGGTGGGTGTCACGCGACAACTTCATTCGGTCGAATTCATGCGGCCCGCGGTACCCTTTGGACGCCGTACGTATACATACATCCGGAGAACCCGCCTCCGCCCGCCCCCACTCTCATTCGAGCTGCCTCCGGAGCGGTCAACTACCCCCCACTAAGTGATGATGCGGTATCCGACGCATGGCTGTTCCGCCCTCGCCCTTCCACGCACGTTTTACCGTATATCCCGGCTATTCGTAGTGCAAGGGGCAGACAGATACTCTCATGCATTAAGAAGCAAAAAACCCTACGCCGTCAATATGCCATAATCCTCCCCCCCGCCCTAACATCTAGATCTACCCCCCCACCGTCCATCCCAAAATCAAAACCCCTTCCTCGCCAACGTAGTAGCAACCTCCAAATACAGCTCAATCGCATTGAACTGCTTCTCCACCATCACCTTTTTCAAGTCCTCCTTCTTCTCTTCCACTTTCTGCTCCGCTTTCTCTTCCGCCCGTTGGACGGCACCTCCCGCGATCGTACGCGCCACCCCGTCCGGTTGAAGGGCTTGGATGTTATCTTGGGCTGCTTTGGCGGCTCCAAGCTTTTTGACCACCGAGTCCCACTGCCACGCGTTCCAGAGATTGATCACATCGACGTGGTCGGCCTGAAGAGGGGGGGAAGCAATCGTGTACCGCGGATTGAGCACCCTTACAGGCCTCACCCCAATGCGAAAGCCCCAACTCCTTTTGTTCCCCTCACCTTCAGCGTCCGTATATACTCCCCCCACTTCGACGACTCCACGCTAACCAACCCATCATTCACGCCCTCCGTAACCATCAGATACTCAAACGTGTACCGCAACGGGTACACGAACGGTTTTTCGTATATGCTTTCTGTCCCGTCCGCTCCGTAACTGAAATACGCAATGTCCGGGTTGTCCGGGGTGGTTGGGTTGAATTGTTCGTTGAGGTATTTGGGAGTCAGGTCTGAGAAGGCGCGGACGTCGAGGGATGTTGAACGGTGCAGGTTTTCAATGATGGGTGCTAATAGGCTGTGTGGGGAGTCGTATGGGTAAGCGTTTGTGCATCCCACGTATCAAGGTCGAAAGAAGACTTACGTGGATATGAATGGTAGTGATGCGATGGATGACCCGCGATGTGGTGTGCCTATCGTCGTGAGGCTCTGAAACACCGAGAGAATTGAATTGACTGCAAAGGAATTGGAATTCGCAGTGCATGTAAACATACCTTAACGCGATACTTCGGCTCCTCCTCCCCCTTCATCAAATGACTTATCATATACCTACAATCCAACCCACCCTAGAAAGACACCTCCAAATCAGCCCCAATCCCCGTTCCCCCACCCCCACCCACACTCCCCCTCACCATAGAATGCGCAACAAGGTTAACCGCATCCCCCTCCGGAACTTTACTATCCAGCGTCTCCTTCAACACCTGCGCTCGCACCGTAACGTCCGCCGCCCGGGGGACTTTTGTGATGATGACGTTGCACCCGATAGCGTTGAGGGCTTCTTTCACGCCGCGCCAGTAGTGGAGACGGGCGAAGGGGGGGCCTGCGCTGGCGGGGGGGAGGGGGGAGGGTGAGCTATGGTGTGGAGGTTGGTAACGTGGGGGGGAAGGGGTGTGCACATACCCATAACATCGAAGCCTAGGAGACCTAGCAGGTTCAAACAAACGCGGCAAGATGAGTTGGGATGGACGGATAGGACGAACACACGTTGAAAAAGTACCCGTACCGTGACAAAGAACAATCGTCCCCTTCGGAGCCTTCCAGTCATCGGAATCCAGCGCTTTCCGCCGTACGTCGTCTGCGCCTTTGCTTAGGTCTAACCTGGCTGGCGTTGTGCAGAAGTGTCTTCTGGCCGACAGCCGGATGACTGCCATCCGGGGTTGGAATGACGGCGCCGGCCGAAGCCGGAGGAGGGGTCGGGTCATTGCTGGCGGGGGATGAACTTGGTCGAGAGAGAGACACCGGCCGAGTGGTTGAGTGATATGTATGAGGCGCTTGCAAGGTGACGGTTGACGTTGATCTGGAAGTCCCAGTGCTCAAATGCTGGCCCAAATGCTCGAATGTTCAACCGCCCGCGTCATTTCTCACGTCACCATTTCCCCTCCGGCTTTCCCTGCGGCATTCAGACCGACATTACATCTCCGTGCCTTCCCGTACTTTGGACGAGCAGGCTCAGAAGCAGCAAGACATCGGAACTCGCCCTTGTGAACCGCCGTTCCGCGGCGACCTTTCTTGCGACATGTCCCGCCAATTGTCTCGAAAGCCCACCCCATCCACTCCCGAACCCACCCACAAAACCCACCTCCAAACCGCCTCCCACCGCCTCGTCTCCTTCATGAAATCCTTTGACAACCACTACAAGACAGGAGCACACGCACGCAGCGAATCCCGATACTGGTGGCGTCGGGAGTCGACCCGGGAACGGCGAACAGCATGCCGGATTATCAACCAATTAACCGCCATGGACTTCCCGGAGGAGACACTGGTCTTCTGTGGAGCGCTGCTAAGGGTCTTCTTTCGGGCTGATGTTATGGATATGTTAGGTACACTCACCATTCCCCGGCCGCAATACCCACCTCAGACTTGGGAGATGTAATACAGGGTTGTAGGCGACCTATGGCACACAACAACGGACATCGACGAGATCATGGACAGGTTGGCGCGGTGGCAGCAATCGGGAAACTCGTTCACGAGCGTGGCGTATCAGCAAGTTCTGAGTATCAGTCAGGCGAGGGAGGTCGTTACGGATGTGTATGAGGAGCTGCCTGGGCTGTATGGGTCGATGCCGTTGCCGACAATGGAGCAGATCTATGGGAGTGCGTTGAAGTGTCGGAATATTGGGAAATTGCAGGCTATGTTGATTGCTGGTATGTTTTTATCGCCTTGGGACGAAAACGCCCATTATTTCTTCTGATACTTGTTGTTCAGGCGATTTCTATTACTACGGCTGGACATCAGGCAACGACATGGGCATCTCCCTCGATCCCGGCGCCAGCCGCGGTCTAGCAAAACTAGGCGTGTCTACCCACGACTTGGAACGATTCCACGAGTTGGTGCAGGAAGAAGCTGAACGGCAGAATCTTGTGGATGTGGAGGTGGACGAGATTCTCTTTGAGCATGCGCTTTGCAAGTTCCATCGAGAACGGTTGGGCGGACTTCGGTCTGGGACTAGGAGGAGACCGAGACCGAGGAGGGTGCCATTACGAGCAAGACCAAGCCCAAGGGCGGTATCGTCCGAAGCCCCACCAGCCCGAGGACGGATCTCAAAGTGGTGGGAACTCCAGCGGATGTGCAACGTCGCGACCCCTGCTACATTTTCGAGATGGAGGCAACTGCAGCGGATGTGCGAGGTTGAGGTGCCTGATGGGTTGTTTTTGGGAGTCTATGTGCGGGCAAAATACAGAATTCGGCGGGGTGATATAGATACTAGAGAGCCATAGAGTCGTAGTCTCGTACATAGCGGGAATTGTAACGTAAGAATCGGCGGCTTGGAGCGCTGTACAGTACGTTTGAGATTGATGGGCGGCACCGCGGGGAAGCCACCAAAGCGTCACGGTGTTTGCAGATGACATGCACGCGACGCGCATTCTGGTTCCGCCGTTGCATTTCAAAGACACCCTTTTCTTGCAGGGAACAACCACCACGGAAGTACAAAAGCAAAACCGACATGGGCCCCCTTGCGGAAGGTGGGGATGGAGAAAGAGCCGACTTCGTCAGGTCGCCAGTTTACAAAAGTGTCGTCAAAGACCCTCGTATAGTAGTCAGTAGTTAGTCAAAAGCATGACAAACTCCCACTTGCCAGACAACCCCACGGCATCGTACTGGCTCCGTGACCTGGAGGTCCCAGAGTCGGCGCCGCTGCCTACGGAAACAGTCGATGTGGCCATCATAGGAGGTAGGAGATTGGGTGAGAAAAACGAGTTTGCCACTTCTGAATTCTGGCTGACACTCAACTTTCGAACAGCTGGAATCTCCGGGTTGTCGGTCGCCCGATTCCTCCAGCAGCTGAAGCCCGAATGGCATATCGTCGTGGTTGAGGGCCGACAGCTCAGCGGAGGGGCTACGGGAAGGAACGGCGGGTTGCTTGTGCCAGGGTAAGTGTAGGTTGTAATTTACAGGAAACGGCCGCGCTGACGAGCGATGTACAATACAGCCTCCACGACTCCTGGACTACAACCACCGCCGCCCTCGGCATCCCCGTCACCCGTAAACTTCTCAAATTCGACCAACTCAACGCCGACGCCCTCTCCGAGTTCGTCACCACCTACCTCGCCCACGGCGGCCAACCCGACCCCTTCTTCCACAAGTTCAAGGACGGGTGCCTGAACGTGTTTGCGACGGACGGTGAAAAAGAGTTCTGGACCGAGGATGTGAGAAAGATGAAGGCGGCGGGGTGTGGGGAGGGGTTTGAGTTGTTGGATGCGAGGGCTGTGAAGGAGTTGCTGGGCACGGATGTTTATCTCGGCGCTGTGAGGATGGCGCCGGCGTACCGCGTGTGGCCAGCCAAACTGGTGCTAGGCCTCGCCAAGGAAGTGTTGGCCCAAAACACAAAGCAGCGCCATGCCGGCGGAAAAGTCACCATCTGCACGCAAAAACTCGTCGAAAAAGTCCGAAAACAGCCGGACGGCACCTTCCTCATCACAGCCTCCAAAAGGCACACCTTACAAGCCCGCCAAGTCATCGTCTGCACCAACTCACACACATCTACCTTCCTCCCCACACTCCCCATCCTCCCCGTCAAAAACCAAGTCATCGTCACCAAACCCCTCTCGCCCCCACCCCCCTTCGACCTCTGCATCACAGCCAACAACGGCTACGAGTACCTCTCCACCCGCGAAGACGGCCGTATCGTCCTCGGCGGGATGCGCCACCTCGTGACACCCAGCATGGAGGTCGGCAACGGCGACGACGCGCACTTACACCCTGAAGTATCCAAGGCTCTGCGGAGCTACATCCCTGACCGCTTCCCGATGTTGAAGAAACAGGGTGTGGAGGTGGAGATGGAGTGGGCGGGGATCATGGGATTCAGCGGGGACCGGTTGCCGTTTGTGGGGCCTGTGCCGCGGAATCCCGGCATGTTTGTGTCGGCGGGGTTTTCGGGACATGGGATGCCGAGGGCGTTCTTGAGTGGGAAGGCGGTCGCGGAGATGGTGGCCGGGGTGAGGGTTGGGGAGGACTTTCCGGAGGTGTTTTTGCCGGAGGGGAGGGAGACCAAGGAGGAGCGGGTGTCGAGGGAGAACTTCAAGTCGATGCTCTGAGTTTCTAGGAGTAAGGAGTGAGGAGTGGGTGGGCGTGCATGCCAGGCGTATGCGTTAGTCGGACTAGTTACATAGGTCCAGAACACAGGAATAGAGAACAATATACAAGCTACTTCTACAACAATCTGCATCCGATTGAAAGGACAAACCCGGAGCGAACATCACGAAGGAACGGGATCACCCAAAGCCTCCGAGTCGTCGATCGTTTACTTGAGATGGCTCATATATTTGTCGCAGCTTGCTGCTTGGTGTACAGTACGCGGGTGCAGGCCGGTGGTCGCGCAACCTTTTCCGCGACGCTTCTCGCCTCCGCTGCCTTCCTCCGTCATGGCAACGGTTCCTGGCCAAGTTTTGCCTGTCAAAGCTGATCGTCGCACGCCATTGATGTGACAAATCGCAGTCTCCGCGCCATAAAACAGCCATGCTCTCGTTCTCCTGATTATACCCACTGAAAATCCATCAATCGCGGTAGCTAACATTCATCCATCGCGGTAGCAGCGGTCCCAGCTAAAATGCATTTGCGGGTGCATCGCAGATGGGGCAGCAGAGCCCAGTGCCAGCGGGGAAGCGAAGAAGGTATGCGGGGGGCATCTTTCAGTGTGCACCATGCGGACCGCCATCGCTGCGGCCAACAAAGGTATGACTATAATCCACGCTGAGAGCTCGTTGAAACTCGATACCGTCCCGAAACATAACCTCCCCGCTGTACCGCTGCCTTCCTGTTCAAACATCGTTTCGGCGGGCCACAAGCGAAGGTAAGGTCATCGTGTTGGCTTTGTGTGGGTCTTTTTGTTGCGATGCCTCGAGCGTGTCCTCACATCTTGTCTACGGGCCTAAAGAACTTGCTGGGGTTGTCAGCGTCGCCTCCTTTCAGATGTTGTTGGTGGACTCACACTCGTTCAGGAGATTCTGAGAAGCGTTGACTATTCGCTGGGGTTTCGTGCGCAAGATTGCCGGATTGCCGAAAAGGTGTGAAACGGCGAAACGCGTTCGGTCGTGGGTTTACCCTCGCGCGATTGACTAACGCGTTCCCTCGCCTTGCTGCCGGCGGCCGCCTTGAGGAAGCAGTGAGAAAGGCCGAGGGCACACCCTGCCGAGCCTGTGTTGCTTGAACTCTCAGCAGCGGTTTGCCAGTCTGTCGCACTCGAATGGAAAGGAAAAGACGGTAGGTATGAAATGTGGTGTAATCTACTTAACCGTTCGTGGCTGCCACTCTGGTAACACTCGCCCACAAATGTTCCAGCAACTCCTCCGAACACACCCAACGAAAGCGCTTTTTCGTCGCCTGCCGACGTCGTCCCTATTATTGTCCTTGCGGATATCGATACGGACGCATACCGGGGTTCCGTCTCTGCACGTTCCGTCTTGGGTGGCCCGCCAACACTTCTCGCCCTCTTCCTCTCGCCCTGCGTGTGCGGCGGCCTTCGTGCGCTGCCACGCATTCCACATCGACCTATCGCGTCAGAATGCCTCCTAAGAAGCGCAACTCCGTCGACCGCGACCCGCCCATTTCCGCCTCTGAAAGCACGCCCGCTGAATCCAGGACCCCCGCAGCGCGAAAGTCCGCCGCCTCATCCTCCTCTAGAAGAGGGATCGTGGAGGAGCAGGCCACTTCGGACTACATCCAGGTATGCGGCTTACATCCGATGGTGGCGTGCCTATGTCTGCGACATCCACTGAACATCTCAAAACCAACAGGTAGATCCCAACCTCATCCTACGGAGTGGGATCCCTGAATCCGAGCTCCGCGAGCTGGTCGAGATCTTTAGTCTTGTCGATGTGGATCATGGCGGCACCATCTCGAAAGACGAGCTTGCGACTCTGATGAAAACACTTGGTTTGCGGGTGTCTCAGGTGGAGCTGGACACCATGGTGAACGAGATCGATGTGGCTGGAACAGGAGAGATCGACTTTGAGTGTAAGCAACTTCTGATGCTGCAACTTAGATTGGGACGCTCCAGAAAAGCTGAGGATGGCTCGACGCTGATTGCATGCTTTCCTCCATCCCTGTGAAACTAGCATTTGTAATGGCAATGTCACGCAAGGTTCAGACAACGATGACGGGAGAAGAGATCCGGCGGGCCTTCCGACTGTAAGAGTGACTTCTCACATTTGGAACAAGATCTGACGTTGACGTTTCTCCAAAAATGAAGGTTTGATAAGAGCACCACGGGAGCCATCACGATGGACAGCCTTGTGAAGCTGCTGGCAGACTATGGAAGTGTAGATAAACGCATGTCAAAAGAGGAGGCTGAGGATTTGGTCTCGCAGGTACTTCAGCCCCAGGAGTTTGCTGTCCTTCTAGCACAATGCCGGAGAGTTGGAATTCTGATGGAGGCCACTTTGCGTTGGCAAGGTCGCACCCCAAGCGCAAACGGGCACGTTCGACTACACGCAGTTCATTGAAATGTATTTTGGCAAAGAGCAGTGAGAGCAGTGAGAGCAGTGGGCTCGCCAATGCACACATTGCACATGGGAAAGTATATTTTCCGCATATTGAAATGTCCCGAAAAGGTTGATGACGGTGTGACTTGAGATTCGAAGCGCCTGCATGTCCGCGAGCTGCGCAACTTTCATGTGTCGTGATGATATATCGTTTTTAGGTTATTGCCCGCATTCCGAAGGATTCGGGGTGTGTGGAAGCCTGGTGGAAGCTCGGGTCACGGTTGGATGGCATTTCTTCCTTTTGGGCAAATGGGGTTACGATGGGGGCGTTCCGGAAAAGCGACCAGGGCCTCGTTGGATTCGAAAGGAAGGATTCAGAAAGCAAGTAGAAAAGAATATTTGCCGGAGAAGACGCCCTGCATCTGGTATGCTCCCCCGGGTAAGCTCCCTTCCTCGTCTTCACGAAAGAAGGTACAAACTCCCCGAAGATCACATGCCATAAGATACGACAGCGTTCATGTCTCACGGGTTGAGGAAGGGACTGTACGCCAGCGAGCGCTTGCACGAGCCCACCGGCTTGAAGAAGTCGCTTCCTTTCCGACGTTCAAGAGGGGTTCTGATAAGCGAACGCGCTTATTACCGCGATAAGCTCGAGCGCCCCTCCTGCAGAGTCCAGACGGGCTGCCTGGTTGTCGGAGGTTGCTATCGATATGGGTATTTGTTACAGTTACCATACTTGTAACAGGATGTACTGTATGTATTTGTTACAGTTAGTACTTGTTACAGGATGTAAGTAGTTGAGAGATTTGATCTCTTCACAGCGCATGCAGGCGCGCGACATCGATCCCTATTGTACAGTTGTACCTACTTACTATTGCTATGTTCTGAGTTTTTTCCCAATATCGATTCGGTGTACCGTACAGTACAGTAGCTGTACATATACTGTATGTAGGAGGTTCCACGGAGCTCCGTGTCTGCACGTTCCATCTTGTGTGGTCGCCCAGCGCCGTCTCCGTCTCTCGCCCGTGCGTGTGCGGCTTTCCGGATCCTCAGAGAACACGAACGGCTGTCCTTTCCCAGCCAGGCTTTCCCTCCATAACCTCAACACGTGCGCCCAGACAGACCCCCGACCCTTCCTCGTCACTCTCGCCAACAACCAACGCCTTTCCTGTCAACCAGTCAGCACCCGCTCCCCGTCCGTCCGTCCGTCCGTCCGAAGGAATGTCCGCAGCCTCCGCCGCCCCTTCGCCGTTGCACTTCGCCTTTGACCAGTTTGTGGACATGTCTTACACGTCCCAGCTCGGTGCAAGTCTGGGTCAAACGAACGGTGCTGTATCGACAGAGTCTCTCAATGGCAGCCCGGCTGCCTTTCTCGGCAACTCGATAACGGGGCAGGAGGGTGCTCAGGGTGCCGCCAGTGTTAATATGGGCTCGGAGGTCTTCAGTGACGTCGCAATGTCTCAAGACCTATGGCAGGGCTGGCAGCCGGAAATGGAAGTTCAACAGCAACAGCAGCACCACCAACAACAACCATCACAACAACACCAGCAACAGGGACAGCACCACGCACAACAACACCAGCAGCAGCATTACACTCCCTCAATGTCTGCGAATGACCTCGACCTACAATCCCTATACAGCCCACAGCTACAGCAAACCCAATATGCAGGAACGAATTCGAACTCGCCAGCAAACGTATATGCAAATCATGCTGCCGCAGGTGGCGGAACGAACTCATATGATGCGGAAGTGAATGCTATGCTGACAGGGAACGAGCAGGATCTGCAGAAGAGCAGGCATCAAAGTCAAAATGGGCATTATCAGCAACAATACGATACATGGAATTCGCCGTTCTTCACGGCGTTGGATATGGGAAGCATTGAGCAGACTCCTGCTACGGGGTTGGGGTTGCAGCCGATGGATGAGTTGGAGGTATGCCTGGATTCTCTTCTGCAGGCTCCATAACAGCGGGCTTGTGGCGGAGTGAGGATGCGGATTGAAAACCTAACCCCTCTTCTCTCCTCGCCTAGCTTCTTCTGACGCCGCTAGTATCACCAGCCATGACGCCGAGTGCAGACTTCCAGCGGATGAACCTAAATCAACACAGTAACGACATATTCAGTCCTCTGACGTCCCCTGTCATTCAGCCCCAGATGCTGTCTGAGTACGCCTCAGCGAGTGCTTTCTCACCAGCGCTTGAACCGTCGATGCACAATCTCGCCCAGCACAACCAATATCACTTACAGCAGAACATTCACCCCGCTTCAATCCCGCCAAACACACCAAACACAACCCACATACCCGACTACTACCAGCAGGTCCCCCAACCCTTCCTCAATTCCCCCGCTCTGGTCCCATCGGCGCCGCCACATACCGCTATGCTTGGCGTCTCTCCAGCTCTAGCGCCTTCGGATGTATGGGCTGAACAGCCGCAAGCAACAGGGGGTAGCGGTTTAAGAACACCCTTGATGCAGCCATCGAACGATCCCAACACATTCAGCAACGCGCCTACAGTCCCATCAATGCGGGATAAGACAGCGTTGAAGAAACAGGCCCTCTCGGCACCATACATAGTCCCACGACGAAACTCCGGGAAATTGATCTCCCCCGCCCTCAAACCATCCCAACTGCAACGCATCCGAAGCAGCAAATCACCCGATTTACTAGTCACCGCCGCCACAACGCGGTCGTCTCCGGCCACGCTCCGCTCATCCTCTTCTCCAACTAACCGACTGTCCCCCAACGCATTGCAGCTCGCACCTCCCACCGGCGCACCGTCACATCAGCAAACAACGCACGCACCGGTGTTCAAAGAACCCTACCCCATCCCACCCCGCCGCACCTCCCAACACAACGAAGCCGCAGCAGCAACCCTCGCCTCCCCCGCCCTCACACCACAACTCGTCCCCTCCGCAGACGAATCGATGACCCCCGATTTCGCAGGCGTGTCTACCACCCATGTGCAGTTTGAGACGCGGATTAATGAGCAGCAGCAGCAAAGGAGTCTGGCGCCGATTACGCCGGCCCAGTTGATGAGGATGACGGCGGATCCGGTGGATGAAGGGGGGAATAATAAGATGCCGGTGTCGGGGGCGCATAAGGTGGATAAGGTGCCTGCGCCGGTAGGGGTGGGGTTGAAGCCGTTGCTTCCTAATGGTATGCGCGATGATGGAACCGGGGATTCTTCTTTTTGAGGGTCGAGCTAAATGATTTTTCCTCGCAAAACAGGCAACACAACAACAACAGAAGCCGTCCAACGCCTCGCCTCCAAATCCAATTACCAGAACATCCGCGAAGGCAACGCCGAGTAAGCGTCCCCTGCCCTTTCCCCCCTCCACCCCACCCCACCATCTAACCTCTCCCCCCACCCGCAGTACAATCGGGCTCACCTACGACACAGACCTAACAGCAACAGTCGAAGCGAAACGCGACGGGCACAAACAAGCCGAGCAACGCCGGAGAGATGTGCTCAAACATGGGTTTGAGGAGCTGAAGAAGCTGTTACCGCCCATTGAGGAGAAGCATCCCAGTAAAGTTGTTGTATTGAAGAAATGTAAGGTGGCGGGGTTGGGGATGTACAGTCGGCGGGTTTTGAAGGGTGTATGCTGATGATACCTCGTTCTGGGATGTTTGTTCCAGCCTGCGATTATATCATCGAAATGCAGAAAGCCGCACAGGAATCGGATAAGCTGATCGCGGACCTGCGCGCGGAACTCGCTGCCGCGAGGGCGGATACCTCATGACGAAACCCCCCCAAAAAACAAAAAAAAAATCGGAAAAGACTATATACCCCTCCCCCACCCCGTCGATCGAGTCAAAAACAAACCCCCGCCGGTCTTTTCGTCGTGTAGATATATATAATTTTAGCTTGGTTAGCATCCCCCCCGCATATCACTACCCCACCGACCACCGAAGGCACCCTCTAAGGAAAAATTCATGGTCATTATTTTTTGAAGCATTGGTGTATCCTTTGAGATTCGGAAACGAGCAGATTTATGAGAAGGGGTGCCCATTTTCATCGAGGCGTACAGGAGAAGGGCGTGCCTCGAGTCCCCGCCCTTTTGTTTCAGGCCCCGGCATTCCTACAAATCACATCGAACTTGGTTGGGCACGTGCCTACTATCTACATGTAATCCTCCCGGTCGTCCTCGTCCTCGCTTCCATCCAGCTTCCCACCGCGGCCCCTATCTTCGTTTACAGCCATGGCAACCCCCGCACCCGGCGTCCCGTGTGTCGCACCCCCTTGCGCCGTCTCAACCCACCCGGCAACCCACCCCATCTCGACGCCCAACCGCCTCTCCAACCGATTGACCTCCCTCTCCAGCTCGCGCACGCCGACCCCGACCAGATCCGCCGCTGCGCGGACCACGGTGTCGTAGGGGTGGTGGAAGGGGCCGGATGTGTCCGACGCGTTATACATGATGTAGCGCGGGGGTTGCGTGGGGATGGGTGGGTAGGGTATATGATTTGGTGTGGGCGCGGGGGTGGGTGTGGTGGGGGGGTGGGAAGGAGGAGGCGAGGGGAGGGAGGCGAGGAGGGCGTTGAGGGCGGTTTCGAAGGTTTCGTAGCCTGGGCATGTGAGGGGGGAGGGGTGGTGAGCGGGATGCGCATGAAGGCCGGGGGTGAGGGGAGAGGAGAGGAGAGAGGGGGGGGACATACCCTTCGGTCTCGTGTCCTGATGGGTGCCCAGACGGTTGGCGAAGCGGTCGACGTATGTTATTAGTTCCTCGGTGGTTTTTTCTCGGACGTCACTTTCAACCAAAAAAAAGCGGGGGCGCGTAAGGGTCACATTCGATCTTGGAAAAGGCATGAGGGCGATAGTGCAGCATACCTCGAAGTCCACGCCGCATACTCCTGCACCCCCTCCCTCCCCCTCACCAGCCCTTCCACCCACCCCCTCATCTCGCTCCTCTCATTCTCTGCTCCACACCGCAACTTGAACACCACAAGCGCCAGCGCGACCTGTGATTTCGCCTTCCCCCCACCCCCACCCGAGCGCTCGCCGCCCCTGCCCCAATCGTTGGCGCCGGGAAACACCAGGGAGTGGATAGTGGACATGTCGGCGTAGAATGTGGGAGGGAGAGAAAGGTCGGTGAGGGTGCGGATCCAGAGGAGGGGGAGGTTTGGGGGCGGGAAGCTGATGGAGAAGCGGTTGGTGAAGAGGGTGCGGAAGGTTGTGGAGACTATGTGGAGTTTGGACATTTGGGGGGGTGTCTGCGGAGGGAGGGATGGGCGGTGAGCTATCTTTCAGTCGGTTGTCAAGGTGACTGATATCTCGGCGTACCTTCCGTTCCAGCCCTGAAGCAAACAAGCTGAACTTGGAGGTAAGCTCCAAGGGCAACTGATCCGCCGCCGTATAGTAGGGTATCTCACCCGACCCAGCCCACCGATGCACATCCCTCAACCAAATCGGAAGCCTTAACAGCACACATCCCAGATGCAACAGCACCAGAGAATAATACGGGTGGATATTCACCATGACGGACAAGAACCGCCCGCCAGGCTCCTTCGTCCTCCCTCGCTTGCTATCTCGCGTAGCTGTCGGATTTTCAGGATCGGGATCGGGGTACAGCCCAGGCGTCCTGCTCCGGCTTCGTCGCCGTTTACGACGGCGCACAGCAATGTCTTCCGGGTCGGTGTCGGACCAGTCCGTAGCGCTTTCTTCCCCTGAGGACGGGCCAGCGGAACCTTGCTGGGATGACAGGCTCCAGTTGCTTTCGCGGCGTTGGCGGTCGTCTAAATCGACTTCGAGGGCGGTTAGGTAGCAGGACCAGAGATCGAGGACTGCTAGCTGGGCGGAACTACGTCAATCATCCTCATCCTACGTGTACAGACTCTAACGCTAGCGGTCCTAACCTCTAGCTCCTGTGGAAGACCTCGGCTCTTGATCAAGCTCTGAGTCTGCAGTCTCAAGGAAGATTGAAAGACCTCGCAAATCACACTGAAGGGCGCGGCATCATAGTCTATTCCGCGCAAATTTCCGGGTCAGACCAGAGCAGATCTACCGGCGGCAGAGACCAGGAGGTTGAGGTCCCTTACCGTATTTCCTGCTCCGCCCGCGGGAAATCCTTTTCCGAGACCGTGATCTCTGCCGACGCGCATTCGAGCCCATGAGGGCCTCCTCGTCGCCTCGTTCCTCCACATATCCCTGGAACAAGTTGACAGAAAGTCAGAAAATGAAGTTTCTATGCCCTCTCGTTAAGGTCCGTCCCCCTCAGGTAGCCTTTCTCGACGAGGAACTCGCTCTACCCTACCGTGAGCTGATGCCCGAACTTGCAGACGTAGAAGCCGGAGTCATCTTTGCGATAGCTCCTTGTGTTGCAGACGGGGCAGGGGGGTTTCTTCATTTTCCCCATCCTTGAGCGGGGCCTCTCCGGTGTTATACACCGCTATGATCCAATTGCTAGCGGGAGCTCCGTGCTCTCCAGTTCGGTCTGCTCCTCCCCAATGGCCGAGCCTGTCTGGACGCGTGAGTTCTCGGTCCTTTTTGCCTCGCCGCGTGTTTAGCGAGACGGCGCCCTTTTGCGACCTCCAAACGGCTCAGAGACTTCCTTCTCGCAACCTGCAACGCCGGCTTTTTCCTACGCAGCTGCGGACGCTACATACTGTACTACTTCCGCTAAACCCCATACGGCTCCCACAGCACCCAACTCAAACGCAAAGCGCCAACAGACACCATGAACACCGACGAGGCAGACGACACCCTCTACCCCATCGCCGTCTTGATTGACGAGCTCAAGCACGAAGACGTCAGCCTGCGCGTCAACGCAGTAAAGCGCCTTTCCACGATTGCGCTTGCCCTTGGGCCAGAGCGGACCCGTGAGGAGCTCATCCCTTTCCTTGAAGGTGCTTGTCAGATTCTCCGTTTGTGTTCGCGAGGAAACCTTCGGTTAGGGGAGCGCGTGGGAAAGCAGCGTTCGAGATTGCCGGCGTATTCAGGGCTATACGATTTAGCATGCTGACTCAAAACATTTAATCTTGCCATACAACCAGAGTCGATCGACGATGAGGATGAGGTCCTGACGGTGCTTGCCGAGGAGCTCGCGGGCTTTGTAGATTACGTCGGTGGAGCGTCTTACAGCCACCTTCTTCTGCCTACCTTGGAGACACTGGCTGCCGTTGAAGAGACGGTTGTGAGAGACAAAGTATGCATTCTTTAGCAGCTTTGGATTCTCTAAGCGTATTTGCTAAGCGTTCTTTCGACAGGCCGTCGATTCGATTGCCAAAATTGGAGCGGGGCTTTCCCAGGCACAAATAGAAGAGCACTACCTGCCGATGATTAGGCGCCTTTCGACGGGCGACTGGTTCACGAGCCGAACGAGCGCATGCGGGCTCTACGCACCGGCCTATACTTTGTGCACGCCAGCTTTGCAGGAGGAGCTGCGAAAGTATGTTCATTTGAACACGACGGAAGATGGTGTTAGATCTGGAATCTGACCGGATTTTATTTCGCTAGACTGTACACTCAATTGTGCCAGGATGACACACCTATGGTTCGCCGTGCCGCTGGAACGCACTTGGCGGTGAGGCTCACGCAAAATGCAAAACCAAAGGCAAAACCGTTGATGGAACCATTCCTGACCCCGCATCCTCTGTAGAAACTCACAAAGAAAGTCTCGAAAGAGCACGTACTTTCCGAAGTGATTCCTCTCTTCCGCCACCTTGCCGTGGATGAGCAGGACTCAGTTCGGTTGTTGACAGTGGAAAGCCTGGTTGCTATTGCGGAGCAGCTGAGCCCCGAGGAGACCAAAACCCAGCTTCTGGAGTTGCTTCGCACGATGTGCACAGATAAATCATGGAGGGTTCGGTATATGATTGCCGACAAGTTTGTGCAGGTACGACATTCTCGCATTCCGTGCTCAGAATTTACCGGCTGCTAAAAGTGATGATTGATTCAGCTTGCGAAAGCTGTTGGGCCGACAATTATCCGAGAGGATTTGATCTCCGCATTCGTGACATTACTGAAGGATAATGAGGCTGAAGTACGGACAGCCGCTGCTGGACAAGTGCCAGGTGACACACCGAGATTGGGAGGGCTTTCAGGTTCTCGGGACGCGGCTGATTCAGATTGCGCCTTAGGTTTCAGCGTTCTCATTGAACAGGACGCCGTCCTCCGTGAAATCCTCCCGTGCGTCAAGGATCTTGTCACGGACACTTCTCAACACGTGCGCGCCGCTTTGGCGACCCAAATCAGCGGCTTGGCCCCATTCCTTGGAAAGGACAAGTCAGTGGGCATTGCGTGGATGGAATATGTTTGAACCATGTCGGCTTATCAGTTGTTTCGATCGCAGCACCATCGAGCACCTTTTGCCTCTCTTCCTGCAGCTCCTCAAGGATGAGGCGCCAGAGGTCCGACTCAACATCATTTCCAAATTGGACCGTGTCAACGAGGGTGAGGAGTATTTGGATGGACCTTCATGGATGAGCCTTGTCCTCATACCGCCTTCCATTCCCGTAGTCATCGGGATCGACCTTCTTTCCCAATCCCTCTTACCGGCTATCATCGAGCTCCAAGAAGACAAGCAATGGCGCGTGCGATTGGCCATCATTGAGAACATTCCTCTACTTGCCAGTCAATTGGTAAGCTGGCGGAATTTATCAGACGAAGACCATAAACGAGTCCGGCGTCAAAGTAATCCGATGTCCTTGTGTAGGGAGTTGCATTCTTCGACGAGAAACTAGCGGACCTCTGCATGAACTGGCTGGGAGACAGCGTTTTCTCCATCCGTGAGGCGGCCACCATCAACCTCCGCAAGCTGACCGAGGTGTTCGGAGTGGACTGGGCCAAGCACGCCATCATCCCCAAGATCTTGGAGATGTCGAAACACGAGAACTACTTGTACCGCATGACTACTGTCTTTGCGCTGACGGTATGTTCTGCAACCTCTGAAACCACGATCGCGCGCAACCAACTCAGTTTGTCGTTCACCTTTTGTAGACCATTGCCTCAGCAGTCAACGGCGACGCCCTGCGCGAGTTCATCCTCCCCACCGTGATTACCCTCTCCTCCGATCCGATTCCCAACATCCGCTTCAACGTGGCCAAATCGTTCGAGCAGATCATCCCCCTCGCCAGGAAGGCCAACCTCGCCTCGACCGTCACTGACCAAATCAAGCCGGCGCTGGCGAGGCTGTCGGAGGACTCGGATGTCGATGTGAGGTATTACGCTCAAAGGGCTGCGGCTACTGCTTGGTGAGTGCGCGTTATCTCTTTCATTGTCCGCAAAACTTGTTGGCAGTACATTCTCACGCCCTTGCTTTGCAGATCACGTCCGTAATCTCCCCCGCCGAAACAATTTGAAGCATGCGTACCTGCACTTCAGATGCGGCCATACCAAACCAACCCCCTTATATAAGCCATACCGGCAGGAAGCTGTGGGAACATGGACTCAGCGTCTTGGCTATCTCCTCTTTCGTCCTTGTGCGATTCTGCTTTATCCATGATGTCGTGTGTTTTTGCTATGTTTTGATAATAACAAATGAAAGTACATTTTCCATTGAAACAACCGAGCACCCGAAATCCGCGGCTTCCGCTTCGGGTGAAGCGCCTATGGGGCCACAATCCTTTGCTTCCTCGTCCCATTTGGTAAGACAGGGCTTGTCTGAATCATGCTGCCTGGTTGCTCCGGAGTCCTCTTGTAATGGAATGCCGCAGTTTGATTCCCCGACTCGGTTGCGAAGGTGTCCGGGCGGCCGCCGGACATTCTTCATTTTTCCGCCGGCGCTTTTTCCACAGCTCCTTTTTCTTGCCCGTTCACTCCCATCAAAACAACCAACCCCAACCCGCAATCCTGAGAATACTGGACATCACTAAACAGGGTATGGGGAATCGCTTGAGCTACTTTATTCGACTTGATAATCAGTAAAGTGTTGACTTTTAGAAGTTTTTCCCATCCGCGTTCTGGAAGGTCTATCCGCTGTGGCTCACTCTAGTACATATGCTTGGTCCGTTGTGAAAGTTTCAGGTCCTGGAGACTTGAACTGATGCCTGGAGCTTTGCTTTATTGTATGACAGCGCTTAGGGCTGGAAACTGGATCACTGCGCCTCCCCTGCACACTCTAAGTTGTGGTTGTGGATGGTTCCGAGGTGCCCCAGAACCCGAAGGTGCATATCGATCGCTAACTTGCCTTGAGCGGTGCAGAATTTGCAGCATCGGTGCATCTTGAGAAAGATGGTAGTGGGCCAAGATGATAGAAATGCAGGGACAATAGAAAGGGACTAATGCAGGGACTCGTATCATACTCGACCCCGTACTTCCCGCGGTGCGTGAAGCCGGGCACTCACAAGTGAGTGCCGGACAGTCCAACGCAAACGACAGTCCAACGCAATTTTCTTGGGGTGTTTGTGGAACCCAAAAGTCAACAACTCCAGAGAGTGCCGCCGGAGCGCCATCGGCGCGACTGCGGGCGAGTATGATATACGAGACCTTGGCACGGGTACTCCGTATCTATGCACAATGGAGGCGGAGTTAACTTCCATCCATCCATCCATCCACCCAACCATCCATCGGCACAACATGACCAAGCACAAGGGCGGGAACATGTTTTTCGTTCTCGCGGACGACTATCAGGCACCGACTCCGGTTGAGAGGAAGAAGAAGGATCCTCGCGACGATTTGCCCAGGTTCCCCATTGAGTTGCCTGAACCTCAGTCGTGCTCCGGGTATACGCCACCGAAGATGCAGCAGGTCTACTACCGACGGAAGTGGGACAAGCGAGTGACCCGAGCCATGTTCAAAGAGCATGGGCTCGCTAAACACAACGCAGTGAAGGAATCCCCCGAAGACATCACTACACCTTACCATATCGAGATGATTATGACTGGGTGGCCCGCCCTGCAGGCCTACGAATATCATATGGGAAAGAGAGACGCGGATGCTTGGAGAAAGACCCGGTGTGGTGTTTTTACCGAACGGGACGAAGCCGGACGATTCTTGAGCAGGAGGTGGATACGACTTGCATAGGGAAGTTGCCGGTTGGGACCAAGTTGTATATTGGGGGGTGGCATGATGAGTTCCTTGACGAGGATTATTTCATCTACAACGATGTGACTGTGGTGAAGCCCGACGGTACTATTCACGTGCTACAATACCACACCGACGATTTTCCGCCTACCGATTGCCACACCGCCACCCTTGTTGGACTCGACACCATCGTTCTTATCGGTTCCCTCGGTTACTTGGGACACCGTAAACAGAAGGCGCAAGTATGTGTGTTGAACCTTAACACCATGAAGTGCCGCACGCTGAACGACACGAAAGGCGATGATCCGGGATGGATTGCAAAACACACAGCAGAATTGATGGAAGATGGGAAGATCTTGATTACCGTCTCCGTTCCCAAGAGAGTGGAGATGGCAAAGGATTGTCGCCCAGGCCGTTGGACGTTCGATCATCTAACCGCATCCTGGACCGCCCTGCCGCTCAGCGAGAAGGATATTGCAGATATACGCGAGTATGAAAGCAATATCTCTAGCGGCGAGTACGATAGCGAGCTTCAGACGAAAAAATTCTTAGAGAAGAGCACAAAGAGGGAGTACGACGTTGACGAGATGATACGAAAGTGCGATATCTTGGTCAGGGTTAAAGCTATTCAGGATGAGACTGAAACGCTAGCTAAGGAGAGGAAGGAACTCGTTTTGGACTATGTTTCTGCTGCAAAGCAGCTCAAAGTAGATTATAAGAATCTGCGATTCGTGACAGACGCTGAGGAGAGGGAAATAGAGAAAGCCAGACTCACCCGTGCGTATAACAACCACGTAGATCAACGAGAAGAAATAGAGAGGATTGTGAAGAAGATGAAGAGTCTCTGGGATGAGTCTTCTGAGTTGTTGAAGTAGTGCTTGTAATTCCTCGTATATCAATCCGACCTGAGAATTTCCATTGCGACTTTAAAAAGGGTTCCATTTCAGTGAGTGAGCAATATGAATATTGCCTTGTTAGCGTTTGCCGCATGCTTGATCTGCTGCTGTTCAATATCATCCTCCTCGTTCTACTGGTATAGACGGGACAAGACTGTCGCCAGCTCCACTACCACGGCACGAACTTCAACAACGGCCGGCAGCACGGCCGCCAGTACCACCACAACCCCTGGAACGGCCACCGGCACAGCAACACCGGCCTCTAACCCGACCCCTGCGTACTTTGCAACAACGCTACCCACAGTCCCCGTCAACTTTCCAGTGCCGACGGTCGCCCCGCCAACAACCACTACCGCAGCGCCAACGACGCGGCCTGCGAGACGGTCAGCTCAGGCAGCTCCACGTTCAGCGCGGATCCGGCGATGTGGGCTTGAGCGATTAACACGAACACGAAAAAACCGAACACGAATAGACCGGCGATTGGCAACCGCCTGGGAAGTCTTGCCGTATCCGTGCATTTTGTTTATCGTAACTCGGGGTCGGCACCAGGGATCTCGACGCACTAGCTCAATGTACTCTTGACAACTCCATATCTGTGCACACGCCATTTTGAACGCTGTGTCTTCTATCACTCGAGAAGGTCGGCGAGAAACTGGATTGTCTGAGACGCAACTGAGTATAAATAGTCGGAGACGGGAACTGAAGTGAATTCTGGTTGCTTGCGGGCCAAGCCAGGCGGAGGTGGCAGGCGGAGTTGGTCGAAAATACTGTCATTCCGTGTTCTGGAAGTGTGACGTGATTGCACAAAAACAGCACGCCAACGTGGCTCACGGCTTACTCTACAGTAACTCCGACACAGACTCCGACCGCCTCCGACCGCTTGGGTTTGCAATTTGCTGCCCAAACGAGACTGGCCTGTCATTAGCCAGCATATTTCGCCACCATTTGAACCATCGAAGAGGAGATTAAGAATGCCCATAGCGGGGCCTACCGGAGCTTTGCCCTTTGACTCAGACTTCAACTCCGCTCCGACCCTCTCAAATTGGCACTTTGCTGTCCCAAACGACACTGGCCCATCGCTAGCCGCCATATTGCGGACTTCCTCTGCCATCCCTTGAACCACGTACTGAGCTTGAAATGAGAATAGCCCTTATCGTACCCAAATGCGGCTTAAGGCTTGCTTCTCAAACTCCGTCACTCAGTCCGATTCGCTCGTCGGGTATTTTGGGGTGCCCCACATCCCTAGCCAGCCAGAAGAGTCTCGTTGCCTCGATCTCGATGCGCCAATGCGGTCAACCAAGAGTAAGTCCGTCGCTAGCCAGCCAGGCGGAGTCTCTTGCTTTGCTATTGCGTCAATGCCGTCAACCTAGAGTGAGCCCGTCGCTAGCCAGCCAGATGGAGTCTCTTGATTTGTTTTGGTTGCGTCAGTGCCGTCAACCAAGGATGACAGATAGTCTGCCAGATCTTGGCTGAACGATTCCCACATAACGTGTATATGTGTTTACATGGCAGGGACATATGCAATGAGCGTTTCACGATGTGAGCAGGCATCAAATTCATTCAAATCTATTAGTATACAGCGCCGGGTCAACGATGTACTGATCTGCCAGCTGGAGAAGGTTTGCTAGCTTGAGGGATGTGCGCCGAGTTGGTATACATTCCGAACAGCGACATGTCAAAGCCAGGTCCTGCTTGTTGCTGGTAGGCTCGACCAACCTTGTTCATGTTTATCGGAACGTGGGTGTTGGCACCCAGGGATTTCGACAAACTGGCTCAACTATTTTTGTACACAATAGGGATCTTAAACGGGTTCCCAGCACCCAAGGGGTGAGGCCAATCCGCGACAATTCGATAAGCCGGTGGCTCTTCTCGTCGGCCCAGGTCTCCCGGTGTCTGACAGCAAGGCCCATCAATCCATGTCCGCAGCGTAAGACTCTCGTTCAGATGCTACTACATTTGCAGCTTCTTGGTACGCTGTGTTGGGCAATCAATTTGTACATGGAGCACCTGCGATGGAATGTTCAAAAACAACATAACAAATTCATCCAGAATTCAAGCAGCAAGACAGAAGGACTTTGACTTTTCCGTCATTTAGTGTGGCAACGGCTGCACAACACGTACAGATACGAATGAGGATGATTGAGCCTGTCGCGGAAGAGAGGTGTGTCCATCTGTGTCCAAGTTGGAACTTGTGTTGGGAGAGCAGGTCATGTCGGCATGGGTTTTGCTCCTCCTGCACATAGCTCGGTCGGCGCTGACCTGTGCCATCTTTAGTCGACGCTCCGTCTAACTAAAGACCCGGCTAGCCCCAATCTCCGTCAGCCACCTTTTGCCGGTGCTTGTTATAGACTACCTCGGAGTCAACCCGTGCACCTGATGTTCCCAAACGAACCGCTCAACCCCCTGCCCAGATTGCAACACACATAGGGTCGGCCACATATCAATGGGGACAAACATCGATCGGTGGAACACCACCAAATACGAAAACACTTGACCCAGTAAAATTGACACATGCGCATGAGATGTGTCGAAAGTTCCACTGAATGGATGGAAATTGGGATTTACAGAGATGCAAAAGCATTTTCTTATGAGTTCTTAAGTTACAGATACATGGACTGATATCAAGATGACAAAACGGTTGCAAAAAAGATACATGAATTGGGACCGGCGAGTGACGACGGGCGAGGCGTTGGGTGTGTTACAGTGAGTGGCCATGCGACGATGGCATGCGGAGTTTGGCGAGTCAAGGGACGGCCTATATACAGCTGAAAGAAGGATCTGCTGGCTGCGGCGGCGACGGGCGGGCCGGGTGGTGGGTGGGTTGTGGGTCCTCGCCCCCTACGTCCGGCCGCATGTTCTTGGGAGTCCTCCCGCGATCAGCCCTAGCCCGCGAGTGCAAAACATCAATCGGATTTCAAGCCTCAACAGAGACCAACGCAGGCAGATCGATGGTATCCCCCCCATCCTCGTCGTCCATGAACTCCTCTGGATCGTATATCACGCGGATGATGAGCGAGCAACTTGGGCATTGGGCTACTTCGTCGCCAGCGCGGAGTTCATCCTGGGAAGGGAGGGAGTGGGTTAGTGGGAATGGACTTGACGAGGGATTTGAGGAGTTCCATCTCAAGGGGCGTAGTCTCGCAGGGGTTCGTTCATGCCCTCCCCTGCCTCCTGACCGGCGACACTTGACATTCCCCAACGACTGTCGTGTGTGAGCACACCTTCACAACCCCGAAACGCTGCCCACCTCTGTGATAGCGAACTTATCCCCACATGGACATGGGTAGTAGTACGTCTTTGTCTCCTCGTCGTAGTCCATGTCCTCGATTTCGACTTCGTCGTAGAAAGAAGTCATGTCTGCCGAGTTTCTGCCCTTTTGTTCGCAATGAGCTGAGGAAAAGAGCTGTGACTGAGACAGATAGGATACGTAGCCTCCTCCTGGTGGTGTGAAAGCGAGCTGGTGGGTGTTGTTGTTGTTGTTGTTGCGTCGTCCTCGTCGTCGTCGTCGTCTGTCAACGAGCCTTCGGCCTGTGCGAACCAAAGCGCGTTCAGTCGCTCTGCTGTCACAGCCCTCGAACCTCCTCGAACGTGGCTTTCGAACCCCGCATCAATAGCCGGGGGTCTAACGGCACAGACCCCTGATGTAGCTTGCTGCAAGACAGGAAGTCTTACTCTTTTTGGGCGGTTACAGGGGTCCCTATACCTTTTCCACACCACTGACGCGGCGTCCAAGTTGTCACTCCATAATGTCCGCCGCGGGAGGTCCGGACCCGTTTTTGGTTCCATACTTGCCATTCTTCTTCACACGATCTATTGGAAAACGGAAACGAGACGCAGATCAGGAGGACGAAGACGATAGTTTCGCATATATATCAAGTAGAGGTGAGTTTTGTCGATTGACCGGAGGGTGACTGTGAAGCTGACCTACCGGGGCGCCTTTCGTAGGCAAGACGAAGACCGCTTCCATACGGCGAAGAATGTGCCAGGTACATAGGGGGTCTTTCCAATTGTGCCTCCATGGAGCGATCTTCTTATCTCTTTCATTTGCAGCGGTACATTAAACGCATGCTATCCCGGGACAACTGCGTAGATCGCACCGACCTGGAAAACAAGCGCTTCCCCGAACACGAAGAATTCATAGCAGCCTGGGTACCTCCTATCCGAAAGAACACCACGGCGCGCGTTTACAAACGAGGGTTCAGCGGCGTTGTTGGTGAGCATCTTCGTTCATCTGCACCCGTTTCCGTGATCATCTCAAACGACGGTGAATTCGTATCGATTAGATTATGTGGACAACAGCGGACGATACGTTCCCGAAGAAGTCGAATTGGAAGATTCCAGCGATAGGCCCGGGATGCCGATGGCGTCGACAGGATACACGAATAAGGTCGCAGGAGGATACACGTGCAAACGCGCAGACGACCAACTGTTGGATGGTGGGGATGACGACGAGGACGAAGTTTTGCCACCGTATGGGCAGTCCGATAAGGAGGACTATGCGTGGTCAGATGAGTCCGAGTGGTCGGATGAGGAACGAGAAGCGAAGCCGGCGAAACAACCCGAACAACCCGCACCTAAAGCTGCGGAAGGAGATGGAAAGGAAAATGTGGCGGCATATATGCCCTTGGTGAACGGGAAGAAGGTGGATGTCAGCAACGGCGACGTCGATGACGACCTGCGAGACTACACGCGAACTGGTCGCCAGCGCAGCACATTATCTGCTAAAGCGAAGAGATTTTGGAAAACTCGGGAGGAGGCTCCTATGCCTGCTGTCGTCGGATCAACAAAATTCCTCTCCTCAGACGACATCCGAACGATAGTGGCCGAGGAATTTGAAAAGATGCGGGCGACGTGGGACGAAGTCGAAAAGCCGAAACTAGAGCTTGAGGCTCACAACATCTATCATCAGTACGAGGGGATGGTAGAAGCACTGCGGGCTGAAATAATGGACCTCGAAACGCGGAGATTGGAAGGTCACCTCAACACGTACGCGTGTCTGCGAGTACAAACTTCGAAAGAGGTACGCACTCAATGTGCAGCTTCAAGCGAGACGATCAGAACGATCTGTGAGAAGTTATGGATAGTGGACCTGCTGCACGGTGAACCTCCAGAGCCCCCAAGGCGCCCAGAGCGAAAGAAGATAAACAGCGCCAGAGGCAAGAAGAAGTCTGGCACGAAAGCTGCGGCGGAGAAGGAATCCTGGAGCGATTTCATAGCCAGCGAAGATGAGTTTCCGATGGAGGTGCCGGCCAGAACGAAATGGGTTCACAGATTCGGGTCGGATACCGATGAGGAGGCCGCAGAACGGCCACCTCCCTGGAAAGAAGTGAAATGCGAAGAGGATGATTTGGAGATGTCCGCTGCGAGGGATGAGAGCGATGATACCGTCGTCTCTCCTGAGGTTCCGGATGAGATCTCTGCTGATGAGGGCACTATACCCGTTGAAGATGTTGCTTCGTCTATGGATGCAAATGCAGAAGAATCAGGGGAGGAGATGATCATTGAACCGTCCTTTCCCGCGCCGGCTCCCCGCTCGGAGAGTCCAACGTCACCAAAAACACCTCCCCCGCTACTGAAACAGAACGGCGACCTGGAAGTGACAGGTGCAGACGAATCAATGGAAGAGCTGAACACTGCGACGGTCTTGCCTCCGGTGCCTCGCCGGGACAGTGGGGGTCCATCGACAGCGCCTGTACCCCCATCGAAACCTGGCCGCGACCATGGAGTCATCTCCTTGGTGTCCGATGACGAACCCTCCAGTCCCACCAAACCCCAGCCTCCAGCAAATATGCCTGGTGCGAAACCTAGTGGATTCCCCACATCCCGCTTAGCCAAATACATGGGGAAGGCGTCGAACCCGCCAGTATCTGTAGATGGGTCGAGCTCATCGACGGATGATCGTGCTGTGCCCAATTCCGAAAAGGCGAAAAAACGCCGAATTCCCGTGGGCGGCAAAATTCCAAGGGATGTGCCGCGCTTCACCAAACCGAAGTCCACACGATCGAAAGCTAGTCAGGCTTTGCAAGCTGAGAAGGCTTTGGATGGCTATTTCATCAAATACTGGTCGTTAGCCGGGAACGATAGTCGTCTATTGAAAAGCGTGAATCGAGCACGTCAGGATGCTGAATTCGGCATCCTTCCAGACCTCCGCACCCTGAAGCAAAAGCTGCATCACCGCTTAGTGATGGAGTTTGTTCATTTCGTCCAGGGCCTGCACGCCCCTCCTGAGGACGAGGAGGGGGTGGAGAAGGTGGACCCGGGTACCATACGGGACCAGTGGGTGGAAGCGCACAATCGTGAACAGGAAAAATCAGATTTTCAGATGTTCATCGAATTCCGACTGGCGGAGAAGACATATGACGATGTGGATGACAGAATTTTGGACGAGATTGCGTCTGCCTCGGAAGCTGATGCGGAGGAAGTTTCGGTTCATTCGCAGGAGGAGGAGGATTCAGATTTGGGCGCGAGACAGCCGGCTACGAGTAAGTTGGCCCCGTCATTCGGTAGGCTCGAGCATATGATTTCTCTTCGATCTAACATGACTTTGCATCGGCTATCACAGGAAAGCGCTCCTTCAAACCAACGGTGAACAAAGGCACCCTCCGACGACCGACTTCAGGAAACAACACCATTCGACGCGCAGTACCACGAAGCAGCAGCCCGATATCCGTGGAAGACATCGCCTCCGGCGAATCGGACGGTCCAAAAGAGCAGCGGCTGCCTCACCCTAAAGGGCGTAGGGAGATCAAAGCGATTCAGCCCGAGAACTTGGCAACGCTGAACATCCGAAATAAGAGACGGCAGCAGGACGCTCAGATTGCGTCGCGAGCGAAAGCTCAGCAGAAGCGGTTCAATGGTCCAGAAAAGAAGGTCAGAAAAATGTGTGTGATAAAAAAGGCCTTGCTTACCCGAAGAGTTACTGAGACTGTATGTCTCGCCTCAGATTCTCATCAACCTGGGACATGATGACTCGGAGGAAGATATCTTCATTCCCAACTTTTTGGCGAGAGAGCTGTTTGATCATCAGGTTCAGGGTGTGCAGTTTATGTGGAAGAATATCTTGATGGTCAAGCAGCCTTCTGCTGATGGACACGGGATGAGGCATGCGGGATGTATTTTGGCGCATGCGCAAGGATTAGGTACTGTTTTCTCGCTTTTCCTGTTGTTACCTGTTGTAGCATGAGATTCATGCTGTTTACGGCGCAGGCAAGACTATTCAGACGATCACCTTGATATATACCCTGTTCCGAGAAATCGCGCGGAACAATCCGGCGGTCCCTGAGCATTTGAAGGTGAGGGAGGGTTTCGGTTCTCTTGCACTTGCGAACGAGGGCGGCCGGAGCGAACGCCTTTCGCGAGAGAGCGAGTTCCTTGCGCGGAGGGGTACACTTGACGGTCACTCGCCCGGCGCCGGCGAAGCGAGCGTCGAGCGGAGAGAGTTCTTCTTTCCACATTGCGCCGAGGGCGCAAAGGTGAGAGAGGCTTTTCGTTCTCGCACTTGCAAGCGGGGGTGACCAGAGCGAACGCCTTCCGCGGCGAGACGAAGCGAAGCGGCTAGCGGAGCGAGTTCCTCGCGTCGAGGAGACCGTTCCCGATCACCCGCCCGACCTCAATTCGCGAACGGCGAGCCGTAGCGGGTACCTATTGCGCTGAGTACGCAATCTTTCCCTCGCCGCGGTTCTTACCGAGCACCGGCGAGCGTTGGATATTTGCGGGCGAAGCGAACGCCCCCGCCCCCCGACAACTCGCTGGCCCTCGGATTCTTGCGTTCGCCCCGTCCGCTGACCAGGTACTGTTGCAGAACAAACAAGCCTTGATCGTCGTACCCCCAATAGTGCTTGAGAATTGGTGGGTGAACCGTTGAAGGCAAGCTTCCGTCGTTCAACGCATGAGTTAACAGAGGTGATACAAGGGCTCGAGAGTTTAACCAATGGGTAGCACGCTCACAAGATGCTGATTCCCGTCTTGTGCGCGTTCTCTCGACGGCTCTGACCTTAGGTGAGACATATACGCGTTAAGGACTGGCAGTCCATCATTGATGCGGAAAATGTATTACAGGCGATATGCAGCGTCTTGAGCAGATTCGGGATTGGCACGAAAACGGAGGCGTTCTCCTGGCAACCTATGACTACATCACTGGAATGCACAAGAATTTGGTACTAGCGGAAGCGAAGCTGCAGATGGACCCAAGGAAGGAAACGGAACTGGCGAGCTTTGTCGCGCTCCGGAAAACGCTGTTTGAAGGCGCGTCTTTGATTGTGTGTGATGAGGGTCATTATGTGAGTTACTTGGCGAATTGAGATGCGGTGACGGTGAACGTATGAAGCGGTTACTCACAACTTCTTACAGATCAAAAACAGCGAATCGCAGCGTGCGAATGCATTGGGCCTCTTCCAGACACCATCGCGTGTGTTGCTTACAGGAACTCCATTGCAGAATCATTTGAGCGAATATTGGTGGGTTCATCTTTCCTTGGTCGTGCAGGGTGCTCTTTCCTCATATCGTCTTTTTCCTTAGGGTCATGATCGATTATGCGGTGAACAACTATCTCGGCGACCTCAAAGAATTCCGAAACGCCTATGAGAATCCAATCAACAATGGGTTGCATATAGACTCCACCGAAATGGACAAAAAGCTCTCAAGACTTCGGTTATATGCTTTGACCAAGTTGATCGAGCCCATTGTACAACGAAAGGACACCAGCGTGCTAAAGACGGAGCTCAAGCCGAAAACCGAATACGTCATCGACTGCAAGGTCACCCAGCTGCAATACGAGCTGCTGCGGGCGTACCTCACCAATGCAGATCTTCGCGAGGAGAACGCTGCCACTGTGTTAGCCCGGGTACCGTCGTTAAAGCAGTTGTGTGCCCATCCACAAATCTTCAAGGTATGCGCTCATGTAATTTGTAACCGTGTGCATATCGTTCCCTCCAACAACCGTATGCCTTCATAGGAGGAACTTGAGAAAAAGAAATCTGGCGCTGTCGCAAAGAAAGCAAGGATTGATAAAGCCACTCCCGCTACTGACCCCGGACTGTTGGCTTTAACGTCGGAACCGGGCCAGGATGAGATTGGAGAAGACGAGAATACCGCGGCTGATGGGTAAGGATGGAGCTTATAATCCATGGTCCACTGGTTGGAGACTTGACTTTGAAATTGGCAGGCTGCTCCAAACCCTGTATCCAACGTTCGATGAAATCTTCGCGAAATATTCACCTGGCGAACGGAGTCGTGGTGGGTCAAGGGAAGGAAGTGTGGATGGAGAAGATGATCGAAGGCTAACAGGTAGGGAGAACCGTGAGGGCTTGGCAAAAGCATCCGCATACTAACAAAATTCGATTAGGTTCCGATACAGTTGACATCGTACATTCGAACAAGATGAAAGTCTTGGTCGAGATTGTCAGGACCACCAAGAACATGGGGAAGAAGATCCTGATTTTCACTAGCAGCATCCCGACGCTATGTATGTCCTTTGCTTCTGTCGCCATTCTGAGACTTCGCGGCTGCTGACCAACGGTGCTCTCCTAGACTTCATCGTTGAGACGCTCAAAAAGGAGCAAATCAACGTGCTATCATTCGATGGCAGTACTTCTCTCGTGAAGAGACAGCGTGACATTGATGCCTTCAACAAGGAGTCCAAGTGCACAGCCTTTGCCATATCACTGAAGGCAGGCAACCTTGGAATCAACCTAAGTGCTGCTAGCCGGGTTATCCTTTTCGACTTAACCTGGAACCCATCCGATGCAGAGCAAGCTATCTCCCGGGTACGTGTTTCGCGTGAGACGGTTGAGTTTGCCGCCGTTGATGCTAATGAACGTGGTTGCATGCAGGCGTATCGTTATCGACAACAGGAAGAGGTCATCGTTTATCGAATACAAGCACACGATACGTTCGAGTCGACATTGTATAAGAAAAATATCCAGAAGTTGGCCCTTTCAAAGTATGCAACCATGACACTTCCATTCTTTCACCGAGTGCTCGTGACTGATGCTCTCCAACCTTCCAGGCACGTCGTGGACCAGAAGCAAACCTCTCGGAACTTCACGAAAGCCGAAATGAAGCAATACTTCCGCGTCCCCGACATGAGCGACAGTTGGCAGCTCTCCCCCGAAGACGAAGACGAGCTATTCCCCGTAGAAAACCCCGATCCGCCATTGGAAGCGGTTCTTAGAAACCTGCGCGAAGATCTCGTCGCCGTCCGCAAACACTCCGATATGCTGCAAGAGGTCGAGGATGAAATGAACGATGAGGAAAAGGCGGCGAGTACCCAGTTCTACGAGGACGAGAAGGCCAGGAGGCGGATGGGCATGGCGCGCAGGGCGTCGTCGTCGGCGAGCATGAATATACCGCCGAGTCCCGTGAAACCTGTCACTCCCGTGACTCCCGTGACTCCGAACTTGGGCCCTGAGATGCCGCGCACTGGGTCGATGATTGAACAGCTTCTTGGCGGGTTCGGCGGGTTCGGCGGGTTCCCTGGCGTGAATGTAAACCCGAGCTCTTGGATGTTCAAAAGCACGTTTCCGCCGCCCAACGGTGAGTAGCTTATGTAGTATTCGATGTAGTCGGCGGGATTGGCGTTGAGAGCAAGTAGTGTACATCCATATACCTCGACCTACTGGGCTTTCCGGTTGTCTTCACAACCAAAATTCTGTGATACAATACACATTGAAAACCCCACTTCCTTGCTTTTTCGCTGCTTATGGGGCCAATGTGGATGTCTAGTCACTCGGTAAAAGAAATCTGTAGGCAAAGCCTTTTGGCAACCTCTTCGGCGACAAAGTGTAGTACGTGCTCTAGGATCTATTACTATAGCCCGATCAAAACTTCTAGTGTACATGCATATGCAGCGAGTGTCGCAGTAAGATAAAAAAAACCTGCCAACGTGTCGTAATCCACGCCCTAAGCAGCCTTCTCATCCTTCCTCTTGGCCTTCCCCTCATCCTCCCTCTTCAACCGCCACTCCGCATCCGGCACCCTATACAATCCCTTAATCATCGGCCTAATGAACCCGACCAGCGTCATAAAGCCGATAACCACGCAAATGATGCCGACGACGTAGTACCCATCCTGATCGACGACGCAGGTCCCGCCGAGGTCCTTGCAGGCGGCTTTTTGGGTGTCGGTGGAGCAGGATTGGTCGACGCCCCAGGCTGCGTCTTTACTGGATTCGCAGTGGGAGGTGGTGAGGAGTTCGACGGATTCGAGGACGAAGTAGCGGGGCCAGGTGCCGCCGAGGTTGCTTAGTGTGTTCAGCTGCGAGTTGCGGTGGTGGTTAGATTTTTGTAAATGTGGATTGTAGGTTTGAGGGCGTAGGAGACTTACCAATGTCATGTATGTGCCTCCGATCAGAGGATCACTGATTTTTGTGAAGAAACTGCCCATCCCGACGAATTGCACGGTACTAGAGGTGTGAAATGCGTAAGAGCGAGAATGCTCGCCGAAAGTTTCCAGTGATATGGACATATACCTTGTGAACGAGCTCAAGACGGTCGCGGCCATAACCACAAAAAAGTAACCACCACTAGCCCCGCCCTCCGGGAACGAGTTGACCAGCAACATTCCCAGACCGGCAAAAGCCAAGCGACCATAGAACGCGTACAGCCACTGCAACAGAAGGAGTCAGAAACCACCCATCGTCCTCAACCGCACCAATCAATACGCTAGCAAGACTCACCGGACGTAATGGCTCCTTCCCACTACTCCATTTCGCAGCATAGTATCCAAACAGGATTTGGAACGGGAAATCGATCAGGACACTGAGCGCCATATCTTCCTTCTTTAGTCCCTTGTCGAGGAGTTTGAGCGGTGTGACGGCTTCGTTGGCGATGAAGCCGATTTTTGCTAGAAGTAGGACTCCAATGAACTTTTTCATGTCTAGCGTACGAGTCGAGGGTGAGACGGGAGTGGCATCGAGGGTGAATTGATGTGTGCGCGAGTGACTTACGTGGCTTCTTGCACACCTCCCAGATGGTGCTGTACACCTAGAATGCATAGACGTGTGAGCCTACTTCGTCCAGCAATTGAGAATCGCATTGAATGGAACTTACCTCCTTAATGTCGTCGATGGTGTCATCTCTCTCAACATCCTATAAGGAGCGTGCATAGCCATGACCGAGATCAGATGATCTTGTCCTCCGCAAAATGACAAGCTCGTATTGACCACCCACCTCCTTCTTGACAAAGATCAGCCAAGCATTGCATAGCAAAAACATGGAACCCCAGAACTTCAGGTATGAACCAAGCGCTAGAACACCCGTCTCGGCTGGGATGTTTCGGAGGAACTTATTGCTGAAGGATCGCGAACCACATCAGCCATAACCACGCATCATAATTTAACGTTCAAAGCATACCAGAATTCAGGAGAGTTGAGCGCCAAGAAGATTGTGAATGACAGGAAATATCCTGTGTTCAAGCCGATCGTCTGAGCTACGAGTTTCCAGTAGTTAGCGAGTGACGTTCACAGATGTCATCCGTGAGTTCGAAGGTACCTGTCGATGCGAAGTGCTGCGAAGATGGTAAGGTCAGTAAATGACTTGCCTACGAGAACTAGCAGGAAGACACACACCTTGTTCTCTTCTCTGAGCAAGGTCAAGGCCCAGCCATCCACAGCAATATCTGCGACATCAAAAATATGTCTCAGTATTGTAGGCTTTTAGCAGTTGAGAAGAGATTCACGGCGTGCTTACCTTGCGTGGCGCAGAGGAAGACAAGTGCTGTGAATGCCAATGCGAGCGCTTTGACCGGCAATATGGGCTGTTGAAGACGCGGATAAGTCTCGCTGCTGAGGTGAATCTGATGCCAGAAGCCCACCCACCTTGTTGAGCACATCCTCAATCTGGGACCCTAGGCCCAACAGGACCAATCCTGTCAACGCCTGGATCGGTACGATCCACGACTTTCTCCGACCCAGACTCTTAAAGTAGAAGGAATCCACAATCGGGGACCATAAGAGCTACAGGAGTGGAAATGTGATAAGTACTTATTGTCGATACCCCACCCTGTGTGCCGGTACGACTGATCTGTACCTTTAGGGAATACGGATAGCCCGACAGCGAGAAAGTGGCGATATCCGCATAGCTCAATTTACTCTTGAGCAAGAACGGAATAGCTCCAAACGTCAGACCCAGTGGCACTCCTTGTAAAAGGTCTGCACAGCAGCCAGAAATCAGCAACAAGCACACACCCCCAAATCAACGCCCCCAAACGCGCACCTACATAGTACGACGAGAAGAATGACGTTCCCCTTATCCTTCCATAAGGGGTTCACCCCCTGCTTATGTGCTGCAACCCCTGCCCGCTGTTTCGAAGGGCTGTCGTGGTTTGTTACGGTGTCCACTGGCGCATAGCCGCCCTCGGCCTCCCGAACCAGCTTGCGCATATCTATCACAACGGAAGGCGAGGTGGCAGGAATGTCGGCTGAGTTGTGATAGTGTGTCCTGGGGAACGAAGTACTGTGTGGGTAGTCGGACCGGCAGCTGTCCTGCGTTGTTGTTGTTGTTGTTGCCTGATCTCTTCAGCGCCAATGACAGTGCAAGCAAAGTCAAGTGACAGTTTGCCTGCCAGAAAGTTGAAACCGCCTGTGATGTGGGGTCTGTGGCGTGGCGTAGCACATTTCGACGCATGCGAGAAAGAACCCGCTCATCCACCAACCCCCAATTCGACAACCCCTGGGGAGAAAACTAGTTCACACAACACATTCCACAGTCCACCCGTACAGAATCGCCCCTTTGGCAACCTCACTCCTTCTCACAACACACCCAACCAAACGCATAGCAAGCAAACATGGGTCTCGGTGGCGGCAACAAGTCCAAAGGCAAGAAACCCGCCCGTGGCGGTGCCAAGCAGTTCACCCCCGCCCGAGTCCTCCGCGGCCAAGGCGACGTCTGGGACCAACCCCGCGAAGAGAAACCCGAAGGCGAGGTGTCCGGGTCCGAGGAAGAATCCAGCGAAGAGGAAGAGTCGTCCTCAGAAGACGAGACACAACAGGACCTGCCACCACCTGCAATCGCATTCAACCCCAAACTCGGAAATTCCGCGCCTGTCGAGGCTCCAGGAGACGCTGCGGCCCGGAAGAAGAAGGCTGCAGCGGCAGCGGCGAGACGCAAGGCGGGCAGTGATGACGAGGACGAGCAGATCGCCAACCCGAACAGGGCAGCCAAGCAGCACTTGAAGGCTAGTGATCTGGGAGCCTCGGGGGGAGGTGAACGGGAGCTGAGCAGGAGGGAGAGGGAGGCGCTGGAGAAGGAGCGGGCGAAGGCGGCGTTCTGGAAGGCGCAGGCGGAGGGAAAGACCGACCAGGCTCGTGCCGATATGGCGAGGTTGGCTATAATCAGGAAACAAAGGGAGGAGGCCGCCAAGAGGAAGGCCGAGGAGGCTGCAGGTTAGGGCCAAAATTTCGTCACCTTAATCTTGCGCAGACCCATTCTCTAACGATGTCATTCGCTTCACCAACAGCTAAAGGCAAAGCCACCGGCTCCAAAGCAGAATCTCTCAACGCCGGCAAAGGGATTATCTCCAAAACCCTCGGAAAGAACAAGAAATAGGAGTTTCGTGTATGTAGTGTATCTTAATTTACTGCCGTTTGCTTGCATGTCAGTTGTACTACAGCTCTATAGACCGCACTCTTGTACATAAAGCAATCCCTGGTCCACCCGTGATTATCACTGCGGACCACTTCTGAAGCTCCCTACGACACTCAATCTAGACTAACTCCCTCTCTGAGAACTATCGCCCTTTTCATATCTGCCCACCATCTGTCTTTTCAGCAACAATCGCGGCGTTCCGCGGCGATAGATCATTCTCAAAGATGTTCCTGAGCCAAACCTTTCCTTTCGCCTCCCCATTCGGCCCGCAGCCAAGGCCCTCTTCCAAATACTTCACCCGATCCAACAAAACCAGCGCCTCCACACACGGCCCCAACACCGATCTCAGTACACACATCAACGCAATCCGTGGCAACATCCTCTCCACAGGAAACTCCTCCTGAAGCTCCAAAATCAACCCATCAAGCGACCGCCCAAGCCCCAGATCCTGCTCCACATCCTCCCCAACTAAAAGCCCCATCTTCCCCGCCGCAGCCAAACAATACGCCCTAAAATTTCTCGTACAAGCTTTTGGCAGCCCGCCCACGCGAAACGATGGTCCCGAGGAGAAACTGGCGGGTTCGTTCAAGCCGAGTCTATCGAATGAAGCCGGGTGCATTGTCGACCAGCGACGGAGTGCGAGCTCGAATAGGGAGCGGTGGTAGTGTCCTTTGAAGGAGGAGATGATTGTGGTGGAGTCGGCGAAGGAGGCGAAGGTTAGTTGGGCGGAGGAGAGGACGCGGTGGGTTAGGGTGAATGGCGGGTTGCGGTGACTTGTGAGGTCTTTGACGGTTTGGCTGAGCGGGATCCCAGCTGAAATCTGTCAGCACGCCAGAAAGAATGAAAGGGTTCACACGCCACTTACCAGCTGCGTCATTCGGACCACTTCCCGTGGTGATACGCTGATAGCAACACGCAACAACAACCACCGCTTTCACATCCCCACACTCCAGAAACGTCGTAAGCATGGTAACCCCGCTCAAATCTCCACAGCTATGCAACCCGACCAACGCATATCGGCTCCCCTTCCCGCCTCCACACGTCTCCGACAGCGTTGCCGGGTCTAATCGTGCGGTCGCGTACTCCACTTTGCTGGTCCACGTAGGATCAAGCTTGAGACGGTGGTGGTAACCGCCGAAATTCAGCATCGCGGCTGGAACTTGGTGGTGGACTGAGGAGAGGATACGGGACCCGCGGTCTTTGGAGCCGCATGTTCGTGCATCCTCGCAGTCGATGGCGACGACCCTGCGTGAAGGGTTTTGTGTTGCGACTAGGTGTGTAAGATAACCGTGCCCCGCTCCTATGTCGATGATGGTCTAACGGGAGGTGTCAAGATGTGCATATCTCGAGGGAGCCGATTTTCAGATGACGCCTTACATCAACATGCGACCGCTCCGCAACGGTGAAAACCACTCTCGATAATCGATCTACTTCATGCAGCTTCTTCGGCGTCATGGCAGCTTGTCTACATGTGGCGGCCTACCTGCAAGGGACGAATGCATGATTCATATGAAGCACAAAACAACCCCGAAAAGTGACTCGTATAGGCATACATCATAGTTGAGCTGCTCTCCCGCCAATATACCCAGTTCTTCGTCTTTCTCCACCGTTCTGTCTCTCGAGAGCTCGCCCGCTTTCCTCACAAAAGCCTTTAAGCTTTCCGGCCATTGTACCTTTACAATCCCCAAGAAGTCAATACGCTATCAGTACAGGGTCCCAACCAAAACACAAGCTCCATGCACACACCGGCGGCTTCCCGCTCACAGCGAGAGCAACAATCTCGTTCAGCAGCTCGTCAGAGCTCGCATGCTCCTCTACGTATCTCCGCCATTCCGGGTCGACTTGGGCCCAGAGGTCGTTGGTAAAGAAGTCGAAGAGGTGGAAACCGTCCAGCCACCATCTCTCCTGAGCTAGGTGGTCGACGAGCTGGGCGAGATGCTGCGTTTGAGTGTCCCAATTGCCGGTCATGCTTCTGGGATCTTGGAAGTTGGAAGTTGGAAGGATATGAAGTTTCTGAAATGGAAGCTGGTCTGGTCGCACTGGTGACACATCGACCGCACGGAGCGACACTCCGCCCTCGACCTCGCCTTCAGCTTTCCGGCAGACTCCCATCTGCTCCATCCCAGCGCAACACCGGCATCATGTCCTATCCACCATCAGCCGGTATGGTCGGCGGCGATGCCAGCCTCGCCTTCCCTCAAGCAGACCTTCCACCCTACACCAACGAGGATGCCGCCGCCCTTTTTCATCCCGGAGCTGCACCCGTCACACCTCCTCAGGTGCCGGCTCTTAGAGCGCCCGTTTGTGTCCCGCAACAAGTTGCTGGATGGGATTCGCCCATTGCACGGGTGTACTCGCCGGAACTGGCTGCTGCTGGAGTGGATGTGAAGGACTGGATGGAGTTTGTGGATGCTATCAATATTGCTTTGGTACGTGTGAGTTCCGTTGACCCTGCAAGATATCTCTCTTCTCAAGTCGCTTCTACCCTCTGATAGATTGCAAGCCCACCGTTACGAGTCGTCGATACAGCCGGTCTCATTATCGGCTTCGTCCCAGCACCCTGGGCATTGATCGCCGGCCCCATCATGCAAACCGTCGCCCAAACAGCCGCTCACGTCATTTCCAAAACGCTCTCCGATCGACTGATCAGGAAAGCCAACACCGACTTCTTCAATCCCCGTGGACTTGTCGTTCGGCTTTGCACGAACCGGGCGATGAGGCAACTTGTCAAGATTGATGGGCCGGAGAAGAAACCGCCAAACCAAGCGTTGATGGTGGCGAAGGCTTTGGGGAGAGGTGCCCAGAACTTTGCGTTGAGGTTGCCGATTCCGTTCATGGGAAGGATTGTGGAGACGTTTGGAAATCAGGTAGTTACCTCTTCGTCGGTGGTATCTTGAATCACGAAACTCATAAAGCTTTGTGCAAATGGCAGCCTCGGGTCGATGCATCGGAACCCGACGTCGTTAAACGCCACCTGTCCCACATCGAGGGATACGTGGCACCGGTGTCCTTCGACAACATCCCTCCTCTTAAGACGCCAGAATCGCTCATGGACAAAACCTCAGAGCTTGCGGTGAAGATCCGCACCTGGACAGCCGCAAGAACAGAGGGCAAGGACTCTGCCAAGCGTCGTCTGCTCGCTATTCAAGAAGGGAAGATGGCACCGTTACCTGCCGACGGACGTAAAGGCCGGCTAGCGGCACGTCGGGCTAGGAGGGGTCGCAAGCCGAGGAGGAAGACGAGGTTGAGGGTCGCTAAAATTGATCGGATCGAGAAGAACAATAGCATTGGGTTGATGTGGCTCGTGGTTATGAACTTTGATCAAGGTGGGGATGAGGCCACGTCCATTATTTCCATCACTTGAGGCCCTTATGCCGTTTGATATTTCTTTTCCATTTTCAGATGCACAAATTACAAACAGAGAGTTGGCGGACAACAACGACGACCAGGATGTTATCCGCAATGAAGAATTCGAGCATGAAGCTCCCATTCCTATTGATTCGTCAGACGAGGATTCCGAGGAAGATGAAGAACACGCTTAGCTGCGGTAAGCCACTTTTGGTTTGCGAGCGAGTAACAATGGTATGGCTTTGAGGACTTTGGGGCTCGGAATTTTCGTTCGTAGTTAGGCAGAAATCTGAGAATTTGGCGTACTTCCATATATCACCACCCTATACATATATCTCTTTCTCTTTCCAATCGACGGTAGGATCCGCATGATAGAAGGTTTGCTCAAGCACGTATGCTCCCTCGTATGTGCAGTTGTGAGCACGGAAAAGCTCCTCAATGTGGAGTGTGTGTGCAGGTGGAGACGTCACGTGGCTTCATCTCCATTAAATAAGGCCTCCGGAGGGTCGGTTTCAAAGTGGAAGCCAAATTGATTGCACAGACGAAGTTCCATCATTCCCCACCTTTTCCCACACACAACCAACACAAAATGGAGGAAGATCTCACCGCAGTGCTGAAGGACGAAAACGACGTCGCTGACCTGCAGTCGGCCAACGACGCTCTTTACGACCGAGACGGTGATCAAGACCGTGACTCGAGGGATCTTCGGGAACGAGACAGCGAAGACAAGAATGGCATCACTTCCCCTTCAAAGAAAGTTGGCGGTGCCGACGACGGCCACAACGCTGGGGATGCGCCTTCCGGGTCTGAGAGATATCGGGCAAGATCCCCTCGTGGGGATCGCTACCGCAGAGGTCCCTATGACCGCCCTGAAGGTAATTGGGAAGTGGCACACCCCGTGATCCGTGTGGGTGAGCAGGCATAACCGTCGCTTATTGCACTTCTAGCTCGTGGTGGTCCTTCCAAGTATTCCGCTGGACCTCGAGACCCCGCTCGCGGAGCGTCTAAGAAGGAGTGCAGGGTGTATGTAGGAAACCTGGCTTACGAAGTCGGATGGCAGGATCTAAAAGACTTCATGCGCAAAGGTTTGTTCTCTGTGAAGTCGACGTTTCACAACTACATGACGTCAGTCTAATGCCTTGTGGGCGGGTCGCAGTTGGAGAAGTCGTCTTCGCCGACATTCTTACTCTGTCATCGGGACGATCGAAAGGATGTGGTGTCGTCGAGTTTTCTACACCCGAGGAAGCACAGAAAGCTATCAAGGAGCTGAGCGACACTCCATTCATGGGACGACCTGTTTTCATTCGCGAGGTATGTTCTTGGCGAACTATTTGATCGCAGGACATTCAGTTTACTGATGGATATCGCTCTGATAGGACCGGGAGAACGACGCTAAGTTTGGTTCTCAAAGTGCCCTTGGGGGTGCTCCTGGTGGTGGCCGGGATGCCGGGAAGGCTGTCTTTGTTGGAAACGTGAGTGGGATTTGTAAAAACGGCGGAGTGCATCACCGATTCAGCTTGTTGACGTCGTCCTTCCTTGGTAGCTTCCGTATGTTGTGGCGTGGCAAGATTTGAAGGATCATTTCCGCCAAGCTGGTGAGCATGTGCACAGCCTTCTCAACGTTCTATCTAGATTCTCATTGTCCTCCAGGTCATGTTGTGCGCGCCGATGTGCATGAGTTATCGGATGGAAAGTCAAAGGGCAACGGCACCGTCGTGTTCGAGACCCCAGAGGAAGCTTACAACGCTATAAGTATGTGTCGAATCGACAGCTTCTCCGTCGACGTCGCCCTGTTCCTTCGACCCGAAGCGCCTTCCAATCCGAGGCTTCTGACCCTTTCGATGGTGGCGAGTGGCGGAGATGGTGGCGATATCGTTGGGCTCGGAGGATGACGGAGAGGGTATGGTGGCATTGATTTGGGCTTGCGCAAGTTGGTAATCATTTTCCTCTGGATTCCTTGGGATAGCTATGTTCGACGGGACCGAATGGCATGGGAGACGACTGGAAGTGCGCGAGGTGGGCATCATAGAATTGGTTTTCTGAGCTGGCGAGGTGGTCATGGGCTGGCGGGACATCAACCTGGTTAGCCGTGTCATCCTCGTCGGGGGGGGCATTGCATGTGGCGGATGAGTGGTGGTGGATAGTAACCGATGGTTTCGTCATGTGGGGAATCTGGTACCCATTTCTTAGGATCGATACACGGGCTCGATGGGTCGCGGTGGACCCCCTCCTCCCAGATACGGTGGCGCTGGCCCGCGGGGATACGACAAGCCCAGGGGCTACGGGGGTAGAGATTACTACGGCGGAGGCGGCGGTCACGGAGGTTATGGTGGGTATGACGCTCCGCCACCAAGGGATTACTACGGCGGAGGCGGTGGCGGTGGTTATGAAGGCGGTTACGGAGGCGGTTATGGAGGCGGTTACGGCGGCGGCGGCGCTTACGGCGGATACGACCGTGGAGGACCTGCTTATGGTGGTCCTGAATATGGAGGTAAAGTCCATCTTTTGTTTCCCTCGATGTCCTGTTCCCATACTTATTCGAAACCTCTTCCATTAGCCGCTCCTCCACCCCATCGTGGCGACTTCTACAAGGATTACCCTCCCCCACCGCCACCACCAGGCACGGGAGCTTATCCGGTCGACAGCCGCGGCGCATACGCAGAACGCGGAGGAGCCGGTGGTCCATACGCTGACCCCCGCAGCGGAGCGCCGCCGCCGGCAGGTCCCGGAGCGTACGGAGATCGCTACGACCCCGCCGTGCGAGGGGGTGCTAGTCAGTTCTACGGCGACTACCACCGTTAAATGAAGCAGACCACTTCCCTTCTCGAATGAGCTTGAAGCAAAATCAAGCGACAGGTTCACAGGATCTCAAGCGTGAGCCCGAAGATTTGAAACTGAAACTGGAGCTCCAAATGTTCTCACATTGTACCTATCAAGAATATTCTGCCTTTACTTTTGATTGCATTGAAGTGAATATCATGCATATATTTTTCGACGAAGCTTCGGCAGGTTGTCTCCTGTCTTCGAGCAAGATGCACCGTTCTTTGCAGACCATTGTACGCATACTTTTGTGCTTGGGTCCTTTTTGGGAGGGTTGGGCCTCGCGGTTTCAGTAAAACAGCTTGCCTTTTGCATGCACGCGTTGAGCGCGCTCGTTTCGAGCTACTCGCACCTACTCGCACCTACTCGCCAGTTTCTCGTCGTCCTGGTCGTTTTTCGAAAGCTCTCACCAAAATCTATTCCACCTTTCCCCGCACCGACGCAAACGATCCATAATGGATACCGACACAACAGCACAAGACAATGGGGAGCTTATGGACCTGGATACCCCGGGAGAACCCGACCTCGATATCCATGTCGTGACCCCTGGAGAAATCGTGACGACGGACACTGCCTTTATGAGGTTTGTACGTTGGAGTCATTTCCTGAGGTTAGGTCTAGGGATACTTACGCTGTCGCTGTTTGCTTCAGGGGCCATGGAACATATACAGAAGATGAATCTTTAGTTGCATCATTGGCTGGGGTGGTGGACCGGGTGAACAAGCTGATATCAGTCAAACCATTACGCACACGGTACAACGGGGAGATTGGAGACGTGGTGGTGGGGAGGATAACGGAGGTGGGGCTCGTGCTGGTCTACGTTCATAATTCGACTCCAAGTCGATGTGGAGAGCTCTGCTGACTTTTGGTGATCACTTGAATCCACAGGTCGCGCAAAAACGGTGGAAAGTCGACATAAACTCCCGCCAAGACGGCGTGCTTCTGCTATCGTCCGTCAACCTTCCCGGCGGAGTGCAACGACGGAAAACAGAGTCGGATGAGCTGCAGATGCGGACGTTTTTTGCGGAGGGGGATATGTTGAGTGTGGGTTTTTCTTTCGAATGTTGGGAAGAGAAAACCGGGCCGTGGGAATGACGGTGTTGCTTGTGTAGGCGGAGGTGCAGGCGTTCTTTCAGGATGGTGCGGTGTCGGTGCATACGCGGAGTATCAAATACGGCAAGGTAACGGACGGCGTTGAAGTGGTTCCGGAATGGCGATACCGGCGGACATGGATGCTCACGCCACATATAACCTTTGTTCCAAACAGCTGAGGAATGGGTCTCTGGTCACCGTACCCTCGGCGCTTGTGAAGCGGACGAAATCCCATTTCGCGACATTGCCGTGTGGTGTGGACGTCATCCTCGGTCTGAACGGATACATCTGGGTGTCGAAGCATGTACCGATATCCCCGGATATGGTGAATCAGCCCGATGCGCTTTATCACAATGACAACGAGGTAGGTGGGCGGTCATTCTGCCACGATCGGCCATATCGTCTGATCGATTACCCCCGTCCTTATCCGCCCTCAGCCGCTTTCCAAATCCGAGCGGGAAACGATTGCAAGAGTGTGCAACTGCATTCTCGCCCTCGCCAAGCACAACAACTTCATCAACGATTCGATGATTGTCTACGCATACGAGGCGGCGTCCCAGTATGCCGTGAAAGATATATTGAAGACGGCGATAAGTCAGCAGGTTGTGTTGTCTGCGAGACAACAGTTGAGCGAGGCTTTGCAGCAGTAAAGTATCTAGAATCTCGGCGGTAGGGGCGGGTTAATCGGGTGTAGCGTTATCCCTGCCCGCATTATGTAATTTATAGGTTCGAAATGAAGAAGCACCTGTAGATAGCACTGGTCTGTCGACTGGAAAAACTTGATCTGGGTACTATTCCGCCCAAAACGATTGCGCAAAAAATTTGACAAAGAACAGAAAAGAACGATACTATGCATATATGAGAGGAGATTGTGATACTACATTTTGGCGATCCCGACGCTCTTATGTGAAGTCTACCTCCTCATCGTTCAAAGACTTCTTCACTTTCAGCAGCAATGCCGTCTTCCAATTATCCAATGCCGTTAAGCGGTTCCAGTCTGATACAGCGTCTGTGAACGCTTGAGCGTCTTGTGCTTCCACCGCTTCCAATAATGCCTACGATGAAAATCAAATTGAGTTCTCGAAAGCGGTAACCCACGAGATGTTTGGCTGACATGCATACCTTCAGGAAGCCGCATTCCCTTGTCGGCGCAAATGTGGCATCCATGTTCTGATACCGCTCAAGCGCTTGGCGTGCGCGAATGTAGTCCTATATGCGATCCACCCAGTAAGCTTCTTCCATTCCCATTTGCGCATGGTGATTGCAACAATAGGCCCACGTACCCCGGTGCACAGGTAACAAATCCCTGCCTTGAGGAAGTATTCACGCAGCGAGAACCGTGTCAATTGGCTGTCCATGCTGTTTGTGGCCACCTGCTCGAACTTCTCGATGGCCTTGTCGAACTGATCTATTTGGGCAGCGAATGTCCCCACTTTCAGCATGCACGCGTTGGCTTGCCTACGAAACGGACAAGTCGATGACCGTGAGTCCCGGTGCTCTGCATCAACCTCGCTGTGGTGTTCAAAGGGGCGCTCGCGGACACTCACGCATTAGAGTCCTCTCCGTGGTACCACTCGGCGGCGATTTCATATGCATGCATCGCCTTCTCGAAATCGACCAGGTCTGTCTCATAAATCTCTGCCATCTGCTTCTGATTGTTTGCGGCAGCCTGGAAGCGGCCCTTCTCGACCAAAATCTCCACAGCTTGCTGAAGACATGTTACCGCGTCTACATGGGAATCATCGCTGAGTTACATCGATTCACAGGCGCTGTTTATTGACCGGTAAGAAGGCTCCCGTTCTTACCATGAGGGCTAATCTTTTTGTAACACTTTGCAGCGTCCATGTAAGCCCCAGAAGCCTCGTCTCGCTCATTCATCCTGTTCAGTACTGTCGCCTTTGACATAAATGCATCTCCAGCCTCCTTCCCTGTATGCGAGCGGTCCCCCGTCAGTGATATGCAGCGATGGCAACGAAATTTGGCCGAGAACTTACATTTTTTCGCAACCTTGAAGCAGTTGGCGGCTTTTGTATAGAGCTCCGCGGCCTCCTCTAGTTTGTTTCCGCCAAACCATCCCTTGTGTTGGGCCTTCTTATCAGCCTCCGCAATGAGGTTTCTTCCGTCTCGTTCGTTGGACATCGTGCCGGCGCGGTGTTGCGAACGACTGATCCTCTCTTTACGTTGGTAAGGTCAAACAAGTGTGACAATGCTGAAGTGCAGCTCGGAGCGCCAAGGGTGCAATGTTCTATGTCAAGTCTAAGACGATGAGTTTCACTTTGGTAGCTGTCGCTCTGTTACGTGGGAACAAACGATGCCAAAATGTCGAGTTGTGCGGCGAGTCCTGTGACGTGAGACTGTACCGTGATGATTTAGATTAAACCTTGTAGGCGCGTCTTTCAGTAAAGACGCTTATCATTTTTATTTAGAAACGGAAAGGTTCTGAGCGCCCGAATCTTCTCAGGTCCATCCTGGCTAAGCCACTGACAGCTTTTTGACGACTTTTGGACTTAACGAGGTTTTCGCAGACCCAAAGTTGCTGCACATGTTGAGCAGTATCTTGACAGCCAGACATGCTAGCAGAAAGATTGATTAGGCAGTTTGGTGAAGAAGGCACTGGTTCAGGGTTTGACACCTCTAACTGGCAAGTTTTACCCAAAAACGGCCAAGGAAAGACAGTTTTACTACTCAGACTTTTGGGCCTCTGTGTTAAGTTTGTTGCAACAGCTACCCCCACAGACACTTAGAGGGGATTGGCCAAAGTAGGCAACTGGAGGCGTATGCAAATGGAATAGGTTGTCCTGCATGTCTGTGGGATGGTATGGCTGCTCAAAAAAGAAGGTTTTGTGAGGAAACTGCTTTAATTTCCCTAATTGTGCCTTAAGGTAACGCGTAGAGCGGTTGGGTGGCGCAGCCAGGGTGGAACTGAGCGAATCTTACCAGTTTTGCAGCGGCGGTCCTCAGTGCTGCGCGCTCGAACGAGGCTTCAACTTCCTCAAGTGCGTAGCATTTTGCCTTTTGTCCCATTACGCTTTGTGGGCCCTCGACATGTTGCGGGTAAGTAGGTTGGGAACTAATTGATGTACGTCTCACTCCTCAGGCTCGGGGGTCGCGTGGAGGCTGCTGGCGTGGAGCCAGCTGCTGTGGAATCAGCCGCTCTACGCACCAGGCCCTGGAGCGGAGATGGTTCTCAAAGGTGTGTGATGAAGACATATTGTTCTATGCCAAGACATAAAAGCTTGCAGTCGAGCGTCGGGTCAGCAATTGGGGACTAAAAAGAGTACAGTATCAACCAACAGGTCGTGGGGATGAACCCGGGGTCGAACCTTATGTTTTGGCTGGTAACGCCAAAGGCTCCAATAACGAGCTGATTGCTCAGAGGTTGCAACAGCTGATGACGACGAACATGGAGCTTGCCAATGCCCTGGCGGACCAACGAGTGGCAGCTGCGGAATCTATGGTGACGGCTCCCATCATCAATGAAAGGCGGCTCGGGGCCCAAGCCGTACAGCCACGCTGGGGCCCTTATCATCCAACGGGAACGACAGCACGTCCAGGAGCGTTTGGCGAAGCAGAAGCGTGCACACGAACAATCGGTCCGCGGTCAGTGGAACACTTGGATGATGACAAGGAGGGTGGAGCAACTGGAAGGCGCTCACGATGCTCGGCGTCTCGTCGAGTATATGGCGCAAGCTGCCGCATGCCTCCGGTTCCAACAGAACCATAAGGATCTAATGACGATCTCGGCCGACTATAAGCAGATCCCGTACAGCTACGAAGATGAGCAAAGGAACATCCACGATGGCCCGCTCTTGCCACTCTGGCAATGAAGAGAGGTCGCTCGCCTTCATACTGTTCTTCGTGTATTCCCGTTCGAGCATGCTGGGTGACGACTTTTTGGCCCGCGTGCCGTAATCAGGACCCTCTAAGTTTCTAGATCGTATTTCCGTGGTGACGATCCCCGCAGAGCTGAGAGCATCGACGAAATCTCGATGTAATATCGCTGGCCTCGAACATTCCCAAGGACATACCAAACTGATCAGGAAAATCGGTGTCCCTTTGCCTCTATATTTTACTCGCCGGTCGGTAGGGTAGCTAGAAGGACTCAGGTGGTTTGCCAGTCCGCGATCTTGGCCGTGGTGCACAGGAAAGTCATTGTTGGATCCATTGGGCGTTGAGTATGTGTACCAGCTGCGACAATCAATGCTGCGCATGTCGACGGAGCCGTCGAGTGTCGCTTTGCTTTTGTATGGTGACTTTTGCAGTTGTGTAGCCAGTGGTGTGGAACGAGGGAAGACTTAGATAGCTGGCTTGTTCCGCCTACAGTATTCGCGCGGTCATCAGTTGCTGCGCACTTGAACGAGGCTTTCCCCATCGATGTAGAAAGTGAGCATGGGCATAAACTCATCCTTTTTTTCCCACGGCCATCACGCAAAACATTAACGAACAGAAGCATTCATCTTCTCTCTGTTAAGAAGTCCTCTTGTGGAACCCTACTGTAATTACTTCAGCCACTTTGCAAACTCTCCCAGCGGCAAAGGCGTGCCTTCCCACGCAGAAGCTGTTTCCTACGCCGCATCTTGAGCGTTTGCCCGCTGTTTCGTTCGAACCTTTCCACCTCTCGTAATGGGTCGCCAGAGAAGCCACACGGGACCAGGTCAGTCTCCACACTGGACTGCTCCGCCGGCCGCCAACGAGTTGTGGGAAAAGTACAGCAAGGAGGAAAATACCGACGAGGCTACTATCCAAGAGTCCTTCATCCGCCATGCAACGAAGACCTTGGCTCGCAGCTCCTTCAACATGGACAACGTTGCTGCCTACAATGCGACTGCGCATAGGTAGGGCTTTTTGTCCTTGACTTCTGAGGCCATCTTCCATTTTGCTCATCTTCGACGCGTCTCTCATCTCTTTCATCAGCGTCCGAGATCACTTGATCGATCGCTGGAATTTGACTCAACAATGCCACAGCAGGGTGGATGCCAAGGTAAGAATGGAGACCGGCTGGACTTGTATGTCTAAAGTGCACTGCGGGGCCCTGATCCAGTTCGATTTAGCGCGTGTACTACATGTCCCTGGAGTTCTTGATTGGACGTACCCTCGACAACGCGTTACTCAACCTGAGTATGAAAGACAACTATCAGCACGCGATCCAGCAGGTTGGGTTCCGTTTGGAAGATCTGATCCACGAGGAAACCGATGCCGCGCTTGGAAATGGTGGCCTGGGAAGATTAGCGGCGTGTTTCATGGATTCGCTCGCGACATTGGACTATCCAGCGTGGGGATATGGCTTGAGATATGAATATGGTATCTTCCAGCAGAAGATCATAGACGGATATCAAGCCGAGTACCCTGACTACTGGTTGACTGCCGATAACCCATGGCAATTGACGCGTCTCGATGTCACCTACGATGTCTTGTTCCGTGGCTCAGTGGAGAAGTACACCGATGCCAAAGGTCGGCAGCGCTGGCGCTGGGATAGTTCCGAGAAGGTCGTAGCTGTTGCGAATGACTATCCGATTCCGGGGTGCGGAACGCAGAACTGCATCAACATTAGACTCTGGTCTAGCAAGCCCAAGAAGGAGTTTGATTTCGCCAGGTATGTCCTAGTTAATGCTAAGCTGAACACAGATATAGCCTTACTGACTCGTTTTCCCATGGCAGTTTCAACGACGGAAACTATGACAAAAGTGTTGAAGAGCAGAAGAGCGCGGCCAACATCACCAGTGTGCTGTATCCCAATGACAACCACTTGGTCGGAAAGGTGTTGCGATTGAAGCAGCAGTACTTCTTCGTTAGCGCCACTCTCCAGGACATTATTCGACGATTCAAGAAGTCTGCAAAACCATGGTCTGACTTCCCCAATCAGGTGTCTATTCAATTGAACGACACGCACCCCACGCTGTCCATTGTTGAGTTGCAGCGGATTTTGCTGGATGAGGAGGGTCTGGATTGGGACGAGGCATGGAACATCGTCAGCAAGACATACTCCTACACCAACCATACCGTTCTGCCCGAGGCGCTTGAGCGATGGTCCGTCCCGCTCGTTTCCGATCTCCTACCTCGACACATGAGCATCATCTTCGAACTCAACTTGTACTTCCTGCAAAAAGTGGAGAAGAAGTTCCCGGACGACCGTGACCGCCTGCGCCGCATGTCGATCATCGAGGAAGGTCACCCGCAGTTTGTTCGCATGGCGTATCTCGCCGTTGTGGGTAGTCACCACGTCAACGGTGTCGCCGAGTTGCACTCCGAGCTTGTCAAGACGACCATTTTGAAGGACTTTGTGGCCTTCTATGGAGCGGAGAAGTTCGTCAACGTGACAAACGGTGTCACGCCCCGCCGCTGGCTGCACCAGGCGAACCCGTCTCTCAGCAAGCTGATCACCGACAAGCTCTCCGGGAAGGGATGGTTGAAGGACCTATCGAAGCTGTCGGAGCTCAAGAAGTACGCCACCGACCCGGCTTTCCAGAAGCTGTTCATGGATATCAAGTTCCAGAATAAAGTTCGACTTGCCGAGTACATTAAGGAAAACCTGAAGATTGATGTCTCGCCGAATGCCTTGTTCGACGTGCAGTGCAAGCGTTTGCATGAGTATAAGCGTCAGCATATGAACATTTGGGGAGTGATCCATCGCTATGAGCGATTGAAGAAACTCAGCAAGGAGGAACTGAGGAAAGAGGTTCCGCGAGTTGGTGAGACTTTGCAGTGTTCAACTAAGAGAGACACCGAACGCTACTAACGTCATCGGTCCTCGTCTGCATCAGTTTTCTTCGCAGGAAAAGCCGCTCCGGGCTACTACATCGCCAAGTTGATCATCAAGGTAAATACAACGCTTAGGCAATGACTAAATGTATGAAGACGCGCCACATTTTTACTTTGCTCTCCTCCGCAAGCTCATCAACAACGTCGCTGCCGTCATCAACAAAGACCCAGCTACATCGGAGTACCTCAAGCTCATCTTCATCCCCAACTACAACGTCTCCGTCGCCGAGATCCTGATTCCAGCCTCTGATATCTCCCAGCACATCTCCACCGCGGGCACCGAAGCCTCCGGGACGTCCAACATGAAATTTGTGCTGAACGGCGGTTTGATCCTGGGAACGGTCGATGGAGCCAACATCGAGATTGGGGAGGAAGTCGGCGAGGAGAATATCTTCTTCTTTGGAGCTTTGGCGCCGGAGGTGGATGACATTCGTTATAAGCAGCTGTATCGTCATGATCCTATGGATGAGAAGCTGGCTGCCGTGGTGAAGAGCATTAGGCAGGGAACTTACGGAGATGCCGGAGTGTTTGAACCGCTGATCGGTATGCTCCCATTCATTGTATTTTCGGGCTTGGAATGCGTGCTCGATCCGCACGGACGTTTCCTCACTTCGATTTATCAATCATCACAAATCTAGAAACACTGGACAGCGACAAGTACATTATCAGCAAGGACTTTACGCCATGTTAGGATTTGGAGTCCCTCTTCAACAGCATTCACCAGGCGAGTACTGATAATATATCTTTCCTATCACCCACGCAGACTTGCAAGCCATGGACAAAGTTGACGCGGCGTACCGCGACACCACCGGCTGGGCGAAGAAATGCATCATTGCAACAGCCAGCATGGGCAAATTCAGTTCTGACAGGTATGTCTGATCGGAGAAAGCGGTTCAAGGAGAGCGATGCACTTCCTATTTACTCGTCGTCATGCTGATTAACGGGATTTCCGTTCATATCCAGGTCCATCAATGACTACGCTCAACGGATCTGGAACATCAAGCCCGTGGCTGCGTCACAGAACTCACCCGTCTCTGCTTGAATGAACTTTGGATCTTTGCTGGGGACTGTTAGGACCTTGTGGATAATTTGTTCTTTGTGCAGACTTTCTTTCTTGTGGCTAGTGTGTTTTCTGTTCCTTCGTCAATATTGAATGGATCAGCCGAGGCCTCTTTCTTTCTTCTGTCAACTGTTGTCGCAACGTGAGGAAGCAAAGGCGATGTGTACGTGCTAAAGTCTCCGGGAGCGAGTAGACCTAGCGTAGTCGGACGGTTGTATTCTACTACTCTTCTGCCGCTGTACAATCCCGTGTGTCACGGTGCGTGAGATCCAAAAATATCGTCCAGCAGCATACGCTAAGCCTCTAACTATCTACAACAAGCTCCCCAGCTGAACACCAAATCACCACCCCGGCGGCGCCCCGACCAATTTCCTCAACACCACATGCGGCTCCTTCATAACCCTACTCCACTTCTTCCCAAACTCAGTAGGCCCTTCCACACAATACGCCTGCCACTCATCCATATAAACCTCCTCCTTGTAATTCCTCATCCGCAACTCGACGCCCACCGCCGCGCGTGCCTTGTCGTCTAGAACGTCCTTGTACAGCTGTTCGCAAGCGTCGCGGTAGGATGGGGATGTGAAGAACATGGCGTGGGCCCATTCGTGGAGGAGGGTCGAGCGGTCGTTGCGAAGGTAGGCGCAGATGTACCGGACGGGGGTGCGGATGCCCAGCGATTGTGGTGATGGTGGTGGTGGTGGAGGTGCGGACGGACCATCCGGCAGTTCCCCGAAATCAACCGGAACCCCACTTCCCTTGACCAGCGCCAACATCCACGCTTCTTCCGCCGTCACCCGGTCCGCTCCTAGCCCCTCGACCCAACGCCGCAGAAAGTCGACCGGGAAATTGACCCCCTTCAATGGACCCTTCAGGTGCCCGCCTTCATACGCCACATGAGGCCGTCCGAGCGCTGCCGTGAGGTCCGAGGGCCGTGTGAAGGACAGGATGAGAACATTCTGCGTGGGGCAGTGGGAAATGGTTGGGGGAGTGAACGGGTCGGGTGTGGCGGATGCGGGTTCGGACTGGACGGACTTTTTGAGGGCGAGGTAGGCTTTTGAACCGGGTTTTGGGGGCGGTTTCTTTTTCGTTTTTTTGGATGGTGCGCTTGGCGAAGAACCAGAAGGTGATCCCGTCGCTGGGTCGGATGGGTTGGTGCCAATGGTGTCGGCGTTTGAAATCCCGACAGGGGATTGCTGCTGGAGCTCCGGGCTCGGCGAAAGTGAGCCCGGACGAGCCTCACACTCCCCAGCCGAACCCGAGGCCTGTGCTATATCATGCTTGTCGATGCTCATATATTCGGATTGCCACGACAGGGAATGTCAAGTGCGAGTCCAGGGCATGTCCAGACTGTCCAGACGATCGCGTAATTTGCGATCCATCGGCGGCGACTGTCTTGTCCGCTGTTTTTCCCTCGCCTTTCCTCAGCCCATAAAGCCCAACATTACCCGCAGCCATACCATAACCCACCTCCGCTCGAAGTCGCATTCTCTTTTTACTTCCTTCAACGCTTCTCGTCCACAGCAGTCCAACGCATATTCCGTCTTCAGCTTCTCAACGTTAACTACAACCTCGACATGCCGGAAAAACAAAACGTCGTCGCCAACTACGGAGCCCTCGAGCAACCGTCCGAGTCCTCCGAGTCCTCAACCATCACCGTCGATGTCGACCATGAGAACACCCGTCTCATATCCGACGACGTTCTGCCGGAAATTAGCCACCACCACTACTCCGATCGCTCGCCATGGCTCCGCGCCGCGGTGTTGGGAGCAAACGACGGGCTAGTGTCGACTGCGTCCCTTATCGTCGGTTTTGCGGGAAGCAGTGAGGATCATAACCTTATGATCCTCTCAGGAGCCGCGGCGCTCGTTGCAGGCGCCCTCTCAATGGCTTGTGGTAAGTGATGATCTCCCGCCTCTTGCCACCTCGCTTTGCCCGCTAACATGGTTCACGCTCAGGTGAATACGTATCGGTCGCGACGCAGAAGGATACAGAGAGTGCGGACATGGTTAGGGAGAAGGCCGAATTCCTGAAGGGACCATTACACATTGAACGCGAACTGCGGGAGTTGGCTGGGATCTACGAAGCCCGCGGAATATCACCGCAGCTGGCTTTACAGGTCGCCGAGGAACTGCATTCACAAGCCAATGGGGACATTGACGAAATCGTCAAGGTGCATCTGAGGGAGGAGCTGAATGTGGATGTGGATGAGCTCTCGAACCCGGTCCAGGCAGCCGTCACGTCGGCGCTGTGTTTCAGTGCTGGTGCCGCTATTCCGTTATCAGGTATGTCCGTTTTCTCAGCTGCCTCTTCAAGGTGTTTCGTAGGCTGATAGCAATCTGTATAGTCGCGATCTTTGTGACGGATTACCAATTTCGTCTGGCCGCAGTAGTAGTCGCCAGTACCTTTGGGCTGATTATCAACGGGCTTTTGGGAGCATATCTCGGTGGTGCGCCTGTCTGGAAGGGGGCGATCAGGGTTCTCGTTGGTGGCTGGGTACGTCAAATAGATGTCGCGTACGATACTTTCGCGGAATTTCCCACTCACGTCGTTTTACGCAATAGATTGCGATGATAGGCACCTTCCTGGTCGGAAAGGCGTTCCATGTGCAAGCCGTCTAAGCTGGAACCGCAGAACATTGCGTCGATCCATGTTTCATCTATGCCGCCCTGCGGAGGTTTGGAGTCGGATCTGGGAGTCCTCTCTGGTCCCTCCCATCGAACGGTCTTCAAAGACTAGTATAAATAGCGACGGTGGTGGGTGTGCGTTGCTGTGCGCTACGGATCACATGCTCCATGGACATTGTGGCAATCTTGTACTTTAGATTCCTGTGACCTGTTGTTTAAATTCTCATCATTACTACCAAGTCACTATTGCCCTGCTCCGCATCAGATTAGGCAAATGAGAGGGCACTTTGCGAAGCTGTCGTTCAACTTCTGTTGCTTGTGCAGAATTGACGGCGGTGGTCCTGCGTGACGGAGCCGAGTCCTCGGTATGGTGAACCTTGACACTCTTTGACAGTACCCCGCATGTCGGAGCTGGAGCGGGTGTCCTCATCATCGGTCCTATCATGTCAGGACGATTCCTACAAGGCTGAATATCTCCGGTACCTTTGCAGAATGAGCGGAGTTTGAACTGAGTCAACACTATGAACAAACTCAATTGCTAGAAGTCAAAAGCCACCACTAATCTCCAACTCTCACCGACTCGCCGTGTGTCTGCAACACATTCTTGCCGCATTCACAAAAAGCACATCGCATCGGGAATACCCCACCGAGATGCCAGCGACCGCAATGCTCTCTGCCCACCCCGCCGGGGCGTCCATCCCAATCAGCAATCCCCTCCCGTTCACCTCATCCGGGCGTCTTACCAACAATGTGCTCCTGGTGCATTCATCGGTGGGCAAGACCCGCCCGACTGTGTACAGCTTGCCGACTACGAATCATGTTTATGGGAAGAAAGTTGAGGTAGAGAGATATTTTGCTTGGCTCGACGTTATGCCTATAAATGCTCACACTGACTCGAATTTACAATGAACGTGCGCCCTTAGTGGGACGATTATGGATGTGCGCAAGGTGTGTATACGTCCTTCATGCCAATGCTTAGGGCAGGTCAGTCCCACTAACACGCAACACTTTCTAGTGCTGCAACACTGGCACGCCAAAGTCCAAGCAGCCAACGCCAAAGCCGAGCCCCGGACCCTCGACTACATCGCCATGAACCGCGGAGCCGCAAAGGAAGGGATCATCAACCCGAAGGATCTGCGAAAGTACCGCAAGCTGCACCCGATTCGCATCCAAGTGGGCGTCAAGGGCTCTTCGTCAAGCATTCCGGTGACGGCTGGTGTTGGAGGGGTGTTGAATAGGAAGGCTCCGATTCCGAGTGATGCCAACCCGGCTTTTACATATGGGAAGCCAACGAGGTAAAATAACCAATTTGGTGGGCCTTAAGCTTGGGAGTGAGTCCATGCTGACCTGAGGTCTCATGGCAGACCAAGTACTCCTGTTGCGGACTTGATGACGGACCGCTATCAACGGGAATGGCAGTTGCAGCAAGACAAAAAGCTCGCGCACGAGCGGTCGTTGCCAAAGGTCAGAGGAGTGGTCAGCCCGGTTCTCTATGGGAAAGCCGCACCTAAAATATGTCCCCATCTCGTTAGGTCAAATCAAACAAACCCAAGCCAGCCAAGCACCGCGACACCGACACCTCGGATCGCATCCCCTTCGTCAACATCGCCGAGCGGGACCCCAAATCCCTCTGGAAGATCAGCAAGTTTCAAAAAGTCGGCGCTCACCTCCACACATGGCGAGACGAGAGCGAGGCCGCCCTGCGTTTCGAAGCCAACCCTCGCCCGGTCTTCCGTGTCGCCGACGACAAATGGCTCGGTCTGCCGCCACGCGAGTTGACAAGGCCGATCTATATGCAGAAGGGGTATGAGAAACGCCAGGAGGAGGCGGCTGTCCCGCCGGCTGCGGAGCTCAATAAGAAGGCGCAGGAGAGGAAGGAGGAGGGTAAATCTGGGGAGCAGGGTGGTTGTGATACGGCGGCCGCTGGCAAGAGTGTCCGATTCAACGACGTTGCCGACAAGGGTACCGAGAAGGACAAGCATTCCCCATCCGCTGAGGCATAAGGTGGAACGACCCGGATGGAATAAACGCCATAACGGCAATGCTCGGTCCGTCGCCATGTGGAACACATGAACGAAAAGCTGAGAATCCTCATCGCTCAGTGTGCTTGAGGCCCTGCGCTTGAGGCGAAGATGTTTCATTTACATAAACATACGAACACATAGATATACTAGCAGGGAATGAAAATAAAGTAATGCAAATGCCAGACGAACGAGGTCACCGTAATATCGAACAGCTAGGATTTCAAAATACTGTGAAACGTGCGCTGCATCTTCGATGATATTTATGACGAAACAACTCTTGGACAGTACTGGGACTGCCATGTTAGAGGCGTAGCATTGATGTTAGAAACGCTTGCGAGTTGCGACGCCCGGGTCGTCACTCTCGCCACTTGCTCGATTTCTCATCTCGTGGCTCGCAAAACGTTGCAGCATCCTGCAGGAACCACCACATCTCTGAGAAGACAGGAAACACATATCCCCAAAGCGCTCCACCTCCTCGTGGAACTTGTCTCGGGAGGACCTCGCTCACCAATAACAGTCTCCCGACTCCCTCCAAAAATACCTCGCAGAAATGGATTCCACCAGCCCGCAACCCTTTGCCTCACTCCATCCCGAGCTCCAGCTCGAATTCACCCGCCCCTTTACCTCAGTTGTCAAACGCACCCTCACTGTCTCAAACCACCACACCAGCTCCCCAGTCGCCTTCAAAGTCAAAACAACTGCTCCAAAACAATACTGCGTTCGGCCGAATAGCGGCATAGTCTTGCCATCATCTAAATCAGAGGTGAGTGATCCCGAGCGTGGCGAGGGTTTGGTTCGGTCTAGGAGCCGCGAGCGAAGCGAGCAATGGTGATTCTCTGCGACGAGGGAAACGAGGTGCAGGGATGCTTAAGGTTGGTTCGGTCTGGGAAACCTAGCTCGGGGAGGTCGATTAGTGCGAACGCTTTCGCGAGCGAAAGCGATCCGAGCCGAGCAAGCCACCTTGCGCCGAAAGCGCAATACTCCTCACCACGTTAGCCCAACATTCTTGTCGCGATGGTTGGTGGTTGGCGTTCGATGGTTGATGCTTGATGGCCGACGGTCCTTTTGATTACTGGCGAATCGAGCTTGAAACTGGTTGATGATTTGGTGATGGATCCTGATGGGTTGATGGTTGACGATTCATCCTTTCATCCAGGTTCAAGTCTTGCTCCAGGCCATGAAGGAGGACCCGCCCGCCGAGTTTGTGTCCAAGGACAAATTCCTCGTCCAGATCATCAAAGTGCCCGCCGACGTCGTGGAGCTGAAGGGCGACGAGCTTGCAGCACGGTTAAGCACGCTGTGGAGTCAGGCCGATCAGCTGTTCAAGAGCAGTCCGCAGACCGCGGCAGACGTGATGGTGGAGAAGAAGCTGAAATGCGTCTTTCTCCCGCCCGCGGGTGAGACATCCACATCCTCATCGACTGGGCTTGGGTCTGGGTCCGGAGGCGCTAGCATCGCTTCCTCCCACCTCATCGACAGCATCAACAACACCAACCCACGACTCTCAACAACAGACGGCTTCTCGGACGCCCACTCCCGACGCGTGTCCGTCCTAACCGACGCCCAGTCCCGCCCTAACGCAACCGCCGCCATCTCTCCCGAGACGACCACCCCCGGCGCATCGCCAATAACACCCGTCTCCCCAACCGCCGTGTCCCCCTCCGACAAACTCCCCGCCGAGGGAGCCTTCTCCATAGTCGCCCCCAAACGCCCACCGCAACCCACCGTCGACTTATTCCCTGCACCTTCCTCCTCCTCAACCACCCCATCCCAATCACAATCACAAACAGAAAAAGAACTCAAAGAAGTCCGCGAAAAAATGAAAACCCTCCAAGCCGCCTGCGACGCGTACAAAGCCGAAGTCGAGCGGTTGAATATGCTGCGGCAGCGCAAAGGTGGTGCGGCAGCTACTGAGGGTGTGGGATCCTTGTCGGCGTCATCGTCGGCGGCTCTGAGCGCGAGTTCCACTGGTGGGTTCGAGAAAGTGGAGAAACCGCATCAGGGGTTGCCGATGGGTGTTGGGGCGGCGGTGGCGGTTGCGGCGTTTATTGTTGGCGCTTATTTGTTCTGAGAACAAAGAGACTACTCAATATTACTCCTATCTCCTCTTACAAGAGTGTGAGTAAAACGCAAATGGAAGTGAGGGACGCTCCTTGTAGACGAGTTTTGGGATGTCATGTTTTGGTGATCAGCAGTGTGAAATGATGAAAAAAGCAGAGTACACGAGATGAATGGATGCAGAAGCGAATTTAATGAGTTTGTGAAATGCATGCATGCTGCTTCCTTAGAAAGCTCGCAACAACAGAAAATATATAAACAGTGTGGTAGGCGTGTGGGTTTTGTACAAGGACACGGTCCGTGTGTGTAATGTGTGTGCGGCGGATGGGGAACTATCCATCTATCCTACTCCCCTTCATTCAATGCAGAATCAAGTCAGGCGTCACCGAAACAACTCCCCCCCCTCACCAAAATACGCATCATACGTCCTCGCCCTCGACGGATGCCCACGACTCCCATCCCCATCCACATCCATCTCCTCCTCTTCGCCATGATCCCCGTCATCCTCCTCCTCATCGCCCACTTCGTCGTCCGCCTCAACCTCCTCCTCGCCGTCGACAAAGACCTCGTTGATGGAAGCTTGGTCGGGCGGGAGGCTGGCGGAGGTGCGGTGGAATTGGGTGGAGAGGTCGGTGGTTTCGTTTGGATAGGATTGGGATTGTTTGGCGGACCCTTCGCGCCCGCGTTTGGAGCCGGTGCTGAGGGGGCGGGTGCGGGAGTGGCGGGTGGTGCTGTGGTAGCTACCGCCCCCTGGTTGTTGGGGGGCGGAGGTGCTGTTGATGGAATCCGGGCCTCCAGCGTCGATGAGGACGGGTTGGGTGGGAATGGCGTAGATGTTGTTGTTGTTTGGGTTGTTGTGGGTGGGCTCGTCGCCTCCGGGGTTGTTGGACCCGTTCATGAGGGCCTGGCCGGCCATCATTGCGTTCTGGCGTTGTCGTCGTTTGGCAGAGTTGGGTTGCCGGCGTTTCGGCTGGGGGAGGTCCGACGTGTCTTCTACGGGGATGGGTTCCGACAGTATCGACGCGGGCGGCGACGTTGGTGTAGGTGACGTCGGTTGTTCCTCGGCGCCTCCATGGTGCTGCTGGTGTTGAGCTTCAACCTCCATCGGCTCCGTAGGCTCGGTATTAAATATCCGTTCATTCCTCGTCTCCTCCCGCCCATCCCACCAAAACACCGACGCATATTCCGCCATCATCAGTGTGAAAACACCCGCAGGCACACCCACAGTCGGACTGAACACGATCCCGACGTTGCGGATATTCATCTTGTTGATATCCGCGCGGCGCACGACACGGACGAGATGCGCCATGAGGATTTTAAGCAGAGTGTAGTTGGGGATCGGGAGGAGGGCGACTAGTCGAGCCAGCTCGAAGATGCGTTCCTCGCGGTCGGCGAGGTCCATGACGTGCAGGAAGGAGCGTTGGAGTTCTTTTGTGAGGACGGGGGAGGGGAGCTCGCGCAGGTAGAGTTTAAGGAGGCCGGCGACTGCGTGGACGTCGTAGAATTGCTGGCTGCCTAGGAGATCCACATCGCCCTCTGTCATTGCAGGAAACGAGGTCAGTAAAATCATATGGACCTCAAAAAGTGATGATACGGCACCCACTTACCAGCGTCAAAGGCAGCCTTCAACCCCTGAATAACGCTCGAGCTCCCGCTCAACCTATATATCCCTTCCTCCTCATTCGCATTCTTCGCGTCCAGATATTCTATACACCTGTACAACACAGCAGGCAGCTGCAAGTCCTCCCTCACGCGGCTGATAGCAACCGCCTGATCCAACGGAACCCCAAACACGCGTCGCCCGCGGTCATTCAAAGTCTGCGACCGCGAATTCGACGACGAGAGCTGGTCTTTACTCTTCTTCCCCCAGTTGAACGTGGTGATCCGCTTGCTTTTCTTATCGGTAGCTTTGGAGCCCGCCTGCGGGATGTTGACGGCCGCGCTTTGGCCCCGTTCGCGACTCTCCTCGGGCGAGAGCAGCGGTGGAGGTTCGGCCTGCATCATCACGCGCTCGTTGTCGTCAACGAAATTGCGGGTGCGTCCTTTGGACGGTGATGAGGAGGACGTCGTTCCCGCGCGTCCGCCGCCCATAGCGTGCGCCAACGAAAGCGCTTCGTTCGAGGTGGACATGATCGCGATCGAGGCGGTCCGTCGTGGCGCTACGGGATGTTCTTCCGGAGTCTCGGATTGGACCGGTGCTTCGTCCGGAGATTGGCCGAACCCGGTAGAGGGCTGTGATGGCGCGCTGAAGGGATCTTCCTGCTGGATGTCCTGGACCCTTGCATCCCGTCCGGGTGCCATTTTGATATCTATCGGCTGTGCGCGGTCTTCGATCGTTGGGCCGGGCTGCTGTTGCTGCGAGGGCTCGGCCACCTCGCCTCGTTCGTCAACCGGTTTCCGTCCGTTCCTAGTCGTGTCTGGCCGTACCAACTTGATCTCCCTCGCGATGAGACGAACCCACTCATCCCTCTCCTCATCATTCTCCGCGCACAGAATATGCCGGCTGATCACCCTACTCTCCGAGAACTGCTCGCCACCCTTCTCCTTCGCCTCCGGTGCAAAGCAGCTCTTCTTGTACTCCGTCAACATAAACGCATGCCGATAATCCGTGTCATTCCCAGACTGCGTGTCTGTCCCGTCATCGCTGGTCGGTAACCCATCCAGCGGTGCCGTGCCCGATTGTCGGGACACAAACACGTATTTGAGCTTGATACCACCCAACAAGCTCGTGCGGTCCTTCTGAGACTCAAAGTACTCGAATGCACCTCCCGATCTTAAGACGAAGAAACGGGATTTCCACGCGCCAAAGTTCTTCCCCTTCTTGAACAGGTATCCCTCCTTGATGGTGCCAGAGACGTTTGCGCCCGTCTCACCGGCCGACTGCTTAGCAGCGTCAAGCACGTTCGTAGACAAGAACGCAATCATCTCCGGACTATGCCTGCATAGCTCGAGCACGTTCTGAGTGTACAGCTCGAGTTGCACTTTCCGCTGATCGTTTTTGGTCGGTGAATGTGTGGTGAAGAGTGCTTTATCGGGGAGTTTCCCGATTTTGCTCGAGACCGCTTTGGTTGTAGAGCTTTTGAGCTTTGTGTCCAGTTGCAGGAAATCCGCGTAGGCCTTTTCTATTTTCCACAGATCTTCGTTGGTGGGGTTTCGGATCGTTAGTGTGAAGCTGAGGACTTCACGACCTTTCTCGTTGAGTTTGAGCTGGGAACCCGTCACAGCGATTCGAATGTCCGCTGGAGACTCCAGGAACTTCCTCTCGTCGCACTTGGACGCCCGCCCCTCGTTTTCACCGCGTTTGCCTAGTGAGTCCCCAGACATTGTCAATGACAGAGCAGATGCGCCTGTGCTTCCTTGAGCGACTAGCAAGTTCGGTTTCTCCTTTTGCGTAATTCCTTCCGGCGCTTCTGACGTGCTTGGCTCGTCGATGCTGCCATCCACTCTGATTGTAGGCATTCCGAAAGAAGACGGTCCCCCTTGCTCCGATAGCTCCGCACCGATAGCTGCTTTATTTGATTCCGGTTGCTGAACCTTTTGCTGCATTGGTTTTCCGTGGCCATTCTCACGTTTCGCTCTGGATTCAACACCATTCTCCTTCCCGAAAAATTCAAGGCTATCGACTCCAAGAGTCTCGTTGTGTTGGGACGATTCCTCGGAATTCCGCCGTGTGCGTTGCTGACGGCCAGAGTGCGATCTTTGGCGGGTACGGCTGTCATTTGGCGCATGTGGTTTCAGTGCGCCTTTTCCGTTTTCATTACCCACTTCCCCACCATCTTCGGCCGACGGCAGATACTGAGATCTCCTCGAACGTTCACGTTCCCGGGCGCTGGCAGCCCTGCTGCCAGATCCATCGTCTTGGGAGCCATGCCAGCTGCCATTGCTTCCAGCGGCCAGCGGGGATCTCACGGCAGAGTTTGAGTTTGACGGTTTGCGCTGAAGGCCCGACATGTTGCCCATGCTCCCGATGCTTCCCGTCACCGGCGGTAATGTTGGCGTTATCCTGTCGCGGTCACGCTTCGTTGCCGACCCAGTACTTCTCGGCACCCCGTTTTGGAGAATGGCAGGTAGAGTGAGAACGTTACTCGCATTATGGGGGTCCGACAATGACCGTCGCCGTGTTGTCGGGGTGGAACCTTCTGAGTGTTCTAACTGCAATTTCGCCCTGATCAACATATCAGGTTCATGTGACGAGCTCGGCGGCCGTTCCGAACTCGCTCTGTTGCGCCGTGCGGACGGTTTCCTCGACACGGTCCCAGGTTCGGGGGGCGGTAAAGTAGCACCGAGGTCGATTGCCGAAGCCGGTGTGGACTGGCTCGATACCGGCGGCGCCGGTGGGGCATGAGCGGCCTGTTGCAGCTGGGCTATTATCAGCCGTTGCTTTTCGATGATTTTCCATAGTTGATCGTTTTGCAGCCGCAGTGCGTTGCGCTCGGCGATAACATTCTGCAAGAGAATTTCGACGCTGGGGACGTCGGGACTGGGGCTGCGCGCCTGGGACGTTGCATTCAGGTCCCCACCGGCCCCAGCGCCGTTGCGAACGGTGTCCATGACTGGCGGCAGGGCTGTGGGCGAGGTGATTTCCGGGAGAAGACTGTGAGTGGGCTGCTGCGGGTGTACGTCGTGCTTGGATGGGTATAGCTGCTGCAGATGGAACAAGTATGCGTTGTCGGCCGCGAGAATGGGGTCGAGTTCCGGTCGCACAGCAGCGACGGTGGCTAAGGGCATAACACACTAGAGAATGAGGATAGCAAAGAGGCAAACGAGGCTATATGGAGTAGTATCGATATTGTGGGTGTATTGCACCGGAGGATTGTACTGTATTGTGCTGGACGAGGAGAATGAGGGCCTTACGTCGTGTTTGTTGGTTTGGGCAAGTTGCTTTTTCCCACGGGCGGCGGGAGTCTTTGCGGAAGGTGAGAGAGTAGTCGTGGCATGTGCGGCTTCCACGTCCAAATTCACGGTTCTCTATTAGAACTTCTTCATTACGGTCAGGTCAAACCATCAATTCATGAACCCCCCCCCCCACGCATGTCACGTTGAGCATGCCATCCATCCTGCTGGCGGCCGATTGAACCTGGGCGAGTCTTCTCTCTCGCCGGCCTGGAATCATTTGAAAGCTAATAAGATTTTCGGAGCCTTTGTTCCCAAACGGCCGTCACTGCCCGTGGGTACACGAGGTTCACAGGAGCCACGGGATTGCCCCCAATTGAGGTCATAATTTACGCTCGTTGTTTCACAGTTGGGCAACATGATTTTGGGATTCCTTTTTGGATGCTCGAAACGTACGGCGACACCCTCGATTCATGCACGATCTGGATGTTCCCCGCCACTACGTACTACACTGTCGATGAGACGTAAATTGTTTCAAATTATAACAGGTGATCCCATGTCGTGGGACGAAAATCCGTCGGCCTACATATCTGCCATGTTCGTTATTAAGGTCATGGAATGAAGGGACGGCGTTCGAAAACGTCTATCCATCATCAAAATCTAATGTACATATACATAGCATTCGAAGCGGACGGCTTTCTCACATTTGTTTGTGTCAATCAGAGCCCACAAGTGCGGGAGGCATGCCACGCCAGGACCTGCCCGCTGATGTCAATTGGTCCCGCACAGAAACGCCGTGAGCGATATCCTCTTCCAGCAAAAAATAATATGGCATGAGGAAACAACGACATCCAGAGAATACTACCGGCGCAACCAACCCTTGTGAGCGAATTCACGAACCAGCATAACCCATTTGCAACCCCTCTTCCGAACGCTGTGGTTCTGGTCCAGAGGGGTCCTGCGTGCAGTGTTGAGCCTAGGCTGACCTCCTTGTGTCCTCGGCAGCGTCCATGTCCAGAAGGGTGTTTGTCTTTGAGAAAGTGGTGCTCGATGGCGAAGAGGTTGCGTCGGCCATTTGCGAATGTGGGTCGGCACTAGTACGTAAGTAGTACGTACATACGTAGTATAACCCCGCAGCTCTGATTGATACCGCGGTCCCGGCACGCGGTTGCGCCAGATGCCCTTGTCCAACATGTTCTCCTATCAGGCTCCTACTGCTGTCCATATGATATCGGTTTAGCACCCCCGCAAGGCTCAATCGCCCAATCCCCTTATTTCGGCTATTTCGAGACGGCGCTTCGCTTCGGACTAACCCCCCCACGCAACCCCTATTCGCTCTCGGTCCCTCCTCTCGGGCACTGCAAGCAGCGAGCGACTCTTGTGGCCGGTCAACCACCACCCGCTAGCACTAGTAGGGACTTTTGTTGTGAGACGAGCTAAAGTGGCGTCAGAGCGGAAGCAGTCTCGCAAGCTCAACTTTCGCACGCCCCCGTCACGTTCGAGGAAAGCCTCCAACATCCGCCTTCAACACAATGTCGCTATACACTCGTCTCCCAGAGGTCGATGAAGCCTCAGACTCCCCTTTCTCACTCACCGTCACCGGCGACTCCCCAGCGAGCGGCTCGACGCCAGCGCTTCCATTCGGGCGCCACGACGACGACGACGACGACCAACCCGCCAGCCATGTCCGCATCAACATTCCCCACAGCAACATCACCCGACCCACATCGCTAAAGTCCCCTTTCCCAGTATCTGCGTACGACGACGACCACCTTCTTGAAGACGACGGCTGCTTCTCCCCAGGCTCACCCAACGAACCCGAATTCCCAAAGTTTATCAAACTGGTCGGCCAGCCTAAACCCGAGGCTTCTGGAGACCAGGTCTTAGAAACCGACCCTCTCACGGGAGCGCCCATAAAACCAACCCCCGCATCGGTTGTGAATTCCGTCGACCACGAGAATGTGCTCGTTGACGTTCTGGAAGCCGAAAATGAAGACCCGTTCACGTTGGAGGGCTTCGACAGCCTCATACAGATGCATATTGAGAAGGAGAAGGATTTCATCATTGCGAGGGTGACGACTGTTGACCCGAATGATGAGACGAGGCTTTATTATAGTTACTATGCTGCACATCATATCAATAAGGTTCTTTTTCGAACGCAACCTGAGGAGGGGCTTTTACATCGCATGAAGGCAAAGAATGTGAGTTTGACTTGATGGCATGCAGAGTGAGCGCGGACTGCGGCGAGTGACAGCGAAGCGCGCCAAGGGCGCTAGACTCCTCTCATTCACTCAGCCCAATTTTCCCCCATCGCGAGCGGGGCGACCAGGGTATCGTTCCAGCCATCCAATCGTCCAACCATCCAACCACCCTTCGCTGCGTTTTATTTACCATTCCCCATTCTATTCCTACAGCCTTTGAACAACATGACAATTGTCGGAGATGTTCATTACTACGTCGTCAGCGCCGCCTCGGCAATAGCCACCAGCCCGCAGGCAGAAAACCCCCGTAACTCGTTTGATTCCGTGCGATCTTTCTCCTCGATCCGATCCGCGACCTCCATTCGCAGCATGATATCAATATTCTCCACCGCTTCCGTTGGATCAGTAGGGTCAGGCCGCCGAGAATTCGACCGATTCCGGCGGAAACCTCGCGCAAAAAGCAGCGGAGTCAACATCCATGACTCGGAGGGGAGCAAAGCGGGACTGAGTCGGTTATTACGAGTGGGGCAACATGGGTCCCGAAAACGAACGCTGCACCTGATCATGCGGCCCGATGCTGTGGAGAATGTGATCGAGGACGCCGTGCCATTGACCGAGGAAGAGGGAGGGAAAGCCCGACCGAAGGAGGGCAAGCAGGTTGTTAGCCGGAGGAAGATGAGGCCGCACTCGGCACAGCCCGACCTGAGCGAGAGGGATACTAGGCTACAGTCGCCGGTTGATAGGAACGCACTTGCAGCACCGAAGTTTGATAAAAGCAGGAGAAGCTCCATGGATGACGCATACGCAGAGTCGAACGGGATTAACTCAGTCACGTCTCCCATCCCGTTGCAAACTGGCGTCGTAGACACGAACGGCGCACATGGGACTACCGCCAACTTCCGCGCCGGAAGCACGACGCCCAAAATCCACCGTCGGGTGCGGTCCATCAGCTTCACAAACGAGCACCATCCCACACAAACAGCCCAGGACTGGATGCGGACCCACAACCAAGGAACCGAACCCCTCCTCCCCACATCCAAACCCGACCTATCATCGCACACCCGATCCCTCGCCATCCCCAACCCCTTAACCTCCCACACCCACTCCACCTCCCAATCCATCTCAATCTCAACCCGCCGCAACCCCTCACCCACCCGCTACCGCCCCCGCGGCCGCACCCCCCTCCTCGAACAAGCCCTCTCCCCCTCCTCCCCCTTCATCCCCGAACCCACTTACTACATCGCGCGCTACTACGCCTCCGACGACGACTTCCTCATGAAATCCGCTATCCGCGCTTACTTCAAACAAAACGCGCTCGAAACGCAGGACGCGGTGCTGTTCACCATCCCATCGTCGAGGGATGAGAATACCCATTTGGTCATGGAGGGGACGGAGGATCACCCTGCCTTGACGGGGTTTGTGTATGCGGTTAGCGAGGATGAGGATGTGGGGTGGTTTGGGATTGGCGGGAGGAATGTGAGGCTGTTCAAGTGGATGTTGTTGGGTTATGTGCTGTTTGGGTTTGTGGTTATCAAGTTCATAGGTACGTTCAATCGCGGTCGTCGTTCGTTCTAGTGTTTGCATAATACTAACCCTTCCTTTTGCTTCTCTTCACGCAGTCCCGGATGAATGGGCCTACGTCACCGCCTTTGTCCTCATATTCCTACTGTGTCTGATCATGATCCTGTGCCTGTAGAACAGAAGGCTCCTCCAGCTTCACCACCACGCCCTAGTTCTAGAACACATTCGCCGCCTCCTCATTTAGAACTCACACCTCTTCTTGAAACCTCTAATTTTTTGTTTTGTACATAGTAATTTGGTTCCGTGTCCCCGTTTTTTTTCTATTTCCGTAGAAATACCTCATCGATTGATTTAAACGCCATATCAAAAAACACTCTGTGCGTTGAGACTCACGTTCCCCAACAGGACGGGGTCAAAGTGTATATCGCCGCTCTCCGCAATCTTTACCACAGCACTGACGCGAGTTCTTTGACACACAGCCATCACGGCAATCACCTGCAACACCTGTCTCGGCACAGCACAGCCAACATGTCATCACACCAGGCGCTCCAGGGGCACCTGTGGTGTGGCATCTTTACTGGAGCAACCACACCACGGCGGAAGAGGAGGAAGGTTGCTCCGGTTACCCCGCGATTGCCCATATGTCTGCCAGCCACACCATTGCAACCCCCACGATTCGAGCTCCCGCCCTCTGTCCATCGCCACTTGCCCCAAGCAATTGCAGACATGGTTGGCGAGAGCTCCGGCGATGAAGACGGGCAGCAGCAGCAGCCGCAGCGAGGGCTTTCACCCGCGGACAGGGGTCTGCAGCGCCCACTGAACCTCCCCGCGCCCATCCCTTTCCGTTTTCCCAGCACACCGGGTGGATCCCTGGTGTATGAACCCCCGCCACCACCACCACCACCAGTTCAACGACCCCGCCCGCAAACACATGCCAGCACCAAGGTTTCGCTTCACCGAATCATCCATAATCAAAATCAAGTTCAAAGGGAGTGCCTGGCAACGTTCATCGCCAATGTTCACGTCCTTGCGCGCCACACCACCTTCTTTATCAAGTACTACCTTGGTGAGTTTTTGAGGTACACTATACTGTATACTTCCCATAAAACAATGTCCTGACTGCTACATCTGCCCACCCCACCACAGCTGATCATCCTCTACACGATTTCCCAAACATCACCGACAAGCACATTAGTGTGATATTTGAGCTGCTAAACAATCCAGGCTACAACGGCAATCCGGTCATCGCGCAAGAGTTGCGTCCACGGGTTCAAGAGTACTGTAACGTTCACGGATTCGCCCCCATCCGCATGCGAAATAGCCAACAGACCGCAGCGTACACAGCTACGAGCATCTTCACCAACCTCAAAGTCAACATACAGGAGCATTTTATGCAAATGTTTCTGCGCTATGTCAATGAAAGGCTTGGTTTGAAGCAAGTCGTACTGCATCTTCGGAGAGCCGGAGTTAGCCGAGCGCAGCGCCAACAGTATTATCTGTTATGAATGGGCGGAGCCGATGGAAATAGAGGCGACTGGTGGTGCAGGTTGTTGACAGGTAATGGTATTCAGACCGAAACAAGAACTAGAACAAGACTAGGAAGAACTGGTGTTGATCTGCTGGGGGATCAGGAAGTGGGGAGCTCAGGGGAGGCGGCTATTTATGTTTTTCTGGGAAGGCTGGGGAAGCGTGGGGAAGCAGAAGGGTACGGAATGAGAGGGAAGCCAAGAGAAGCGCCAAGGGTGGGGAAGCATAGAAACAGAAGACTGGGGATGGGGTGGCTACGCTGAGGCTGTGGGTGGGTACGTGGGGAAGTATGGAGAAGGGTTTGTAAGCGCCGAGTGTTGGGAGGTGTGGCTACGTGCGGCTGCGTGGAGAAATGAAGGCAGTGGCAGGTGTGGGGTAGCGCGGCTGCGTGCGGCTGCAAGGTTTGGCAGATGTCAGGTTTTGACAGGGAATTGACATTGACTGACTGTTGGGATGCTGTCATGAGGTAAGCGCATGGTATGGACGCGTCGTCCATAACATCACCCCCTCCTTTAGCCACGGCGTCCGGATGTTGTTTTGATGTTGGCAGGCTTTGGTCGGGGTTTGTCGGGGTACTTTTGGTGGAACTGGGCAACAAGCTCTTGACATCGGGCAAGGTGTTCCACTGGCTCCCATGTGTTCTCCGAGCTTGGCCAACCCTGCCACTTGATGAGGTACTGAAGGTGCGTGCGTCGAATACGGGAGTCAAGAATGTCTTCCACAATCCATTCCTCCTGTCCTTCGACTTCTTCTGGTGGGGTGGGTTCTGGCTCAGTTCGCTCCGGAATGGTGAAACGTGGTTCAAGAAGGGAGACATGGAAGACGTTGTGAATTTTGTAGGATGGGGGAAGCTTGAGGCGATATGTGACCGAGTTGATCTTCTCCGTGATTGTGAAGGGGCCAATCTTACGGTGATCAAGTTTCTGGGAAGGTCGGAGAGTCTTGAGATTCCGCTGTAAGAGCCAGACACTGTCCCCGGGTTTCATGTCTGGGCCAGGTGCCCTCTTAGCATCGGCAAAGCGCTTCATGCGTCCTTGGGCCTCCTTGAGCTCAGTGGCAAGCTGTTCATGGATTTCCTTGAGATGGTTGGCACGAGCTTCGGCTGCAGGATTAAGGGATTCGGTTGTGGTGGCGGAAGCCAGACTGGATCGAGGATGGAAACCCATAGTTGGCGTAGAAGGGGGTTGTCTGGGTGGCGGAGTGGATGGTGTTATTGTAAGAGAACTCAGCAGAAGACAAGAGTTCCTTCCAGTTATCTTGTTGATAGTTGCAAAAGCAGCGAAGGTATTGCTCAAGAATCTGATTGGTCCGCTCGGTTTGTCCATCGCTCTGGGGATGGAACGCCGATGAGAGGTTGACCTT